ATGAGGTCAGGTGGTCGTTCAAAGCCCGCAAAGGTCAGTGTGGGAAAGTAGGTCCAGGGGGGGGGGGGCTCACACCCTGGTGTGGCGGCAGCTGTGGGAGGAGCCAGCGGCGGCGCCGGACGGCGAGGAAGGGTCCTCGTCGCTGGACTCGCGCTGCTCCTCCTTGTGGAGGCCCAGGCTGATGTGGCTCTGCAGGGCGGCTGGGGTCAGCCACTCCTTGGGCAGGCAGCTCTGCAGGAAGGGGATGCAGGAGCTGAAATACGCCAGTCTGTTGACCCAGCGGGGGATTTCCCGTCCGCACAGCAACTGAAAAGAAGGTTAGAATTCATTTCAATTCGGCTACGCATAGAATGAACTGGTTTCAGCGCCTCTTAGATCGTTTGTTCTTTTACAGATTTGACCCAAATCCGTTAGGAGTTTGGGGACCATATTTTCCTTGTGTGGATGTGAATTCATGGAAGAAATGAAGAAAGTTGCGAGCTGCTGTTTTACAGCCAGTAAACCTGGTACGGACATTCACCCACCATTTATTGATTTCTGTCACTCGCAGGTGATCTCATCCTAGTTCTGTTTTGTTCTTAAATCAGTAGGCTTAGATGGATCCATTTTGATGGCTCTTTTTGATGCTATCAACAGCAACTAACTGTTTCTCCCACATGAGAGGGACTTTAATCAGAACTCTCACTGGACTTTACCCTAGAGCATGAATGCATCACATCCATGTGAAAAACCCACCAGCAGATGCAGAACAGATCACCATGGCAACACAATAATAATAGCATCTAAGACCTGCAGTTTTAGTAAACCCTCTTGCTGTGCCTCACAGCAATAGGGTTCTGGGTTTGAGTCCCCGGGGGAACCAGGACCTTTCTGTGTGGGGTTTGCATGTTCTCCCTGTGTCTGCGTGGGTTCTCTCCGGGTTCTCCGGCTTCCTCCCACCGTCCAAAAACCTGCATGTTAGGTTGAGTGGACATTCCAAATTGCCCTTAGGAGTGAGTGTGTGTGGTTGTTTGTCTTTGTGTGTCTCTGTATGGCCCGGTGATGGACTGGCTGACCATCCAGGGTGTACCCCGCCTCTCGCCCATTGACCACTGGGGTAGGCTCCAGTCCCCCTGTGACCCCATTAGGGAATGATCAGTTACAAAAATGGATGGATGGATGATTTAATACATTTAAATGTTTAAGAATTATGATAACCTATGTAGTAACCTATGTAGTGTAGTGTTTTTATTCTATTTGATTTTATTTCTAGCGTTTTGGTTTCCCCAGTGTTGCTGGTGAGGATTAAGACAGCACTTTCAACTTAAACCTAATGCTGATAGAGCAGCGTTTTTCAGGCTTTATAACAGCAGAGACAGATCTCATGCTTGACCCCCGTCAGTAGTCCATGTTAAATGTTTGTGAGTGGGAGCTCTTGGAAGTTTTTCTCACAGTCTTCATTAATTTTAATTGCATTGAAAAACACACTGGTAATATGCAACTGGTCCCCTGTGCATCTGAGAGCCCCGTTAAAGGGGAGCTCTGTGTGAAAAAGGGTTTTCGTTCAAATGTCTGTATATGATAGTTTAGTAATGATAATATAATGATAATATCATGATAATAACATGATAATAACATGATAATAATGCTGTCTTCTCAGCTGATCGGAGAAGCACGAATCTGTGAAACTGACCTCAGATAGGGAGGAGGAGAAGTGGTTGCAGTTTTTGTGCATTAGGTGGTAGGCGTTCCCTTTGAACTCTTTGCCGAGCTCCTCCATGATTTTATCTATGTCCTCCTCCGTGAAGTCTGTAGTTCCCAAAACAATAGCCTCCCTGTTCAAACGCAAAAGAGTTACATCAGAGCACTTATCTCTACCGTTAACAACACCACTCGGGCTTTGTATGCTAAAATGGGGCATGCTCACTTGAATTTGAAAGTCTCTCCCAGTTCAGCAGCATTTCCCGGGTTGATTTCAAAGATGCCACTGAAGGGGTAGGGATGACCGCCGTATGCAAATTCTGTGTGACAAAGATGCAAAATACGGGTTAGACAAAGACAAGCAATAAACAGCTGCAATTATGGTGAAGCGGGTAATTAATGACTGACACGCTGGAATTAAACCATTAAGCCCAGAAAGAAAAACACTCATGAACGCCAGGCCAGAAGAAACTGCATAGTGAAGGTTCAATGAATGGCTATGTGGCCTCTGATCTCCTCTGACTGCAAGGAGTCTCATTTCTTCTGTTTGAAAAAGCAACATACACAGGGTCCAGGAGAAATGGGGCCGATTCAGAGAAGCGCAATCAATATCTCTTGCTCCTCTAAAGACTGTATTTTCCCTATTCATCATATTCCTCCGTCCATACAACCATTCCGTCTGGTTCCAAGGGCATAATGGATTCCCTGGGATCGAGTTTCACAGTGGTTTCTGCCCCCTCTATCTTCGAGCACGCACATAAAAACACAGAGTGAGTCAGTCGTGAGTCAACCAAGAGAAATGGGGTCATGTTATTAGGAGCAGAATTTGGCATTCCATTTTTAAATCCAGATTTCGTCTGCGTCTGAGGAACCCGCCTCGCGCAAATCTGACAAACTCCAGGCGGGCGGGCGCAGCTGTCTGCAGAGGGGAAACTGCTCATCCGATATACACGATGGGATCTTACAGACATAAAGGGGTGGCCTCCATCTTACCTCTGCCATAGATCTCAATGCCTGAGTGGAAGACTCCAATGCCCAGATTGGAAGTGTATTCGTTTATCCAGTACTGCGGGGAAACAGGGAGAAAAAGACAACGTCAGGAGGAGGTGGCAGCTCTAAACAAATGCTTTTATCCCCATCGCTTTCAACAATCCAGAACACAGATTCTGATCCTGTAGAGCTTCATACAGCACCAAGATCAGTGGCTTGACTTTTCCGGTTAAAGTTTGGGGAAATAAAAGACAACATTTCATAATACAGAGCAGAAAGCCTGAGAGTACTAACAAGGTTTAGTGGCCAACATTATCACCCAAAAGCCTTGAGCCACCGACAATTTCTTGAGTAAAACTGCTGCATTTTAAATTAAAGGTGCATTCATTTGTTACTTTTCTCGACTTATTTCTATCTAGGTTCGTACAGACGCCGCTAATGGATCCTGGATGGGGCTGATCCCAGGCAGCCGTCAGTCTTGGCTGGTGTTGTTTTAGAGCCCCTTCCCTGCCCCCTCGCAGAAAGACGCCAAAAGATAATTTATGGAGAGAGCGCAGCCCCACCCGACACCCGCTGACACACCCAGGTTCTCAGACGCACCAGAGAAAATGTGCTAAAGCCTACCCATGCTGCCCCAGCTGTCCTGTATTAATAATACAGCATTTCCGGGCTCACAGTCATCCATTAAAAGCATTTCTGCCACATCACTGTCAGTTAGCCGAGTCCCCTCGTCTTTCCGCGTTGACCTCTTCCATTATTGTCTCTCTAGCTTTTCCTCTTTCATATCGGGAATGGCAACAAAAAAAAAAAAAAAACCCACGGGCCCACCTCCTTTTTCCGGGGGGAAAAGATGTCAAAAGGACAAAATCCCCCCCCTAAAAAAAAAAATGGGGGTGGGGGGGGGGGGAGAAAAAAGAAAACACCAATCTAAAATGATTGCACTGCCCGCAGAGAGCTCCAAGCAAACCAGTCCGAGTGGAGCTTCTTTTTATTCTTTCTTTCTTTTTTTCCCCTTGTGGCGCTGATCACACTGATGAAAGTTTCCTCCTCTCCCCGCTGGCATGACTCGCTCTCCATCCCACCGCCATCTCCAAGTTGTGTTCAATTATCCGCAGAGGTAATTAAGACACAGCTTATTTTTTTCAAGCGCGGACGATGTGACCCGATGAGTCTGGGACTGAATCGGCTGTTTGAGCTTCAGCCTCTTTGAGGGAATTTGTGAGTTTACTGGAGCCTCTTCGTCTCATTAGGTAACGGTGCATGACAGATTTTATAAAAGACAACACTTTACCCCCTACAATCCCACCTGGGTTCACATACATATATATATAGGTCCATATCAAAGTTTCATTGTGTTCAAATAACCTGGGCCCCATCCTTTTTCCTCATTCGACAAATGGGGCCTTATTCATACCCCGGCCCACAGCTATATGACAGTACCTGACAAAATAAACCTCCTGGTACATCCCCTACAGGTCCCCACAGAACGGCCGCTATAAGTTTCTGTTTCTGTTCCACTTTGTGGGTAGCAAAAGATAAGAGGGTAATCCTGAGGATCAGAAGGGGTTTAATGTCTCTTTCAAAATCACATGCTCTCAACTCAAAGAAAAACTTGTTGAAAACACTGATAAAGTCTCGATAACAGCCTTAAGTTTGCATTTCCTTCATTGTTTCTTTCTGATCAGGACACAGCTCCCTTTACGTGCCACTTCCGAGCACATTTTCTATCCATATCAGTTGGTGTTTGTTACTCCGCCACCTCCTTTTCTGCTAAAAGCTTCATTTCAGGCCTTTATTCACTCATACCAGAGTCTTGTCCTAATTTGGGGGGGACAATAACTTTGCAGACTAACCATTCACAAAATAGTAAATAAATGTCAGCTGAGATGTTGCGCACTGTTTTCTTGCCACCAAAACAAACGCTAGCATTTTTCTATAAATACAAAGTAGTAATTCACGGTCTGGGGCCGCAACACGCTGTACAATATTCCGACGACTCACAGCTCAGCGGAACAGCTTGTGAAAACCAAGCGGAGCGCACGAGTGTGAATGAGGGCGCTTGTTTGCTAATGTGTGTGCACATTATGTGAACTTAGGAAGCAGCGAGGAAGGTCAGAGGGTTGATGGAAGCTCTTATTCAGCAGGCCTGGACGGAAGAGTAGAGCAGTTTCTTTTCTCTCTAATCTGTTAGTGTTGCTTAAACACAAACACGAGGACAGGACTCTAATATTTGATGAATACAGACACGATTAATATTTATATATATATACATTTAGAGTTGATTGCAGGATGACCAGCGCCTCAGGTTGTTTATTTTCTTTTTCAGACATTCTGCTGCTGTGTCTGGCGTCAGCGCTGTGTTTTAGAACCCTCCTTTGTCCGGGCCTTATCCTCACATTTGACTCGAGAATACTTTGGCATGCAGAGGACATCACGGTGGACGGGAAAGGTTCCGAGCAAAACCCAAACCATGAACCCTCCGCCACTTTGTGAACACTTTGATCAAGCGACCGTATGAATAGAAGCGCCCTGTTAGTCCCCATGCGAGCAGCAGGGTTGAACATCACAACCAGCTTCCGCATTCTGGTGATTGTCCCGATAAAATAAAAATTAGAATTGAAAAGTTGTTTCTTTTTTTTTGTGGTCTGCTGTCTGTTCAACCCTGAAATGCAGCAGGTAGACGCCGGCTAAATAGATGAAGCAAACGAGCAAATGGTGGCCAATGGTGGCCAATGGTGAAGAATAAGCACCATTTACCTCTTAAGTTGGTGGAGTATTGAAGTGTGAGAACGTTCTCACCTGATTTGTTTCGAGGTGAAGAGAAGCAGCCAGAAAGAATCAACCAGGGAAACATCAGAAGGAACAAGGGTCAGATTGAGTCACTTAAACTACAGATTAATCTAAAACTGCTTTTTAGTCTATTTTTTTCCCCCCACTGGTCCCTCTTTTCCATTCTTTTAGTGTCAATGACCACTGCTAAAAACAGGAAAAGCCTTTAGTGTGGGTGAAATGGCTCCTTACCATATCGTAGACGTTAAGGATGACAGGTTCATTGGCCATGGTTTCCACCTGAGCTGGGGAGGCATCAACTCTTGGACTCCACCTTGTGAAGGGCTCAGATCACCCCCCGCCACCCGCTCCACATGGGCCCAGCTCTGACGGGTGAGGGTCCAGAGAAACTTCCGAACCGGAGTCTCGCAGTGGTCACAGGGTCACCGTGGCGTGGGGTGGGGTGGGATGGGGGGAACGTGGTGGGGGGGGAGCAGGACCCCCCCACCACCCCGGATCCCGCTGCAGCGGACGCGGCCCTTCTTCCTAAAAACCAGCGATAAACAAATCTTTGCTGGCAGGAGGCACCCTTGCGTAATAATAATGTTTTTAAAAAGCACCCACAGATCGGAGCTCGAAACACCAGATCGGAGGTGATAACCTGCTCCAAAAGCGACACGAGGGGCCTGCGTGTGGGGGAGAGGGGGTTTCTAAAGCGGGCAACCTTCTCACCAAAGTGGGCGAGAGCCAACAGATGGAGCCGGACTATGTCGACGACCGAGGCGGAGCGCGGGCCACCTTTAGGCGGATGGCGGGGCAGAGGAGTCCCGGGCCAGGCGGTGGAGGTGGAGGGGTGGTGGTGGTGGTGGTGGTGGTGATGGGGGGGGTCAGGTTCACCAGCAGCATCCCCGATCGGTCCCACTGGTCCTGCTGCTGCTGGCCCTCACGCGGGAACCTCTTCTTCGCCCTCTTCTTCCGGAGGAGGGGACGGCCCGCTCGGACCTCCGCCGCATGACCGCTCCCGCAACGCCTCCGACCCGCGCTCCTTAAAAAAACAACAAATAAACCCCAAACCAGGTGGCGATGGAAGCGTTTGGGGAGGGGGGGGGTGGACGTGTCGGTCTCACAGCAGAGATGCCTCCGTGTGGCGCGGCCGCGATCCAGCTCTGGCTCAGCCTCAGCAGATGACGTCATACCTGCCTCCCGACAGCTGACAGGGGGCAGAGCACAGCACAGAGACACCAGCACGTTTGGTTTTTTAAAAAAAAAGAAAGAAAGAATGAACTCTCCCTGCTGTTTCTGTCAGCCAACATCAAGATCAACTAGTCTTCTCTGTTCATAAGCAAAAAAGATTCAAACTCACTGTAGCTCAGGCTCCCTCTGAGGTGGAAAGAGCTGATCTCTCCACATCTGGATGGGTGCTGCATCACTTTGGTGAGGAGGTGGTTTAGATGCATTAGTGTGGTGCACCAAGACAACAGGTTCTGTGCTTTATTTTCTCAATTTTGCATTCATAAAATAGCATCCGCTATTATTTTGAAGAGAAATTCACAAAACATCCGTTTAAAAAAAATAAATTAAAAAAGGGTTTTCCCTTCTGAGAATGATGTTTACATTCCACAACAGCCAACAGGATATCAGTGTGAGTGAGGCAGTGTGTCTCTGGAACACTTTTTTGTACCATCATTTGGTTTAAATTAATAAGAAAAACATTAAATTTAGATTCAACTAAAGGCGTTTTGAATAAAATGTTTGTTTTCTATCTTAAAAAAAAATCAGGTTTATCAGCTCAACCCAAAACTTTGTGGCCTGTTATCAATGGGAGTAAAATGCAATACTTTGAAATACTTCCATCATTTCTACAATAACTTTTCAGCTACATATTCCCAGTTGAAAAAAGGTTTCTAAATAGTTCAGAAGCCTAATTGTCCTTAAACAAATATTGTTACATCCCCCTAATTTGCCAAAAATGTTCGGATACCAGGTGATTTCAACATGACTTTTATTAGGAGTCTGGACATTGAACACAAACTATTTGCATAGTTTATTAGTGCTTCTGATTTGCTTCTCTGGCTTACTGCAAATATTCACAATCCCATTTAGCAAAGTGACACGGTACGTATTTACAGACTCTAAGTGTCAGGAAGGGCCAGCCTACTCCCCCCCCCCCCCCCCCCCCCAACTGACCTCACCTGCTCCCTCGCAAAAAAAAAAACAAAAAAACAAACAAACAAACATACCATGATTGTGACTAGTGCAAAAAGAAAAACAAGCGCATAGAAAACACTTTTTTAAATTCTCTGACACAAACTCTTTTCTAAGCTGCTTTTCTGGCCAGTGACACGTGGATGAACACCTTCCTCCACATGCTCGTGTTCGCCCGACGAGACAGTTCGGTTAGCAGAGGGTAGGAGGTGAAGATGAGACCGGGCCTCCTCCTCCAATCAGGAGAACGTTCGGCTGTCCGGCTGAGAATGTGCACGGGGGAAAAAAGAAGGAGCTGCTTAATGAGATGCTGCCTGGGTGCCTCTTTAAAGTGAGTAGTGATGCGCTGAATGAGCGTAAAGACGAGCCTGGATGTGAAGTTGATTTCGGACAGTTTCCTAAATGTCTGACGTGATAAATCTGTCCCCCTGTCATCCAAAAACTATTTAAAAAAAATAAACAAAAAAACATTGGTGAGCCACACTACTGCACTGAGTCGTGTGCCAATCCCAAATGCAGCAGCCTGCCGAGTGCAACCCTCCAGAAAGCGAGGACTGGGTGCTAATCCGCAGCTAAAAATAGTCCCCCCTCCAACAGATGTGCCACTGGCCCATGCTTGTGTAAAGTCTTGATTAAAAATGGCCGGTGTATTAGGGAATGGCTGCACTCCCTTCGTACATGACACTGTTAACTTCTGAGCCCTAGTTTTAAAGTATATGTCTGAAGTAAATGGATTTGTTGGGTTTTGGCTTTTTGATTGGATTAGTTGGCAGTTTAAAAAAAAAAAAAAAAAAAAACATATGAATGGATTGACTGTCATTTAGAACGCGACGAGGAGGAACAAAATTAATTCGCGGACAAAGCAGGGGAAGGCACTCGAGAAAAGAAATTCCCTGATGGGTTAATGGATCGCGTTACTTGCAGGATTTGCGGCTCCGGCAGCTCGGTATGGGCAGCACATCTGGAAGACGCTCCAACCAGCTGTGCCGGGACACCAGGCTGAATGAAAGCCAAACCCAGTGGCACTTTGAGCACAAATGAACTCCCGAGCTTGTGTCGGGGCCTGACCTGACCTGAGGGATTTTTTTTGGGTGGTCTGCACATGGCTTGGGTGTGCGGGCAGGCCTTTGTTTCTCAGCAGGAGCTCAGCTCAGCAGCAGGAATGCGTTCATCCTTCATCTCCTCACGTCGCAGGTCTCTCAATGCAAAAATCCCCCTCTGTGGCGGGAGCACGTCCTCTTGCATGGTGTGGGTGTCGAGAAGCTACCACTAATCACAAAGATACGCATGAAGATGGAGAAACTCAGTACAGACACCATTACCTGCTAATCAAAACGAGGAGGGGAAAAAAAAAAAAAAAAAAGTCTACTTTTCTGACTTTCCTCCCTTTTTGCACTCTTTGGCCTTCAGCAAAGTTTTTGATGTTAAAATGAACAGACGGACGCCGTGGGCTCGGTTAAAAGTGCTGCTTAATTGAGCCGTTTGTAAATGATGACGGAGATGAGGGCGACGGCGGCTCCAAACAATAGAAATCCCACCAGGGGCAGAGAAGACTGGTTTTCGGGTTGTGGGTCAGTGGGTCCGTTCATATGACGATTCGACTGCAAGACATAAGGGGGAGAAAAAAAAATTACCGGGGGAAAAAATCATTAAAATATTTACTTTATTGGCTGTGTTTTTCTGTTAGGACACCCGGTTTTTAGAGGAGAAGAATCTTCTAAACCCTCTTATTGTCTTCTCGATTACCATGCACCTTTTGTCCTCCAGGGTTAAATTTTCAGATCTAAAATTAACCATGATTTTTATGTCTGTGAACTTATTACATTTATTTTACACTTATTTTTGGAGTATTTGGTTATTACACAACTGGTTTAGTGTATAATCACTCATTTTTGAGAAGCACACGTATGGGAGTCAGGCCAATAACAAGCATGTAAATAGGCCAATAACAAGAATGTAAACGGGGTTTTTAGAGTAGAGTGAGACAACTCCAGCTGATCAAGTCAGCGTCTTCATAAAAGAAATTCTGTTTTGGCAAGTCTTGAGTTTTAGAATCCGTTGCATTTGCAAGTCAAACTGTAGCTCAGGGTGTTGGTGGCAAAAGTGGTGGGAAAGGTAAAATATCAGGTAGAATTTTTTTTAAAACAAATTGTTTTTTTTAAATGCCAGACTAAACAAAAGATAACTAAGTAACAACAGAAGCAAGAGAGGGTAACAAAGGACACAAAGTTTTTAAATTGTTTCAATCCTTTTACGCATCTTGACTAACGGGAGGATAAGAAGATAACGGGAGGGTGAAATTCTATTTTACCTTCATATACCAAACTGAGGATATATCAAGACATTTAGAGGCAACTTTACAGACATCAAATGATTGACAAAGATCCACAGCTATGCTTCTGTGCCTCGGCCTTTTCAATTGCGTGAAAAGTTGTGTGAAGCATTAAGGAGGTCTCTAAGCTGTATTTGGATTCAAACACACGAAAACGCGGCACGGCTTTCGTGGCTCCAACCTTTTTCAGCACGCGGAGCTCCACGTCCTCCCCCGCCATCCTGAACAGATCCACCGCCGCTTTGTGTGTCAGATTGTCCAGCGGGTTGCCGTTTATCTACAAGACCCACGCAAAAGACACAAACCACTGTCATGCTGTCAACAAAAAACCTGACCTTTAGCTAATTTAGTTAATCATTTGTTTCACCAAGTCATGAAGGACATTTACGGGGAAACGGGGAAGTGACATTCAGGAGAAACATAAACAACACTCTTTTTCCTCAAGATCCGGGATGAATATGTTTTACTTACCATCAGGATCTTGTCCCCCTCCTCCAGCCGTCCATCCTGCGCTGCTGCTCCATCTTCCTTTATCTTGGCCACATAAATTCCATTATCATTCACGACATAAAGCTGATCCACGCCCCCAACTATATTGAATCCTAAACCTAAGGGAGGGCAAACAAAGATGACGTAAGAATCAGAGGAAAGAGACATTTGCAGAGGTTTGACACTGCATAGTGAAAGCTAACAGACACAAATCCGGCCTTTTAGCCGGACAGCAGCTGCTGATCCATTTAAAACATTTATCTCCAAATAGGATCAAAGTACACAGCACCTCACACTGCACTGCCATTGAGATTCACGTGTTTTAGGGAACCCCAGTGTTACTCGGAAAACTGTGAGACACACGCATTGCCTTGTCTTGCAGCTACATTTCCCTCGGGGTTCATGTGGGGAAACTGTCCAGCTCTGACATCCCGACTACCTCTTAAGACATGACCGTCGCCCAAAGTGCACGAAACTTTTATCTGATTAAGGGAAGCTCTGGAAGCTTCCACGACCCCAGCTGAGGCTTTGCAACAACACGAGAGCACGTGTCGAGGAGAAATTCTCCCGACAGTTCCAGACTGGCCTTTAGTTTAAGGAAACGCGACAGCTTGTGAGGGTAGTTTCTTTTTTCCTTTTTTTTTTTTTTTGGTGCTACGTAGCCAGCTAGCAAAGGTGCCGCTGTATGCTAAAGCCGAGACAAGTTCTCCTCTTACCCGCCGGTCCTCGTTTAAGCTTAATGTCCACGTAGTTGAGTGGAGAGTCCAGTGAGCCGTTCATTGTGCCACACGTTAAAAATATAAAGTTTGCGGAGAGAGGGGAGGGGGGGGACAAACTATTTATCTGAAGGTGAACTCATTGAGGAGTTTCGATTTTCCTTCCCCAGGCGAAGACGGAGGTTGTAGCTGTTGCCCCCCGATGGTGAGAGGCGGAACTGCAGGATGACCTTTGAACTACACTTCCCAGAGATTTAGAACTCTTACCTTTTGTGCGTCCCAAGCGAGATACTCCTACAAGAATGAGACTATTCCAGATGGAGGTTGAGTGTGATATAGTTAAAGAACGGGTTTGATCACTTTGGCCCAGCAGATTGAAACCTGAGGCATCGAAATATAGGACAGTGTTAGAATTTTAGCAGCAGGTGGAGCCACAAAGAAAAAACCTGGAGAAGTCTGGTGGGGCCATCGGCCGATTAATACCAGTGGAAAGAAACATCCCACAAATTAAATAAACACTCAAAGGAAGAATTTATACAACTCCGGATCCAGACTGCAAACCACTATAACAGGAGTGAAGCCTGAACTTTGGATAACATGGATTTTTAACAGTCTTTAACAATGTTGTCTTGCTCAATGATCCAGACATTCTCAAAATGTGGCTGAATAAATTTATAAATGGGGCCATTTGAGGCCTTCTGTGCTGAAACCCGTTGATGCATCTCTGCTGCTAGAACAGCATCAGCTTATAGACCCCAACTATCTTCTATGGCTGTACATCTAATGGCACCAACTTAAATTTCCCAAGACAGAATTTCCTGTTATTGTTGAGCAAGAAGGAAAGGTCAAGGTGAAGCCAGAATTTATTGTGCTCACAGCCCACATGTACATTCATACATAATTAGCATCAAACAGCTTTTAATGAGTCAGTTTTTGCTTGTTGCGCCTTCATAATGATCCCAACATCTCATAACATTAAACCATCTATTCTTGGCAACAAGTCATAGAGCCCACCCCCCTTGTTATATTTTCTTCTAATAATCTGCACCTATGTTATGACTTCAACGTGAAATCAGAATTTGCAAAACATTTCAATAGCTCTACGGTTGGAGAGTTCAAGAGGATTTCCTCTGGAAATAAAACAGGAGTCAGTATATTAATACATTTGGATCTTTCCGCCTGTGCGGCTTGAGGGTGGACGTCCTGCTCTGAAATACGAGGACACGGTGGGATTTCTCTGCATCGTGCTCCCATGCACCGCAGAAGGCTTATCGTGCAATTCATACAGACTAATAAGCATACAAAAACAAAACAGAAAACACTTCTCACTCATGGAAATATCTGAAATGTTTGGGACACATCGCACTTTTCCACTACACCTACAATCATTTCATTCCATATAAATTAGTTTTTTTTCTTAAAGCATCTGTTTGAGATGCACTTCTCGTCCCTATTTATGTAATATTTCAAATAAAAACAGTTGGGTTCTGAGTAGCTTTGCGAGGAGATGTCATCCAGTTTAAGAAGACCCCGAACCATCCCCACCCAAAAAAAAAAGAAAAAAGGATTATAGTGTGCAGACCTGGAATAATCTGCCTTTTGTTTTGTGCTAAACATGCCAGGTGGAAAACCGCTGCACCTCGCTGATTACGGCGTCCCCCCCCTCCCTAAATATTCCTCACAACAGATCTGAAAGGATTTCAAATACAACTGCGGAGTTGGAGCCAGGCAGCCTGGGAGGCGTGCGGCCCGGGTCGGGGACTCAGATCATGCTTGGAGCCGCGCTGTCCAGGAGGATGTCGCCGGCCACTCGCAGCAGGGTCACTTCCTCCAGGCCGCCCACTCTGTGCTCGTACTCCAGCAGGTGGGTTTCGTCCACCGCCACTTTGAACATGTCCTCCTCCACCAGGATCTTCAGCTGAGGGGCGAACGACACACCCAGACTTATTAAGGGCTTGCGTGAATACAATGCAGATAATCAGAGTGCAAATGACTGTCTTAAAGAACTGCACGATATCTTTAAAAAGCCTTTTGACACTGAACTGAAATCAGCCTCGTATTAATGCAGACCCATCATCTGTCTTCTTCTTTTAAGCGCCATTTAAACGATCGGATTTCAGTGCCTTTCTTATTCTCGGCTGGATGGACAAATGCAGCACACCACATCCCCAATCCTCTTTTCCCATTAATATAGTGTCCATTACGCAGAGATGCTTAAATAATCTTGTTTAGTGAGAGGAGGTATTTTATTTCATAAAAACATTAGTAAACCTACAGTTGACCCGTTTGCTGATTGACTGACAGCTAACTGGGGGCTACGTGTTTGAATGGGGTATTTAAATCAAACCACAACATCAAGATGTGTTTGAGGTAACACCCAGACACAAATTCATACCAAGGATAAACATCATATGAACAAACAGCGCGTTTAAAAAAATGGTTGTAGTACCTCAAAACGGCGTCCCTCAACAAATGGGAAGCCTCCATCCCGCTCCTCCGGCCCCCAGTAGCCTCCCAGTCTTGAGTTTCTGACAATAGTTTGCTCAGGAAAGCGAGGGTTGAAGTGAAAGACGATGTCCGAGCCTTTGATGAGGTCAACGTTGAACCTGTGAAATGTGTTTGTCAGTGCTGCTCGTTAGGGCCGTCAGACAAAACGACGGTTCATTTTCATCCTCACGCACAGTTTGTAGAGGCTCACCTGCTGGCGCCCGGACTGGGCTCCCCAATTATCGTGATTAAAAGCCGCGGCATGATTCCAGCATGAAGGGGAAGATCATGCGGCACCATCTGTAAGAAGCATTTATGTCAAAAACAATGAGAATCCTGGACAATCTCTGTCATTATTCATTGTTCTGCTTTATTGGAAAAATAAACAGAAAACAGGTTTTACCCTTTTGTTTCATCCTCAAGAAGAAACATGTGATTATTTACATTTTTCCCATTAAATAACGTAAAATTTAATGCCAAAAAAGTGCAGTTAAACATTAAACTCAGTCCTCACCCTTTCCACAATCTTACAGCAACACCCCAGTGAGTCACTGTCTCCATTCATTTTTACAATCTTTCCTAAGTTACGCTGATAAACGTCAAAGCAGTGACAGAAACATTAGGCTTAGCGTTGTTCATTTTAATTTTGTTTATTTTTTACAAGCAACAACTTTATGTACTGATATTTGAGACAGAATGACAGAGAAAGTCCTTTAATCATAACCATACGTTTTATGACAGAGTTAGATTAAATACTGGTGTAAAAGGTTAGTGTAAAAGGGTTTTAGCATTTGTAAACCAGTTGTATTGCACTTAATCAAAGCATTACATCCAGCAGATTGAACACATCTGCGTATATACTGAGTCTTTGGCACTAATCAAACCACTCGTTGATTCTGAAGGTGATGTCCTTGTCCGATTGAAAGGTCGAGTTCATTGTTTTCAATAAAATCGTGGATTATATCTGGGCTGAAAGACAAGAATAGATGTTTGATGGCTTCATCTGACCCAATATAACCTATGTTTAATATGCCCAGTGCAGCCCAGCAGAGGCCCGGGAGTGGAAATAACAACCAAAATCAGCCCTTATTTAAACCCAAAAAGCAGAGAACTCCTTGTAGAATTGAGTAAACCTCCATAGACCACACAGAGATACTCCCAGTCCACCAGAGCAGGAAAAAAACACCAAGCAAGCAAAACAATACATCTAAAACGTGGTAGTACTCACCAGCGCGCCGCTTGGTCCAGCAGACCCCCCGTATGGACCCATGGGCCCTCCACTGGGACCAAAGGGGGCAGGGGCGGGAGGGTAACCACCCCCTGGAAGTGGTCCCCATGACCCAGGTGGGATTGGAGGAAATGCCCCAGCAGGGAATGCAGGAAAAGAGCCAGGGCCAGCTGGTGGGGGGAAAGCACCAGGACCTCCTGGTCCATACATCCCATTGCCACCTCCTGCCTGACTACCAGGGAAAGGCATATTTGGATAAGGCCCAGACGGAGCACCGGGACCAGAGGGAAATGGTCCTGTTGGATAAGAAGCAGGACCTCCAGGTAGTTGTCCTGGAGCTCCTTCAGGGGGATACTGCCCAGGGAACTGCCCCGGGGCGCCAGGACTGGAAGGGAACTGGCCAGGTGCTCCTGGTGCCAGTGGATACTGTCCAGGTATTCCAGGACCTGCAGGGAACCCTCCTGGTGCTGAAGGTGGTCCTGGGTATTGCCCTGGTGCTCCAGGACCTGATGAAAATGGGAACGGTCCTGGTGCTCCAGGGCCAGATGATCCACTGCCAAAGTCAGCCGGTGCTGAGGGCTGGGTGGGAGCTCCAGGGGCCGAACCTGGCCATCCCGGGTTAGAGGGAGCTGGGGGATTGCCGCCTGGGACAGAAGGGTTAGTGTTGCCTATTCTCTTAGCCTGACTCGGTGTGTCATCTCCTAAAGCATCTGCCAGCTAAAAAATACAAAAGAAGAGAGAGAAAGAAGGAAATGACTCCACCAAGAAGAGATTTGTTTACCTGCCAAACCAGTACACAAAACAAACGTCAGATTGTGCAGCTTTCAACTCACCGAGAAATCTGCCATGATCTAAAACAAAACAAAAAACAACTTCTATTAGTTTTATTCGACACTGAAAACACCAGATTATAGGGAGCTGTCAAATATCACTGTGGGCAGGTCCCACAGAGGCTCTGAGTAAATGTTTCCATCTGCGAGTCATGAACAACTAAACCCATGTCAGCCGTCAACATAGCTTTACATTCCAGCTATTTTAAGTTGAACAAGTTATACAAACTCTAAGCTGACGTTGGAAAGCATTTAAGCAAAAAAAAGGTCATGATATGTTTTTAAAAGAGTTGGCTAGCAACCTAGCTAGCGGTAGCTAACTATTATTTTACGTGTGTTTATTCGAACTTTATGTTGACGAAACAAAATATAAGCGCTGAAAGATGAGTTTTTTAGCTACCTGGCTAGAAGCTGGACTCTTCTCAGATGTTGTGGGGTTAGCAGCGATTTTTTACCCCGCTGTGGAAACCAGATAGACAGCTAAATTAGCCTAATGTGGTTCACAAGTGAGAGCTAGCGTTATGGGCTCTCCCTACAACTCTTGAAAAGGAAGAACGCACACGCGCCCGACTGATGACGTAGTTGAAGGCACGGGCGCGTTCAGCCCACGCACGTACACGCCTGTGACTTCTATTTTTGCGAGTACTCTCATTGAAATAATAAATTCCATAGCTCTTTGCGGCTTCACTTAATGTATAGCTCCTACTCACAATTCCAAAATGTGGTCTCTGCTATTATCCAGACATTTTGTGTCTTTGTATTCATTTTAGAAATCACGGTTGTTAACCGAGATATAAAAAGTTATCGAAAAAATCGAATAAAAACATATAGATATAAATATATATAGATTTAATGTACATGTAATATATACAATATAATTTATTAAATAAGTTATAATTCTTTAACATAAAAATGATGACGTATTACATATATGTGGTGTTTAACAAATTGACAACTCATACGTTTTACAACGAGGTCATAACTAGTAATTTTGTTTTAAAAATAGGTTAGTGTAATAAAAATCCAATTTTAATTAAACTGTTTATTGTTCAGCTGACTGCAGTGAACAGAGAATTTTGACCAACTTTTGAGGCAGGGGGCGCCTGAATGGGATTGGTCAAACCAGTCACAAGATGATGTGAAGTAAGGAAAAAAACACATAGCCTCCCTGTCATTCAGAGCAGCAGCTGCACCTTTGGGGGAAATTTTCAAACTCAGCAACAATGGTAAGTTGTTCTGTTTCCTTTTAGGCGGGATGTCATCGTTTTTAGCTTCAGTGTTTTAATGGGGAGCTCTGAGCAAATGAGAAGTTTCGCGGAGTGAAACGAAAAAGTACGGTCGCAGATTGGCTAGCATTAGCCTGTTAGCCTAGCATTACTTCCACCCTCTGTTGTTTGAATCGACGTCAAGTCAAAAACGCGGAAGGGACTGTGTTTCCGGTGAAGAATTTCAGATTAAAACCCAACTGAATGAACAACATCAAGTGCTACACATTACTCTAAATGTGAGGTAATAGTTATTCACAACACTTCCGCGTATAATGAATTCATATTAACAGTGCGCTTTGAAGATAAAAGAACCAACAATGTAAAGTAGATTTTTTGTATTTGTCTATCCATCTTGTCACCAACAGTGTGAAGCATGTCACTTGCCTATATATGTATATTATACAGCCCTTTGCTCCTTTTAGTATTCAAGTCATTTACAGGCTCCTTTTCTTATTTAAAGTAATTTAAAAGTATAGATGGAATATGATTGGATTTTTTGTTTGTTATTTTTAGAAAATGTGTCCTTCAAATGAATTTACATAGAAGTTTTATGTTGAAGACCCCGGTGTTGAATTTCCGACCGCGTTGTGAGGGTAACTTCACGCAGCTGGTCTCAGTAATGTGTTTCTACATGTCTGGTTTCTGGGAGCTGCCTGAATGCTAGCTCGCATTTTGTCATGATCAACATTGTTTCCCCCTCCGGGGTTTAGACTGCGTGTCATGATAGATCGAGCCTCTTCACAGTAGAATCACATTAGGGCGTACGTTTTACCACCCATATGCGAAGTGCGTTATTATTATTATTATTTCAAAATGTTTTTATTTTCATGAAAGTGTTTCAAGTGAATTAGCCGACATACCGGCCAGAGACTCGCTAGTGTCTGCAGGAATGCAAACCTGTTCCCACCTCCGGCTTTTATTGTTTGTCTTGTTTCATATTCCCCTCTCCTTTCCCCACGCATCCTGTTCCTTCTAGGTCTAACACAGACATACAGTCTTTTCTTAATCTGTGAAGATTTTTCCCAGAGCTCAGTCAAATCCTGACTCCCACCAGCCATCTGCTCAGGAAGGTGTAATTAAAGATTTCTGAATGCCTGCAGAGTCTGTGTGAGAGTTTGTCTTTCTGGTGGAATTACACAACGCTTTGTGTGATCGTGACAGAGGTCCAGAAGAATAAAAATCCTGCTCAGACCGGTGCATTGTTTTCTCTATGGATTAAATCCGCTGGGTCAGATTGGACTCTGACAGAAAGCCTTACTATGACCGTTTGTTGCATTCTCAGTTTTTGGTTTAAGCTGCCATTTGGGGAATTGTTTGGATCGTATTTTCAAATGACTTGAACTTCACAATTTATTAAATTTCTGCATTTTAGTGCCAACAGTACAAATGTTTATTTTAATTCGCTGAGTTTGCTTTGACTGTTTTGATCAGAGCGAATCACTGGTGGTGTGTGATGTGGATGAAGATCTGGTGAAGAAGCTGAGGGAGTTCCGTTTCCGGAAGGAGACCAATAATGCTGCTATCGTTAGTGAGTCACAGACCTTTTCTTCACCCATTTTTATGTGTCTTATCAGAGATTTTGTTCCCTGTTGATGAACTCTTTACAAAACTAGAACACTTCTTAAAACCAGGCCTCTTTTTTCAAAGTTTTTTTTTAAATGGTAGTTTAATGTGGCTTCTTCGCTGAAGAGAAATAATGTTTTTGGTATAAAAAGTGATCTCACATTTCCCATGATGATCAGGGGACGAGCTGGACATGTGCTGATCCTGTTTTGATGTGTTCCATTAGAATTCAGAACTTCCAACTTACTATTGGGAAAGTAGAAATAGGTTTTCCGATTATATCTCCTTTAATTGGCTACACTCAAATGGGGGCTAAATTATCATTTAGTTGAACATGATTATAATTTTTAGATTTGTAACATTTTCCTTTGCACAAAGCCTGGCTAGCTTTTTCCACCCCATCAGTGTTTTCCTTTCTCTATAAATGGGTTTGTGTAATTTTTATTTTTGTTATGGTTGATATGATACATGCTCAATGTAGCCTGTTCTGGTTGGAAACATATATTTAAGATGAGTCCAGCCTTCTTAGTGAAAAACAGATCGTCCCCGGTAATGCACTGGTAAAGACATTGGGATAAAACAGGTCACCTCAAAACATAGCATTTACTGTCACAGAGTCATGAGCGTAAGCTTTATCCTCTGTCCTGTCTGGTTCAGAATGTCATTTCTACTGATTGGGATTAGCATTGTTTGCGTGACATGGACTCTAAATGTCAGAACATTTGTTGCAGCAAATGTTTTTTGGGTTGTTGTTTTTTTTTAACATAATGAAGTGTTATTCAGTAAAATGCTCGTCTTAAACACATACGGCCAGGTGGGGTCACTGACTTTGACGTTTTGTTTTCTTTTCTATCCTTCAGTGAAAATTGATAAAGACAAGCAGCTCGTTATTCTCGATGAGGAACATGAGGTAAGTTGATCGGCCTGTTTTTAAGGGACACACGCTGGAATCAGTGGGCTAAAAAGCAGGTTTTACTTTAGCATTTTCAATGGAAACCTAATGGAGAGTTAGTCATTAAAAGAACACTATAACGCTGATTCAACACAAGTTGTTGGGTGAAGCTTTTTTGCTCTTTGAACCCAACAGTTTTTCAAATGAGTCAATTATTACTTATATAGATGCAACGTGACTGAAGCTGATGCACTTCTACAAAACAAAAAGAACGCTTTATAACACATCTGTCTTTTAGGATATCTCCCCTGACGATCTAAAGGATGAACTGCCTGAACGACAGCCCAGATATCCTTTAAAACAAATAATCTGTCTTTCCAGAACAACACAGAAGGGCTTTACTCCTCTATTTAAATCTTTTTACCCTAAAAAAAAGTTGTCAGGGCACTTCTTTGATTGTGTGTAAAGTCAGTTTAAGGAAGTGCAAGCTTTCCTTAGCGCCTGGAACGTTCGTCGTCTACAGCTACAAGTACCAGCACGACGACGGCCGCGTGTCTTATCCTCTCTGTTTCATCTTCTCCAGCCCAGTTGGTAAAGGCCGTCCTCTGGAGTCATTTCAGTCAATTTAGAGCAGCTCTGTGAACGAGTTAAAAAAACAAAAAGAACAACAGCAACAGCTGAACGTGTTGTGGCCTTGCAGGTTGCAGACCGGAGCAGCAGATGATGTATGCGGGCAGCAAAAACAAGCTGGTGCAAACTGTCGAACTGACCAAGGTTGGTGAAACTTTCCTGAAAACAGAAAACGGGGCAAAATCAGGACAGTACGGCATTGCTTTATCGGAGAGCTTTGTAGTAGAAAGTCTTGGTACTAAAAGTTATAGAAATGAGATGAATGAAAAAACGCATTTCTTCTGTTTTTTTTTCTTCTTCTGTCTAACAGGTGTTTGAGATCAGGAACACAGAGGACCTGACAGAAGAGTGGCTCAGAGAGAAACTGGGGTTCTTCCGTTAAAGCCGCCGCCTCCCTCAGGGGCATGGGACGCGAGGAGGATCCAGATTGCACAACCCGTGTCATCTCCCAGAGAGGACACGCCACCAGTTAATGTTTCCCTCCTCTGTGCACCAGACCTGGTTTAAATAGTGTGAAAATGCCCAGTTCCAGGCCTCCTCGGTGGAGTTTACTGCATGCTTTCAGTCACAACAGTGCTTCCCCGTGACTGTGACCAAAACCTGGCCCGTTGGGCGGCCTGGAACTGGGAGCACTATTTGAGCCAGGTCTGTGTTTCTCTCCTGTACAATCTCTCCATGTGCCAGTGATGTGAGTATCGAATGAACACTCCCATAGTTCTTGAAGTGGACAAAAGTTGACGTTCGTATCCGCCCTTTGACAGCATGCTCGTTCAGGAGAATGTCGAGGCTTGGTAAAAAAACAAACAAACAAAACACTTTCTGTTCTAGTTTACTCTCTGCTTTTTGTTTCTTTTTAGCAACTGGGAACCTCCTCGGTTCAATCTTTTTATCTCATGGTTTTTGCCATAATTTTAGGGAGTCTTTCTTCATTTTTTTTTTTTTTTTTTAGTTTTTCCTTTTTGTGCACTTTCTAGTGTCTGTAGTTTGAGTTCATGTGTATTTTAGAACACAAGTTTCCTGTTTCTTCCAGTCAGAACTTTGGAACAACACTACTGAGGTTAGTCTTAGTCTGTCTCTGCTTCAGTATTCACACTAAGGCATTCAAATGAGTCGCACACTAATAATCCCTTCCAGAAAGAGCGACAACACTAAAACTTGATGTCTTTTTAACTTTGCACATGTACAAGCTGGCCAACCCCTCAGCGGGGGTCCTTTAAAAGAGGTGTCCGTGTTCATAACCACTTGAGGGAACAACAATTCCAGTGAAACATTCCAGACATGAACATTTTGAGACAAAACATAAGATTGTATCAACCTTGACAATGATGGTGATGACCCTGCACACAGGCTGGCATTACCCCCCCTCTCTCTGTCTTTAAAAAAATATATTCTACTGGGCTACTCTCTTTAAGTGGGTAACAATGTATTTTGGGAGTTTGTTAGCAATCGCTGTGCATTATTACTCTCAATGTTTATGAATGTTGTACTTCATTTTTGTGAAGCTGCTCTCAAACGCTTCTCGGCTGCAACTCTTCCAAAAAACAAAAAGCCGTGCTTCAATGTTAGCCTTTGTTGGCAGGTAAAGAGCAGGATCTGGGGCATTTACAGCACACAGGGGAAAAAAGGCTCTGACCATTTTTAGCTTTTCGAACGCAGATACTGACAAGTTTGCATTGAATGTGGCAGCTGCTCAGATTTTGTGCCAATTTCTAAAGTCTTCAGCGTAGTCTGTGCTTTTACTTTTTACATTTTTTTTTCTAATGTAACGCGGCAGCAGCATGTTAGCTTTCAGCACATTTGAAATCTAATATGAAGCAAACACTTAAAAACTGAAACAAGTCACAGTCCAAACGGGCGGAAAAGATGATACAAATAATAATAATAATAATGGTAATTAATGGCGTTCATCGTCCATGCTCATGCCTTGATTTTAAAATAAATTTTTTGTCATCTTTCATGTCTGTTTGAAATGTAGTGACTCCAAATCAAAAAACATTACATATTTGTTTTTTATAAGCCTTTTTTTAGTCCTATATCTTTCTGATCTGAAAGTCCCCCGAAAAACTATTTGTTATCCCAGAGAATGGACTCAAAAGATCCGGACACACAATCAAAGACGTGAAATAACCACACGGTGGTTTTACATTTCCAAGGCTGGACTTGTTTTTAACCAGGGGGATCAGGGGGAGCTTTCTGTAATCTCTTTCTTTGACGTTTACTGTTAACATTAAAGTCGAGGTGAGGCTGTACACGAACCTTTTACTTACTGGGAAATTTTGAATAAGGCTATCTGACCAGAACATTATGAAACACCAGAAACAAACTGGCTTATTCCGGAATGTGCAATGTGCTGGCTTTGGTGTGAAAAGAAATGCTTATCGATCATATTCATCAATCAAATGTGTAACAGAGGTGCATTATTTAGAGAATAGAAAGTTTCCTCACGACATACTCAAGATACCCTTTCTGCTGTTATTTGACATATATGGTTAATTCGCTGTTTTTTTTTCTATTTTCTTCCAACAACTGGACGGTGAACCTCAGAAGTTTTCTTATTATATCTAAAAACATGTGGTTTTCCTTTAAAAAAAAAAAAAGGATCAAATAAACTCTGCTTGGTTATTCATAGTGAAAACTAGATGTTGTAATCTGTTCATCCTGCATCACAATCAGCCTCCTCAAAGTGAGATCTGAGCCAATGTTTCTGGTAATATCCTGTGGATCTCATAGCTTTTTTCTCTTTTGTGGTGAAAACTTGTGTATTTGGCCTCTTGAGTCGTTTACTTTAAATTGCTGATGTGTAGTTTAGCTTGATAAGTGTCCTCTCTAACTCTGTTTCCTTTTTACTAAAAAACCAAACAAAAAAACCCACCTGAACTTCTGTCATAACCAGCTGCCCCATGGCATCAGTGAAACTTGAGATATTTGTATTTTCCCATACTTTATAAAAGTGTCTATTGTCCAGTTGTCCAAATAAAATGGCATTTCTGTCTACTCTGTTCTCTGAAGACAGTTTTTGCTTTTTTATCAGTGTTGTTCATTTATTATTTCTATTTCCAAACTGAAAGAATCATACCTGCTTCCAGTGTGTGGTCCAATGTCTTTTCCATCCAGTTCTATGATGTCCTGAAAAGGAAAACGTATATTTAAAAAAAATGTTAGTGGATAAATAGATCAAATGTATTCAACATAAAGTAATAATGCATTTTGGATACATTCAAACGGCTCTGTTATTTGTTAAAATGTTTAACATTTTTCTTGTGCTTATGCTAATTTGACCTTTTCCCAGTATAAATGACATCACATTAAAATAGACAGTTAGCATTTCAGAAAAATTATATATACTACTATTATTTGTGAGGGCTAGAAATTTCTCGTTGTATACAAATGGGACAAGTTAAAGCGTCAGCCTAAGAAAACTGTGAGTAACATGGGACTGTGACGACTACGCACGGACACAATCCACAAGATGGCAGTGTAGGAAGTAAAGAGCGTCCGAGCTGTTAAAGGACTTACTGAAAAAGAAGAAGATATTCTGACAACTCTGAAAACGGTGGAAAAGCTGCCTGCATCATCCGCCGACCGAGCCAGGAGCTGACTGGAAGAAGCGGTGAAAAAAAAAATGGCGTTCACATTCGCGGCCTTTTGTTACATGCTCGCTCTGTTGCTCACGGCGGCGCTTATCTTTTTCGCTATCTGGCACGTAAGTACACCATTCGCGAGGACCGCGGGAAAAAGGTACCAAACGAGAGAGCCAGGAAGCCGTAGCCGGGGCTGGTCCTACAGCCCCAGCCTGCCCGTTAGCCGCATGTCAGGGACGGGTTTTGTTGGAGGACGCTGGCGGGAGTTTCTGGCAACGACTCGAAAGTGTAACCGAGCCGCACGAGCTGTTGCGCGTTCAATGCTTCGAATGCATGTTGGTGAATGAATGACGCTCACTTATTTTAAAGGCTAAAAGCTAGCCTTATAAACACGGGCACAATGTGTACACCTTTTAAAAAATAAAAACAAAGACGTGGTCACATAGCTCGTATGCTAATGTCCAGTGGCTTACTGTGGGACATCAATGTAAGCATGTCAAGCTCATCAAACCAATAAGCGTGGTTACGCTAATAACTAGCCAGCCAGCAAGCTAGCTAGCATGTAGCAGGCTAAGCTAACGATTTCCTCCAATCCGGGAGTGACGTGCCGTTGAGAGACTGAAGTCATGTGTTTACTGATAAACAACCATTAGGAGGACTTGGGTTGATAGAATCTGATATTGCAGATGCTGTGGTAAACGTCAGCATGTGACATTTCCGAATTTTTAAACAACCACCGCTGTACTGTCAGCATTGGCATTCGAATGACTTTGAACCATGTAGCCTTTTTTGCAAACCTTAACCCAGGATTGTCATTTATTAACACGTGAGGCTTAATTATGTAACAAAAAGGAGAACTGAAAAATTCCATTTATTCAAAAAAATACTAAGTAAAGCTCTATGTTATTAGTGAACTGGGGAGAAATTACATACAGATGATCTGCTGTCAGCTTCTTAAACTTTGATTAAAAAACAGATCTAATAATGAAGATCCCATACCAATGTCTTAATGCTTACTTTATGTAAACCTGGTTTTGCTTTGGTTAAATGGATAAATATTCATGTAAAGTTGATTTATGGATTGTAGTTTGTAAAGTTCCAGTGTGAGGTAATACATTGCATACACTTCAAAGGAGTTTCTTGTTCTCCATCGTTCTGATTTTTGGTCATTTGTCCTCCAGATAATAGCATTTGATGAGCTGAAGACTGACTACAAGAATCCTATAGATCAGTGTAACACTTTAAATCCGGTAAGTGACCCCCACTGTACCTCACAACCTCTTCTTCCTCTGTGACTGCATGCAGATGCGCTCTGTTCTAAGATCTTTGTTTTAATAGAACTTTATCCACCTTATTTGTCATTCTCTGCACTGTTTTGCTAAATAACCTGCCTCTTATTAATTCAGTGACCTTTCTTTATAAGCTTTTTTTCGTCAGCTATCAAACTAACGCTTTTTGTTTTTCCAATCTGCTTCCTTTTTCCTCCCTCCCCAACTTTCGTTTCTTATGTCTTTTAAATGGCAAAAAGACAGTTGAAAAGGTCAAAAAGATAAAAAGAGTCAAAATTGCTTTAAAGGTTTGTACAAATCTTTAAAATACCCGCTCAGTTCAACTCAGTCTGAAGTCTTGTCATTTTGCACGGTGAAGTGTTTGCAGATGTCTTTTCAGTTAACTAATTTAAGGCTCAAGGTTTTTTTGTTTGTTTTCCTTTTTGTTTTTCATTTATGTTGAACTGGGTCTTAACTCTACTATTGTCACACCTGTAAGCCCAACACCAGATTTTTTCTTCTTCCTGTAAGTGTTTATAAAGACCTTATATTTATTTAGTATCCCATCCACTAAAATAAACAGATAATTTGAACGTTTTTTAGTCTTTGAGCTGTTCTTATTAATAGTTTTTAGTAGCTCAAACAGCATATATATCAGAGTTGACGATAGTCTTCCAGATGAAACATCCATGGTAACTTACTGGCAGAGTATAGCTGTTAACTGAAAAGACTTGCAAATGCTCAAATCATGCATGATCTCTATTATAATCTACCCTTTGTTTGCATATATTGTTACGCCTTCCGGTACAGCGAAGTTCTCGGAGCTTGAGACAGTTTTAATGATAGTCCAACATCTTAGCCTGATGTGATCTTGGTAGAACAAAAGCTTTTGTTGAACCACTGACACTTTAAGCTTTGGGCTGTGGGTAAATGGGATTGACTTTTAAGGAGATTAAATCCGTTCTGGAGGGATGAATCGCTTCTGCAAACATGATTATAATCTCTTTTTTTCTTATTTTTTTTTCTTTTTGGGTGAGGAGGCTGCAGTTTAAGTCAACATTTAGCAGATTTAAGCTCCTGTATGTATGAGCTCAGCGTTGGCTCCGGCCTACATCACCTGTGGTTCAGAGCAGATGGCAGCACAATCCCAACACTTCCCAGCTCAGCATTGTTTAGGAACCACCGATTGGTTGGTAAATTCCATAGTAGGAGGAGTTATATCAGGCATGAAGCGGGGGGGGGGGAGGAAAGAATGCATTCCACTACCTTTAATCCACGATGGGCTCCACAGTCCAGTCTGCAGGTTTCTCCACCCCCAGCTCTTTTTTTTTTCCCATGCGTGGACCCCTTCAGCTCATCAGTTGTTGTGTATTTGGCAGCACAGTGCAGTGCAGGATTTTCAGCACGTCGCAGCCCTCTCCCGTCCTGCACCTACCCCACCCCCCCCACACCCGAACACGCCCCCTCACCTTTCCATCCGTGGGCTGTGGGTTTGCCTCCGCTCTTTCCCAATGCATGGCTTCCATGTGGCGCCTCCATCTGCCCCCTCTGAACCCCGCACCAGACCTGACCCCAGGCAGACCGCATCGCCGACGCCACCAGCGCTCGCAGCATGGCCCCCCCCCCCCCCCCCCGGGGGGCCCCCGGGGGGGGGGGGGGTTTTGGAGCCTTTTGGCCCCCCTCAAAAAAAAAAAAAAGAAAAAAAAAATCTCGAGCCAGTTTTTTGGATGGTTTTCCCCCTTACTTGTAGTCGTCAAACCTGATAATGCACGTCTGAGAAGCAGTGTGGGAAATTAACCCTCCCTATCCACTTGCAAGAATAAACAACAACCGGAGGAATAGGTGCTACCGCCAAACCAAGTGCTAAGTTTATCCCCCCCCCCCTCGGAGTTAGTGTGTGTATTTTTAGAGCTCTGCAGGTGGTAGGTCTTAATTTTTCCACCCTGTTTCACGTGTTCCCGATGGCGTCGGAGGACTGTGTATGTCACCCCCCCCTCCGGATGCCACACAGACCCAAACTACACCGCAGCAGTAATTACATACCTTGTGGCCCAGGTTGGGTCGTTCCAGGGGAGCTCACCTCTGTCTCGGACTTCTAAGCAGACCCCACGTTTGTTAAAGGCTCCGTAAACACCCTGTGTGTTTTGCCCAGAGAGCTGCTAGTCTGCGAGGAGCTGTAAAGCTGCGGCTTTCCATGCACACCTGAGCTGCGCTCTTTCCATAAGGCAGTCCTGTGTGGGCTGCTTAGATGTTCGTTATTCAATTTGACCCAATTAAAGGAATTGGGGAAAGGAAACTGACAGTGGGCAGAATTAAATGTCTTTTAAAAATGTTTTCCCTTGACTTCCTCTCTTCTCAGCTGGTGCTGCCAGAGTACCTCATCCATTTCTTCTTCTGCGTGATGTTCTTCTGCGCGGCCGAGTGGCTCACCCTCTTCCTCAACCTGCCGCTGCTGGCGTATCACGTGTGGAGGTGCGTATCCGAGACATGGAAAGGCCAAAGCGTTAAAAACAGTTTGACTTGTGAAATGTGGCTGAAGAGCTCACCGGGTTGTTCTCCTGTGGCGCTGCAGGTATATGAGCAGGCCGGTGATGAGCTGCCCGGGCCTGTACGACCCCACCACCATCATGAACGCAGACATCCTGGCGTACTGTCAAAAAGAGGGCTGGTGCAAACTGGCTTTCTACCTGCTGTCTTTCTTCTACTATCTCTACGGGTACGTTGCTTTTTTTTTTAAAAACACCCTGTCATGTTGAAACCTCTGATCCTTTTGCTCTGATAAAGATTCTGAACCTGGTTGCCTTTTTGTCATTGCAAACAGGATGATCTATGTTCTGGTGAGCTCCTAAGCCAGCCAATGACGGAAAAGGACCCGCACACACACACACACCGTAGACGACCAGATAATGCGATCCAGAGCTGGAAGGATGGACCTGCTGGAACTCAGCAACACAAGATGCCATTTCAAGAGGATGAACTTTCAACCCCCAGCCCACTTCCCCCCCCCTCTCTCTCTCACACACATCTATACACACAGCGCCATCCAGACAAAAACCTTTAGCCTCTTTTAAGACTGTATCCGGGTCGCAGCGTTCCTCTCACAGCACCACAGTTCAGCGTTTTTACGAGAGACAGGACAAACCTGAACAGGCAACTTTCTTTTTTTTTTTTAAATGCTTGGGATTGAAATAAAGATTTTTCATCATAATTTCCAACTCTTAAGTGTTTACAGGTTAGGTATGTTTTAAGGCGTGCGCTTATCTGTGATTTAGATCCTGAGCTTCAATGGCTGATTCATTATTATTCTTATCATCATCCCTGCCATGTTTCATTCCAGCACTTAAGTCAAACGGGGCGAACCGGACTTCTTTTTTTAAATGTAGTTTTTTGCCCCTTCATACTCGGGACAGAACATTCTGGAGCTGCTGGTGAGCTGAGGCACAGGGGTTATTATCACCTACTGAAACGGGTTGCACGCAGACGGCCGTCTGTTCGGCTCTTAAATTCTCCGATGTACCGTTTCCAGTCGAGACGTATCATGTAAAATCCCCGTCCAACCCTTGACCCAGACTGTAAAGTGTGCCCTGTGTTTCTGTAGAGTAGCCCCTCGCAGAGATTTATAAGGTAAAAGGTAGAATCAACAGTCCGGCGTCGTGAGCATAAAGAGGCGACTGTCCTTCACTTTCGGCCTCAGCTTCTGTAGCTCACTGCTGACGCGCCACTGTTGAATGAACCTTTTCTATTCTGACCTTATTTAGAAAAAGATCTCACCTCATTAGAGACACTTGAAGTTATTTATTACATGTTTTTTTTTCCCCTTGTTAAAAACATGATATCAAACAAACACTCCCCACATCAATGCTCATCTCCAAAATTGAGTTTTTAGTTTAGAGGCCTTTTTCTTGTTTTTTTTAGAATATTTATTGTCATTTTTAAACGGAAAAATTATCAGGGAAGATGACTTGGTCTTTCAATTACATTTTATGTATAAGGTCCCGTCACACTAAGAAAGAGATTGTTTGAATCTAAATAAAACTTTCCCACTCTGAAGTGTGGACTGGAGCGTTGTTGTGATGCTTTCATCATATCTTGGTTCCATTTAAGATATTCCAAAGAGCAGGAGATGGAACATTGCAGCTTTGAGAGAAAATGGTAATTGATTTATTACCTCTGCTGACCCACTGTGTAAATAAAGTTGAAGACCAAAACAACATTTAAATCATGACACTTCTGTACCTTTCTGTGTACCTTTGTGTAATCAAATCTTCCTAATAAAAACAGACACAGTAGAGCTAATGTAAAAGAAAAAAACATTCCACTTAAAGATACTGTGGACATAAAAATAAAATGTATAACTGTCTGATGGCAACATAGAAAGGCAGTTTGTTGTTGGTAATTAAACTTTTCTGAAAGATTTGGATTAAGAACCTGATCTGATCTGATTTTTTTTTTTTTTTTTTTAAAGACTTCAAGAAACAGATTATGTAAAAATACAGAATACTGCATTGCAAAAGTCTGAAGCCGCTCCTAAATGATCTATTTAGGTGGCCATAGTTATGTTTGTGAAAGTATTTCAGAAGTTTGCTTTGGCCATTGGTTACTTATCTTATTTTCAGTCCTTATTGGAAATGGTCTCTGCGGAAAAGCTGCCGTCAAGGAGTCGTTTTTAGGGAGGGAAGCAGGGTCAAAAAAGCTGAGCTCTGCAAAATATCCAGATGGAGGAATGAATCCTTCCTCTGAGCCAGACCTCAATATTACTAAAGCAGTGTGGGATCATCTGAAACGGCTCCAGAGTTTTGCAAAGCATGGCATCATACCGTTGCTACATAAAACATTCTTACCCGGGAGGAATATAACACAGCCTTTCAACCAAGACAAACACAAACCAGCATCAAGGATTCTGTGGATCAACAGAGGGCATATATTATTCTTTTTAAAGTGCGGCCTAAAGATTCTTACTCTAAAAAGACAAATCGCACACAAAGAGAAAATCACCAACTAGTGACAAAGTCTGAGGAGATTATACTGATGGCAGATGAACCAGGATCACCGAGACACTGAGCGCTCTTTTGAAACTTCTCTGCTCTCTTTGTAGGTGGCGTATCTGTCCCGAAACTCGTGAACAAAGTTGTATTGCTGTTGGAAGAATAGAAACATGTTCAAGAGACGCAGAAGGGCCCTGAGAACGAGCTTTGTTCATCAACAGATCAAAGAACCGGAAGAAGGGAACAATAAAAACTCAGGTGTTGTAAATAGGAATAAATTCACCTTTGTATGTCATTGTGTGATTAGAATCACTTTTGGAAAGAATGTAAAGTACCAAACACTGAGAACAAGCAGACAGGTAATTGCTCAAAGGGCAGTGTGTACGGATGATATAATCCGATATAATCGAAGCGTTATTGCTCCTTATTGTCTTGAACTGTTGTCAAATCTTAGCAGAAAAAATCTGCCATTAATGGAACTCATAGATCGGTTTGTACTAAAGAGACAAAACTGTGAAAGCCCCCCAGAAATGTCCTTTGGAATGGCAGTGAATGAGACGGTGGGGAAAGGCTCACCTTCAGCGTCTGTATTGCTCCTCCTCCTCGGTGCTCCCTGAGGATCTCGATGGCCTTGTTAGCCGTCATTGTTAATGAGAGCTGAAGCAGCAAACAGGCAGCGACTGTGTTGTGGGAAACAACCGCCATATGTCAAAGCACAATTTTACAAAAACAAAACAATCCTACTGGGAAATATTAAGGGCAAAGGAAAAGGGGATTGTTCTTACTCAAAGCGGATCGTCCCAGGCCTCCATAGCAGCTGAAAGTTAAGCAGAGGGAGAATAATGGAAGGAAAATAGAAAGAAAAAAAATACCATTAAATGCCGAAAGAGACTAAATTGTTCTGCAATGTAAGCAGAGGAGTCTGTAGTTAGATGCCATCTGGCACTTCATTCTGACTGAGGCGACGTTTAAAAAAGGTGCTTCTTTGCACCAGGGAGGGGGTTTAGACAGCGATGCCCTTTAAGAAGTGCACGGTTCAACTCATCCACACATGAGATGAGCTTCATACAAACAGCCTACTTGTGCTGCCAGGTGAGCAGCTTTATCAGCCCTCTAGGGGAGTTCAGAGCTTCTCAGTGGCCTCAGAGGCAGCAGTGAGAACTTTGCTGAGTTTACATCTTCTGCTTAAACAGCTCTTAGTTTTATCTACCATTTGTGTTCTAACCTCCTTAATTTCCTTGTTAAAACACAAAATATTCTCCATTTAAGTCTCTCTCTTTCTATCTATGTGTTTGTGTGTACGATTTGGTCAAGACCACACTAATGTCTGCGTCAGGGGAAGAAAAAAAAAAGGTTGTGCTGAAAAAACTTTATATTCTATAATGTTACCGTTAAGACTGAGACACAGGGAGAAACTCTACCCGCTAATTTTTATCCAAGATACAGGAGAGAAAGAGTTTAAAACTTCCCCTCGAGTTTATTTTGTTGTTCATGAGAAGGGACTGCGTTTTTTCCAACTCGTCCTCCCAGTTGTGATGTTTGCACTCACTGGATTACGGTCCTCCTGCTGCTCTGCAGGCTGAGCTGCAGCTCATCCAGGATCCGCCAGCACTGCTGCAGCTCCGGGGCCTCTCCGTCGGGGAAGGGCGTGTGGTGGACGGTGAGGCCCCGCTGCCGGTAGACCTCCAGCAGGGAGGGGACTCGGTACTTTTTCAACTCTCCTCGGGTGCAGAAAACAAACACGTCCTGCACCCCTTGGTTCTGGAGCTCATCTGTTCATGGCACAAGGAAGACATAAGAACACGGCACTGCACGAAGACTCAAGCTACTAGTGCAGTCTAAGTATCAAACACGATGGCAGAAGTAGTTGCAAATGAGTTCTGAATACGTGAACTTAAAGGAACAACAAACAGACTGGACAGTCGAGTTGAAAAAGAGATTCTGAAATTTCCTGGCCATCTTACCAACATCTCTCTGCAAACATCTGCGGATCTCTTTGTATTTACAGCCTAAAGTGAAAAAGTCAGGAGGAAAAATTAGTAATTTAATTGATAGTTAAATTAACAATGTTCCAACAAAAAGTTTCAGGTTTTAAGTTAATGTAACCTTACCTGGTAACGCACATATTCCAAGGTACTGTGAGCACTCGACAATGGACAGAGGCAACCTTCGAGCCAATCAAGAAGGCAAATTAGTAGATTTTACAAACGTACAAATAGAAGATACATGTTTTATCTCCAAAAACGGCATTACCAGGAAATCTGGAAGGGAGTCAGCAGCTCCTCACCCACCGCCTCATCTTCAGATGAAGAGTCAAACTCATTAGTTCTCATTTCTTCAAGCGAGCAGACACATGTGGAAGAATTGACATGTTTGTTTTGGGTTTACACTATACTGAGACTCTGCTGTTTGAAATAAGAAGAGTTTTGTCATATCATTTATTTGGCTATTTTAAAGTTTTTGCAACACACACACACGGATACATTCTAAAATGACAATATATTCTGAAAATAACTGCCCATCATGAAAATTGTTTAAGGTACACATTGATATAAATGTAAATTTGTTTAAACAGATAACGTCTGCTGAACCTGGGCCAACTCTAATGGAAGTCTCGCGTTATTTGGAAGAACGAGATTTAATTAGTTTACGCAGACTTAAACGTTCTAAATGCTCATTTGAACCGCACATTATCCTGAATTAAGTCAGGGAAGAAGTAGTTTATAGACCAACTAGTCTACTCTAACTCAAACATGCGATAGCCAGTTGTTTCACAGTATATAAAGAGTATAACATTTACAGAAAAAAAATGGCGAGGCAGCCTTTAATCGATGTCTGCGCAATTGATAGTTAAAACAAGCTAACTGTAATTGTGAAGATTAAAGGTCGAAAAAAGGGAGCAAAGATTATTAGTTCCCCTAATGGCTATCATACAATATAAAACTATAACTATAACTATACAAAACAAATGGGCAATTTCTTTATTCCTCACCGGCCACGCTCTTCTCAACTGTTTTGACAGCCCCTGGAACAGCTGCAACGATTTGAAAACGCTATGAAGTCCCCATCCAATCAGCGTCCAGTTGTCTCAACCACGCCCACAATGTTGCGCTTCATTTAAAACACAGAGTTACCAAGGAGGGCGGAGTGAGCAAAAAGATAATTGTTCACATGACATCTCAGAAACTAGATTTTTTTTTTAAAGAAAAAAAAAAGTTGACTGTGCTATTGTGCCTGTATTCACAGTATATACATATTCTTCACATCTATTATGTTTAGACATAAAACAAAGAGTTGTAGTTGTAACCTATTTTAATGCAATGGTGCGCTCGCTTTTTTAATACTGTATTTTTTGCTCACAATAGCAGTCCTTGTTTTTCTGCACTTCGTTTTGATTGGGTTTCATCCTTAAAGAAAACAAATAAAAATATGTCCTTTCCTTCCCGGAAAACACAATGAACAATAAAGGCAACGAAACCATCCAAATATGAGTCCTAAAGCATTTCCCCGATGAATCATCTCTGTGTGATCTGCTCGTGCAGCATCCAAATAGTTCATATCTCCACTTCCTCCCCGAGCGTCATGCAGGACGTCTGCTGTCGACACAGAGCAGCTCACAGCGAAAAACAAACCCCGCAACGCTGCAAGCGACTCAAAAGCAGCACACCACACCAGCGGAGAAACAAGTACATGGACAGATTTCGGGAGCTCTAAGTGGGGTAAGTTCACCTTATTTTTCCTTTCAAAATGGATTGCAAGATCACTGACATTGTAATTGAGTTTTCTCTTTTGTAGAATGTTAAAAGCAGTCTTTCAACCTAGAATAAAAACATAACTTCTAATTGACATTCAACCAAACTAAACGAGTTAAAATGCATGTCAGAGAAATTTTACAGTTTTTTGTCTTGTTTTTTTGCAATCATAACTATAACATTTTGCATATTGACCTTCTCTGAATTCTGCTGATCCCTGCCCATCCTTCTGTTAGCAGACTTATAAGGAGGGATCTTGGCTCCTGCAGCCATTTCCCCCGCAGGGCTGAGCTCTTTGGCTGGCTTGCCACTTCCTTAGCAGAGGGTCTGCTGGCAGGAGCAACATCTGAGCAGGTACCACACACGGTTGGAAAACGTAGAAGTCACTGTATTAGGTGGTAATGCTATTAAGGAATAACGGAGGACACGCGATTTGTAGATTTTCCCTCTCCTAGCTTGGATGATCTTGTTGTGCATATTAATTACTTTGTGTTTGCAAACTGGCTTATTTGTGTGTCTCTCTCTGCACAGGTCATGAAGCCTCAAGAGGCCGAGCTCGTCACTGAAATCTCCAAGGTAAAAAACCTCCCTCATCAACAAGCCTGGCTCTGCTATAAGGACGGTTTGCATCTGATTCTTAGCTCCTATTTGCTTCATTAGTGATTTACAGTAAACGGTCCTATCCAGTGTGCAAAAGTCACACCCAGGAATAAAAAGGCAGTCGAGTCCCAGTCTGATCTCATGTCAAAAGATGTGCGCCACTGATTTCTGTGGTGTATTCTTGTTGTGTTTGGTCCCTAGTTACAGTGCATGGTGACGGAGCTGAAGACGGGCTTCACCAGCGCCCTGCTGGAGCTCAGTCAGATCCAGCATGGGGACACCTTCCTGAGGGAGGAGCTGGAGGAGAACAGGAGGAGCTGTCAGAAAAAAGCCCTTCGCCTGGAGGCTCTGGTGGAGACTCTGAGGGTGAGGCTGAAAACAACCCAGCTGCGACTGTATTGCGACGGATCTCTCACCATCGGGTCGGGACGCCCAAACTAGTTTTAGAGCGCCGTGGCTGAAGCGGCTCTGATGTCATCACCTCACAGGAGGAACTCGGTGTGATGAGGTGCCAAGTCGTGCAGCTTTACAGCAACAGACAGAGCAGACCTCAGCAGGATGGGAAAAGCTCCTCAGCCAAACAAACACAAAGGTAACATTTCAGCTTCAATTGTGCTGCGCAAATAAGAAACCGGGAATATGATATCCGATTTTATGTGTGGTCCCCCAAATGCATTAGGAGTGCTATATTCTGCATTTCTTACTCTTATAGGTCACATTGGTGCATGGAGTATAGTAGACTATAGTAGACTGACATAATCTACCTTTTCCTTTTATTTTCTTTCAGTTCATTTCTTGTAATATTTAGTTGGCTTAGGAGAAACCATACTTTCCAAATTGATGTCAACATTTCCATCCAGGCATTGTTTTTTGTGATTTTTTTTGTAGTTCTTAACCCAGGTAAAATATTACATGGTAGAAAAGGTCATTAAGATCCAAACTTTGAATAACACAAAGAATAATGTGGTAAGCTAAGTAGATAAGAAGTATTCTATATGAATTTCATCAGCCGTTGTAGTATAAACATGTAAAGCCGAGAAAAATACCAATTCTGCTGGAATTCCCACGGCAATAATTTTTTTTAAAGCAAACAGTAAGCTTAACCACTCTCTGTTGGCCATGCAAGGGGCGGTTCTACAAACTACCCTCCTGTGGAGAGAGTTTGGGATGAGTTGGCTCACAGAGTGAAAGAAAGTGAAAAGCAGCTACAAGTTCAATTTTTGTAGTTTGGAGGCTTTTATCATTCAGGGTGTGGAGCCAAGTTGTGAACAGCCATCATGTGCACAGTGAACTTTTCAGTGAGGGATACTCCCCAGCTTTTGTGAGAGGTTACACACGTTAGCGTGTGTGGCTGTGCTGTGGGAACACGTAAGCCCTGCAGACAGACACGTTTCCATCTGTCCCTGTGCAGCAGAGACCCAGAGGAGGCGCTCTGCCAGCAGGCTCAGTGCGACTGTCCGGCTGCTCCGCCAGCCTGTCTGTCCAGAGGGAAACTGCTCCTTCACTGCTTCCTGCAGGGCCTCAAAGCCGGCCTCAGCGAGGGAACAGGTCAGCTCTGACATGTTTTTTTCTGCGAGCCGTGGCTCAATGTTGTCTTAGGCTGCCCCTAGAATCTCATCCCGCAGAGTGAAATGCAACTTGTCAAAAGTGGAGCCGCTGTGGCCCAAAAGCATGCGAGCGCAGTGTGGTGTGACCCGTTTTTACAGATGCTCGACATCAGGTGGCCATGCAGCTCCTGCACTCCGAGTGGGAGTACGTGTCCGCCCTGAACCAGCTGTACGACAAGTACAAGGTTCCCCCCGCTCACCAGGCCAGCCCCGAGCCATAGTAGGTACCTCTAAAACAGCTCGCAGCCCAGAGTGGGAGAAGCCGTGGGTTGAACGCGGCTTCTCTGTGATCCAGCCAGACGTACGTGAAGTTTGTGGAGCAGCTCCTGCAGCGGCACGTGCTTTTCAGGAACACCCTGCAGGAGCGCCTGTCCGCCGAGCACTGGAAATCTCTGGTCGGAGACATCCTGGTGCAGCTCATCGGCCAAAATGACGTGAGTCCTACTCCTGTCTTTTTTTGGGGGCAATTAAAAAACCCCCACAAAAATTCAGTCCATTGCAGCAAATGACTGAGGGGCATTCTGATCAGATGCATTCTGATTCGGGCTGTCCAGACAGCCTTTTCAGACATGTACCTGGGATATACCACTACCTTGGCGTCGTTCCTCTCGCTCGAGTTCAACAGACTGAACGAGACGGAGAAAAGTCACCAGACGCAGGTGTTTCCCACCACGCGCCGTCGACGTGAAACCAGTAACTGGTATTTATGGGAGAGCTGACATGGACGTGAATGCTTTCCGTCTGATCTTGCAGAGCAGCCAGATGGAGAAGGAGGAAATCAAACTGCTCTCCTTACTGTTGGCACCGGTGGCTCGCATACACAGCTACCTGAGCCACATCCAGGTGGGAATTCGGCCACATCCAGATGAATTACCTCGTTAATCTACATTTAATTTTAGCTTCTGATGGAATGCAACAATAAAAAAAAAAATTTTTTTTAAAAAGGGATTATTTCTAAACTAAAATTATAACCCAACCCCAAACTGACTATAATGCACATTACCGCTCTAGAACCTCTTGCAGTGGACCGGTAAGGAGCATCCTGACTGCAGCCTCTTGTTGGGAACTGAGCGGGGGCTGAGGACCATTTTGTCTCGTTGTCATCTAATCCTGGAGCAAGACGTTCGATGGGAGGAAGGAGAAGGACAAAAGTAAGAGAAGTAAAGATCTGTGCAAAATTCAGTTCTCCAAATATTATACAAGCGAAGTGTTTAGCAAAACCTGAGCAGACATGAATGGAATGTGGTGCTCCTCACCGTCACAGGCCAGGGAGCTGTGAACTCCACTGTATTAAACGACTCCAATTTAACCCTAGCCCCTCTGGTGCTGTGGCCGGTGCATCTTCTGCAAACTGCTGCGCGAGGGGCCAGCAGGGGAAAGGTGGCTCAGGCCCCTCTGATGACAGGTAGGTGTCGCCCTCTGCTGGCCCGAAAACAAAACAGCAGGCAGAAGTTGAATTTACCAGCAATGTCAGATGCCCCCCCAAAAAAAGAAAACAACTTTTCTCTTGCTTTTACTCATTTCATGCTTACTCGTCTTGTCGATGTACCCCCCCCCCCCCCTCCTCCTCCTCTCTGACAGGGATGGCCAGCAGACGGCCCGCCTCGCTAACGGAGCGGACTCGTCCCGCGGGCTGCGCCTGGAGTGCTGGTCCTGCAGCCCGGTGAGGCGGAAGGGCTGCGGGGCGGACCGAGCCGCCCAGAGCCAGCCGGCCCACGACTGCGGACACCCGTGCTGCTCCCTGCTGACCCCCGACGCCGCGGGCTGGGGGGAGAACAGCGACTCGGGCCAGGGGACGTTCAGGGAGCCCGCGGGGAGATGCGCCAATGGCAATGGGCTCGGAGCCCCCCACGCGACCCGCCACCGCCCGGAGGACTGCGACACCGACCGGGACGACACCTCCGCCTTCGACTACTCCTCCGTCAGCTCCTGCAGCCCGGACGGCACCCTGCGCAGGGACACGGTAGAGAGCAACAGCGGGGAGGAAGAGGAGGAGGAGGAGGAGGAGGACAGCCAGGTGCCGGTGCTGCTGAAGCCCTCCTACAGCCAGCAGCAGCAGTGCAAAGACGCGGCCAGAGAGCGGACTGTGTGTCTGAGGTGGCAGATCCCCAGGTTAACCCCCCACCCTCTTCTCAGGACCCCCACAGGCCCCTATGGGGACGGGACGCCGTGTCTAGTGAGCTCCTTCGGGAAGAGGTTAGTTAGCGTCAAGAAAGGGTCGCCTCCCCTCCACCCGAAAAGCGCATTCAGGCCCATCTGGGACGACCCGTCCAAGCAGGTTTGTAAGAGCGCGCGCGCGCCTCCTCCCACGTGACCGCAGGTGTTCTGTCAGATCAGCATTCGCCGTCCGACCATTGACGCATAGTCAATACGCATGCGCATACCGTCAGACTAGCATACGCGGATCACACGGTGTCAGGTCGGCATAAGAGCAGAACAAATTGCATACAGGAAGTCTAACAGGCTACTTTAATTATGCATCATATAATAAACAAAAAGTTTTCTTTGAATGTAAACACAAACTTACCAGAATAGCATACCGAAAGTCAAGTAGGCTAGTTTATTTTAGCGTGTTGTAATAAAAAGTTTTAGTCGGAGGTAAACAGAATTTAAAGCTAAACTGCTTTAAGCCTCTCTTTATGTGTTCGCTACTCCACAGCCTGACATTGCAGTTAACCTGTCAGATACTTAACGGTTAAGCGTATAATGATCTGACAGGCTTTCCCCTGGCCCGTGTAGTCGTGTTCTTTGAATCTGCCTCTCTCCGCCCCAGCAGGCAGATTCAGCTCCAGAGAAGGACAACAGACAAGGTTTCATACCGATTCAAGCTCCAGCGAGGCAAAACTTTCAAAGTTTCAACCCCAGCAGGGAAAACCTGAGGTGAGATGCTGCAAATAGCCGCCTTCCTTGTCCCGTCCTGCCTGTGTCAGGACTGAATGTGATCGGTTTGAATCCCCCCCCCTCCCTCCCTCCTCAGGCCGGGGTTGGCCCAGCAGCGGGAGACCCGTCCAGCAGCCGGGCTGTGGGACAGTGAGGACAGCGAAGGGCCATGCAGCACCGTCTGAACTCTGAACCCCCACCACACACACACACACACACACACACGAACACACACAAAACGGCGACGTTCCCACAAGCCTGGGAACAAGTTGGACTCACGTCATGGATCCGTTCCGTTAATTGTCCGCGACCTTGTCTGCACACCTCCCAAGAATATTGCGGATTACAATTTTGTTCCACTTGAAAGCCAATTTATGGAGTTAAACATTTCACCCAATTCTTTTCAAGTCAAGCTGAGAATAAATAAGGAGCTAAAATATGCTGCTTGAGAAAAAGAAACAAAACAAAGGATCGTTCAGAAGATTTAAATCTTGGAAATGCACTCCATTAGCATCCAGCTAGCTACATGTAAAGCTAAATGTAGGTAGCGGGTAACACTTCTTTCTATTATGTTACAAAATATTTCCTGAAGTTGAATTAAATCTGTCTCATAGGATATATTAGACTTGAATTATACCCCCATAACCACTCAATTTCTTCCAATAAGCTACTTGTCCCAAATAATGAAGAATGGCATCCCAATCTAGCCAAATACAATCAAAGCTAGCACCCATTAGTGTTCAATTGGTTCCAGCTGTACTAGAGGCCCCTTCAAAAAAAGTGTGATAAGAGCAAAGATATTCTTTTAATCAATATGTAATGTAATGTGTAGCCAGGGGCACAGAATATAGGGGAAAAAAGAGAGACTAGAGAAATTAGCCGAGTTGTGCTGCAGTGAATGAACACAACAGTAACCTGAAAAAAAGTTTTTTTTTTCCTCTTTCAAATATTCATTCAATTAGATAGTGGAATAGGACATTTTGGCTCATTTTTATGCTCATGGAGATAAATGTGTGCAGTTGGCAGAATTACAGAGATAGTTATATTACCTGAAAAAGAATAAAGACGCATCACACACCAGCAAAAAAAGGAAAACTCTAAAAAGCTTAAACCACTCACTTTGGAGTAGAAAAAACAACAAAAATCTAAATGTATGTAGTTATTCCACCATATAATCTGAAAGCAAGTTTTTAAAGTTTTAAAAAAAATATTCTACAACTAAAACAACCTCTGACTCAGTGCCTCACAGGCCCAAACTAGACCTGCAAGAGCTTGTATCAAATATAACACCAGTGGGAAAAATGACCAAGAATATAAAAAAGAAAAGACAAGAGTCAAGTGGAGGTCTGTCACAATGTTTCTGGGGCATTGGCATACTCTTGTAGGAAATAAAAAAGAAACAAGTGAGCACATTCAACAGCCTTCAACTGGACCATTAAAATGGATCCAGCTGAAACTCAGCACGCTTTGACTCTTCCCTCCAAGCTTTCTACTTGTACTATTCTGGATCTCTGAGGGAACTACCAAACATGTTTTCGCCAAAATGTTTTGATGGGATCCAAATAAGTTGGTAGTCAACTTCGATCTACTCTATTTCCTAAATCCTCTCACACTTTGGAGTAACTTAAGGTTTATACAGAAATACAAATGCTTGCTGCAGGTTATTTTAATACCAACTGTCAGAAATCAAATAAAACTTCTCTTTGAAACACTTCCTGAATTGTCTTTCTTTTAATAATTACAAATGTTCCCCCTTTACACTCACCCAAAAAAAAAACAAGAACGAATGAGAAATGAATAGTTCAGTACAAAATAAGACTGGGTGATTTATTAATCTCATCAAGACCATTAATACAAAGCAGTTAAAAGGCCACATACCATCAAATAAACCGACTGCTGGATCAAGATGTTACAGTGCCACCAGGAGGAAAACCAATCTTATTCTGTCGGGTATGGGGTTTAAAAAGAATAAACACACACACGCACGCACACACACACACGCACACAAAAACCCTTTGCAAGATTAACCCCATCAATACTGACATGGGAAAGTAAGAAATGGACAAAACATGAGCCGAAACAGTGAGGCATTGTCACGTCAAATATTGGTCGAAATCCTCCAAAACTTTCCCCTCCTCCCCCTTAAATCCTCGTTTGATCGATCCATGACCCCCCCCCCCCCTCTCCTGCTCTGAACAGAGCACGAGGAGGATGGCTGGACATATGCAGAAGCCAGGGGGTGGGGGTGTTTTTATTTTTATTAGAAAAAAGCTAAATGAAAAAGAAAAAAGGATGAATCTGCTCGTGGTGGTCGGACACCCTCCAGTGTCGTTTACGAACATCGGAGCCAGCAAAGGGTTGGTGGCGGCTGTTGGTGGGGTTGGATGGGTGGGGGGTAAAAGTGAGGTGGTAGACTTGTGTTTTGTTTGTTTTTTTCTGCCCTGATCCTCAGAGAGAGCGAGATCAGCAGCCGCACAGGTTCACTGCATTTACAAACATACCTGCGGCGGCCGCGGCTCTTCAACAGTACAGCCTAAAGTGCACAAAGTGTGTTTCTCCGAAAAAAAAAACAACTTAAAAATAACCCAAAAAGTCAAATTCTTCCACTACGCTCCAATCCTCTCAACCAAATATAAGCCTGCAGATATAGTCCACAGCAAGGTTTAATACAGCTCCTACCTTTAATGAGTGTAAGCATTAAAAAATCTTTGAAAAAGGGGAAAGGCCATTAGTAGGATGTACAAAGTGAAGAACATGTCTAAGTAAGTGCTTGGCATATTAAACTGGATTTTTTTTTTTCTTTTTTCTTCTCATTGCTTTAAAACACCTACGGGGGCGGGGAAGAAACCATGGCTTTCCTCAGTTAATACTCCCAGTCTTTCAACTGGAGATTGTCTGTAAGTAAGTTAGTGAGAGTGACCTCTTTATTTATTTTTTTATTTGGTTTTATTGTTTTGTCTAGTTTTTGTTTTTCTTCTCAAAATGACTTTTTTTTTTTAGCCGACCGTATCAGCATTCGCTTATTAGGAAATATCCGAACCGAGATGGGTGAGGGTACAATGGGACCGGGTAAAGGAGGGGGGTGGGGCGGGGTCTCTTTATACAAATTATTTAGTTAGTGTATACATGTTATATATACACAGTATGCACAAACATGTACAGTTTCATAGTGTATAGCTTTGTTCTAAACATTACATAGGCAACTTTATTTTTAAGCATTTTAGACACCATTTGCTTATTTCTGTAAAGTAGAAAACAAAATAAAAAGGCACATCTGAGCATGATGCATGAATGATTATTTCAGTCTTTCCAAAGAGAAACAAGAAGATTTCAAGCAGGGAAGAACAGAAAAAATAAGGAAGAGGAAGAAGTCAGATTAAAAAGTTCCTCTTTTTGATAGGCTTTAAGTAGTAGGAGCAGCCACTGCTGGCAGGTGGTGGTGGTGGTGGGGGGGGGGGGGGGCCCCGCGTTTGGTGCGAGGATGCGTGCTTCCAGTGCAAAGTTCCAATACAAACGACGAGGAGTTGGCCGTGGATGGGGAAAAGGAGGGGGGCGCTTTTGGAGAAGAGCACAGTGTCAGACAGCAGCGTCTTTAAGGGAATCGGTTAAGACATCAGAGCAGTAGAGGCGGGACTCCTCCTCCTCCTCCTCACCCCGCTTCCTGGTGCGGCTTCATATCATGGCAGACTTCCCTCTGTCCTGCACCGCGGAGGGGGGTCACGTGGCCCGATCCAAAAACCTGCTGCCTTCACCCAACCTGCATGTGCGAACCGAGTGCCCCCAGCTGCGCTCCCGTCTGGAGCCTGGGCTCAGAGGTCACCGCTGTTGGAGTTTTTTTTTTTTTTAAAAAGGCAACGCTTTGTGGCTGTGGAGTGGCTCCAGACCAGACACAGAATCAACAGTCAACACAGTTTGACTTGCTACTTTACAGTCACAGTGTACAGCTGAGATACAAGGTGGGGGACTCAGTGTGGCCTCCTTTGTGTACATGTTAGTGTCACATTTGCTAAAAAAAAAAAAAGAAGAAGAAGATCCCTTATCCCCCTGCATAAAATAAGACTTTGGCAACTGTTTGTGTTCAGTTAGTAGCAAAAGCGAATCAGTTCCCCTGCTCACACCCACCGTGAAAGGGACCGCGTCGGAGCTGGTCCTCGAGCGGAAAATCGACGATGTCAATGCCCAAAAGAAACAAAGCACAGTTGAGGCTACGAAGTCCAAGCCCCCGCCCTCCCTCGACCTCCCCCCTCCCCACCCTGGGGACGGAGGGGAGAGCCGTGGGGTGAGTCGGAGTGTGACGGGTGAGAGCCTCTGGCGGAAGCGGGCGGCCCCACTCCTCACAGACACAAATGCTCCTGGTGGTCTGGTGGCTGGCACGCCGGTGCGGGGGTTTCTTTTCTCGTTGGCACAGGAGGTTTATGATGGAGGCGGAGCTACTGATCCCCTGAGAGGCATAGCAGGCGTGGCGGCGGGTGCAGGTGTGGGCAGGTGCTGAGCAGTGTTGTTCGTTCAGATCAGTAGCTCTGAGTCAAGCGGTGTTTTTCCGGGTTGCATTTTGGTGTTTGAGGGGCGAGGGGCAGCCTTCACTGGCTGCTGTCGGCGTTCTCCACCAACGAGAGGCCCTGTAGCGGCGGCTGCATCGCCTCCCTTTTGTATGTCTTTGGTGGGAGTTTGGGGAGCTGTGGGCTGGAGTTGTGGCGCGGGGGCACTGGCGGGGCGGTGATGGGGACGGGGCAGAGGCTGTTCTGGCTGGCGCTGAGCGGGCAGCTCCGCCGGGGCACGCGGGGGGAGGGTGTGCTGGGAGGGGTGTTGGGGGAGCTGGGGGAGCTGCCAAAGTCCCAGTGGTATCGGCCCACGGGCGACGGCTGCATGTTGACCGGGTAGTTGATGAAGATCTCCGGGGGCCGCTGGGGGACGGGGGGCGGCGTGTCGGGGAGGGGATCTCTGGGGGGAGGAGGAGGAGGGCTGGGCAGGGGTCCGTCAGCGGGGGGGCCGTTGTAGAGCGGCGGGCGAGGCTGGTTCCTGGGCAGAGGCGGGGGCAGCCGGGGAGGGATGGCCGGAGGGCAGTCAGACCTGGAGCCGAGCTGAACCACAGACAGAAGATGAGATACAAAGAGGGCGAGAAGATTAAATCACGTAGTTTATTCACACTCCAAACAATAAAATATATACCGGTACATAACATTTTTTTAAACATCTCTTACTGACTTTAAGCTTAACCAGACATAACTTAATGTCATCTCTTTGCCTTGGCTTTTCAGCAGAATTATTTCAAAGCGATGAACGTGAGGTGAGGCTTTGCCCACATGCGGTTCCACCAGAGCAGTTTTCTTACTTTTGCTTCAGACAAGGCGTCTTTCCTTCGAGGAGGCAAAGGAGGCGGCTTCAAGTCATCACCCAGCTGGTGCAGGCTGCCACAGGAGACCGACTGGAACTCTGGGGGGAGAAAAAAGAGCAGTGAGGCAAAGGGTGAAAAAAAATTATATCATGATAAATAGCATATGTCAAATTTTAGCTTTAGCTTTTTTCCCAGGAAAATGTACAACTTGAGTGAAAGAAATAGTCTACAGTGTCAGTAAGCGAGTGGAAATTGCCACACTCACTTGAAGGTGGCAGAAGAACCGGAACAAATATGGAGTTACAGCCTGTAAAATGAAGGCAAAAGGGTTACTTCACAGAAAGTTTTCAGCCCACTGATGAAACTGAAGACCTCCGCCTCTCTCTATGTGCAGCTACAGGATTATTCTTTAACCCCAACGCACACGGAGCCATATGCAATAAACGCTAGCTGCTATTGTCCATGTCTCTAGGGTGAATCGGGGAACTTTTCAGCTCAACTCACTGCTGTAGGAGCTGCTGAGGTCGTGATCCATGAACACCGAGCTGAGGTCGGAAGAGGCCGACTGAGGTGGCGTGGGCGTGTTGGGGGAGGTGGGCACTGAGGCGGACATGGACGTGTCCAGCTCGGCCTCGGCGATGCTGCGGAAGGCGATCTTCTGCGGGGGCTCCCTCTCCAGGGGAACTGGGTGACCCTTCAGGGTGCCAGAGGTAGAGGTTCGCACAGGCCGGATCCCCGGGGATTTCAGAGTGTACGTGGTTTTCCTGGGCTGGGGGGGGAGAAGGATGATTGCCATCAGTTTAAAGTGGCTCCCAATGCAAAATACTCCCAGAGGTGGGTTTTTTTTTTTAAAATTCATTATTGCCCTTTATCCGTCTAACCCCAGAAAACGGTCGAAATGACACCTGCTGTGAAGTTTCCTGACGACAACACAGCTAAGTCTCGAAGCCGATCAAAACCTATCCCAGTTTCAAACGCCAGAGCGAATCCACTTACAAATCGGGCAGCCTGCTTGCCGTGCCGAGGCTCGATTTCCAAAGAGGTTTTGAACAAGTAGTCAGAAAACTCCTTCTCGCTCATGCTGCCCATCGGGTTCAGGTTCTCGAAGAACCTCTGAGCAAAACAAGACAAGAAGGATTCGAGATGAGCGTGAACGGATGGAGCCTGCTAACAGATGTTAGAAAGCAAGCGGCTCTCACCCTGATGTCGGGCTCCACCTTCAGACAGTAGGGCTGGTTCTGATACTGCTGGATCTCTCCGGTGATTTCAGCCACTTTCCTCCTCTTGCTGAAGTTAATCAGATCCTTACCTTGGCGTCTGAGGAAGTCAGGGTTCCCCTCCTCTGTCTTCAGGATGTTGGTTAAATAAATACCTGAGGAAGAAAGATTTTTTTTGGTGCATAACCATATTTCTCAGCTTCTCATTTTCCTCGAAGAATCCTTTGTCACTAATGGGGGCAAGCTAGATTGAAAGGTTTTGTGATAAACAGAGGTGACGAACAATGATAGAACTCAAAGATAAGACGGGTTTGAACAAATACTAAGTACAGTCACAGCGTGCAGGACTTACCAAAGAAAGGCACACAGGGCGGGTTTATTGACTTTAGTTTAGCCAAGTATTTCTTAAAATGGTCTTGGCTGAGCTCTACGGCCTCTTCCAGGATTTTCCTTTTCCTTTCTGGTATTGCCTGTTGAGGAGCAGAGGGGAAGAAGATTCACTTAAACTATGAAAAAAACTACGAAACAAAACATCAGCTTCTTCCAGCGTTTTCTGTCTGAGTCCCTCAGATTCCTAATTAAGGCCAAATGCTTTTTTATGTTTTCTAGACACATAAGTTTAAAACGAGCAACTGACATCACCCAGGAAAAACTCGTCTGATGGAAATAGACAGGACAAAAAGAAAACATGTTTTTTAGCTCCTGTTGGTGTAACAACATAGTAATAATGAAAATATCACACGTTAGCTATTGTAAGGAGCTGGAGTGATAAGACAAAACACTTAAAAGTAAACATAGTTCCCTCCCCTCTCCCGTTCATCATTCCCCTCACCTCAAAGGTGTGGTCTAACCTATAGACTGGGACAGAGTTGACGGCGCTGACAACCTCCAGCACGCCGTTGAAGTTGTTGAGCTCCTGGAAAACCTGGAGGATCTCTATGACCCGTGTTAACACGGCCACCCTCTCCTCCAGGTTGGACATCTCCACAATGCACCTGCACACACACCAACGCAGTCAGGCTTAATTTATCTAAGAAATGGAAAAGCGGGGTGCAGATTTTCCCTTCCCGCGAGCGACGCTACTTACTTCTCAAACCACAGGGTCAGGTTGGTGGTGTGGCGGATCATGCGGAGCAAGTTCGGCGAGTTATTTTCTTTGTCCTCTTTGGTCCAGACGCTGCCGACCAATTCAGACGGTCGGACGGCTCTTTGGATGGATAACAGATGAATAAATCGAAGGTCTCGGCGTGTTTTGAGTGCAGGAAAATCAATAACTCAACACAATGACTTGCACCTCTGGTCCTTCATATGCGACTCACCTGTAGAACTCAGACTCAAGAAGCGTCAGCTGGCGGGCAATCTCTATGGGGTGAAGGGTCATGAGATCGAACAGTTCCACTTGACTTGCTTTGCAGATGTGCCACTCGATGGGAGGAGGCAAACTCTCAAATGTGATGTTGGGACTAACGCCGTTTGACTGGGTCTGCAGCTTTCTCCTGATAATCTTATTGATGGACTCGACCCACTTTCTCATGGACTTGCCTGAAAATAAAAAAATTAAAAAGCGTCATTCAAACATGTCTAACGTGGCTACCTGTTTGTGTTGAAGTTACACTTGTAAAAATCTCCATTTGACTCGAGTCGACGACTTCTATTGTCCCACTCCAAGTGAGATGTCCTCAAATGTGGTGTGGCTCGGGGGAAAAGCGCTCCAAGGTATTTACAGCCAAACACCATTAAAATCATGCCACAGGTGTACTGTACTGTAATGTACTGGTTTGTGTTACCCACATCTCGGTGTTATGCAAACAGTTGAAGATGTGTTGTCATATCTGTCAAATAACCAATAAGTTCATGTTTTGCTCTTTGGATGCAGTATTTTTTTATTTATTCTATCAATAATAACAACTTTACTATTGCAAAAATAAATTAATTGGTAGCTAAAGAACAACTCTTCATATTCCCCACATTGCATTATGTTTTAATCTTATGGAACAACTCAGATCATTGAAGGAAAGAAAAAGTAATGCAATAAAAGTGTAATAAATATGCTGAATGAAAGTTCTCCTTTCTCACATGAATGCCAGGAGTGGCTGGTGTTTATGGACTTTTAGGGATCTTACAGCGCAAAAGAATTTAATAACTGACCTCGGAGTTGTATTTTGCTGGTGATGTAATCCTCCAACCGACTTATGAGCTCTGAATCGTTCTCAAAGTCGTAGAAATGATGCTCGACCCACTGGCGTAGAACGTTGAGGACTCTGGGGAGAATGAATGACACATATCCATTATTACACACAAATGTTCTATTGCTGACATTTACTAAACTAAAAAGTATCTTAAAAACAGAGAAGCTGTTGTTTTTTTTTCCGAAAGGCAAAATTGCGTGTGCAGAATTACTTTGATATGTTTTGAGTGTCTTGGTTTTAAAATCAAATTGGTGAAAGTAAAACGGTATACAAAGTGAACTACTCTTTTTTTTCGGTTTCTGCACCTTTCCTTTTAATGGTTTTACTGCAGCTGCCCTTCACAGAGAGGCTCTCGGGTTTCACTGGTACTTACACAATTACACCTTATAAGGATACAAATGCTATAGTAACACAAAGAAATTCTGTATCACAGTTGGAACATTCAGGCCCTAAATGGAGAGTGTGGAACAGAGAGAGGGAAAACAGACACTGACTCTGACTCGTTTTCTGTTATTTTCTACCACTGCTTTTCAGAGTACATTAAAATCAAATGAAGCATCTCTCAGAACAACTGATCACTTCATTCTGATTTGTTCGGAGGTAGTTTTCATTGGAGCTCTGTCCTTCGCAGAGTCCAGCAAGTCAGAGAGCGCACTCGTTGGCTGGTTGTCGTACCTGAGTTGGACGGGCTGTACGTATTCCTTTCTAAACCTCTGTAGCTCTGCCGCCATCAGCTGGTCGTCGTTCCAGACAGCCTCCCGATCTTCCTCGATTGGCTTTGGCTCAGGGATCTCAATCCTGCAACAGAGATTTTTTCAAAAACAGAATCAAAGGAAGGGCGCAGCAGCAGAAATGCGGGACGCCGAGTGAACGCTCGCTTTGGGAAAGTTTACCTCTCCATGAGCAGGATGAGGAACTCCTTTGGCGTGCAGAATGATCGGTAGGTGGTGAGAAATGTGCGCACAAAGTTGGGATCTACAAAAGATCAAATGCATGTTAAAACAAGTTCCTAACCAGACGTGAAGTGAAAAGGTTCTTTGTGCCTTCCTGCAGAAGCTTACCAGCATACATGTGGTAGGTGAGCCTCTCTATGAGCTTAACCACTGTGCCAGCCTTGATGATGGGGATGCCAGTTTTGCTCTGCACTTTGTCCTCAAACACGATATTCTCCTCAGAGTCCTGCACAGCAAACCTGTAAACCTCCGGCGAAGGCAGCCGCAGCGGATGTTCCTGCTCCTCCGTTTGCAGCACCGTGTCCAACATCCGATCCAAAGTGGAGCGGTACTGAAGGGTCACCAGCGCTTCCATCCACGCTGCCTTCTCCTCTGCTGTCCGTGCGCAGAAAACCGCGCAGACCTCGTCTTTGCCTATCAGTTCGAAAGCGCAGCGCAGGTCCGCCGAGTCCTCGCGGTCCACGATGCGGACCTTCCTGAGCACAAACTTCTCCTTCAGGCGGTATTCTGCCCCGCTGCCTGACCCCGGGAGCCGTGAACTCTGGTTGGCCTTGCAGCTGATCATCAGGCCGTCAAACAGGAAGTTGTGTCTCTCGTGTTTGGCACCCGCTCGTACGAGAGGCCCCTCCATGATGAACTGGCTGCAGCACTGGCCGATGTCCTTCCCCTCCCAGCCGTCGATGCTTTTCTGGATCTCGTTCATGCGCTTGATGGCGAGCTGTTTGCTACGAGTCTGCCTGCTGTACAGGCGGGACAGGGGCTCACTGTGAGGGGAAGCGCAAAGCAGTGGTCAACAAGGAGAAACAGAAGGGGGGCAACAATGCTTCTCATCAGCCGGTGCTGGATGGTGGGAGTACCATGGTTTACGGCGAGGCTGGTGCTTGGCATAGATCCGCTCGACGCTGGACTGAAGGTTAAGCAGAGCCGTGATCGCCTGTTTCAGACACTCTCGGTCGTCTTGGACTTCACTGTGCTCCTGAAGTTGCTGTAAATGAGCCAAAAAATGTGTCATATCTCTGTGCTATACGATGTTAACCAAGACACTATTAATTAATTCATCAAAGCATTATCTTGTTAAAGGAATGACATTCAGAGCATTCAGAGGCTAAGAGCGACAACACATTCTCCACAAAAAAAAAAAAAAAAAACAGATGTGCAGATTTCACTCCTGTTATTGACTACAACAATCCATTTATCAACGTATACCTGCAGCAGGTCAAAGTAGTGCATACAGTGGTACACTGGCACCATCATCAACTGGGGGAGGACATACTGGACAGCTTCTTTAAAGCCCTCTGGAGTCGACTGGAGAGGAAAAGAAAAGACAAAGCAGTTGGTGATAAACTAGCACAGAACATTAAGGAACGCTGTAAAAAACAAACAAATAATTGAAAAAAAAGGGGAAATCGCATTCTTAAGCCTACCGATATCAAAAGCCTTTTAAATTGAGTAAGAATAGCACAATCTAATTTAACGTCAACGTTTGTCCTTTGTTTTTGATTTTCAATTGAATTCTGTGTGTTATGTCATGTTTACTGCCTTGTGGTTCCAGTGGGAGTCATAGTATAGGAGCCAGATCTATGAAGCTTTATTTGCTTGAGATCATGAAAGAAAGAACACATTGCAATTTAGAAATACTCTAAATTAATTTTAAAAAAAGAGAGAGAAGCTGACGCCAAAAGCAAACATCCCTGTTTCTGTTTTAAACTGTGAAGCTGGTGCAAGCAAGAGGCTACAAAGAGTGGAAAAAGCAGTTGACCGGTAAAGCGTCAGGGTAACTGGAGGGGCGGGGTAGGGGATCATAGTATCCACTTTAATCTCCAGATCCCCAGATAGACGACTCAGAATCAATATGCTAGTACTCAGACTCCACAGCATCGGCCAAAGTGTCTGCGTAGGGGGATGGAGCGCGCGCGGGGGGGGGGGAGACTGATGCCCATGGAAAAGACAGACATCAGCGGGCCTGACGCACACTGATGGACATCACAGGAACAATGACCTAAGTTTAGATGGTGTTATTGATACGTCGGTATCCTGAGGGCTTAGAAGTCGTCCATGCACATTAGCACTATGAATTAAGAGACTGGGAGCAAGCTCAATGCCGGTTGTAATACAAGACCAGGGTGGAATTTTACTTTTACTGACCTTTCTTTGTCATAGTTACATAACCTCCCATAAAGTGGGTTATACGTCCCAGAGGGGCTCTAGTTAAGCATATCCAGATTTGATCCACTTACTATTTTGAACAAAACCATAAAAAGTTGACGTTTTGGCCATCTGAGATGTCAAAGTCAAGTGTCACAGGTGCGTGCATCACTGTGTCTGTAACCTGAAGCGCAACACAAAGCGGTGGTTGTACAGTACACACAGGCTCCAAGTAAAACATGTTTCCACTTCACAGACGTAGGGGCGCAGCTCTTTGCCATCTTAATTTACAGCTTATTTTCAACATGAAATGCCTCGGGGCCATCTGCCCCCCCTCCCACCTCTCCTCCCTCCCTCCCCTTCCCCGAGAGAAAAATGGCCCGCAGCGGTGGCTGCCTGTTCTATTTTTAAAAGCCGATGCAATTTACCCACAATACCAGACAGCGCAGAGTGCAGGGGGCTGAGTGCTCGACAGACACATCTATCTGAGCGAGGGGGGGGGGGGAGGGAGCGAGGCAGCCAGTCAAGAATGACGGAGGGATAAAGATGAGGCGCATGCAAAGACACAAAAGCTTTCGGGACGCAACGACGTGGTTTCAACCACGTTTCAGCACGACGAGCCACGCGTGAGAGTGTCCACGTCCCAGCTTGTGTTTGTACAAAGAGGGTGCAGAGACGGGAGTCCCCTGATGCTCAACTGCCATTACGTCACCCACCACTGGGACCCACTGATGATCAGACCGCACACGCGCACACCTTGGTGTTCTGCCGCATGGGCAAATGGGTTTACAAAATCCATCATAGCTGACGGATTAATGCCCAAAATAATTCCTCTTCTCAGTCATCTGGGAATTCCAATGTCTCTGTATGAAAACCTACAGGGAATCATTTGAACGAGTTTCACTTTCCGAATAATACGTTTACTGAGTATTTGTTCACTTTAGATTTTTGTGAGTAAATGTTAATGTAAAAATATTACTAATCACTAAATACATTCTTGATTAAGAAATAGCCTAGAGTGAAAACTGTCCACGGAACTTTCTCCAACAAACCAAAACCTCCCTATCATCCGCATTGTCATTTAAAAGCTGATGTTCTTTTAGCAACCATAAAAACAACCAACTTAGAACATTGTTATGATTACATTTTTTTGTTGAATGGACTGCAAGTAAAAAAAAAATGCATAGTGGTAAATCACATAGAGCCCATATGTAGCCGTTTCTTTTCTTTCTTTTCTTTTTTTAAATGAGGTTTCACATATGGTGTACAAATAAACCTGTATTTTTAACTCCTGTGCTTTTTCTCTCCCTCTCTCACACACAATGAGCATATAAAAACAAACACTGAGTGTGAGTATTCATGGGATAGAGGCAGCAGTGTTGATCTAACTGGGGTTAGACTGCTGGTTCTCGAGTAAACACAGTGAGGCCTCAACCTGCGTTGCAGTGTGGTGCCGTACGGTATTGCCCCGCCTGCTTTTGACTTTTCCCGGCACAAGCAGTTTGAAAGGAAAAGGGGGTGTGTGACCCCTCCAACGTGGACGGTATGAAAAACTGGGCACTGGAAACGGGTGTTCAAAAGCTTGAGTAAAAAGGAGAGCAGAGTAAGCGGCCCGTGGTGCTAATGGGTGCGCGGCCCTGATGCTGCTTCGGCCGCTCTTCGGCCTGAGAAAACACCAGCGAACATTTCATCTTCAAAGGCTGCCAGACTGCACCCCGCCGAGTCTAATTCAATGCTGCTCTTGTGAGGAATGTCCAAATAAAACAAAACAGCGGCGGAGAATAAAGTGTACACAGGACGCTGAAATATGTCATGACATGCCCTAAAATGATATTGAGAGGAATTCCACCCCGGCACAAAGGTTAACTTCAAAGCAAAACAGGAACAAATGCTCGCACGCTGTTTGGGTGGCGTGAACACAACAAACGACTTCTTTGCACCTTGGCATTACAGAGATATTCTTAGAATTGGAAGAATTACTGGTGAAATGTTAGATGTAGCAGCCTGGATTTTTTCAGAAAATGATCATTAAAAGTTGCAAAGTCACGTAGAGTCTTCGTAACCTTTTTGCTTTTGCTCACCTGGAAGTGGACGCTAACTGCTGGCCGTGCCATCAGGTTGTTGAAGTGCTGGTGAAAATTCCTGCTGAGGATATCCTGGGACAAGGTCTCATAGGGGTCAAACGCCTGCTCCTAGTCACAAAAACATGCAGAAATAGTTGTTAATCTTAAAAATAACACTGCTGCCTAATGGTTTTAGTACCACTAGGTCCAGTTTAGTGAAAATACAACACTCACATTCAGAGTATTTTTTAGATTTGGAAGAAAAAAATATCTATTTATATAGTCAAAAGAAAAGAAACGTGACAAAACCGGTTTCTGGAATAATGCAGATTCCATCGCAAAAAAAAAATGAAAAAACGAGTGCACATTTTCACGTTGAACTCGTGAGGCTTGAGCTACCTCTGCCAGGTCTTCAAAGCAGCTGCCAACCAGCGGATGAGGGCTGCCATCGGCGGTCATCTCCACGGCGTCCTCGATCAGGCCCAGGAGCTTCACCGTCAGCTCGTGGATGTCCAAGATGTTACTGAAGATCACCTCCACATCCTGCAATGACAGTCCAGTAACTCTTTACGGCGCTGGTGTGAGGGGACAAGCGGTGGGCTCTCAGGTTTGCCACAGCCATTCTAAAGGCATCAGGCATCAGGCAAGGCAGCGAAAGGCGGCTCTCAACAGCGAGATACGTCTCGAGTCCCTTTCGTGCACAAACATGTTTATGATTGCACCCAGGGATCCCCAGGCAAAAGAAAAGGATGATTAATCTCTTTCCACTGGACATTTCACAAATGGCTGGTATGTGTGGAATTTGTGGCCGGCAGCTGTGCGGCCTCTGCCATTTCTGCCAATCACACAGACACAAATCACTGCTGCCATTCATGTATTTCTACCCAAGTCTTTTTTTTTTTCCCCTCTCAAATATAACAGCACCAAGTTGCATGCTTTGCAGGAAGACAACTCCACGTCATTATAGTGAAACATGATCGGAGTAGAGAAAAAAAAAAAACTTGACAGACACTGAGATAAATGGGAGGACCACCAGACGTGTACGTTTAGCTATAGGTGCGGTAATGTCCTGTCATCCTGTACTGGGTTTGCAGAACCGTGCACGTGAACAGCGCTGTTAGCTTTTTCCTCGACTTCTCTGTGAACGCTGGACCTACCAACTCTGCATAGACTGCTGGAGTGATGCAAAGCTGCTTGCACACAGTTTCATAACTTCCTTCCTCATATCTTTTCTTCATTCTCTGTTCCATTTCCCGATAATCTGTTTTTATTATAGGTTATTCTTTGCATTTCTTGTAACAAAAATAGAAAACCCTCATTAAGTCAGAGTGGACAATATATCTACCTACGGCTATTTTTTTCAATATAAAAAGAATTAACAGACAGAGTTATTATAAATGCAATGGCATGATAAAACAATTGGAAGGAAAATTTTAATTTATAGTTCAAGGGGACAACTGTGGCTCAGCTAGACGTTGTTTCTTTTTCAAATGACAGATTTTTAATGTCCACCAATAAATTCCCTAAAAGATGGTGCATTGCAAACAGAGGTGTTGCTTGCTCAGTTTGCATGCCGATAGTTTCCTTGTGAGAATCTGCTCCACAGAACAACAACGCCATCCCCTCTCCAAAGGAAATCAGGCAAAAGGGAACTCTGAAATAGTAGGGAGCGCTCACCGCCTGCTTGAGCCTGAGAAGGAGATCAGCCCTGTCATTATTTGACTATAACACTTTCTTGACATCTCTTGAGTAATTTCACATTATGCTGCGTTTCAACAGACATAATTGAGGTTATTCCGGCGGGAGCTGCAGATGTCGTTCCTGTCTCAACTTAATTACATGTTCTGCATTCCTCTGGGCCTCACAAAGGTTTGTGCTCCTCACCAAAATGATACCACACTTCACCCAGCCCAAAGTGTGCAAAAGCAAAAGCGACCCACCAAGCTCAAACTTTCCAGCTACTTCTTCCAAATGTACAGGCACACTCTTCAATTCGCTTTCATTTGACTGTGCTGTAGACCTACATTTGAGGGGGAATTTTAACTCCTGTGACACACAGGACATTGTTGTTCCTCTAAGGAATGGAGGGCACTGTCCAATCACAGCGCTGCTTAATGTAGGAGAGTGTTTGGGTCGTGGTTATTTTACATGCAACCTGACTGACACAAAAACAACAGAAAAATCTAACTAGGGATTTCAGCCGGCTCAGAGATGCTGATTACCTTTTAGCTGATTATGGAGTTTCAGTAGTAATCACGCTGTAATCTCGCTGTGATTTGATTGTAATAAGCTGGATTTGAAGCGTTTTCAGCACAAGAGTGTAACTATTCATCATTTTTAAATGAATTGAGCCTTTAGAAAGAGCCTGCGGGCGGATATTGATGTTCTACTTCATTTTTAACTAAGTGAAGATAATTTGGGCAATTAGGTTCCTACCGTGACAACACGGCAAGGAACTGGTTCCACACAGAATGCACCCAACCGACAAACTCATACTGTATGATATTATTGTTTAAACATGCAGCCGCTGTAATTACTGTAGGGTAATTAACTAGTGTGGACTTATGGGATGTGTAACTGGGTTAAACTCTTTTTGAATAATCGGGAAACGTGCGGGAAAGCTGATTTTGGTTACGTGTTGTGTATATTTACATGTTATACGAGTCCTGAGTCCAAAGCAAAGTCTCCACGGGGATAATGCAAAGTGGGATAGGGCAACACCAAAAACGTTTGGAGCGTTTCAAACTGACCTGGGCTGTAAAGACTTTTGGACAGTTGGACAGGAAGTGTTGCCGGAACACTTTGATGATGAGGTCGAGCTCTCGCAGGTACTGCCGCTCCTCTGCGATTTCGAGCCTCACCAGGTCGTCGTACGTGAGCTCCCCAGAGGAGGACGGCTCCTCGGGGCACTGCGACATCAGGCCGATGTCCTCATCCTGCTCGAACATGTCCATCAACACCTAAATGCAGACACCGGCAACATCCCATCAGTCAACCCAATCCGAGGCAAGTCCGCCTCTCCTCCTGCTGAAGACAACTGAAGGACCCTCACTTTGTCCGCGCACATGGACACCTTTATGTCCTGCTGGCTGATTTCATAGTGCCGAATGTTGCCGACGTAGTTGCCTGCCAGTTTGAGTATATCTGCCGATATGTATTCAAGCACTGCCACGATGTACAGGGAAACGTGGTAGTCTACTTTGTAGCCCAACACCTCCTGGTGAGAGAAAAGGCAGAAGGAAAACGATTCATGCACGACAATATGACGGAGCCTCAATCACAAAGCTGTCACAACTCAACGCAAACACAGACTAGTAATTCAAAGCACCTGGAAGAGACAGAGAAAAAGACGTTACCTTGAGCAACGGATGTATTTTGTCCACAGGTAGGAGTAAGGGGTTTCTCCTCTTTCGTTTCTCTATAGCTGCCTGGGCATCAGCGATTGCCCACTTATCAATAGGGTGGGGGAAAGTCTTCTGGACACGTTCCTGTAGAGGGAAGAGGGGAAAATATTCTCTCAAACCGACATAGAAAAAAATGGAGCCTTGAAACCTCCGAACGGGACAGTGCAATGGGTTCCTGAGAGCCCTCAATAGTGCAGCTTCATAACAGAGACACCAGGAGGGAAGGTGAAAGCACTTGCCTCTACATCCTGCACCGAGCGGGGCTGGGCCACGCACAGCATGTTGAGCAGCTGGAGGATCAACTCCTCAATGTGGTGGAGGGCATCCTCCTTGGCCGTCAGGGTCGGGTGGACCTGCTGCTGTACCTGAAGGTTAGAGACAAACGTTTGAAAAGAGGTCAGAGACGGATCTTCACATGGCTTATCGCAATTTTTAATCTAATTGGATCAGTACGAAGGAGAAAAAAACAAACAAGATTTATGTAGCTGAGAAAGTCATATGTGAAACTGTGACATCCAAATCAGCTAAAGCTGGGATGGCATCGAGAATTGGAGCACAGGTGCGGAACACAGGGATCCGTTTTTCGGATGAATCACAGCACAAGCCTTTTCCCCTCAAGCGTCTTCATAATTGCAAACCTAATTTATAAAGCATCTAAGCAGTAACATGTACTGTAAATGTTGCGTTTCAAATCAACCTTTATCTGGAGGTAAAAGAAGGATTGACAGAAGGTGTGAACAGGAGAGTGGTTTCATCAGCTCTGCAAGTGGTAAGAGAGAACCCCCCCCCCCCTTACACACTCACACACACACACACACACACACACACAACCACCTTCGAGCTTCCCAAAAGTTGTCGTCATCTGGGCCGTGCCCTCTCAAAGGAATGCTGTCAGTTGAGATACTATTATAGCACCGAAGACAGTCTTAAAGGGGAAGGAAAGAAAGCTCTGGGAGAAGAGGATAAAGGTGGGCACGCCACACAGAAAGCCGTTTTTCCCTCAGCTCACAGACACCCGGCGTAAGCCAACGTGTCGTGTTAGGATGAAGGGTTAAAAGGTCATCGCAGCCCAGGCGTTGAGCATTCTTATCCACTGAATTAGCAGAGGCAGTGGCAAGCCAGATGTTCACGCTTCCTCAAGTTTGACTTCATTTATCAGAGATGGAGAAAAGGGAGAAGGGGTAAAGTGTCCCCAAGGGGGGGGGGGGGGGGTCACAGCAGACCCATTTCCCATAACGCGACTGAGATTCACATTCAGTTTCACCAACGGCACTCACGTGTTTCTTTTTTTTTTCTTTTTTTTTTTAAACAAGAGCAGCTGGAAAATTTGAAACCACAGCTTGGCCTTGCTTGCGTTTCTGCACGTCATTTCTGTTTTGATGCACACTCACAAGACCTGTCAGCTATAAATAAGCCACAAGTATAAAAAAACTACTCGGAAAAAAAAAAAAAATCAAAGGAGAAGTAGGCTATGAGATGCATTCTTTCAACCCTAAATAGGCACTTGACCAAATTCCACAGGACACCAAGAACTGTGAGTCACCACGCTGAAACTACGGGGGTTTCCCCTGACTCTGTTCACAGAATAGTTGGCCCGTTTTTGCGAGGCCCACATCCAATCTAACAAGTATCGTCTATCTCCAACAATGTCAGGATGGGAGACAAAGCAACAATAATACAGAAAACCAAATGTCACTGGAATAACGGCAGAGTGGAAAATGAATGCAGGGCGCTGAGAAGTCAACGGGCCGAGCTCGTTGCCGCTTGATCTTTCTCTTTCTTCTCAAGGAGGTGTGTAAAGCTGCACTTTGTCAAGCTCTAATCTGTTCAGAGTACGTCTGGATTGAGAAGAGACTGAGCTCGGCAGAAGGGAATCATTTGTTTTTTTAATCTAGCGTCGTGTAAATGTGCTCGCTGATCATTTGGGCAATTTACCTCACAGATACTGGATGACAATGAGCACAAGCTGTCAGAATTATCAGAACCTGAGAAAGATATATAAACATGAGGCTTTCTTTCTCCAGCAGAATGTAGCAGAAGATGACACTGACAATAGATAGCCGTGTCAGAAGAGGTGACAGAGGCTTCACAAGCATTTGTGATTCATTACTGGAGGAAAAGACCAAAAAGAAAAAAAAAACACCCTCAAACATTGGAATGAGCTCATCTCAGTGAATCCATCAGCTCTCTTTGATGGAGACTTCTTAATAAAGGAGCCAAAGCAGAGCGGGGTTGTGTAGATGAGGCTCAGTGTATTTACGGTGTGGCAGCAACCTGATCCTAAAAAGGCCGTGGGTGCCTCATACAGTCAGAAGTGTACACAGAAGAGAGAGAGAACAAAGTAAAAGCAATCAGGTGGGAAAAACATTGGAGGAAAGTCCAACATTTGAATGAGCAGATCTGATTGGTAAATTTCTTCCTCTGCTTTCAGTGAGCCAGTGTTATACTGAATTAAATTTTGTGGAAATTATAATGTTGCAGCATTTGGGTCTTTAATCCAAAGGAACCACTTAGCATAAATGTAGCGGCTATGCTATAAACAGAAAAAAGGAAGAGGTTTGCCTGCTGATAAAATATCAGCATATCTACATAAAGGTGTAGCTACAATAGAAGAACACAATTCAAACAGGCTTTGTTTCTCTATTCATTAAAATTACATGGCCTGCCCATTTATTCTGAATAATTCATGCAAATGTGTGCAAATATACAGATCTGTTCATTTACAGTTAATGTGATATTGCTGTAGCAACTCACAAATGTCACACAGATCAATATGACTTCTGTTCTTATGATGCCCTTTGCCAAGTTTCTGTGTGAAGTTTACAAATCTCTTTTACTGATGTCAAAAGGCGTTCATGAAATATCACAGACTGCCTTCAGGTCCAGAAAAAAGGAGGAGAAATTGTGCCTTGATACCGCTTGTTATGGAGAGCCTGATCGTGATCATAGCTTAGCTTTCTCTTGTGCCATGTTAAGAGTGTTCAATTTCATGGGTCAGCTCCATTATGTAGGCAAAGGCTAGTATACAGGAAGTCCCAGAGCTCAATCACTCACTCTCGCTCCCCTCCGTTCACTACCCACAAATAGGGAAAGCTCTGGGGAGACCAGATCATAGGAGCACACTGAGAGGTATCGATGTGGTTGCACCAACAAGCAGCAGGTTCATGCTGCGCTCCAGAGCCTGTAGAGCCTGTAGAGCTGAGGCAAAACTGGGGGGATTAAAAAAAAAACAAAAAAAAAACTCTCCACAAGCCACTTCATGCTTTTCTCAACTGTTGTCCTGCAGGGAACCGCAAAAATGGAAACGTCATTCGTGTGGCCTGTGCGGTCTGCACACACACCGCAAGTGTGACAGGTGTGAATCAACCAGGGAAACAAAAACAGTGGTTTCTGGGTGTAACTCCTGTGCTGTGTTCATGCATAACCTGTTTGCAAAGAAGCTGTGTCAGCAGATTCCCCATTATGAGCACAAGCATAAGATCCCATTGAGAGAAGTGATAAAAAGAAGGAAGGACGGCGGCGCCTTTTGTCTTCTGCACACCAACTGCCATGCAGGTGCTTCTCTTCTTCACAGTCTGTGTGACCGTCCTGTGCTCCAACACGTACCGAGAGTGCAGTCTCGTGCTGCAAAGTCCCAATTCATCTGCCCTTCACATACCAGTGGAACGTGCAGAAGCTGTGATCTGGTCTGAATGGTATCCTCGTCTGCCAAAGAAATACCTTTCTGGAAGCAGGGGTAAGCTTTGAGGATTTAGCTGTACGATGCTTGAATTTATTTTTGTTCAAATTCATATAAATATAAAAGCTAATTAGAAAAAAAAAACACCTGTGACACGAATGGTTTTCCTCAACCGACAGAGAAGCCTTCACACATTTCATCACAGCATCAGATCTTCGTGCCCTCCATGACTAAACCGATGGTGGACAGAAATGAGCAAACTGGCTGTTCTCATTAGCCCAGCGCGATCGGGTGTTCACGTTCTGTAGGAAAACTGGAAGGTTTGGGGTAAGAATAGAGGTGGGACGGTGTTAATACTGGGCTAACGTTTCTAATTCAATTCATTATTCTCCTGGCTGCGTGCATGGAGCAGCATCAGGCTCAGGTTGCAGGTAATGTGGCCTGTGTACGTGCGTGTGTGTGTGTGTTTGTGTGAGCGTGTGTAGTGGCGATGGAGGTGGGGCTCGGGCTTGTTATTATACGAGAGCATGTGTCACTGTTTGTGATTCATGCCATGACATCATTTGCCATTACAACCAGACTGTCTGGGGAGCCATGGGACAGAGATCAACTCGGAGACAGCAGGCACACACAAACGCGTGCACACAAAGGGAAAGATAAATGGAGATACATTTTTGGGAGAGCAACCCTCGAGGAGCCAAGCAGAAAATCAAGTCCAGAAAAAGCCCCTACATGCTTTGCCCACGTTCAGTAGCTGGGCGGCATGCGGCTAACACCACACGGCTCGCCTTGACCCGCCGGCCAACCTCACCCAGTGACCCCTGGCTGCCTGCGCTGCGCCCACCCTCCATCTGAACTCTGTCTGAGGACACGCCGATGTTCAAAAGCCCTAATTTAATACACTGGGATGTGCGGGGAGGCTGCGTTTTAATCAACCCAAATCTTTCCTATGAGGACAGCCTGGGATTGGTGCCCAGGAAATACAGCCTGTTACCAGGAATATCAACTCGTCAGTGCAGATGAAGCAATTGGCCGTTGTACGACGTCAAGGAGTGCACATTCAGTCAGCTTCAAGGAAATCACAACAAAAATGATTTCGCTGAAGTGTAAAACGACTATTGTATTTACTATTGCTCCGACAAAAGCAGGAGGAGTTATGCAGAACCTGGAGAACACGTTGTTGTTTCTTGAATAAACTCTTCTGCAATCATAGCACATGATTGTCGCTCTACCGGGTCAATGGTCCCGGGTCCCGCTGTTTCCTGAACCTTTGGCCTGGCTGGTTAACTTGTACACACGTAATATCAAAATTTGCAACATCAATATTGCCTAAAGCCCTGCATCTATGCTGCACCATAGTGTTTAATTTTCAGTTGAGAGCAATGAACACAAATGCTCAAAGTAGCTCAAGTGTAATTACAATCTGCTGAATCTTAAATAATATTGCATGAGAAAAGCTAATTAGGTTTAAAAAGAATCAAAGTAAAGATACTGTGTGCCAACCAAAACTGGACTTTTAAAACCCACAATGTCGAAGTCTGACTTAGATCAAATTAACTCATCTGGCCCTATACACCCGTATAATGTAGCCAGGAACCAGATCTCTCCTCTATGTGTTGTAAACACACAGCTACATTTCAAATGGGCCGACACAGTCCCCACATGCTCACGCATTCCATCTTTCTGTAGGAACAGTCAAACTTTTGTGGAGAATAACATTGCTGAATTCTCCAAAAAGGGTGATTTCATTAACATATTTTCCATTTCTGAAGTTTGAACTCTTAAAACCACTTGGATTGTCGCTCTGCTCTAATCCTAATCTCATAAACACATTGGGTGAAAATAGGTCTTGCAAATACCTGTGAAACTTATCTTAACCGTTCAAAAACATGGTTATGAAAAACTCATTTCAAGTTATTATTTTTTAAGATATTTCTGCCGCACTAAATAAAAGAAGAGCGAGTAACCGTGAGAAGCTCAGGATGATCTGCGGTGCAAAGAAAGTTTTGTTTTGAGATACTCCTGTGGTCGAGCCTTCTCAGTTGGCTTTAGCTTTCTCAGCCGCCATTCCATTGCCTGTCACTCTAATTATTAACTCAGCTGACAGCTCAAATATAATATCAGGCTCTTTATGCCAAAGCCTGTGGTGCCGCAGATAGGTGCCAGACATGGCTGTGTGCGTGGCCATAAATCCTCTCTGGACAGGAGCATGGACAGTTTGACACCAATCACTCTGTCTGATGATGAGGTGGCAACAGCTCTGTCTGGTCTGGGGGAAGAGAGGCACCCAAAGCGCCGGGCTCGAGTAAAAATCCCCATCTCTCACCTTCGAGCAGAACGCCAAGCCCCCTGCGCTCATAATAAGTGGATTAAAGAGGCAACAGAAAAGCTCAAAGCCCGCCTGTAATCTGACCAATCCCAGCTTTAAAAGCTGGCTTGTTTCTCATGGAGCGGAGCCCTGTGAACTCAACAGCACTGCGCCTCTCTAACTCGACATGGCAATGGAATGAAACCGTGCCCGGCAAAAGCTCGGGCCAGCCCCTCGGTTCCAGCGAAACATCAGACCTGAGGAATTTGGGCTTATTAACATCAACATGTCAGTGGTAAAAAAAAGTTGTGTTCAGGCAGCACGAGCCGCGGCGGGAAAGAATAGCCGGCAGACACAGACGCGGGGAGGAGACAGACCACGCTGGTAGATTAAGGTGACACACAAGACTACACCAGTCCAACCTTTATTGCAAGAAGGAAATGGATCTTCAGGATTGGAGGGATTCTTCCATTTTCTTTTTACCGACAGCTTTTTTTAAAATAAAAAATTGGATACTTAGGGGGGAAAGGAGATGAGAAGCATCCATCAAAGATCCAAAGAGCTAACTGGATATGTTTCACAGTATGCCCTACCCCCTGAGCCAGAGCAGGCTTTTAGAAGTGCAAAAGAATTATCACAATATCAGGTCATAAATGCTCTCTAGCACATCACCCCAGCTGTTGTCTACTTCAGTTGACATTTCTTCTGGGTTGGTGCGGTCGCCCCTCCTATCAGCGGTTGTTTTCATCATCATGTTACAATAACTTTTAAACTTTTTTCTTAGTCAAAAAAATTACATTTCAAATCACTTTGTTACAAATGCAACATTATAAATAATCAGATGAGCTACAAATGCAACATTCAAGTGAGCACAGGCATCAAAACGACACAAAGTAAGATCAAAATAAACAGTGGATGTCTGAGTGCATCCCCCAGACGTGACAATCTCTCTCGTTTGTCAGGTGTTTCTTCAGAACACCAGCCGGAGGCCTCAAAACCATCTATAAATTATTGTCTGAGGTGTAGTCATGAACCACAACGCCTTTCTAACAAGGAAACCGCCCTCTCTTCCCCTCTTCGGACAGCTGGGAAAAACGGCGAGTCAGAGTTTGTCAAAACCATAACAAACTCCTCTTGCGTCAGCCCGTGACAGGCCTTCCCTCCTGCGCTGGTGTGGCGAGTTCCGACAGTATCCCGCCACACCGGCCCACCGCCTGCTTTCCCAGCTTCACCTGACTCAGCGCACCGTTTCTCATCCGGTAAAAATCGAGCGCTGTGTTATTTGTAAACACAGCACGGCTACCGGGCCGCCTCGACCGCTTCTGCGAGTGGTAAGAGTCGCTAAAACTAATCCATCAGAAGCCTGCGGTTGTGTTGTGTTCAGGGGCTTTTTGAACAGACCTCTACATTTAATTTTATTCAGATCCAACTGATGTAGTAAGCGGTTTCGCTCTCCTTTAAATGCCATGGCACGGGACACCTTGCGTGGCCGTGGAAAAGATGCCACTCTGTTTCGGAGAGACAAATTTTGTGGGCTGCATCGAGCAAACAGAACAGCAGAGGATTTAGAACCGTGAAACATCGAGTTTTTTATCTGGATGGGTCGCAGTGAACGCCACTGTCAAGGAAAAAGACTGAAGAACGCAATGAGTGATGGGGATCCGTGGTGACTTTAAATGTCAGGAAAAAAAATAAGAATAAAAAAAGGAATCATGTGTAATACTTATTGGTATTTTAAATTCATTAAAAAAAACTAAATGTCGTCAAACTAAAGAGCTGTGCAGCCCGAAGAACACCACTTATCAGTGAGGCTAATCGAAAACAAAAGTCTTAAAACACTGCAAGCAAAGGAAAAATAAGGTAATGTGGTCTGATAAGTCCAGGTCTCCCCTGTTCCAAAATGCAGGAGGCATGAGGACACAAAAAAACCACAAAGAAATGGACCAATGGTGCTCACCGCCTAGTGAGCAATCCTTTGGTGGTAGCGTTAAAATATGGGGGGCACAACAACCACGCTCAGACTCTGCCAACTACCTGAATACACAGAGTGAACAGCTTCTCCCACCAAAAATTCTTTTTTTTTTTAACATTCCCTGATGAAATCGGTGTATTCTAAGATACCAATGTGAGGATTCATCAGCCTGAGATTGTGCAAGAGTGGTTCAGGGAGCAAGAGTTTTCCTATGTGGACTGGCCACCCCCGATGCAAGTACATAATAAGGATATCAATTATTTTTTGTGTGGCCAGGCAATGGATAACAAAAACAAAGAAAAAGAAAAACACACTTTCTTTCTTCTCTGGACACTGGGTTGTCCCTCTCTCCTCTGCCAACTTCAACTACAACAGAGGCTTAAAGCAGAAAACCAGAAAATAAATCTTGCAATGACAGGGAGAAGCACAGATGATGCAAGAAAAAAAGGAAAGAGAGGGACGTCGAAAAGGAACCGAGACAAATTAGTCCTGCTGACATATTCAAATGAAATTGTTCTCCAGAAAGTGTCGTGTCAGTGTATGAGAATGTAGTTGCATTTCTTTGGTAAACGGTTGAGAATCTGACATGCAAAGCAAGACAAAACAGGAGCAGTACGTCTGTACATTCCAAGGATTTAACATCTTCATTTTGAAACCAAATGAGGAACAAATAGAGTGGCTGGGAGCATTAAGAGTTTCACAATGGTCTGAGGACAGCTCCACTTATAGTTTCAGCCACACCGTACAAATCATTAGCACACAAAAAACTATGAAAGCCTGCTCAACAGAATACAACTATTTTTTAAAAAGGCATTGTATGGACCTTTAGTGCCGGGCTGGTTGAATAAACAGACACGAGGCATGTCAACAACCACAAGCAACGAGGGCTGCCCTTTCAATACGTCCACACATCTGCAGCAATCGTTGGCAACTAACAAGAAAACAGTGCTTTCCTTTTTCCAAGAAGTCGCTTCCAATAATGCCAAAGCAAAATCTGCCTGTGTGTTACAACTTAACACGAGTCTTAGCCGAAAGGTTTGGGTGTTTTCTTATTAAAAGGCTGGGAAACATGTCAACAGAAGTGTTTTAGCTGAGATCGTGATACAGATAAAAGCAGTACTCTAACCCCGCACCGAGCCAGCTCTACGGGGCACTGGGCATGTTCACATTTGAATCCTAATAAGGGATTTAGACCGTGGTAGAAAAGGTGTTACCTTCCGTAAGGCTTGCACGAAGAGGCCTCTCCATTTCTGACTGTTCTCGTCACTTGAAAAGTCGTATATGTGCTGGGGCTGCATTGCTGTAGCGGCTCCTGGCGTTGCCGTGATCCGGGCTGAACCGTCAGCATCGGCCCCGGATAGATAGTCCTTAAGGGTGGGTCAGTCCAGGGCAGGCACGTTGGGAAAAGTCGGACTGGCTCGTTTACAAATACGAAGAAATATGCAAAACCAAACTACCAGTCCACGGTTGAGTCAAGTTCACCAAAGAAATATTAGCTACATGAGAAAACAAGCACATGTAGCAATAAAGTTGACTCGATAGCTCGGTAGCTAATGCTGCTGTAAACACGGGGCAGCGGCTAACTAAAATGCTAACGGCTAATAACAATGTTGCTAAGTGTTATACTTGCTACTTTTGCTATAAAAGGGTTATAACAGCCACGTTTAAGTCAGTTTTATATCAAGGCATAGGAGCACAGTTTGTTACCAGCTAACTACAGCTAAGTGTTATGTTTGGTTATTTGCTTCCTAAACACCTGTAACCTTAGTAAGCTAGCCGACGAGCTAACGAAGTGCTACTGGCTGCTGCTGGCCTTGATGCGCTCCGAGTTCTGTTGTGGCACACGACCAGCTCCAAACAAGGCACACTTTCTCCTTCGCAGCTCACTTCGCATTTAATCATCTTCTCCGCGGCTCCCAGGGGCTAAATCCACCGCATATTTCCCGGTGCAGCGGGCAATCCAAGGCATACCGGCGAGCGGAGCAGCTGAAGGGCAGTCGAGGTGTTTTTTTTGGTTTGAGAAGTCGAAGATGTTCGTACCAACTCCGCTGGCTGCCTGTCTGCTGCTGCTGCTGCTCCCAGCTCTCAGCGTCCTGGCACACACACGCGCATGCCGCCTAAATTCATATTTTACTGGGCAGTAAAAAAAAAAAAAAAAAAAACAATACAAAAAACTCGTTAGTCCTTTTTGTTACACCGGACGCATATAATGAAGACACACTGTAAACTTGTAAAGAGTAGAAATAAACAAATCTTTATTGCCGTACCTGAGACATGTCAAAACATTAGAAAATGTTTTTTTTTTTACCACAGAGACGTAAACTAGTTAAAGCAAAAATAGAATAAAATCTATTTCATGCAATCTTCACGAATTGAAACACTATAGCTGGGTTTAACCATTTGAAAAAATGTACACTTTTTTGTGCCTCCATTGGGGCTCACAGTTAGTGTTGCATCGTTGCACTTCTGCCACCTAGTGGACACACCGTGTACACGTCTGTTGCCCAGTAAAAAAACTGATTACTTGTGGAAAAATATTAATCACAGTGAAGTTACGAATCAAAAGACTCTTTCTTTTCTGCTTGCATCCAAGGTGTGCAAGGTTTTCCCCGCGTAACCGCACCAATGGCATTCTTTCAACGCTTTAGTCTCCCAAACAAATCTAAGAGGCAAATAAGACCTGTCACATTCAGCTGTCGATACAATAGATGGAATAATATAAAATAAACAACGCCGTTGTTATCTGAACAGCTACAGCAGCGTGAAAAACCTCTGGGGCGATGACAAACAGCAGATTTTGGCTAAATTCTACAAAAATACACAGCTCACAAAACACCACTTTGCTTTAATGTTAGTATAAAACTACACACTTTAGTCGTGATGTCATCTAAAAACCGTCTTTAAAACCAGACTAATACAGTCAATCCACTCCTCTTTGTAAACTGAGTCATGTTGATATCAGTGAGGAGCTTCATTGCACGGATAATCCATAATACACAGAGATAATCCAGTTCACACAGACTCTTGGTGATTAAAAAAAACAGATTTGTCCTTTTCACTCATGAGAACAGTTTAAATATCAGCTTTTTTTCAAGTCTTTGGACACATAAGGCAGACTTTACGATATTCAGTCAGCAAATTAACACACAAGAATGAACAGACGTCTGTGGAGTACCTTCATTAAGAGTCTCTGATGTGCTTTTTTAGAGACAGAAATGTAGACTGAAAACAGTGATAATGGCGGTGTGAACCCAATATGAAGCACCACTTGATTGAGAAGAAGTTAGTTTCTTGGTTAAGTTAAGGCCGGCAGAGGCAGTTTGGACTTGGCGCAGCACCTATCCCGTCTATGTGCTTCCGCCGTGCGTGTCTACAACGCGAAGCGCTTCTCCACCTCGTCGGCGATCATTTCGCCGATGGCGAGGGAGGAGGTGGCTGCTGGCGAGGGCGCGTTCCGCACGTGCAGCACCCTGCTGCCCACGTCCCCGACGCCGCCGTCAAACACAAAGTCGTCCACCAGGTTTCCTTCGCGGTCGAGGGCCTGAGCCCGGACTCCGGCGGGACCCCTGTGCAGGAGACAGGCGGGGTTAGAGGGGAGCCCCTGCTGACTGGGACCTGATGCTGCTGCACCGCTCCACTACCTGAGCACGTCCATTTGGGAGAGTTCGGGGATGTATTTCTGCAGGATTTTAACCTGAGCGCCGATGAAAACCCCTCTGTACATCTCTCCAAGGCCGTAAGTGACATTCCTCATTATCAGCTTCTGAAGGCCTCTGGAGTAAAAGGACGGAGAATAATCACTATCAAACCCCCTTTCACAGCACTGCACAGATTTTTTTTTCATAATTCAGGCCTCCCTACCTGAAGGAGAGAGCATCTGTAAAGTCTTGAGCGTTGAAGTCGTACAAGTTGTAACCTTCCCTTTTGAAGGCGAGGACAGCGTTAGGGCCCAGCCAAACGCTGCCGTCCATCCTCGGGGTGAAGTGGACTCCAAGGAACGGGAAACGGGGGTCAGGAACCTGTCAACCGTTTTACTGGATTCGTTAAACAACACTGATACCTATAATCAGAATTTTCTCCAAAAGAATAGACAATGTGAATAACGTGAAAGATCAGCTGTTAACATCTGTTGTATCTCTTGTATCTCCTCAGGAGTTGGATCCTGAGAGGAAACTTTAAGCTGGAGCAAAATTGTACAAATACTTAGAATTACTTTTTTTTCCTCTTTTTTGTCAAGCAAATGACCACAAACGTCCTGATGAAATCCAAGTCTTTAGGGGACTTACGGGGTAAATGTTTCCTTTAACCAAGTAGTGTTTCTCTGGCTTCAGGACCAGATAATCCCCTCTGAAGGGGACGATCCTGGGCTCCCGGCTGCAGCCAGATATCAGCGACAGCCGGTCGGAGTACAGGCCCCCGCAGGTCAGGACGTAGCGGCACCGCACCTCGCCTCCCTTTGGGGGAGAAACACCACGTCAAGTGGAGGACAGCCGGATGCCATCCAAATGTGGTGCCGCCTGTATCCAGCAGCGGCCCTACCTTTTTGTCTCTGATAGCGATTGGATACTTCATTCCTAAAAATTCAACACATAACAAAGTCATCTAAACACAGAGGGAGAAAAAAAAAGGAGCATTGCTCTGTTTTTCTCAAAGCGGTAAGTAGGTCCTCACCTTCAGAGCTCCCTGCCGGGCTCTCTTTCACCATGGAGATGCCGCTGACTTCGTACTCGGTCTGCACGGTGCCGCCCAACTCCTCGAAGTCTCTGCCGTACCGGAGTGCCACCATCCTCCAGTCAACGATGCCGGTGTAAGGCGAATCCAGAGCCATTATCCCCTGCAGACACGCCGCATCGTTAGGTCTCCGCCGGCGGCTTCGGCTGGGTGTGAACAGAAAGCCCCGCCTCTCTCACCCTGCAATATGGCTCTCGCTCCCGGATCCCCTTCGCGTCGAGGATGCTGAGGTCGCGCACGTTGTTCTTAAGGCCGCGCTGGTAGAGCGCTTTCAGCCTGGGGATCTCCTCCTGCTCCACGGCGACGATGAGCTGCCGGTGAACGGACCAACGGTGAGCGGACAAAACCTTACCAGCACAACGCATCTCATCGGGTTAGAGCACGGGAGCAGACCTTGCCGCATCTCCTGTAAGGGATTCCTTTCTTCTCGCAGTACTCGTAGGCCAGCGTTGCGCCCCGCACGCACAAACGCGCCTTCAGAGAGCCCGGGGTGTAATAGATCCCGCTGTGGATGACGCCGCTGTTGTGGCCGCTCTGGTGCAAAGCTGGTGAGGCAAAGAAAGCATGGAGATATCAATCAGAACATTACAGAAACCCCCCAAAAATCAAACGAAATAAATCAGGTTGTTACCGAGTATTAGAATTTGATCAATACAATCAAAGATGGAAAGCACATAATACACAGTGTCGCTATCATTTAATTCAGAATTGTGTAAAAAAACTAAATGTAAGAGGGTGCAGCCATTCAAAGGCTCAGCTGATGATCACCAACAAGTGTGAGCTCCTTAATAAATAAACAAATCAACATCAGTCTGAAAGAAGAAACTTCCCCCAACACCATCTGGGTGTTAAAAGGCCATTTCAGGACTAAATGGAGCCCATCATACCACAGAAAGAAACATTATTTGCGAGTGGAACACATTCAGTGAATCTTCCCAGGAGTGGACGCAAGTTCACGCCATGCTCAGACAAAAACTGTCCCATCTCAGACTCTGCAGGCCTCAGCATGCTAAATTTGACATATATGACCTCTTTGGAAGGGTTTCTGTGGGGAGTGTCTGCTTTTAAAAAAGAATACGGTTGCCCAACTTAGCCATGTAAAATTCAATCTATACAAACCACGAGACTTCTGGAAAGATATTCTCTAACCGATGGGACAAAAGTGGAGATGTTTAGGAACAATCTTATAAACAGATGCTGTTACCCTCAGCACTGTAAAGAAGGGTGGGCCAAAATTCCTCAACAAGAATGTATCAAACAGATTACATCACACTTACAACTTCAAGCTACTGAAAGTAATTATTGCAACACACAAAGCTTTAGCATGAGTACAGTGTTGGTATTTGTTAAGTAAAAAGTGACAGTGATATTCTTGTTCTCCTGTTATATTGACCTAATTTTAAGACCTGGCCAGAACCCTTGACATTTAGTTGTTTTTACATCCTAGTGGAAAGAAACCTCTGGATGGAAAGTTTGTACTTTTTCTTTTTAATGTGACATGCCATTTAGCTAAGCCTCTCTATCAAACCAAAGCATTCTTTGACTTGATTTATTCACTGAACAACAAACATACAAAACAAAACAATGCGTTGAAAGCCCAACCCACAGAGTTCTTTTTCTTTCTCCAGCAGGATGAAGCTCAGAGAGGGATGGCGCAGAATGAGCTCCCGGGCTGCGGCCAAGCCCACGATACCGCCGCCGACCACGGCCACATCGCACGTGCTGAAAAAACAAGCCAGACGGCAAATTGTGATTCAAATGCATGATTTTAAAATCGAAAAGCTTCCACAGGGAGCAGAGTAGAACATTTAGGATGACTTTTAGGATGACTTCTAAACACCCCTGCAGGAAAACCCAGAGCCAATTACTGTAGTTCATTTGTAACAATAGGACAAAGATATCATACATGTCACACATTTCTCAGACAAGAACATTTACTCCATTTTACCTATGGGCTTACAGTTACTCATTAGTAAAAATGTCTCCATTTTATGAGCATCTATAAAGAGTAATAGATTATTGGGAATCTGGCCATCCACGATCCTCCACCAAGGCCTGAACCCATAAATGCACACAAAGAAGAACTGACAGCCTTATAATTGCTATCCAAAAAGACTTGAAACTACCTGACTAAAAGGTGACAACATTCTGAGAAGATACCAGATTTTAGTAAACAGGTTTCTATGTGGATGACCAGAACCAGACTGCTCGTCGATCAGGGGTAACATTTAAATAGTCAACTACTCTTTGGTGAAGTCTGAAGTGTGGTTTGTCTTTGGTTTGTCTTTATCAGTGGATGAGTTACTTGATTGTTATTAATCAATAACTCTAAGTTAGGACATCTAAACGTGTACTTAGGGCCGAGTGGAGAAGGGAACCATTTGTCAGCCCTCTGCTAGATGAACAAACTCACACTTAAGAATGTGCAAAAGTGAATACAAGTAGAGTTATTTAACAGTTTGGGGAAATGCTTTCGAGTAAGCGTCTGCTCCAATGGCTCTGTTCCCTCTATATCCACCAGGTTAATATCTTTAAACACTTTAAATTGGACTTTGAAACGCTCGACACGACTAACTAATGCAACAAAGCCGCATATAGGCAAGCAGCAGTGAGGTCCACTTAGTCTTTCTGTCCTACCTGTGAAGCTGTCTGGCTGCAATGCCCTTTAGCAGCTTCGACTGAGCTCCGCCAACTGCCTTTAAAGACACGCCGCTCAGTATCGACATCATTCTCACTGCCGTTTAAAAGCAGGTAACAGAAGTTAATTCATGGTTAATAACGCCGGACCGACTTTTCGAGTTCTGTGTCCCGTGTTTCCCCCTCCTGTTGCCCCTGCTAGCCATCAATACTGCGGCGCTATCCCGTGAGCGAGCCAATACGTCGGCACGCTTCATGTGACGCTGCTGACGTCAACGTGTCCAGCCAATGGCAAGCCACGTTGGTTTCACGTCGTGGGGTCAAACGTCACAGCAATGGTAGCGTCCCAAACATAAACAGACAACTTTGCAGTAGGACAGGTGAGAGTACATTAACACGCAGCGTGTCTGGGGGAACATTTGTTATTTCTTTTCTTGTTATCCGATCCAGACTGTGCCCATTTATCTCGAACAATAAGGGTGACTGGATTGTGTGTTTTCGTTTCAGCTCGGAGATATGGGGCTGTTGTCGAGGACAGTGCAATCTTTAGGGAGCCACAGGGAGTGGAGCCGCAGACACTTCTGGGGTTGGCTCAATGCCGTTTTCAACAAGTGAGACACTCCTGACTTCTCCATCTACAGATCGATCACATCTACACAAATATAAAGGGAAAGACACCCCCCCCCCTGTCGTTTTAGTAAGGAGTTAATCAGATTAAATATGGAGTCGTGGTGCTAGTGGTGTTGTGCATCGGTACTCAGCTGTCATGTAAGGAAATCTGAATGACTTTAGGAGATTTAATCTGCATTCATTTGGATTGTTTCCAGTATATTGACAAACCTTCGCACCGCATACCTTGTCACCAGTTCACTGTCTTTTCTATCATAGGCTGCTTTGGGTCAATCGTGACCAATGCAGCCTTGAAATACTTCCAAATTGACATATTAATTTGGAAGTGTACATTGTGTATATTATATTCTATATGTTGTCAACAATATTTTGTAAAAGTATTTTCCTCAGAGGCCCAAATTATTCGGGTTTTAAAAGAAGAATTTAGACATGACTGAGGTATTTTACATACAAAAAACTTGGTTTGAAAGCGCATCATTTAATCAGCTTGTGTCGCACGTTGTGCTGATCTTCACTCAGGGTGGACTACGAGAGGATTAAAGCCGTTGGTCCGGACCGAGCAGCAGCGGAGTGGCTGCTTAGGTGTGGTGCCAAAGTGAGGTTTCAAGGTTTTGACCGCTGGCATCAAGACTACAATGGACTGCCAACGGGTCCTCTGGGCAGATACAAGATCCAGGCTATAGACGCCACCGAATCCTGCATAATGTACAAAGGGTTCGACCATTTAGGTCAGTGTTACAGTTTGGGTAATCTGTTCTTGTTTCTTGTAACCCGACTCAATCTCATTTCCATATCCTTCCAAAATAATTGGATGCTCTTTATTGGAGAGACTCTGCAAACTTGTTACACAACAGAAAAAACCCAGTCAGTTTTGCATGCGCGTTCCTTCAGAAAACAATCCAAGTTTTTGCTGTGGATGCAATTACTCCTTAATTATTTAATGAACTTGAACTTCAGTCTTACGGATGAAAAATGATTAAAACAAGAGTTCCAACTTCCAACTAGCTACGGGGAATTTCATACACAGCAGGCCTAAGAGCACATTTACTCTTGGTATTAAAGTATCTGTAATCTATTCAAATGTATCAAGTTTATCTTCTTTCTTTTTTAAGATGGTTTGGAATGTGTTGAAGAAATCAAATTCAGTAAGTGCATCTACATTGAAGACACCTGCCTGGAGAGGCTGAGCTCAATAGAAAACATGCAAGAGAGTTTGTACATGATGGAGGTGGTGTCCTGTGGAAACGTGACCGATAAGGGCCTCATCGCCCTGCACAAACTCAGGTCAGTCTACACAGTAAATACTCTGACAGTAACTGTTAGTTCTGAATTGTTTGACTATTTTAATGGCAAAACAGAGTCACGTGCATCCATTGTCTTTGCATCATTGCATCATGTCTTACTCCCTGGTAGGAATCTGGGGTATCTGTTTCTCAGCGATCTCCCTGGAATCAAGGACAGACAGACCACTGTAGGTCGACTGCAGACGGCACTTCCTCGTCTGGATGTAGTCCTGGACCTGGACTGACTGAGACCTTTATAAATAAATTTAACTTTCCCTTCTATTTCAAGAGAATGAACCAAGTTGGACCAGAAAGTCCAAAAGGCAAAAGTTCTCAAACTAAAAACAAACAGATCAGATGGAGAAATATTTAACTCAAAGGCACATGATGTACACTTTTTTTGTTAGTTTTTTTTTTTCTTTGTTTCACTCCTAACAGTTTGAAACGTGACACAAAGACAGCAGTTTAGCCAACTAATTCTAATCACGCCAGCTCTAATAGAAATCCTGCAGTTTGAATATTTAAAGTGAGCCCGAAAGTAAATGCAGAGAGACCAGTTTGTGGAAAAGAGTGTAATTTTAATGTCTTTCTATTTTGATCATTTGGCAGTGGTGGTAAAATGTCAGAACAGGCAGACAGGTGAAAACCTTTAGCACCAAAGATACAGAGTTATCAAGTAAAGATGCACAGTGTGACGGGTAAACGCTTGTAAAGCACGGCGAGAGGAACATCTGGAACCAATAAATATTTTCAGAACAGCTCACGAGTCTTTAGAGTTTGCTTCCTTTCTTATAATTTACAAAACAAACATCAACTACACTTGCTACCATAAACCTGTCACTCTAACAGAGTCCGTCCTCATATAAAAAGAAATTTGGCAAACTGGGTAAAGCCATTCACAGAGTTGTACCTCCAGCCTACACGCTAACTACAAGCAGAGCAGCTCCTTGTTTTAGTTCGCCTATAACAAAAATAAAAGTCAGCATCAAACGCTGGTAGAACATACATAAACCAACACGTCTGACGTGGCGTGTTAGGTACAGTGCATAGACGGCTAAAGTGCCTCATAGGAGGAACTAACGGGGTTAAAAGACTAGAAAAGACTATTTCCTGAGCTACGAAAAAAAAAAAAAAAAGTTTAGAACAGATCACTGTTCAGATGTTTGGGAGGTGGTAGTTGAACTTGCGCAGGTTGTTGTAGTACTTCTTATTGTCCAGGGCCGGAAAGATGCTGCTGCTGGTCAGCTGCGGCAAATACTGCTGAGTACAGAAAAGCAGAGAGACAGAGGTGGAATCGTGGGGCCATTTTTGTTTGCCCATCTCCCATTATTTAGTTACTTTATCTAATGCCTCGCAGAGTGAAAATATATTATACATTATACTATCCAAACATTTCAGAAATGTAATACCCTTTTTTCAAATGATGGATTTAAAATAAAGAAACTACTTTGAAGGGGATGCAGCTAATAGTTACACAATTCATTCAACGCATTGTTTGAATCATTCTATGGCATATCCTCCATGGTCTCACATCTCTGAGAAACCAAAAGAGATATAATAATAGAAAATGAGCTCGTTTGTCAAAAAGACAATAAGGTGCAATGAAAAATGTTTGGTTTGTAGTATTTTACCCAATTCAATAACAGATGTATGATGGACTTTGAAGTTTTGCAGATGTACAAAATGATATTTGTTGACTTGGGATTTAACGTAAAATTCCGCAATTTTTTATGTATTGGTTTGACCGACTATTTAACACATCAACAGTGTGGGTAAACATATGGTTCTAACTACAGGATATCAAACGGTTTAACAAAAAATCGTAGCAAAATGAGGTCGGGAAATGAAACAGACGCTGGGCTTTTTGGAGTCAGGGGATTGACATGATTATCAGCGGCGGTCGTGGCTCACCCCGGGGGGCAGGTGTCTCCGAGGCAAACGCGTCCTCTTACTGCCGATGCGATCCTGCTCTCGCGACGTGCTCTCGCTCTTTTCTCTCATACTGTCGAAGTACGGGTGCTGCAGGAGCTGCTCGCAGCTCAGCCGCTCGGCCGGGTCCATTCTCAGGCAGCCCTGGGAAAAGCACCAGTTAGAACCAAACGCCAGTTTTCAAATATCAAAACTTTGTTCTTTGCATGCCGGTAAAAAAAAAAAATCCTGGCCTGCATTCTCACCTTCATGAGGCTCAGAGTTTGGTGTGAGAGGTTTGGATATTTATGCTCCAAAAGTTCCTACAAACACAACACAATAGTGACCACTGAGTGAATTTTAAGGCAGGGAGAAGAGTTTCTAATAAATACGGCAGAGGTTCTGTGTGGGTCTCACCATCTCCGGTGGCTCCGGGATGGAAACTCCACAGAAGAACTGGTTGCTGCTGAACACCTGCTGGTGTCGAGGGATCAGGTCTCCTGCAGGGTTCCAGAAAACAAGCAAAAAGTATCAACTCAGTTCAGCTCATTCTCATTCGAGGTATAGAAAAACAGCTTCAAGTAGACTTTTTTTTTTCCTTTTACAGGATTAGATACATTTTATCCTTCTTCTTCCTGTTCTGGAAAACATTTCCACTTTTAGCCTATTATTTGCCTTTTATATTTTTTTATTTTTTTAAAGCACATAACGCTTTTTCAAATTAATCGATAACAGAATAATCCTGATAAATCTATTTATCTGCTATCAGTTGCTCACGCAATATACCCATTATGTTATGAAGGCCCTGAAAGGCAGATGAGCGACAGTCTATTTACTAAATTTGATCTTAAAAAGTTACTCTATCTTTTTTTTTTTTTAAAGCAATATATTTATTTTCTCTGCTCTATATTCAATAGAAATTCTGAAGGCTCTCTCTTCCTTTTAGAATCTGGAGTAGGGCATTTGTTTTGTGGTGGCTGAAATGAGTTCTACAAAAACAAACCTTCCAAGAATTAATAAGTAGAATTATTTCCAGGAAAGGTCTTTTATTGGAATTACTTTGTTTGCAGAGTAAAATGTCGAAACATCACAGTACAGTGAAAATTCCGGCGACTGTCATCATTCCTTAGGATTCAAATCTGTGAACAACACCTTTATAGTCCTTACCAAGAGTCTTTCTGATCAAGTACAGTTGGTCCATGTCGGACTTCCCGGGCCACAGAGGAATCCCTGAGAGGAGCTCAGCGAACACACACCCGATTGCCCACACGTCAACGGGGGGGCCGTACTGGGTGTCTCCCACCAGCAGCTCGGGGGCCCGGTACCAGCGGGTCGCCACGTAGTCTGTGTAGTAGTCACAAGGGCCCGCTGATGGAGACAAAAAAGCAGAGGAAGGATTTCTCTGTGAATTGTCAGGATGAGTAAAGGAAGACTGTGGAATGAATATAATAAGCTGCGGCATTAAAACCTTTTTATCGTTTATATTTGACTCACATTTTTAGTTTTACAACGGATTAAAATTCCTCACTGGCTTCCAGTTAAATAAATCATTTATCTTTTTTTCCACTTTTTTTCCCATTGTTAGGTCATGAGTCATTCACTCTTTATCCCGTGAGATCTAGGAGTATTCACAGATATATATTCGTGCTATTTCAATGCACAAGGCTCCATCGAGCCAAACTCCAGCTTGTACAGAAACATTGTCGGACTTTTTCAACTGGGATTGTTGCAAACTCCATGTAAAATAAAGTTACTCACTTCACAATGAGATGAAACACGACATGCAGCAGTACCACACACCGCCGCTGAGCAGCAGCCTCAATCATAAAGCGTCTGCTGGGAAACTCGGGAAAACTTACTGAGAATCCTTGCAAATCCAAAGTCACAGAGTTTGATGACTTGGTGTTTGGTGATCAGAATGTTCTCGGGCTTCACGTCCCGGTGAATGCACTGCGGAGACAACACATCATCGCATGAACTTCAGACCAGACTTGGGCAGAGGCACCCGGCCCTAAGAGGTTGGGAGTAAAGCGGCTGTGTGAAAAGCAGTCTGAGGCAGGGGTGCTCTCCGGACTTTGTGCCACACTATTAAACAGGGGCCCTCGTAGCATTTGTTGTGTCTAAGTGATACATTAACTGCTGGTCAGCCGAGGGGAAGGAATTGTACTTAAAAAACCCCAAAACAAAACACAAAGCCATGTAGCAGAGGATCCATTGAGAGGAGGGAGGATAGCAGAGAGGAACTGAAAAACAAGTAGGGAATGAAGTCTGACCACTGGATTGCGCAGCAGGAGACTCACGTTTTGTTTGTGACAGAAGTTGACGGCTTGAAGAGTCTGCCACGTTATGCTTCTGACGAGATGCTCAGGAACTCTGTGCAAAGTCAGAGAAACCAACACGTAATCATCAGTATCTCATGAGAGCAAACTGTCTGGAAAGTTTCCAACAATGCAGGAAGAACTCTTCATGACCAACAGCAGGGATTAGATTTAGCTTTGTCTTAAAAGACCCTGCAAACTTATAGAAAAATATAAAAAATATGTATGTTTTAGTAAGATCTAAACCTAGGATGTGTGTTTTTGGACTGAGGGAGGAAGTACACACGAATATTGGAAAATTTAAAATCATCATGTATGTTTAAGGCACCGTCTAAGCCCAGCAGGTTGTGTTCAGCAAGTGAAACCAGAGGGGCTTTTACTCATTACATCACAGAGTGAGAGACTGCAGAAGTTCTTTCTTCCCATTAAACAAGTTAAACTTTTTTATTTGTCCAACTAGAAAAAAAAACTAAACCAAAAAACATGGGGACACCTCTGAAGTCTGCCAAGAGTAGCCAAACTGTACAACTGGTAGACTCTGCTTACAAAAGATTAATCAAAAACTGAATTTTCTGGATAGTAGGAGACATTTTTAGTTGTGTACAAACCCAAGAAGAAAACTCTCTGGGGTTAAATTGCTTAGCCTCAGCAGGGCTTCTCCAACTCCAAGTTGCAGAATCCACAATGAATTCTTCCACCATTTTTAAAGTTATCAACTAAAGAATGTTCAGAGGGAAGCACTCCGCCACCCATCCATGTCTTCCCAGAATTTTTTTTTCCAATTATCAATTATTAACAACAACAATAATTTCATTAAAAAAAATCCAAGTTAAATTTTAGCCAGAGGGTCAGTGTGATCGCGTCGGTCAACTGCTCGCGTGGAGGCATGAAGTCCTACTCGGCTTAATTAGATTTTCTTCTCTGACCCCCAACCACCACCCTCTCACCCGCTGCATAAAGCAACAGCAGAACTCAACTCCTTTGAAAAATCTTTTGCTGCCCTCTCCACCTTCCTTTGTCCAGTTGTTTTTCCAGGCCTCCGTTTCCTTTCAGCACTCCTGCCGTTTCCTTTGAAAGATGTTCGACACTGAGTCTTTTGTTGGCTCAGAGGGCCGCCATCGATCAGCGTTGCCGTGGAGACGGCTAATTCGAGTCTTGCGAGTGTCAATCAATTATAAACCTTTCGCCGCTTTTTCCTCACTTTGTTTTCTCCTCTTTTGTAGCCTCTGAATCCTCAGCAGACTGCAGGCTACTGGACGGGACCAGAGGGGGGGGGGGCGACAGCCAGAATGCTCCCTATAAAATGTGGGTGCCTGCCAGCAGAGCGTTTTGGGAGGGCATCACTGTAAGCATACCACAGAGAGCTGGTCAGCCTCCTAGGAGACAGACGCTCTTACGCCCACCAGAGAGGGACAGAGAGCAGGTGTATTATAGTTATATTGTCTTATCTTGCTTTATATTATATCAGTAATTGCTATATATCAACATTATATTATAAAAATCTGTATCTTTCAGTGGCTTTCATCCATGTGTGTTATAAGATGGAAAAGAAAGTTTAGCCAAAAAGGCTTTTAGAAAGGTTAAAGTTCAGTTAAAGTAAATTGTTTAATATTTCAAAGTAGGGGTCAAGTAGGGCTTTATGAAGTGGTCACTCAAGGGGGAATTGTTGGGTTTCTCTATGTATTGTCATAAAATAGTTGCTAGTTATGACTTATTACTAGTTACTAGTCAAAGTTATGATTTTTTCTGGATGTGGTGTAGGAATTCTTCTTAAAGCAAATGAAGTTTAAAAGGAAACATTTTTGCATGAGCATTTTTTATGTTGTTTTTTTTCTTTTTCTTTAGAAGAGTAAACGGTGTCCTGGGGAGACACACCCACCCACCCTCTGGGATGGCGGTCCAGCTCGTTGAGGACGGTGTGGTCGCAGTACTCGAAGACCAGGTGGAGCTTCCGTTTGCGTCGGAACACTTCGATGAGATTCACCAGATTGGCGTGTTTCAGCTGCTGCAGGGGCACAAATCACAGACGGCAAACATCACGGGGACGCTGCTCAGGGGAGAAAATGAGAGCCCAGCTCAATGTGCTGCAAGGGGGGGGGGGAGGGTTTCATCGGCGCTTTGCCCTTATCAAACAGGCTAAACAGTAAACACGAGGTAATAAACATGCTGTCGCCCCTGACAACACGCCCTATTTATGAGCTCCTGGTGTCCAGCAAGCACTCCCCCCTCTCTGCATGTTAAATCAAACCACTGCCCACCAGTGCATTTGAATGTGTGATTACCATCATTCAACACCAGCTGATTTTAGCTTGGACCAAAGACAAGCTTGATTATGATTTTTTTTTTTCTCCAGAAAAGGAGATGAAATATGTCCCAAGCTGACAAGTTATGGCTGAGCAAAGATGTTAGAGCCGGCGACTCATAATGTCCCTACTAATGGCTGAACTGCAGACGAGGGCAAGTACGTATTTCATGGCATGAAGACAGGTTTTACTGCCTGGAAACGCAAACTCTAAAGGCGGTGGTGGATTCAAGATTTTACTCTTTTATGCGCAAATAGTTGGTTAGAACTTTAACGTTTGGGTCCTCTGATTAAACTAAACGGGATGATGTGTTACAATGAGTTTGTAATCTCACTTTACCCTCCATGAATTAGATGTAAAGACATCATCGGTGAGTCGTTTTGCTACCTTAAGCATCCTGATCTCCCTCAGAGCAATCTTTTTGATGATGGGATCATCTTCAGATTCCACAAACTTCTTGATGGCCACAATCTGTCCCGTGTCTTTGTTCCTGCACTTGAAGACGACGCCGTAGGAGCCCTCTCCGATCTTCCCAATCTTCTCGTACTTCTCCATCCTCACTTGCAGGTAGGCGTCTTCGCAGCCTGAAAACAAGCAGAGCAACTGCAAGGTGTGGCTCTCGGTAAGGAGAAAGGCAGGAAGGGTGGAAGTAAGGCTCTAGTTTATTTCCATTTACAGACATTTTGAGGCTACTTCAGTAAAGATGACTGACATTTCCCACAACAGCAGACCAAAAGCTACCTTAAAAAACTCCTTGATGCATTTAGTGATAGGCAAAAACACGAAAAAAACAAAACAGGTGTACATCTTTCATTCGAATACAAGCAACCCCGCACGTAAGCCCAGGCTGGGTGCTCTTCCACAGGGGATCAAAATACTTACATAACCTCCTAAAGTGTCTGTACAAGATGTATACAGATGCTTAAAGGTAAGGTTACACCTGACTTCCAACAGTTACATTACGTAACAAAACATTTGCAATGCAAAATATCTGAGGTAATTTCCCCAAGGGGCACAGAGAGACAGAAGAAAGCAACAGAGTGCATCAGCCTGGGGAGTCAAATCAAAGTGTTTCACTTAAACATACAGGCTGTGTGTATATTCTAGAAAAATCATTTGGAGACTTAATCCGCAGTTTAAGAGACACACTCATAACTCTGATTTTAAATACGATGAAACACATGAGTTCTAACCAAAGCCGGACAGTGTTGTAAAAATGTGGAAATAATTAAGTATTTTCATGAGAAATGTAAATTATAAAAAAAACATAACATCCCGAGTTAAATAAACTAGTTGAACTAACCTTTCAGTGAAGATGTTTGCAGACGTTTCCCGGGCAGAAAGCGTCACTCAGAGCGAGCCTCTTCTCCTCCTCCTCTTCCACACACCAGCCTGTGCCGTGGGCAACCACACATCTACTGCCCCTGCAGCTGCAGCCAGCTCCTGTTTTAAAGGCGTCCAGCCAGACGGAGTGAGCCCTCCTTCCTGTCGCGCATTTCAAAATGAGGCTGGCCACTCAAAGTTTCACATGGGCCGCTGCAGAAAGCCTGAGACAAAACTGGGCCATCTTATGAATGTCATGCTTGTTCATCTGAAAGTCTGACTGCATATGAGACATATCAGCAACAGGTTTTATTCTTTAAGTCCATGTGATTTTTTCTGGACAAGAAAGTTCTATGTTTTAAGGCAGGCCACGACAGTCATTTACGGGAGTCGGTCTATCTAATGAAATAATAACTGGCTCGACAATGCGCTTTTTTAGTCATCAGTGTCTTTAACTGTTTTTGAGTAACCGAGGACCGTGTGTGCTAGTTCTTCAATTCAATTATGATATTGTAAAAAGTTAATAATACCGAGCACACTAGGAAGATGCAGGATAGAAACCTTACTCCATCATCTACGTCTCGAAGGGTGCTTCAGATTAAATAAACTGGGAGAGATGCCTTCATTTTGAAGTCGGCTTTATCAGACTTCTGGTTTCCTGTGACGACCTGCCCGCGTAAGGTGACACATTACTGCCTTTCCCTGCCTGGTTCCTATAGGAACAGCTGGCTCCTCCTCCTGAGAAAAGGGAAAGCAGAGGGTGTGTTGATTCTCTACAGCTGAGGGACTTGGCGTTAGGGATGATGGGGATGTCTAATAATGAGCATGCATCAGCCTGTGAACCGAGCAAACAGCTTCAAAAGCCTGTTGAAAAGCCCATTCACAGAGAGCAGGCACTCCTTTGAAAAAGATCATTTTGTGTTTACTTCAAAAGTCCTAAGCCTCAGAGGCTTCACATCTTTTAACGAGTGACAGAAGGAAGCTGCAGAACTATTGAGTCCTGTCTCACTGAGACCAATTAGAAGAGTCAGAGGAAAGGCAGACAAAAGAGGGAAATAATGGAAACTAATAGTCACCCGTCTTCATTTTTCCCCTCAAGAGACGCCTCATCAGCTGAGGAGCCTCTCTGAATTCACAACAATAATAAACCACAGCCCACGTTGTCATGTTAACAGCTTTTTTTTATTACAAAAAAAGGGGTGGGAAATCCAAAGTATACATTAAACATTTTGCAAAGGGAATGCAGAGATGTTAATGAAACCTAGCATCGTCCCTCATTTTGTCATTTCATTTTAAATAAAAAAAAATGTACAAAAGTGCTTAAATGGTGCAAATAATGAGAGTAAAACGTCTATAAAAGAGGGGTTGTAAAGAAAAACATTTACATTAAATCTGCGTTCTAAAAACTGCAGCAGAGCAGGAGTAGCAACTATATTACAAAGCAGTTAAAATAACCAAAAGCTGCTGAGGAACTGTTCACTAGGTAGTTAATCCTCACACAGCAGACCACTCTATCACTGTCTGGAAACCCAACAGTCCCTCTGACTGAACATGAGGTTAATAAATATTGCTTAAATAACCCACGGGTCTCGTAGGTTTCTGATTAAACGGATCAATTAGTTTTGACGATTGATTTTGTAAAGTCTCCGACCCCCCAGCAATGATTATACAGACACGTTACAGACAGAGAACAGTTAATCTCCCATTGTTTCCTATTACAATCACATTTCTTGTGAATTTTAATGGCACTTTTTTCTTTCAGTAATACTTCTAGATGACTTGTTGGTGAAACAGTCCACTGTATGGAAAAGTGAGAAAAAAAACTAGGTACTGTAATAAAGCTCCCTTGAGCTTCTATGGTGTCTGCTGCCTCCAGCTTGAACTGGTCTCCTCATTATTTGTGTTGAGGGGTGCTACAGCCAGCGTCTTGCTGGTGTAAGGCTACTCATGAATCCACGCCCAAGAGGCTCCTCTTTTACTGACCTGTTGATCCTGCGATCGGTACCAAAAGCTCCCAATAACGGTTCAAAACCGGACTTGTGGCTATACAAAAGCAGCTTACTGTAGGTCCAAATCTGGAAGTTCCTCCCACATCAAGGGCCTCCCACCCACGGGGAAGAGGCATTCAGTCTCTTGCTGACGATCAGTAACTGTTCTCATGACCTGCTAAAATGTAGAGGTTGCTCAGGGCCATTGGGTTGTCGGTTGGTCGGCTCTCCAGAACCACCACCCTGTGAAAGGAACAGAGAAGCAAGGATGAGGTGATGGAGCCCAAGATTCACTTTATTTGGTTCTATGTAGAAGTCTGCAAAATCTCTCAAAAAAAGGAGATCAACAACTCACAGATTACAAGACATCTCCATTTTTTATGGTTGACAACAAACACTAGAATTCTCTCCTCTAATTTTGCAGCCGCGTAGTGAGATCACAACAACATAAAGAATGTTCTTTTCATAAACATTTTAAACCTTTTCTTTTCTAGATGAATGATGATCTCATGGAAAAATAAATCAATATGGTTGTGATGTTCCTTTTCCCCATCAAAGTGCTGAATCAATCTCAAATGTGTCTAAGTTTCTTTCCACATTTCAGGTCGCTGTTACAGAACTGTTGGAAGATCCAACAAATAGACCAACACATTTACACCTTTTTTGGGATATATGTTATGGTAATTGAATGTTACCGGACAGGTTAAAAAAATCCTAAAAATGAATTCTTCTCATTCACCCCAGAGTAAATCGCAGCATTACAATTGGACTTACTTATGGAATGCTTATCAACAACTTGCACTGACAACAGCGCATGTTTAGGGTCTTTTTCTGCCGCCATGGTCGTAGCGATGAGTTGCGTGTGTTAAGCGACAGTGTGATGTCAGATCAGGACGGCAGCGAGCGCATGTTTAGATGAAATCCGTCTGGTGGTGGTGACAGGTGAGCAGGGAAGCTACCGTCTATACTGTCCGTTCCATCGGATGAAATTACAGAGCCATGGAGACACTCAAACCTGGCTGGCAGTGCCCGGGCAGTGAATAAAACATGGGGGGCCGGGCAGCAGAGGGCTTTCACTGGTGCCATGTATAGGACGTATCTGATGGGAGTCACTACTGACCCTGTAGCACAGTGGAATGATCCTGCTTCCCTGGGGTTGTTCTTTTCTAGCTTGTGTGGTTGAGAAAAATCCCATGCTGCCTGTCTTTCGTCTGCTGTATGGGTGCTTTCGTACCTTCTGCATGGCTACCATTTTCCTTTGCTAAATTGCTGATATATAAATGGCTTGTTTGACTGTGAAACACCTTCTCAGAGAGATAACAGGAAGTTGATAGATCGCCAAATGCCTTTTCAAGCTATTGAAAGATCTGGTCTGATGACTTCCTCTAAAGGGAAGGTAGTGTATCGAAGCAACCAGCAGATATCTTGATTAGTGAATGAACTCCCAAACTGACATGAAGATAAAAATATGATTCCAACTAGCTTTCAACTCCTTCTTTTTCTTTTGTTGAAATCTTAAAACATATTTGTGGCAGTGGGACACAGTGGAGACAAATATGCTGATTGTGTAAGTTTGTACCAACCTGTCTGATCCAAGGAGGTGGAAGACTCTGCTTGGATCAGAAATCTCCTGAGTCACCTGGAAAGAAATGAAAACAAAGGCTTTTAGACACTTAAAAAGTTACTGTGCACTATGCTAAATTACTGCCTTTATGAACAGTTTGAAATAAACTTTTCTGGTGACACTTTAAAGAAGAAGAAGCCTTATGAGAGCGAGATGAATGGCAGAAAGTTAGTTTCCTTTACACCAACATTTCATGACGCAAAGTGATCTGGAATTAAATCAATTTCATTCCCAGCCTCCACTCGCAAAGGAGTGACACAGTACAATATGTGCCGTAAGCAGGAAAACTGCATATATTAAATAAAAACTAGTTCGTCTAAAGTCTAAATCCAAATGAGTACAATTGATTTAAAGTTATCAGAATAAAAAAGACAGTGCATTGCAAAACCAACAAATTCATTGTCCTATTTTCAGCAGACATCCAGTATCAAATGAAGTGCCAACAAGCCTGTTATAACATTCCTAAGCTGTTCAACTTGAGTGATGGGGCCAGTGTTTACAAAAAGATCTTGGACTCTGTGTTTAAAACAAACATATGTTTTTAGAAGCCGGGGTGAAGGATCACCGTGTCTGTAGGGATCTCGTGTTTCTGGGTAAGTGGTGCTCCTGGAATATACCTGCTCCACACATGATGTGGCCTGGCACATTGTAGTGTGAAAGACAAGGACCCTTTCAATAGACTCCCGTGTTGACATGTCATGAATACTTGCTGACAGATGTGAGATAGTTGGTGGGTGACACCTGTTAGGTGTAAGCCCTTGGTTATGGGAGAGATCTGATCCGTTTAAGTCTAAATGACAACAATGTCTCAGGTGTTTACAGAGGGCATCCACAGAGACGACCATGGATCACCAGACTTTAACCCCCCCCCCCCACCTTCGCTTTGTACAAAGAATCATAACGAGATAAAGGCTGAATTATTTAGTGCCGCTCACTGTTGTGTGACAGGTTTCATTTATGATTGAACATGAATTTTACATGACTGCTGACATTTAAAAATCCTAGCAATAGGAGAACTGTGAGCTGGTCTGGACACAGACTCAGAAAAAAGGCCTTTTTGTTTTAGCCAAGTTCTTCAGGACCGTGTCTGCTCAGGCAGCCCCCAAACCACATATCGCTTTTCATAATGACAGATGTGATCTCTTGAACTTTTACTGTGTTTGGTTTAGCCTACCTTGTGATCAGGTTAACATGGAATCCCTCTTTAAAAAGGGCCAAGATTTTACTGTACTTAAACAAACATGCATAAGGCAGATGGGTACACTATGAACCCATGAAGACTTTAAGGGCTCAGTTCAACTTTACCTCGTTAGACTTGAAGCTCTTGCCCTGCATGCCATGCTTCCAGAAGGCCAGGACGCTGTCCTGAAGGCACACTGCAGAAACACATATGCAAAAAAATACGATTCAAACTCAATATTTTTTTTAACTTTTCACCCTGTGTTTGGCTTTAAAAGGCAGAAATCACAAGTATGTAAAAACGACCAAATATGCATCACTGGTGTTTGTACAGCTGCTGAAGGGCTGATTTTTCCCTCGGGTCTTTTTGACTTTTCTTTGAAACTGACCGCAAAAATAAGTCATCAAATGTCCCTGAATCGCTTTTAGCAGAGGTGCACAGATTAACCAACGGCTCTCAAACCTTACCAACAGACTCGATGCCGAAGTCGAAGCTGAGCTCAGAAGCCAGTTTCTTGTTGGACTTCAGCCTGCCTTGTAGATTAACGATCTTTAAATTATCTAAATGATAATTGAAAACAATCTGTTAGAATGGCACGATGATGACACACATATCAACCAAACCAGGTGAGGCTGAACTTACGGTCCAGACACACCAGCACAGTGTCCCGCTCCAGCTGGGTGACGTGGATCGCATCCACTTGCTGATTAGCTGTGGAGAAGACGGCCAATGAGACTGATACCGACAACTTTACTTAATCATAAGGTAAGAAATTACTCTTTGATACTCTTTTCTTAACAGGATGCTGCCTGTCTCTCTGATCTCAGCTGTGTCGGCACGCACAAACTCAGAAGCCAAATGATTGCAGAACATTTAAAAGGGGCATATCTGACTTACTTGTTCCCATTTCTGTAAACCAAGATGAGCAAGAGTTTAGGTTGATGGTCTCAAAGCGGACCACCTGACCTGACTCTGTCCCCTGGCTGATGGCCACACACACCAGGGGATACTCCTGCTCTGGGACCACCAGCATCTCAAACACCTTCAGCGGGCTCGGAAGAGGGAAGTCGAAGTGCTACAGGAACACACAGATGCAGGAATATGGTCAGCAATGCTAAATGGGGCCACACAATGTTCTGTGCTGTGAAGACTTAAACAGCTGACAGGCTCAGGTGGCTCGAATAACAGCTACGCCAAAGGAATCGTGGTGTAAGAAGTCTTTCTGAAAACTTAACGACAAATACTGAAGGAGGAAACAACAGGCAAAAATGAAGCGTTAGCGTTAGCATGTAAGATAGCGCTTTAGCGAGAAGAAAACATAAACTAACCTTGATAAGCATGAACCTCTGCATGGGCTCATACCACTGTAAAAGGACAATTCCAGACTGGAGAGCCCCACACAAGTACTTGTGACCTGTGTACGGGTTTCTTACTGTAAAGTAGATCAGAAAAAATAATAAATTAACATGTGCAGCCAGGCAGAGCTTTTACATAACTCTACACCATGGTTCATATGACTAGGAAAGAAAGCAAAAGAAAGTTTTATTTGAGTCACGAGACCTTGGAAAGCAAAGAGCCAAACTCAAGGAAGAAAGAGCTTAGTGGGAGATGCTTCTCGTGTATTGACACAATCTCACATGATTGATGGGAAAGGGTAACTGAAAGCAAAGTTTCTGTGAGGGAGAGTTTGCTCACCGATGCAGCATTTGTGACAGCCCTTAGTATCGGGGATCTTGGTTGTCAAGGCAAATCGCCTGAGGAGGAAATAGAGCTACATTGTCGTGACCGCAGACATAAGATATATGATGACATCAAGAATGAGGGAAGTTGGTTGTTCCTTTTTTCTGCTGTACTGCAATCGTTTGTCACGATGGTCAACAGCATGATGACCTTTAAAAGGCCCTATCTTCCAACTGACAAGAAGTACTGATGAAAACTGTCATTGGGGCATACACAAGATAAACATTCTGGTCCAGGTTCCAGGTATCTTGGTCTTACCTGGGCAGAATTTTGTCTGGAAAGCGATGAGTCTGGAACTGAGCTGCCAGGCCGGGCTTCTTTAGCTGCTCGAAGAGCCCAATGAGATTGTGGGAGTACAGCTGGAAAGACCTCCCTGCGGCAGATTACAGAATATTGCTTAATTTATTTTATGAGTAACAGCTAGAAAGAGCACAAAGGCAGTACAATAGTAGATGCAATCGGTAATCTTTTCATTAAAAAAGAATTGAAGGAATGTTGACTAAACTCTTGATCCCTCAAAGCGGTTTTCACAAACAGAGGGGTTAGATGTGAACAGGGGTAAAAACAGAGGTGTGATGATGATGTGAAGCATGATTACCTTCTGATGAAGCCAGTTAGTAGAATATCAAATCAAGCCAGGCGAGAGGAGGATGGACAGAGTCCAAGGGAAGAGGAGAAGAGAACAGAGGTTAAGTATACCAAGGGGCAAACTGCTGAAGGTAAAACCGAAAGTAGACCTCACACTTTGTAATCCCATCCTCAAAATGTTAAACCGAGAAAAGGATAGGCTTTTAGGAAAGCCAAATGCAGACAGTTTGGTTTCAGATGATGGCTGATTTGAGCTCTCTGACCACAGATACCACACAAACAAACAACATTTGCTTTTGAAGCTAGTAGAAAAAGTAACCTGCAAAACTATCAGTTAAAACAGGACACAATGCGTCCCTCAGGAGTCACAATGCTACAACAGCATTGCTCTTACAGTGGCCCTCGAATAGCATAAAAAGAGAAAAGGTTACTGTAAGGCTGCAGATATGGAGTGCTTCTGTTGCCTTCAGGGGCGGCCGGATTACACAGGACAAAGAAGCAGCAGGTTATGACAGTGGGCGGTAAAGCGGGAGGCAGTGATAAGTAATAACACTTACCTGACAAAGACATCAGATTGTTGTTAATGACGTACAGCCACGTGCACTTCCTGGGGAAAAGCTTTAGAGGAAACCAAGCAGAGATCAGACTATCAGTATCAAGTTGGCCATGAGTTTATTGAACTTCATTGGAGTTTAAAAGGAATTATTTGCCAAAAACTCAAATGCAGCTTCACGTGGAGACATGAAAATGATTGATTAAAAATGGCTGGGGTCTTGTGTGTCTTGTTTGAGCTGGGGTTACCTGCTCCATTGTGGCCTCATGAAGCTCATTAAGATTCAGGGTATAGATGCCATCCTCTGTCCCAAAGATTAGGTACTGATCTAGAAAAATAACGTGGAAATCATGTCAAGTGTCGGCTTTGAAAAAACATACCTTCTGCATACTTATGTGGATGTTGCTCGCTGTGCCACACGTACCTTTTGTGTCTGGATGAATCCATGATGTGGCACAGTTGATTTTCAATGGACAGCCATCAAACACTTTGGAGAAACAGGCTCCCATCTGTAACAAAAAGCAATCCAGCTCAGAGCAGGCAGCATCTGGCTTAGCGAAGCACCCAAATGTCGGCCAGGATTTAATGAGCTGGAGAGGAGCCGAGCAACAAAGCAGAGAAACTCTGTGGACCCCAAATATCTGCAGAATGTGCAGCAGCAGCTCAGACATGTGTTTAATGACAGCGTTTGTGAAAGCATACCAGCAGGGCTGAGGGGAGACTTTGAGGGACAATGCAGATGATTTACTCACCAGTACTTTAGGAGTTGGTGGCAGGCCGTTGATTGCTGGTTTCTAAGGAGAAACAGAGGAAATCCAAACCATGAAACCACCACAGATGCTGAACACACAGACAAAGCAACAACAGTTCTATCAAACATAGCTCCATAATTTAGCTCCAGCCTCAACAATAAGCCAAATAGCAAAGAATTTTGACTGTTTTTGGGTGTGCTCTGTTGACGTCCAATGTTAACATGAACGGATGCCAAACATCTTTATTTAACTGTAAGGATCTGAATCTTCCAAAGGCAAAATTATTTTTATTTTTTTTATTTTTCAAGACAAGGTCTGCCGAATTTAAAAGTTTGCCTCTAAAGCCACACATTCAAATATTAATCTAACAAACAAATGACACTACAGACCCCAAAGACAATGTTGTAATGTAAAATGCTATAAAATAATAATTAACTTACAGGGAATTCCTTTTTCCGGTGCTCCCGGTTGGGCGGCACTTTCGGACTGCCTCCGCTCGAGCTGCCATCTGAATCATTATCTATCATGGAATTAAGAGCTCATTTACAGAAAAGTACATTTCCAATGTCATAATCTCAAATCAGAAACATGTTCAGATCCTAAGCCAAGACCCACTTACATCAGTCTCCCTTACCTTTACATTCAAATTTAGTGGGAGCTTGTAAAAAAAATAGAAGGAGCGCTCTTTTAGAGGTGTGACTGGTTCATGGGGATGGGACACAAACGACTAAACAAGGAACAGAAAGTCGTGAGACTTACCAGGATCAGACGCGTGAGACAAAAGGCCGGGGCTGCTGACGCTGGCGGAGAGGAAGTCTGTTGATGAATGCTCCACCTTGTTGCCCTGCTCGGGTGTGCTTTGTCTACGAGAGACCTGGCTGGATCCATTCTCTGTATTGGGGAACCGCCGAACTGTCAGGCACCTGTCTTCATTTAGCCCAATCTCCTCAGACGAACTGTTTAATCGAGGCTGAGAGGAAGATGCAAGAAAGATACAAATTTTGGCTGATGCCTTTTTATATGCATATAAAATCAAATTCAACATAAATAGGACAGATGTAAGCCTCACCTTTGGGGGCAGGGGGGGTGGAACACCTGGCTTCAGAGTAGACCTGAAATTGAGTTATTTAACAGGAAGACATAAACTACAGAATTGGATGCTCAGGATATGCAATAAACTGGAATCAACTGACAAATCTTACAGTTCAACTTCTTCAAAGGCATCTTCCAGATGAGTGACGTGCCCGCTGCAGGAGACAAATACAGCCATTAGTGTGGAAAGTGGACCTTTGTGTGGGGCCTCAGGGTGGATGTTAATGAAGCAGAGATGACTCACAAGAATCATGTTTGTTTGACTACTGAACACCTTCCACCTAACAAAAAGCCCTTAAACCACACTGAAGCTAGCTGTGCAGGCTTAGCCCTGCATGGTTATATATTACCCGAACGCTCTGAATCAAGGAAGTGCTTTTTTCGCTCTTTTTTTTTTTTGCATTACATCAATGTGCTCATTATTAATCACACCACATGTGGAGAATGGAAGGGTATTGGGGTGGGGCGTATTTTAACCGCAGTGCAAAAAGGGAGGTGGAAGAGCAAAGGGTGAGCTAGATGGTGTGGAGATACTACACTACGCAAGTGTTAGTGTTACCGTATGAACAACTCATCCTCAACGCTTTTGAGAAGGCTCCTTCGAAGGGCAACACGGTGAGGCAGACAGCCAAAAGAGGACAGAGAGAGTTCAAAGGGGGAAAAAAAAGGTCAAAAGCACAAACACAAGTGAGAAGGAGCTGAAAAGACCAATGCGACATTTGGAACTGCAGACAGGGGGAAAGTGAGCATTTGTACAGGCGCAGGTCAGGTCATGTGAGTAAGCAAGTTAGTGTGATACAGTATTGAGCGGACCGTAGCTATTGTTAGGAGCAGCGTTCAGTCCGCTCAACAGAGAAGTTAAATAAATACAGCACGAGACCATTTCTGTGAGCCAGTCTCAAGAGAAGCATTTATCTCATGCAGGTAAAGAGTGGGAGAGACAGAAAGACACTCAAGAGTAAACAGGACCAGTTCCCATGACAACAGTTTCCATAGACTACCTGGTTGTTATTCCTCCCTCAGCAAAGGGGCTCCAGGGGGAAGGGAAGTCATTATCTTTATTCACATCCTGTGGAAAGGCAAACAGCCACAGAAATAGATTTTTTAAAAACGTTTCTGCTTTTAGACAATTTAAAACTAGTGAATCAAATGAAAATGTAAAAAAAAAGGGGGTGGGGGGTGCTTAACCACACCACCATCATTACCATATCAGAATGAGCCTCGGTTTCCTTGGGGAGAGGCGGATTAAACTTGAGCTTGTCAACTGTGAATGAAAAACATTGTCTTCATTTTTCTACAAATTCCCACCAAACACATAAACTTGACACTAGAGGGCATCAATACTCAACACTTTCAGACGCACAAACCTCTCCCAGTAACCCACAAGTGCATTAGTACCAGGAGCCTTAAGGAGACTTTGCAAATCCTTTCTTGGAATAAAAATCCCATGGGCGAATGAAGCAACACACAGATTAACAGCTTCCATAACACTGTACCTGGCATCACACCACAGAGATCCTTCAGCTGATTAATGATAAAGCTATGTGAATGTTTGGTCAGGGGTCTGAAGATGAGTTGGTCAGCAAAGGCAAACACAGACGACACTGGACGCTAACCAGATCTGCTCAGGTTGGAAATATTGGTAAGAGAGAGCGATTACAAATAAATCAGAGAGCAAAATATGCTTAGTTTAGGTTTGAGGTCACATTCTGTCAAACAGGCGATTCAGTAGGAGTCTGGCTTATGGTTGGACGTAATCGTGTTGTGATGTGTCCCATTTTAAGTAGGTGAACGAAATCAACCAACCTGCCAATAAATACTTCTACATAATCAGCTTCTCATAAACAAAGAAACTTTGTGTAACTTCTCTGCTGCTGATTTACTGTTAAGGAATGCTGATAATGTGGAAGTGCTGCAGTTTTTTTCTATGCAGGTAACATATGAAATCCCCATCGTGAAATAGTTCAAAGATGAGAGATCAGGTTAGCCACTGAGTCAAACCTCCTTATCAGGATCTAATTAGTCAACCACTAAACTTGTAGTACTTCAAGTGAGTTTCACAGAAATTAAGATGTTATGACACCCAAATTATTCACCCTCAATCAAGATGAAGTTGCAACTCCAAGTAGAGAATTTTGCCTTGTTAGTGTCACATCGCAATTTTGCCACAGCATTGTACTGTTTCTCAGGATGGATGTAAGTGGGAATTAGACAAATACACACCGTCTAACTACACTGTAACTAACCTGGATCCCCTCTGCATCTCTCAGAGATGCTAGGATGTGAGATAGGTTCTCCTTGGTCTGTCCCATTGTTTGCTTCACGTAGGAGGGAAGGGTCAAATAATGGTGAGAAATTCAGATAAAAAGTAAACAGGATGTGCATCTGATACAAACCATCACAACGCAAACAAGCACAACACACAATGAAGCGTGTGTCCCGGCAAATAAGACAACATCTGACAGACACATATCCCACCACTGGACCGTTACTGCGACATTAGAGTGGGGAGATGACAAACGGTGGCAGTGCAGTGGTCAACTTTGACCTCAACCACACAAGAAGCGAGCTTCTTCGCAATGTGTCGGAACATAAACTGGATCCTTTGCTGAACTCTGCACTAACAATATCTGTCTCACAGCATTCCCACAAGGACCTCTGTGGCCTGTGAGACAAGCTGTTCCCTTCATTCTTTCTCCTAATTCAAATGAATAGAAGTTAAGCAGAGCCATGGTGTGCTTCCTTACATCCGCTTTCTCTTCCATGAACCACCACGCTATTATTACACCCTCTACCACAAGCTGTGGCCTGGAGAAGCGCCAGGCCACGGTGCTGCGGGATTAGTGCGATGGCCCTCAGACACACCTCTGTCCACCTAAAGAGCCTTGCTGGCTGAGACACTGGGGATGAAGCACGTTGGCCCTGGCGATGCGTTTTGGCTTTGTGCTCACTTACAGTTTATCTCAGAACGCGTCCTTTCGGCCCTGGCCTGTTTGTTGGTGGAGCGGATGGTGTGTCTGACTGCGGAGAGCGGCTGTGAAAAACATTGAAGGAGACAAAAAAAACAAATAAACACATGGATTCTTTTTGTGACAGAGTAGTGATTGAGGATTTATAGTTTATGTAATGCTGGGCCTGAGCCATCTCGGGTCGTTTGGAAGAGTTTTGGAATTATCTTTCAAAATCTGTGAAAACTATTTCTAAAACTTGCGAGTTCGGCAGCGAGGAGAGCTGCTTTGCCATCACCACATTATTATGCATCCCAGAGGGTGTTTGTTTGCTGCGAGCTTCATTGCTTGCGGTCAATAGCCTTAGGAGGGGGGTTCACTCTTCGTGGCCAAGACAGTGCTACTGCTGTCAGGGGGGAGAAAAGCACAATGGTCTTCTAAAAGACGCTGGTACCACCTCTTTGGCTGCTACAAAGATGTGTCGCTGACCACAGATGGAATAAGAATGTCAATAGAGAGAATCAATACGAGTTGTGGGGGATGGGGAAAATTTAGACAACTGTGGAAACAAAGTTCAGAGAGGCTCATGGATTATCTTTTGTTGCTGTGCTGATAAATAAACCTGCTGTTCTAATATTTACAGTTAGTGCTGATAGGGCATCTGTCACTGTTTGCATGTCTGTCAGTTTCTCAACCTCTGTCTCCCGGCATGATCCTACACCATGGAATTTTGAAAGTGGGCTGCTTTGCGTGTGTAAATGTGATGGCTGCTTTGATTATTTTCAAAAACATTTTATTTGAATAACTGAACATGTCAGATTACCTCGAGGTCATCATCATCGATGTCACCATAATGCTGGTGGTTGTCTGGGTTGTCCATCTTATCAAGGAGATCGACTGCAAGCCTTCTTGTCAAGCCTGTCTGGGCCACAAAGACATGCTGGAGAAAAACAAAACATAATTAATGTCTCTATTCATAGAATTCTGACTTGATTGAATATTCAATAACAGAGCAATGAATATACATTTACATCCGTTAATATATCCCAACTGAAGAGTTTTATTGTCACAGAGGTAATTAAAAGGGTTTCCCTTAATCATTAAGATTTAAGGCTAATGAGCAGGGACAGTTATCCTCAGAGGAGGACACCAGGGTATATCACAGGAGAGTATCTTGGACAAGAATAGAGCTGTTTTAGAAAGAATCATAGGAACCTAAACTAACTGGACATTTTATTGAGCTAAACCACATTATAATAAAGAAGGAAGCTACAATATATGTGTAGTAATGTGTAGTCTTTGCATAACCTAAGGAAAAGAGTCTGTCTGTCTGATCCCAGAAGCTCCTGCTGGAGTTTGAATGAATTATGACATCAGACTAAAATGTTTTACCGTAAGAAGTTTTTCTGCAGTGGGACGCTTCTTTGGGTTCTTCGTTAGAGACACTTTCACAAAGTTATGGAACGCAGTAGACCTGAAGGATTACACAATTTCCCTTTTAATACAGTGATTAGCTCCGCTATCGCCACGGGCCATGGTATCAAGTCAAGGTTATTCTTGCACACTCACCATTTGTTTTTATCTTTTAGCTTGGGAGGCTGGAAGCTACTTTTTGACATCAAAAACAAGGCTCTACAGAGAACAAAAAACAGACCACATTCACAAAATGCTCAAAAGAAGACAACAAAAAAACACATGTCCAGTTTAAAGAAAACAGCTTAGCCATCAACATAACTTAAAGCTCAATAAGACATCTGAGGAAACACAAAAGCAGGAAGCACCCTAAGAATGATGTGAGGAAGCTTAGACACACCTCATCGGATGCAGCTCAAACATTGGAGGCTGTAGCTCGGCCAACTCAATGGACGTGATGCCAACAGCCCAGATATCACACAGCTGGTTGTAGCCACCGTTCTTTTCAACCGCTGCTACTTCTGGAGCCATCCTAAATAAAGTAAGGGCAGCACTTTCACATTGACTCCAGTGAGGATGGTTGGACTTTGTGACAAATGGGACAAGTGACAGAACAGAGGCTTGTATCTGCAGGATGCAGACATGTATCTCTCTCCAAGAGTTCAATGTCTCGCTCAGGGACAACAATGGGACACTGAACTTGGGAGAAGCCTGTGTCGAAACGCTAGTATCACTGTATCGTCCTGGTAACCATCACATTAAGTAAGGGTGTCACACTCACCAATAAGGTGTTCCAATGAAAGACTTTCTTTTGGCAATGGTGGCTGTTATTTTGGCTGCGACTCCGAAGTCAGCTGTGAAAAGGATTGACAGGGCTTTTCAGATTATGTAATGTGCATACGACTAAAAGCCACTGCGGATTTAAAGTCCCTCAGAGTTGGGATTTTCAAAAGAGCCTTACCTAACTTCACATCTCCGTTGTCTGTTAGAAGTATGTTGGCACCCTGTTGAAAAACAAAAAAACAAAAGACAAACCATAAAACCTTTGTTTGTTACTAAACTAAATGGAGAACTCGGGGCTTCAAACAGCAAAGTGAGCAGATGTTTTTGTATTCAGCAACTGGTCTGGCTGAAAAATGCACTACAGATCTGTTTGTATCGGATCTGACTTTCGGTTGCTTGAGCCAGTCACAGCTTTTGACACTGTTCCTGTTGGCTGTGACTGACAGTCTCTGTGGTGGCATCCTGCGATGAGAGTAGAGGAAACAGGAAGTGCATGTTGTGTCGAGCTGAGAAAAGATAATAGGGTCCAGCCCTGACCTATTTGATAACACGCGATGGGGTGAGAGCCTTTTAGGCACGCATCAGAAATGCTCATCTACACCTCAACCACAGGCCTTAAGTGAGAGAACCACTCGTCACATGCTTTCAAGAGAGTTAATCCTCAACCAGGCTTTCTTTGACACTTTGGTTCTCACCTTCCCTTCACTGGACTGCTTGAAGGCAAATATCTGCAGTCAGTAGTTTTTCTCACACCCTTTTTTAAAAACTTTTTAAATCAGTTAAAATAATTTACGCCAAAGGATTTTAGTTTTAATCTCTGACTGGTCTGCATCATTGACGAACAGTTGATGTTAAAACAAAGAAAAACACAAAGAGATTTTACCTTAATATCACGGTGCATCTTGCCCTTGGTGTGCAGGTAACCTAAACCCTGAATAGGACATAAAAGATTTATTTTACCTAAGACATCACACAGTGCAACACATGTTTAAACCTTTCAAAGAAAATTTACCTGTAAGGTCTCTCTGCAGACATATGCGATCTGAAGCTCCGACAGAGGTCCAGTCACTACAAAACAGAGTCAATGAATGTTTGCAGGGCATGTAGTTCTCATATCAAGATCATTTTTGTCAGTTATGCTTAAGAGAGAAGCTCACCATGATAGATATCCTGTAGGGATCCTCCACCACAGTACTCCATACATATCCAAAGTTTCTCCCGACTGGGGGGGGGGGGGTAAAAGAAGAATTCATTTCCATTTTGGAAAATGCTTTGATGATCAAGCTTGGCCAATCATAGAGCTAAGATACATATAGCTGCTTTAATTGATTTAAGGCTAAATTAAAGCACGCAAAGTAAATATTAAGCAGTAAAAAATCTGAAATGATTTAAAAACAACATGCTAATACACCAGAAAACCTGAGACCTCACTCATTTTCCCATTACATCTGTTAGTGTATAATGGTGTTTTTTTTATGTGTATTTGCACTTCAATATCCTCTTCCGCCTGTCAAAAAGTGTGAAAATGAGATGTCCCATTGTTTTCGTCAGGTTTCCAGTCACAACCCCTGCTGTGAAAATGATTCCACTTAGACATAAAGTCATGATAATTTCAAATGAAATACAATGTATTTCCACTCGACAGTTTGACATGCTTTTATAATATACATTGCGTGGTGGCTTTCCTCATTAATGTTTTACTGTGATCCGTCGAGCTTTGTGTGGCAAGACTATACAAGACGTACCTGCTGTGTAAAGACATGCACTAATGGGCCATATAAAACAGTTCAGAGGCTCATATTCCTGTTAAACCTGTTGGAAGTCTGAGGCAGTTGTGGGCGGACCGGACCTACTTCCTCTAAGATAGCAGCCACAGCCAAATAAAAAGAAAAAAAAAGGAAAAGAAAAGAAAAAGGGACCCCAGTTAAACATAAAACAACCTCCTGGCACTATAGGAGTCACCACCAGTCCACCTCAGCTGATGACTTTGAGTCATACTTTCACACATGGGTGTGACAAAATAGCTGTATACATCGTGTGAGTTTTGAGCGGCAGCCTGTGAAATCGTTCAGACGGCTACACCGGTGCTCCACAAAAGCCGTACCCTGCTCTGGCTGTAACTGCGTTGAAACTGTAGAATGACAAAGCAGAAGTGTTTTGAGCTGGCTCTTACCAGAGGTAGCTCCCAAAGTAGGCCACGATATTCTGGTGCATGCATTCCTTCACCATGAAGATTTCCTGCTGTATGATGGAAAAGTCATCCCCTGGAAACACAGGCAGAAATCACACAGACACAAGGACAAATGTTATTTCATGTTCGAGGGATATCCACATTTTAAAGGTGAAAACATTTTGAGAGATAAAAAGAAAAGAAAAGAGGCTTGCTGCTCACTGAATACTAAAACACAACATGTTTTCTGTTCTGGAAAAACTAAAAACAACACAGAACACGGAACAACATTCTGGGACACTGGTTGTGCACGTTTTCCACCTCAGGTTTTTGTAAACAGTTTTGATTTACTGCACTTAGAAAAAAAAAAAGGGGGGAGCATAGTTCAATTCCCTCTGACCACATGCTTCCATACTGTACAATAAGGCATACAACGTTAAGAGGGAACATTGTGTACTTCTTAACGTTTACGTGGAATAGGCTTATTTCCAGGGTCGGGGTTCCAGTTCAGCAGTGTCCTCTAACACATCCAACCAGTAGGAAGTAAAAAGATAAAATATGTAAGCCCAGCTGCTTGCAATTGAGCAGAGACACAGCCCTGGAGCACATTAACGCAAGGTTGAGATTTACCAGACTACCAGCTTTAACACTCCATCAACACATTGTCAACATAGGCACCAGTCCAGGTTAAGCTCATTGAATGAATGCAGACAGCCAAAAAACAAAAAACATTTAAAGCAAAACAGCATTACTATTGGTGGAATTCCCTGCCAACAATTAAAAAAAAATTAAACTCCTCTTTATGTGGTCAAGGGTATCAGGTCTGCTTTGGAAGGTGGTATGAAAACACAGATTTCTTCATGGCTGAATTGTGCAATAGTGTCCGAAAAATATTGGAGGTTTGGGTCTAACCACAGCTCCGGCCAGTTCATTTAAAGCGATTCCTCCTGGACCCCATGGTCTCACCGTCGAACACTAACAGAAGCCAGCGGACAGTCATCTGGAGTCTGTCTTGGTTTAGGCTCCCTCAGTAGTGCCTGGATTCAGGTCTGATAGGATATGGCAGTACACCAGAAATTGTTCCATCTACTTTGGACTGAGACTTAATAAAGAATAGAGACTTGGGAGGTGTTATTTCGTCCCCTCAGGTTAATGGCAAACAGGATTTCTTTTTTTGCTAAGGATGATGCCATCACTGGGTTAATGCATGATGAACATTCGACTTCATGCAAGCAGACGGTGTGAGTGTACACACAACTGGTTTAGCACGCGCCTTTGGAGAAACTAACAACAGAACATTAAAAAGTTATTTTTAAAATTCACAATTAAAACCATCTTTATATTTCGTAAGATTGTATCAGGGTATTACTTTAATTACAAACATAACTGAATTGTACCGATCTCTCTCTCTCTCTCTCTCACTTTTTTTTCTCTTAAACATATATATCTAATGACAGACAGCAAAAAGCCACAAAACTTTGAGCAACAGTAATTTGGGTGACATGACTGAGCTCCGTCCAAAACCAAAGAAAAAAAAAAGTAACAAGTCACCCTGCAGTCTTCTCCTCTTCATAAGTTGAAGGCACAAGAGAGCAGCCACTTCCTCTCAGGCTGAGCGCTTCCCTCTGCTCTGAATACACACATTCTTGCCCTTCGTGTCAAGTTTCAATTTTGATATGCTGAAGTTATGTGCTGTTAAATCCTAATCTCACACCAAGAGGTTCAGAGAAACATTGAAATATTGTCTCTGTGCACTGGTAGTGTGAGAGTAGTAAAATATAAAGCATTTCCAATAAGTTATTACATATGTTCCACGTGAAAAAATGTCAGAAAAACTATTTCTGATAAGGACATTCAGAAGGTGAACCCTACAGAGGAAGTGAAGAGTGCTGTGTATACCAACACTGACCGACAACATATATCCTTTCCAATATATGCAGAAATGAAAGGTGTTTTTTTTTTTCTTCAAGAGAGAAAATATATTGTTTATCCAACTGCTCGCCCTGCTCATTGTCTGCTGCACGTATCAACAATTTCAGGTGTTAAGATGGATAGTTTTTAAACCAGTTTTGGATTACAGCATGGCATACTGGGTTTTAGTCATGTGATGTACTGTTTGACTTTGTCCGCCCCATAAGGAACAGACTGTCCTTCTTCTTCCATCAATGGACAAAAAGTCAAACTTGGTTAGAAATGACCAAATATCTGTATCATCTGTTTAACAAACTCCCACTGCTGCTCTGCAACCCTCCCGGCTCTCTGTGGCCTTCTTCATGCAGACGTTACTCCTCCCGGTTCAACCTGTTTTTTAGAACGCTCCACCCAAAGATGTTTACCTCAGGCACAGGAAAGGGTGACTTGCAAAATGTGGATGTAAAAATAAAGAACAGTCTTTCAGCAGGATGATGCTAGCTGGCTTAATCCTTCATCAAAGTGATGCAAAGCAGCCCCGGCCAGAAACTAAATTCAACAAAGCATTCATATTTTAAACAATAACCTGTCATTAACTTCCGACCTGAGCAAAAACCCTGGGCCCCTAACCAAAAAGCCTTCTTCTTCCATTGTGTCTTATTTGTTATAATCAGATAAAGAAATATATTTCAATTTGATTCTTCTTGCGATTACAGATCAAAATGCCAGACTTGACATTGATTAAAATGTGTAAACACAAAACTAAAAGGCATTAAGGGGACTCCAAACAGTGTAGCTACCCAGCATTGATAATGACATGATGAATGAAAGAGAAAAACTATACGAGTGAATCTCTTCCTGCACTGGCTGGTAATCAGATTCTCTGTCTGCCTGCCGGTGATACAAAGCCCCTTCCGTAATCCCACTAATCTGGATCACACTGACTCCGTCGCTAGGTCATTACCAACACACATCCTGAGCTGGACGCAATCAGAAATATCATCATTCACATAAACAAAATCTCATTCTGCTTATACATTTTTTCCATAGTTTTGTCACCTTGAAAAGCCTGATGATCATCAATTCAAACAGGATAATTTGATATATGATACAAATATAATGCATTTTCAAAAGCAATAAGTGGGCAGAAAACCTTTGGCATTTGACGCTCTAGTAAATATTGTGCCGTTAGAAAGTTTGGTAATAGACAGATGTATTGTGGAGCTGTTGTTTTTGGATGCTTAGAGGGATCCTTTCAGAAGCCTGTAAAATTATTTCATCAGAAAAATCAGATACAGATGATTACACTTACCCGGTTCCAGCTTTATGATCTTCACAGCAGCAAGCTCACCCGTCTGAATGTTTCGTGCCTGAAAGACAAACCATTGTTACTAAGAGAGAGGCTACTAATAACATTTTTGATATGTAAACAAAACTAAAAACAAAAACAAATTTTCCGGGCTGATAAGGATTATCAAATCTGATCATGTACCTTGAGTTGTACACGAATCTCACTGAAAAATTTCATTAGTTTTTGACATTAAGAGCGAATGGTAACAGATGATCAGCTGCTCTGACAACTAACCAGATCAGCTGAAAGACAGGATTATTCACCAAATGTTTGCCTTCATCAGGAGATTATACAATTCAGAAAACCATCGCTCTTGGTGTAAATGTAATATGTGAGAGTCAGTCAAACAAAGGTTGCAGATTGCCAACATTACACTGAGCAGTCTGAACTGGACACTGACTTTTTAACAGTTTTTCCCGGCTATTTTACCACTTGATGTATTAAGAAATAGGTCAATAAAACTGGGATTTTGTTAGCGTGTGACCTGGGTGTTTGACCAACATATGCCAATTAGATCATTCTTTAATATCTGTGAGAGGTGCTTTTACATTCTCAAGAAAAGAGCATTGTTACACTACACCAGGCGAGCTCAAATCTAAACAAAAATATTAATAAATAAACGTATTCATTTAAAGTGATTGGACTGCTGTCAGTAATCATCTCATGCTGAACCTGCACATTTAAATTTAATTTTTACATCTCGCCATATCTTAATTACTTGTTTCGCAGTGTGTATTTCTTTTTGTTTTAAGCCAACAGCTATGATTGAATTTGTCGAGGAAAATGTATCGTCGGAGGGGAAATTTGTATCAAAGTAGGCTGCGCTGTCTTCCGAATCCAGGTCAAGATGGGATGCTCCCTAATCCTTGGGAGTGAAGAGATGGGACAAGCAGCTAAATCAGCCGTGAAGCCCCAGTGTGTCCAGCTGTGAGCGCTGGAAATGCGCTGCCAAGTCACAACTACAAGCACTAACCAACTAGGCGCTTAAAACTGCTCTGAAAAAGGCTTCTGATATTTGTGCTTGACCCAGTGCAGTGATGCCATTTCTAAAGTAGTTTCAACAGTGGAGGCTTGCGAGTTCTGCTTTAAAGGGTGTGTGTGTGTGTGTGTGTGTGTGTGTGTGTGTGTGTGTGTAGCAACTGATGACTTGCTTACAACCTGTGGCTCACTTTACACTTCCTGAAGTAGCTTTAACAAACTTGAGAAGTGAACCAGGAAAGGAGAAGTTCTGTCCACGTATGTGATGCAGCACTCAGACAGCTTTAGCAACCTCTCGCAGAAGGAACGAGACAACCTGGCTAGATGAGATCTGACTTTGATTTATCAGCAAGTCTGACTGTGGGGAAAACCGGGTCTGAATAGATCTCAATCAACTTCTGCAACTATAATGAGGATGCTTCATTTGTAAGCATATAATCCCTAACTGTAATTTAGTGCCTTCAATAAAACTTGTCGCCTTTTCCCCCTTATTGAAATGTGCCATGTTGACAACTCCTGACAAAATGTAACACAAGTAACCAAAAGGTTAAGGATTCCATGGCTGCTTGTCTCACACACACCTTTGAAGCAGGAAGAACAGTATTGATTTTGTGGAGGGTTTCCTTTATACAACTTGACCAAAAAAATCTAACTGCCAATAAATGCAAGTAGGTTTCTGGCAACTAATAACAGGCAGTAAATTACTGCCAGTCAATGACTACTTTCGTCACATAATAAATAAATACATTAAAAAAACAGTTATTTGCAAAGATGCCTCAAACCCAAACTTTTTTTTACAGTGGTGCCAGCATGAATTACCTGTTAAAATAATCTATGCACGGCTGGCAAAACACGTATTTTTCCTTATTTGAGGTGTTTCCGTTGTCAATGCCATGCTGAACACACCCATAGTGAAACTCGTGTTTAGACAGGGGCCGGATCGTATTTCAGCCCCTGCAGCCCTCAGCCTGTGAGCTTTGAGAGAATACCAGGCGCAGCATTCCACCAGCGGCCTGTCTGGGGGTGGGGGCTGGCCAGAGAGGCTTTGTGTGGAGAGACCATGACAGACTGGCTGAACTATCCAGTCTGGATCAGATGGTTGGTCTGTTTGTCAGTGGCAGACGGATAAACAAAAAAGGTTCTCCAGAAACATAATCCTCACAGATGACAGCAGAGCATGGATGAACAATATAGTGGTTTTAAAGCAGTTAGGGGTTTGAACAATAACGGGTGCTAAAAAAAAAACATTAATTAAAAGCAAAAACAAAAAATGCAACAAAAAAAAAACACTCAAAATAAAAACAGTAATCAAGTTTAATTGAATTAATCTAGACCTTTGATTTAAACAACTTTACACATCTATTACAGCCCTGACTGCAAATAATAATATAATAATTCTGTACAACTGTCAGTGGTTACTCTCACTCTAAGAACAAGAAATACAGGCTTAGTTATTAAGCTTATACTCTTATTTGTTTTTCTTATCTAAAATACATATGTATCTGGATGCTTCTAAAGAACACACTGATTCTATGCAATAATAGCTGTCTCCCCACTGTAACATCTCACAGGTATGGCTTGGCATTGCTGATCAGAACATCTACATGACAGCAGAGGAAAAAATATTGTAATAGTCCAACAAGAACCTGACTTAAAATACATGTTCATATCTTAGTTTGCATATAATGGGAGTTCTGAAAGCTAGCAGATATTATATGAGCCCAACTGCATGTAGATGGACTCTCTAAGGCTCTTGAGGGTGTTCAGGAGGCGTGGAGATATTCACAAGCCTCTGGGGGAGTTCTCCTAGCTTTCTTACCTGCCATTAGAAAATAAAGAAAGCTTCCATTTAACCTCTGAATAAATGTCGAGTTCAGAGTACCTGGCCTTCTCGGAGTAACTGGACTTTGTCTAAATGGGGATACCAACTGGAAGTTTCCATTGTCCCGCTGGGAGATTTCAATACTCCTGAGGGCAATTATGGGGTTACCTGGACTGTGATTGTGAGGACCCCGAGCTAAACCAGAACGGTGCTTTGTCAGTGGAACTTGTGCATGTCATACATTGTCCATAATGAAGACCGTGTTTGAGTATGAGCTGAGAGGTGAGTGCACTTGGTACGAGGCCCTATTAGGTCAAGGGTTGCTGGAGGTTTCTCTCCTGGACGTGTCCCCTCCACACACCCAACTTCAGATAAGAGGAATACAATGGATGGATGCCAGAGTGGCATTGGTGGTTTTAAATTAGATACAATCAGGCAAATCAGGTTCCTTTGTGTCAACAGCAGGCAGCAAATAACTACAAATAACTACAACTGAAGCCCTCATAGTCGAATAATCACACACAAAAAAATTCAGTCTTACTGGATCCATTTCTGTTTTCTATCATTAGTCCCACTGTATCCTTGCATACTGTGAAAATACTAATAAATAACCTATGACACGGTGAAAAGTGGTGTCTATAACAGATGTTTGACTTGGACAACTATCAGTATGCTAATTTCCTTTGATTTACACTAAAGACATGTGACATGTTGAATTTAACAATAAGAATATTTGAAGAACTATCAATGCTCCAGTGAACTGTACAATATATTGTATTGAGTTTAGCCTGTTATTTCACAGAGTGTGACTTAGGGAAAATCATAAAGACATGTCACAGTATTATATCATCTATTCATATAATCATCTTGACTTGGAAATTATTCAGGGAGTACTGTCAAATGTGGTTGCCACATGTTATGCCTTACAAAACAAACAACACAGGGCTTATAGGCTGATTAGTCATGAGTGGGTAAGTCCTGCCATTTCCAGCTCTATGGACAGAGTGTGGGAACCAAAAACCTCACTGTACCTTATACACGTCTCCATATGTGCCACTTCCCACCCTCTGAATGAGCTCAAAGTCATTCTGGGGGTTCCTCCTCTGGATTTCGCCGCTTGGCCGAGGAAAAATATCCATTATTGCTTGACCCAAAGGAATTCTTTACATTTAGTTGGCTTGATGAAACGTGGTGTTGATGATTTTAGGGCCTGAAATATGAGACGATCGATGCTACTTAGATGGCCCCTGTCCGAACTCCATGTCCTGATGCGGAGACAAAAAAAAGAGGTTGCAGAAAACACTAAAATATATACTTATATATAGATATTAGCCTCCAAATCATGATGACTGACATTACAAGAGATGCGGTTGCAGCATTTTAAAGAGACACACCTAACCGCAAAGTTTAATATACAAGTTAATTAAACTATTACACAGCGTCATTAGGTCCTCACTTAACACCAACCACGACCAAATTATAGTTGCTATTAAATAACTTTAGTATGAACACAGCGGTCGGTCCAGCAAGTAGCCAGAGCCAGCCATCGGCTTAGCTCACGGTAAATCGGCTAATGCTAGCTAACACGAAAATGTTAACTTAGCTCCGTGCCTGGCTCTAACTTAAAATGTGCTCACCTTTTACACCACAAACACTACTTATGTATAACATTAGCATTCCAAAAGCCCCCAAGCATCTCAATGTGCTTTGGCGTCGAATAATGCCAAAGAGAAAAGCCGTGCCTCTTTGTTATCGAGGAAACAGTAGTAAACTTCTGAGGGACTGCTACTCACTCCGTCTCCTTCAGAGCACCGTAGACGTTGCTGTCCACTTCAAAACACGCAGAAATTGCAGGACCAAGTTTTTCCAGTTAACATGTCATTTCCTTCACTTGACAGACTCGGAGAAGTACCGGACTCGCACGCGGGGTATTGGCAGAAAACTACTAAAATGACGGGTTATTCTTGATATTTCTGAAAGGGCTCCCATAAAAAGCAACAGTGGACTGCTAATCTGTTGAGTCGCCAGTTGCTTTCATGATGCATTCGCGAAGCGATGGGAACATCTGACGTATAAACAGGAAAAAGAAGTCCTCGTTGAAATGAGAAAATCTACGGCCACAATTACACGCGTACGACAAGACGAGAGTTAGCATGCCAGGTAAATTACAATCATGTTACGCTCTCGTGTATCAATCAAGTTGAAACAGCGTGAATGATTTTTCAGTATAAAGTCCTAGACTTTTGACTCATTCAACGTTTAGATATTTACGTAGGGCTTTGAAGGCAGCACGTCTTCGAATCCCTGCATCAATACCGACACCTACTGGAGGACATCGAAACCGTATCAACAGTATTTTTCAAGGAATCATGACAAAATGGAACGATTGCCGTTGCCAGCCAGTATTTATCAATTTATTCTAATGGTATGAAGTGTTTCGCAGACCACCTCCACCCCCCCACTACCCCTTTCCCGGTTACTGTTAAGTGAGCGCCAACAACAAACAACAGCGCCCTCTGGCGACAGTGACGGTCCCCTGCACCGCGCCGGGAATAAAAGCCCCATCATCCTCCTGCGATAGGAGCATCGCTGTGGCGGAGATAGGGCATCCTCCCCGCGCCCAACACTCATGACAACCGACTAGGTCGCTCGAACACGCATTAACCGAGGGGATAAAAAGGGCAGCAGTATGGCGAAACATCGACCAGAAAGAGACAGCTGGGGTGAGTGTACGTACAACATTTCATATTTCACCTTCCCAAGACGCTTCCTTTTCTTTTTTTTTTCCCTCCCCGTTTTTCTACCGAGAGGAGAGGGTGTAGGCAATGCAGGCAATTAGATGCTTGTGTTTGACTCCATTATTAAGGAGCTTGTTTTCGTTTCGGTTATATTGTGGCCAGCGTCAGGTCATTTTTGAGGCTGTCTTTTTTTTTGTTTTTTTTGGTCGCTGTTGAGAGGGAGACATTTATCGTGTTGCGGCTCGTGTCTGCTGCAAGAATATCGGACAACCCGGTCATATGCAAACATCTCTCCTCAAGTCTTGCCGTTAAATAGTTAAATAAAACACATCCAGGGATTTGCATACTGTCACTGCTCCTCTAAGGGCCCCACAAAGCCTGGAAAATCACCATCTGATTTTACAGTGTGTGTTACTGGGAGCTTATTTTGATGCTCCTTAATGCCTTTGACTTGAAATGATGCCATATTGCATAAGTAAACGGGCTGTCACCACCCCCAAAACGCCATAATATCCGACTGAACAGTTATTGCTGTCATCACTGTCACCTGCATCATCAAAACGATGTTGATAAGCATCATGCTGGCATCACTCATTCTAACTTTAGATTTAGGGTGGTGAGGGAGAGATTTAGGCCCAAATGATCGAGTTAGAAAATGAAGGGGGAAAGGATTTAAAGGCCACTGTTTGTCAGTAGAGACTTTCTCTGGACTGACCCACTTCTGGACGCATCTGACGTCTTCGGCTGCTTTAAGGGCAGCGGCAGCATCATGATCTGGTTAAACAGGCGGGCTCACGTGGGTGGGCCTGGGGTGAGGCCTCTGCAGGAAAGAAGAAAAAGAAAAAAAACTGACAGCACGCCCTGGATGCTTCTTTGCTTAATTACTTACGGTGGATTTATTCGAACCTGCATTACTCATTCAGCACAACAAACCCCCCTCAAAGAAACGTTTGCCTGTTATTCCTTCATCTGTCAAATTAGCTCCATGGAACTTGTAGCCAGGCTGTGATTTCCAATCAACCTCAGAGCCTGCTTGGGATGAGGTAGAATCTACATTAGGGGAGAAGCATCTTAAATTTTTCAAATGACAGATCAGTTCAGCTTCCGTGCTCCTCTTGGTTAGAAACAAACTGAGTCACGGCATCTGAGAGCTCTGGCTGCTCATGATCTCTCTGGGTACCGACAGATGGGATGGATAACATGCCCTGTTGCATTTCAGCTGTTAACAAGCAGGCGTTCTAAGTGAGAGCAGGATGTAAAGATGGATGCATCTTCCCCGCTTCCTCACTTAATGGACTGCTAAATTTGCTCATCACCACTATGAAGGACTTCCGGCTGCTCACTTGCTCACACCATAACATTTTAGCTGCCTCATCACAGGCAACACACACACGGTGAGCTCATCCTTTCCCTTTCTCGACATGTTTCCTTAAACCCCTCCCCGTCTGATTGGTCCTCCAGGGTCCCTCAGCGATAAAAATGTCTACGACTGGAGCTCGGAGGAAGAGGAGCCAGATGGACGAGCCAGGCCCATCCAGGTGTTGCTGGTCAAGGATGACCACACCTTCGAGCTGGATGAGACGGCACTGAGCCGCATCCTGCTGGCCGAGGAGGTCAGAGACCGCGAAGTGGTCGCCATCTCGGTGGCCGGAGCTTTCCGCAAGGGCAAGTCCTTCCTCATGGACTTCATGCTGCGGTACATGTACAACCAGGTACGGTTCAGACGGTGGGCTGGAATCAGGGAGGATTACTCTGTGTTTTTGTAACAGGCAAATGAAACAGAAAGTTAGCTTTTGTGGTTTGAATGATTATTAAATCAGATCCTTACAGTTGATAAAATAAAGTTAAGAAATGCCACCCCAAATAAACATTGTATGTGTTACAAACACATAGTTAGAACTTTATAAAAAACTGGGACAAAATGTGGAAACTGAGTGAAACAAATTACACCCAATGAGTGGGTTGCTTTTAAAAAAACACAACCAAGTCTCCTCCCCTCTTCTTAACAGAGTCTCCTCAGTTCTTTGCATCATCTGCGCATGCACTGTCACGCCTGGGGGAATGTCTCGTCTTGATTACCTATTGTGTACACCTGGGGTTTCCCTCCATGTGTTTAAATAGTCCTCGTTTCCCCTTGTCTGGTGCGGGGTCGTTCTAGTCTTCTTGTCTTCTTGCCTTGTCTCTTGTCCTTTCGTCCGTCGTCACCCCCACGCCAGGTTTGTTTCGTTATAGTTCTGCCACAGCCACAGTCATAGTCACGTTTTGTCATAGTCTTGTTAATCTTTATTTTGTTACTTTGTCATAGTTTTTCCACAGTCTTGTTTGCTTGCTTTGATACTTTGCCCACAGTTTGCCACAGCTTTGTTTTGTACTTTGTCTGGACATTCACCCTGTTTGTACAATAAACCTTGTTTCCCCTTCATTCCGCGACTGAGTCCTCCCTCAAGACCCACCTCCCTGACATGCACACTTAATAGGAGCCTAAATATAGTCATTTAGAAGTTTTTTTTTCTCCCCCACAGTATCTCTTAGGAGAGCACAGTGCGGTCATGGTAACCTGCTGGGACTTTAGCTGTGATTTGGAACTTTTAGGGACACAACTGAACTGAATTCAGTTGGACAATAGCTCCTCTGAGATCGGGGCTGACGTCTTTCAAACACACCTGGCAAAATGCTTAAACCTCTGCCTTTTACAGAGGTGCTCACCAATGTGGGCGACCAGTGAATGAAATACGTTCCATTAGCCAGACTGACAGCTGCTCACCATATTTATATGGCGGCCCCCACAGCGGGTGCCATAAATCTACTGTGGCATTTTGTTTTATTTTTTGATCATGATTATTGACAGTGTCATTCATCATGCATTGCTGTTCATTTGATGTTGCATAAAAATCAATATAAGCCTCTTTTAATTTAATTTATTTTTTATGAGGTGAACTGTTTCACAACTATAGATTGAGCCTTGAATATTTTTGCTCTTATATTTATTTCTCTTTCACTCTAATGAAGAAAAGTTAGGTTAATGTTTTTCATGAATAATCAGATTTGTTATTATTCTCAGTAAGAATAATACGATTACCATCATACACAATATGGAAAAAACAGATTATACTAAATTAGGCAGTGTTTAACAAAAAAAAGTCATTTGCTAACTGTGATACTCAGGCATCTGAGACCTGGCTTGGAGACTCAGACGAGCCTCTTACCGGATTCTCCTGGAGGGGGGGCTCAGAGAGGGAGACTACAGGGATCCAGATCTGGAGCGAAGTCTTCCTGGTGGACAAACCAGACGGAACAAAGGTGGTGCAGAGTGTCACAGAAAGACCTGACATGGAGCTTAATTAAAGATGAAACGGATACTTTAATAAACCTCATCAGTGTCTTTTTTTAAAGTAGTTTTACATTGGATTTTTTCAGAAATGAACTCTTCATACACTGATTATCAACACCTATATGATTACATTGACCCTTTGCAGTACAGCAATATTTACTTCCTTTTTGCTTTTCCTGTGTTACACCTTTAGATTCTGCCTCTTTGAGTTAGGAAATATTACATTAAACCACATGGTTTATTATTCATTCAGGACAACCGAATGGAAACAGACTCAGTGTTTTCATGTGTCTTATTCCACAGGTTGCTGTATTGCTAATGGACACACAAGGCACGTTTGACAGCCAGTCGACGCTGAGGGATTCGGCCACCGTGTTCGCTCTGAGCACCATGATAAGCTCCATGCAGGTGCAAACGCCTTGACGCGCCATGGCTCAGCCCGTCTTTGCTATAGACAAGACAATGCATATTCAATGTACATGGAACATCGTAGGTTTGGAATCACTAAGTGCTGCAAAACTTTGATACAAACCAGAATGTCTCATTTTGTTTCCTTCATTCTCTATTTACACAAATATAATTTTGTATTACATAGAAAATACGACACAATCAAGTTGGCAAGCATTCATATGAAATAATTGATAAGTGGATGTTCTATTTCAGGTTTACAATATCTCACAAAATGTTCAGGAAGATGACCTCCAGCACTTGCAGGTAAACATGCCTGACATGTATTTTAGTCCTTAATGGAAGACAACCCAGTTTACAGTTTACAAAAAAAAGTGCATGTATTCAAATTGTAACCAGCCAAACCTTTATTTAAAACCTTTATTATGAGCACTGAAGCAAAAGTCACCTTGGATTGACACTCTTATTACCTTCTCTTTTCTTTCTTTCTCTAGCTTTTTACAGAGTATGGCAGACTAGCAATGGAGGAGACTTTCCTTAAACCATTCCAGGTATGGGGGGGATTTCAACAATATGCTGATTACGCAAAAATGCGTATTCGTTTATGAGGCCTGTCAAGTCATATTTGATTTATGACACTTCATGTGCACACTAGTTGAGAAGAATTTGAAGCTGAACACTCGTATCAAACAGTCCATAATGATGCTTTTCTCTCTCTCTCCAAGTCCATGATTTTTCTGGTCCGCGATTGGAGTTTTCCCTACGAGTTTCCCTACGGACAGGAGGGAGGCATGAAGTTCCTCGAGAAGAGACTGAAGGTCAGTTCTCACAGCTGTTAGTGAGGCTGAATATCTGTCAAATGAATTCCCTCTTTAGCTTACAGATGGCAGCTGAGAGCAGCTCAAAGGAGAAACCGCAGCTTCTTTTTTCATCTCTTCACCTCTATTGTAGTTTCAGGGTGGCGGAATGTTCCAGTCAACTGTACACTCACCCTGTCTTCCTTATTAGAGTCTGCCTCTTTGACTTGATAACTCTTGGAGCAAGAAAACTGTCTATGTATTCAGTGAATGATCCAACTTTCCAACTTCCTACTGCCAAATAAAATGAAAGAATGACACATAGACGTCAGAATATAAACATAGAAATAATAGTAGAGCATTGTTTATTTCTTCAGTAAGGATAAATATATAAGTAATTATGGCTATTGCTCTGGTGTATTATTATCTGAAGTTCAGGCATAATAAAGTAAAAAAAGGAGGAGGCTGGATAACATAATGAATGACATATTTTTCGTCTTAGCAGCTCAGTGGCTAATGCTTCTGCTAAAGAGGCTTCTGAAATGAATGCTAGAAGGCCAAATCGAGCTTTGAAGCACAGAAAATAACTTTTTAAAAATCCTAATATGTTCAAGTGAACTGAATCTGGTCTGTGTATGCGGTGCAGATCTCAGAAAATCAGCACGAGGAGCTGCAGAACGTCCGCAAACACATTCACTCCTGCTTCACCAACATCTCCTGCTTCCTGATGCCTCACCCAGGCCTCAAGGTGGCCACCAACCCACTATTTGATGGGAGACTTAAAGGTAAATTATCTTCAGTCGTTTGCCAGTTCAGTCACAGTTGTTATCAGAGACACCGGCGTATGTGTGTGCCTTTAGTGGTGTGTATATGTTAATCGTTTTATGCACAGGGACTGTGAGAAAAAGTGTAAAATTGTGCATCCAATAACAAAAACGACCATATAGCTTAAAGATTATTATTTTCCGATGCATAAATACTGACAAAAAAAAGCTAATTTCTTGTATTTTATACTTTTAGGGGGGTCCGTATTGAAGTATAGCTCAGGTTTGAGCAATTATTGATTTGGCAGCTGCAGCCTCCCTGAGAGAAAGCTATGCATTAGATCACTCCTGCTTTACTTCTTGCCTTCTTGATTTCTGCATTGCCACACGTGACAGACTAAGAGCCATGAAATACTGTACACACTGACCCGTCAGTCTCCCTCTCGTCTAGAAATTGATGGTGAGTTCACAAACAACCTGAAGGTTCTGGTCCCCTGGCTCCTCAGTCCTCGTAACATAGATGTGAAGGAGATCAATGGCAGTAAAATCACCTGCAGAGGCCTGTTGGAATACTTTAAGGTCAGATTGACAAACCGTGTTCATGTGCACAAAAACTCTTCGTGCAGGCTGTCACCTAAAATATATTCTTCGAATTATTTATTTACCATGCTACTGATATGTAACGATATTATAGGATCATATGCTTATTATCAGACTCATCAAGAAGATTTATTTTCTACATCATATTTTGATGATTTAATTGTTCTTGCTTTTCAGGCATATATCAAAATTTACCAGGGCGAGGAGCTGCCTCATCCAAAGTCCATGCTGCAGGTATGTTTTTAGATTATCAATTGTCTCATTACACCTGCTTGGATCTTTATATGTGATGTGTAATGTAGTGGGATACATTTTCAGAATGTTTTGAAAAGAATCAAATCTGAGAAACCGAATCTTGACACTGCTGCATCTCCTGCCTAAACAAAGTTACACTGTTTTTTTCTACTCAGGCCACAGCCGAGGCGAATAATTTAGCAGCCGTGGCAGCCGCCAAAGATCTGTACAACAAAAAAATGGAAGAGGTTGGTGGAATCGGGCCTTCTCGGTCAAATCAGCACCGTCAGACTAAAAGTCCAATCCGTCCGCATCACCGCCCCGTGCTTCTTTTGGCAGGTGTGTGGAGGGGACCGGCCCTTCCTGGCGCCCAGCGAGCTGCAGGCCCGCCACAGCGCCATCAGGGAGGAGGCCCTGCAGCTGTTCAGGGGCGTGAAGAAGATGGGCGGGGAGGAGTTCAGCCGCCGCTACCTGCAGCAGCTGGAGGGCGAGATCGACGAGGTCTTCGTCCAGTACATCAAGCACAACGACTCCAAGAACATTTTCCACGCCGCCCGCACGCCCGCCACGCTGTTCGTGGTCATCTTCGTCATGTACGTGGCGGCGGGGATCACGGGCTTCGTGGGCGTGGACATCATCGCCAGCCTGTGCAACATGATCCTGGGCCTGGCGCTGATCACGCTCTGCACCTGGGCCTACATCCGCTACTCGGGGGAGTACAGGGAACTGGGCGCCGTCATCGACCAGGTGGCCGGCGCGCTGTGGGACCAGGTAAATCACAGGCGCGCGCATTTGCAACGCAGCCGCAAAAAAAAAAAAAACGGGGCATCGCCATCTTTTCCATGGCTCTGAGCAAACATGAGAAAAGTACTGGGCGTTTTGACACTGAAACAGTAGAAAAAGGCCCACCAGAGTCAGATATTTTTGAGAAATAAAGCAGAACGTGGCAACAAACACTCTATTCTGCCAACACTATCTGGTATTAATCCCTCTAAAAACGTATTTTGTGTTAAATAAAGTTGTGCAAAACCATCCATACAACAATTTACATTCAGTTTATATGCTCTAAATGGAATATTTTGTTACCTGGTAACGTCTTGATACACATTGTTACTCTTAAATATACAATGAATACCAATTAAGTTAAAAAAAAAAAGATATATTTACATTTCAACAGATTTTTCTTTCTTTGCATTTAGCTTCAAACTGATTTAAGAATAACAATGTAATATAATAGAGAATCATTCCACCAGGTGGCAACAACTCCCATTAAGTCAATTCCAGGAAATCCCTCCAAAAGGAGGTCCCTGATTACTTGAGGATGATGTCGATACTCTGTGTACATTCGGTCCTTTTTGTAAATTTCCAATGATTCCATGTCTTTTTGTTTCTTTTGCCTCCTATAGGGGAGTACAAACGAGGTAAGTGTGAGCTTTTTATATAGTTGTGCCTGTAGGCTCCTTTTTTTTGTTATAATATCTGCTACTGTAGAGTTTCCAGATAAATGTTGTGTTTTTATTGGTGGCTATATCTTATATTAATTTCAAAATGCAAAAACAACAGTTGTGTAGTTCAGAGGAGCAGGGAGCACAGATGGTCTGATAAAAAAACTGTTTTCAAAAATGATTTGTTTAAGAGACTTGAAGATAGAATGCAAAGACCTGTAAGTCATTTAAACTATATTTACTAACCATCACACTCTTTAGTCCAGAGTCTCTTATATTCTTTATCGTCTTCACTGAAAAACCTGGACACAAAAACTTTTAGAAACACACTGATGGCATTTCTATCCAGTCTGTGGAGGCATATAAAAAAGAAAAAGATTTAAAAAAACCTCTTTAAATTTTCCAGCCACAGAGAGCTGGTGGTCTTTGGGTTTTGTTACCAGAGCCCTTCACAAATTTAAAGAAAAAAACACCCACATTCAAATCCTATTGCTGATGTCACTGATGTCCTGAATAAACTGAGTTCCAGTGCCTGTCTTCTTTGGTCCACAGGCCCTCTACAAGCTGTACAACGTGGCGGCCAACCACCGGCACCTGTACCACCACGCCTTCCCGGGGCCGCGGGCGGACGAGGGCGCCGAGGACCCGGACAAGAAGAGGGACTGAGGGGCATAAAGGACAGAACACAGCAGAGACTTCCTTGGGTTTGAGGGGGCGAGGAAGAGGAGGAGGGAGACGAACGTCCTCACCCATCGGGCGCTCTTTTACTCTGCTGTTGGTGGGCGAGGCCCACCAGGCAGCCACCACTTTAACCCCTGAGAGGGACTGTATAGTGTTCATGCATTAGGTCGTGTCAGAGCACCCGCTCAGCCGGACGCACCGTATCATCATCATCATCATCATCATCATCATCATCATCATCATCTTTCACTCTTTGCCTGCGAGCACACATGTACAGATACTGTGGGCGCTCCAATGGGGGACACCTCTGATCATACCTCACCCAGTTGGCTCTATATTTCATGTCCGACGTGTTTTTTTGTCTCTTTTTTTTCTCAAATTCTTGCTTTTTTAATCGTCTCCTTTTCTTACCGTTTGTCACAAACCATTGTTTTTAACAAAGTACAGACAAAATCTGTGAAATCCCCACTCGGGACGATTTAGAAGTTTAGTGCAGATTTTTAAAGGTTATGAGCTTCGAAAGCAAAAATCTGTCCAGTGGGGCAACATCAGCAGCGTGGTGGGCGTCTGTCTGCTTTGAAACTCAGAAAACAAAAAAACAACAACAAAAAAAACAGGCACACTTCACAGATAAAATCGTCTCCATGCTCCGTGTGTAAAAGTACACCCACATCCCCCTGCAGCCGCCCGGCGCGCGTTTATTCTTTGTGTACAGCAGAATTTCTTTTGTCCGGGGCTCGCTTTGAGCAGAGTTCTGGATCAGGGAGGCAGCCGTGTGCTGGTATGCGTGCCAGAAAAACCAGCACCAGAGGGACAAAAGCAGAGTCCTATCGGTTCAAAGTTTACACTCCGCTCTGTAGCTGGCGCTCGTCCACTCTCTAACCCTGCTCTCCGCATCATCCGGGGTACCGGGCGGGCCCCGCGTCCGGCCTCCGAGGCGCCCGGTCGGGGAGCCGTTTGTTTTTGTGTCGTTGTCGTCCCACTTCGGTGAATGTTCGAGCAAAAGCGAGGAATGTAGCCGTTTCCCGCGGCCTCCGAGGAATCAAAGCTAGCCGGCGCCGGGCGTGGCCACGGGCCCGCTTTGGGAAAAGGAGCCTCATTCCAGATCCCTTTCATCATCTTCACACGCATAAACCTGAACGGTCCGTGCCGATGTGCCGCACGGTGGCAAGAGGAGCCCAAGGCTCTCTGAATGCCGTTTGGATACCGTTACCGTACACGTGTTTCACTGTGGCTGTGCGTTTCTTTCTTTCTTTTTTTTTGCTCTTCGATTGACCTCTGACCCGCCGCCCTGTTAAGATGTCGGAGTCACACGCTAAGCAACAGCTTTAGAAATGTTTCTCTTTTTTTCTGGAAAACTGTCACACATAGTTAGAAAGTTTATGGTGAGGTCTGACCTCAAGGACCGAAGATTTCAAAGCACCGCAGGAGAGTGGCTTCTCGAGTCTTCCACAGCATGTAATCAGCATCACTAAAGACTTGGATCCCAGCCATTTTTTTTTTTTTCTCTTCTCTGATTAATCTTACGACGAGGGCTTTCTAAAAACCTGCTTCTTTTTTTATGCGTCAGTGAGTGTTTTAGATGTGGTTACTGAGAAGTACTATTTATTTCCATTGTGTAGCAAGATTTTGTTACAAAAAAAAAAAAAAAGAAGAAGGAAAAACATTCTTCTCACAGACACCGATTGTCGATTGGAACTTGAGGAAAGGAATTTAGAGAGGAAAAACTAATCAGCGTCTCGGCGAGCTCAACATAGTCTTCGCACACACGTTGCATATTTCCAGTCATCAAGAAACAATAAAGTTGGACCAAATGAACAGAATCAAGGCTCAGGCTGATTTTTACATCATTGATCAAGGACTTGTTTTGTTTTTTTAAAAAGTAACCAAGGGAACCCCGTTAATCAACCCCATAACCCATAAACCAGTAAAAGTTCATCTGAAACTAGGCTCTCATCATCCACATTCCTCCTGGTCTTTGCTAGGACTTGAAAAGAAACACTCCACCCTTTAGCTCCACGCGCAGACTTCATCAACCAGTGTCTTAATTCCAATAAGACATGGAAACGTATGAAATATGGAGACATGTTTCTTTGCAGGAGGGACATTACATCATGCTCAATCTGATTGCTGCAACGTGCCTATAAAAAAAGAAAAGAAAAAAAAGAAAACGGATCTAAGTTTTTGCCTTCAGCAGTCTGTTCTCGCTGTGTTGTGTCTGCCTGAGTCCATCTCTTTGCTTTGCCAGCATAAGAATAGAGAAAACTTTAGCCGACCAATTAGCAGACAAGGCTCCTAAATACTTTTTTAAAAAAAGAAAAAAAAAAGAAAGAAGGGGGGGTAGCTTATCTTTGTTCCTACAAAAAAAAAAACCTTTCTTCACTACAGATGTTATTGATTATGTCTTTTATTTGCAATCCACAACAGTAGATATATACAAACCGCTGACATATTTCAGAGAAGATTAAACTTTCTAAGAGAAGCTTGAGGTTCTACACAAACCTATTCCACTTTTTTTGTTTTAAAGAAAAGGATAAAAAATGTTTCAGCCTCTTCTCTAGTTGTACGTCCCACTAAACGGCTGAAAATGGCTTATGTTACACCTGTGGAGACATTTGTGAGCGCCATTAGTTGTGGACGCCATCGGTGGAATAAGTTCATGTGAACCTGAGCTTCAGTAAAAAAAATCAGAGCGGGTGTGTGGGCCCGCAAAAGTCAGGCAAGAAAAATCCAGAGAGAGAGAGAGAGAGAGATAAAAGGGAGGGGAAAATTGCACTTATTTGGCAAACTTAAGAGATTTAAAAAAAAAGTTCCAGTAGCTTATCTGTGTTCATTCTCACACGTATATAAAAAAAAAACAAAGTCCTGACTTACAGTTGAGCCAGGCTGAGCTGAGATGCTCATACATCTGCATCAAATGCGACGCCTCGGCCGTCCAAGGCCTTCAATAGAGACGTGTTTCACATCTAAATTTAAATATCAGTTAAAGTTTTGGTGGATTGTCTTATAAAGTATACAGAGTTATGAAAATAAAAATAAAAAGGAACAGGTGCGACTGAAGCTTTGTTTACTGTTAAGAGTATGGTTTCAGTTTATGATGGTTACAAAGAAGAAGGAAAAGTGTTTAAATAAGAAGCTGCCTCTCGCAGGGGAAAAAAAAAAAAAGAAAAAAAAAAAGACAGTAGCTGGCGTATATGCGATATGAGCAGACATGATAAAACTGCTGCTTTTTACTTGATTAAAGGCACAATCTCAGGATGTATTTAAACGAAGGGGCCGAGAAGGTTTTTCCAGCCTCGGATTCTCTGCCTCCAAACGTGAAAAGTAACGAGTTCAGTGGTTTTAAAAAAAGAAGGAGAAGAAAAAAAAAAAAAAAAAAGGCACCACAAGCAGCCTCCCAAAAAGTAGCGCGTTATGTCTTCATTTGAGTGTTTTGTCTTTTCTTTTGTTTGTTTTTCAGTCATTTGTAAAGTTAGCGTCACGTGGATGGACGGCCCCTCCCTCCTCTGTGGGCGTGCGCCTCCACTTCCTGTCTGGTATATTTGGATGAAGCGAAGGCACAGATGTGTTTGGTAAAAAGAGGCGTGTAAGAGTCAGCTGTGATTGGAGGGGCGCCTCACATGTTCCCTATGAAGTTGTTTGCGGGCGGCTGGCTGTACCACTGCTGCCGCTGCTTGCGGGCCTCCACCTCGGACAGCAGCGCCTGCCGGTAGGCCTCGTAGGACTTGACGATGTGCTCCAGCTCCTTCATGAAGAGCAGCTTCAGCATGCCCTGATAGGTGTCCAGGTCGGCCAGCTGGAACAGCTCCCACTTCAGGATGTGGTCGTACCTGGGGGGGGGGGAGAGGGAAGGAGACCCGCTGAGCCGGGTTCTCTGTGCAGGCGCGCGGTCAGACTGAAAGAGGCGTCCGGCCAACCGTCGTTCGGCTGATCAGACCGGTGATGTCATCGTGTGACATCTAAAACCTCCCTGCAGCTGCAGGCTGGGTGCTGAGTTTTACTTTTGAGCTCAAAGACTTAATGGACTATGAATTCCTTATCGATTGCACAACACCACGTGTAAAAAAAAAAGACTCTAAATGAAATGCTTAGTGTAGGAGGTGGAAAAGCCACATTCCTTGCTTTAATGTTTGTGTATTTATCCAAAGCGACTTGACTGGCTGGGGGGCGCTGACGGCGTGCGACTCACTTGAGCGGTGCGCGGGCGTACACCTGCAGCCAGTCGGGGATCTCGGCCGTGTGGTACGGGTTGGCTGGGACCAGCACCGGCTGGTTCCTCTCGGCCGGGCGCGGCTGATAGGCCACGGGGGGAGGGAGCGGCGGCGGCTGGTCGTAGCGGGGCACGCTGGAAGACAAAGAGACGGCCTCTTTACGCATTGGGGCACAGAAGGCCAACCCAATGTGACGGGCTCACTTCGACAGTTTGGAGGGTCGAAATGGGTTCCCCCCCCCCACATCCGTCACGGCTCACGCACCTCGGGGCGCACGGGTGTCGATACTGAGCCCTCTTGTTGATGTGGTCCACGTAGTAAACCCCGAACTCGGCCGACTCCACCTTCTCCCAGCCCGGCGGGAGCCCCTCCCTCTCCAGAGGATGGCTCCAGTGGGTCGTGTTGGTGTTGTGGTCAATGTAGTACTTCCTGCCACGGATGGTCCAGTCGACGGTCCAGCCGGCCGGAAGGGGGATGTCCTCTCCCGTCAGGCTGGAGAGATTCCCCAGCGACTTGGCCTGTATTCGACCTATGCCTGAGGAAAACAAACATTTTTCTTTTTTTTTAAAGCGGGATGGAGAAAAGTCTGAGCAAACAGCTGTCAGCTAGCAGCGCCTCTGGGGAAAAATAATTAAAAAAAGAAAAGATATTTTTGAGATGTTGCTTTTAAAACAGCATGTGTGGGAAAGGGTCTTTTACAGAGGAGGAATGCGTGTCCTTTAAAGAGGTTATTTTAGAATGGCGATGGAGCATGGAGCACAGGGGGATGAGACGGGAACGACCCCCCCCCCTCAGATTGAAACCAACGCAGTTTAAGCCATGCTGCCGCTCTGGATCGGGTCGTTTAATCACCTCCGTCTGACTGACAACCCTTTGATGAATGGTAGGAAATGGGAGTGTTGTGCTTTTGGACAGGAAGCCAGAGATCTCTGCGTGGTCGCTCACACACGCAGGCGCTTGCACCTAAGAGAACAAAGCCCCCACCCCAGCCGCCTCACGCAACGCGCCGCTGTACTTTTACTGGTCAGCGGGTATGTCGAGCCGACAACCGCGGGGGGACTTGGACTGACTGGAACCTAGGCGGCCTTCGGGAACAGAGAAAATCTTGAAAATGCAGGGGACTGTGCTATCGGGGGGGGTGGGGGGCGTTGCAAAATGGCGGCTGCAATCTGAAAAATTCTTCACGAGAGTGACAGCGACAGAGCCAGAGCTGAGTGAAGGGATGGAATGTGTGAGACATCATCATCATCAGCGTATCCATGCCTGCAGAGACAAACTCACAGCAGACCAACAGCTCCGTGCTTTAAATATTTCACAGGAAGAGGGCAAAAAAGAGACACGAAACTCTTTTCCTAGTAGTCTAGTGTTGGTCTTACGGTTGTGGAGGGAAATGATCACAGACATGTCATTTTTCACAGAGTTCTTACACTCGGAATTTTAGACCTGAAAATTAGCTTAATGTATTTTCCTATGTAATGTAACAGAAATTTCTCAGAGGAAGGCGGGGGTCTGTGTTTTTATTTGTGCCCGAGAATGCGAAGGCTCATCAAATAAAGGGAGCTTCTCTAAATCATATTCGCTGCTTTTCTCCATCGCTGAGCCCGTGGATGAGCGCAGGCAGCCGGCTTCTAGAAGCAGGTAGAGGCAGCGCGTCCCGCTCAAACAGCAATGGCGTGACAGAGACAGCAGCTTCAAGATGGAGACTTTTGACTCGGGGCGGTCGGCAAATTGCTAGTTTGCCGGCAGAAAGATTCTGCAAACGAGGAGGTGGAGGAAAAAAAAAAAAGAAAGAAGGAAAAGCAGGCCCTCTGACGCTTGTTTAACGACGATCCAAACACATCTTTGTGAATGATATGTGGTCTGACACAACACTTAACCGTACACACGTCGTCAACAAAAGAGCCACAAAATAAGAGGGTTCTCTATTGTTTGGGGAGGGGTTGGAAAATTCCTTCAACCCCCAACCCCTGCGTTTTTAATCCCAGGGAAATGTTTACATTGTAGAACCATACTGAGAACACATTACATGAGCTAGAATTGCTCTTTTTTTTGGCTTGAAATAAAGCACTGATTATTAGTGTGCAGAATATTCTAACTTTTCATTTATTCTTTAAATAATGTGAGCAGCTTTCACATAAAAGAACACTATTCCTCTATCTTTAAAGCTCTCAGAGATGATGCACCTAAACGGACAGAGTAAAAGCTTACCTGAAGGAGGTCGGCTTGGAGCTGGAGGGGTGTGTTGGCGAGGAAATCTTTGGAAGTTGTGTTCATTGTGTTCGTAATATCTATAGTCCTCAGGAAAGCGGGACTCTGGGACTCTCCTGGGCTGCTGCTGCTGCTGCTGCTGCTGCTGCTGCCGCTGCTGGTGTTGCGGGTTGTCATAGTAGGATTCAGGGTAATAATACCGGGCAGCGTCTCCATTCTCTGACATGGGGCTCACGTCTGTGAGGAAGGACTGCGACGACCCCCGGTACTCGTGGGACAGGTCCCCCAGACTGCGGGGCAGGTACGGGGGCGCCGACATGCGGTGGCTCTCTCGGCGGGCCACCTCGTGCGGGGGTCTCTGCACGTGCGGGCGGAGGACGCTCTTGTTGCGGGCCACCACGGACTCCCGGCTGGCTGCCACCGGGTAGGAGGAAGGCCCCATCTCCGGAGGGGGGCCCTCTGTTCGTCTAGGAATTGTGGGTCCATGGCGAATGAATGAGGGCATAAGATCTGCAACAGGATGAGGAAAATTAGGGGGAAAAAAGGCAAGTAACAAAGCAAGTAAAAGAAGCCCCAATACAAGTTAAACTCTTCCCAAATTATATTCAGAGAGTTCAGGTTACTTTTAACCCAAAGAAGAAGGCAGAAACCAGTATGAGATGGTTGATACTTTGACAGACCGACATTCTTTTGTAATATAACTTTACCACAATGCTAACTGTTATCAATATCTTTGTGTTAAAAGGATTGCAGGAAAAGATGATTATATAACACGTTAAATGTCAGTTAAAGGACACAGTATTTAGCACCAGAGGACCCTCAGCTCAGTTTCCAACGATGCAGATACAGTTGGACGAGCCCTCGACTCTTCAGCAACAACCCGTTTTCGCACAGTTGAAAGTTCATTTGGCGAAATATACATTCGAATATACATCGAATAAACATTTTCATAGAGCTATTTTCCGTACTAGCCATCAAACATATGTGTTATTGCAACTTTGTTGCCTGTCGATGAGCCTTTCAGTTAGCATTGAACTACCCAGTTAGCAGGCTGCCTGGTTACATTTAACTGGATTACACATTATCTCACAGCTTTAAACGAGCTATAAGTGTTCAGAATGCTTCCGCACATTCACTTCAGAGTTGTTAGTTTAAAAAAAAAGCTGGCTACGATGTGCTAACGACTAACTTCGGCTACGCGGCTACATTATGCTAACCTGCGCTAGCTGGTGAGACTACTTGTTGCGCTTACTTCTGAGGAGCGGCGACGTTTCCTTCTTCACATATTTCCCGTGTACCTCGGCTGGTTTCGACGCTTCGTTTTTACTTTTCTTTCGCGAGAGCATAGCTCAAAGCTCGGGAAACATCAACAACGCGGCGCTGGAAAGTCATGGCACAATCCCCCGACTCTGCTACCACCCCTGACAATTAGCAGCGAGCGGAAAGTAAACATTTTCGACTTTTTTGGTTAGCTAGCAGCGGCTAGCCGGCTAACTGGAGCCAGAGGGAGCGACTGTGCAGCTGCGGCGGTCGGTCCCGTCCCACCGCTGGTCCTCTCTGGGACTGATAAATACCGTCCTCTCCTCCGGGGGGGGAAAAAAAAATAAAACGCCCTCTGCAGGAAAGCTCAGCACAAATCCCACTAACGCTGATATGTCAGACCAACTGGGAGAAAAGTAACGCTTAGACACGTTGCTCACGCGATGTAAACAACGGCAGAGAGATAGAAACACGTGACCATCACACGAACTCGAACAAAGACTTTTCTATTTGTCCCACAAAGTTGAAAATAGTTTGAATGTAAATACGTGCATTAGAATACATAATTTTTTTTAGTATTGTTTGGTTAAAATACTACAATTTATTAAAGCTAGAAAAATACTGTTCAAAATGCACAACTTGGAAATGCTAATTACAACTTTTAAGTGAAATAAGCCCTCTTTTTCGAATATTATTCTTTTTCTTATGACCACGTCCTATTCAGCGTTATGGCAGCATAACTGTAATCCAAATACCGTGCTATGGCAAACACATTTGCTTTCCTTTGTTCTCCAGTACTGCTTTTTTTTTGTTACAAATGCTTTACATGGAAATAAGTAATGCCAAAACCAGAGAAAAGAGAAAGAAAATTAATAGTCTGCATACTTTAAGACTATCACTGGTGACAAACAGATGATATAGCAAAGAAATGTTTAGTCTTTTTATTCGCATCCGTAACACAACCTTTATTTAGCCAAAAACATTCATGACATGACAGTCTTCACCTGCTCATTTGCATACTGTTACAGAATAAACTTTTTCCTTCAATTACAGTGAAGTCAGTGTTGAGTATTGCAACTTGATGGACAAATAAAGTCTATGTTGTTTCACGTAGTGTATAATAAAAGTAAAAACCTCTCCATGATTGTGGTTATTTTTACCCTGCTTGGCATGGTGGAAATCAACCAGAAGCTTCTTCTCTGTTTTTCGGAGTGAGAGGACAAACAAACACTTATTTTTCAAAAATAAAAAAAGATAATACATAACAGTACTGCTTTCCTCTTTGGACAGATGGTGGGACAATGGTTTTAAAATCATAAATTACTCTCAAACAGAATTTCCACCTTACAGGCTGACCTCATAATTTGGTCTGGCACGTTAAGCTGTTATGGCTGACAATAAAAACAAATACTTTTACTGCACATTATAGGTGAAATTTACACATGATAAAAACGTTTTAGTTTGCATGTAGCCGACTATTTTTGTTGCACAGGTGTCCCCGCAGTGAAAAAGATATTTCTTTTCTTATTACACTTTAACTTGCCACAAGTGCTGTCCGTATATACATATATATGTATATATATTTAGGAGTTAGCGTTATGGTGACTTGTAGCTGTAAGGTAGTAAAGGGAGGGTTGATGGGTTTAGATCGCGCACTATCTTGTTGAGGCTTGAGATCTTCTCTTCAAGCAGGTAGTTCTTCTTCTCTGCAATTTTTTGCCGCTGCTCTGTCATCTCCAGGGCCTTCAGCAGCTGAGCGTTCTCCACGTACAGGTCTTTGATCAGCACATCTGCTTTGCCATTCTTGTGCAGCTGGAAGAGTCAGGGGAAAGAGAATGATCCATGTATGCACAATCTAAATTTATGTGGGTTTGCAAGGAGCAGATCAACCAGAATTATTAGCTCGCCCTTTCCCCCCCTTATAGTTGTGAAAAAAAAAGGAAAATCTGTAGTTAAATGTCTTGTTCAGTCCTCAAAAATGTTATTTATCTTCGGTAACATTACAGATTCATTAAATCCTTGCACTTCCTTTAATACCTCTGTCTAATTAGAAGTTCAGCTCTCTGTGAAAGACTATGTGGAGAAATTATTGACCAAGTTACCATTTTTTCCAAAATAAAACTGCGAGAAAAACCACAAAATAACCTTTGTATGCTGATGTATCTAGATTAGTATTTAAAGTTAGGACCCTCTGGCATTTCTTTTTTTAGAGTGGGTAGAATATAGGAAATCAGCTAAACTTTAGTGTCTGTCAGTCTGTTCCCCTCAGTGTGAGAAATTGATCTCAGTGGAGTTTAAAACTTTTCCATCAAACCACCAATTATAAAATAATAAAATATGAACTTTGAAAATAAGAAGAAAAAAAAGAGACTTGTAATAGACTTGCAATTTTGTTGTGGTTTATTTTACTTTTTTTCCTCCTTGTCTTTGCTTAATATGCTTAATAATACTCTCAAAAAGTAAGAAAAAGAAATCAAGACATTTTATTTGAAATTTAAAGTCTATTTTAGAAGGATTTTGAGGAGTAGAAATGTTAGTAGTTGAACGAATGAACACTGAACTGACCTGGTCTTTAAGCTGTGCCACCTTCTCTTTGAGCAGCAGCTTGACATTATGCAGCGAGAGCTCTATTTCCCTCATGCGCCCCTCCATGTTCCTCATCTTCCTCTCCCTTTCGTCCTGATGAGAAGACATTCAAGGATATCAAGCTGATGTGGATGGAACAGATATATGATCATGAAAAAAAAAAAAAGAAGCAGATTTTCTGTGGGCTTTGTCTGGTTCAAATGAAAAGATGCAGAAAGAAAGAATACAGGGGAGCTTTCTTTAGGAGCTACTTGCTTTATTTTTATATCCGACTTGTGCATTAAATAATTTCTGGTACATTTCTAACAAAAACAAAGCAAAACAAAAAGCACAGGGAAATTACCTAAAAAATAAATAGAATATAAATAGAGTATAAAAGTATTCCATATATTTCAGGTACCCCTACAAAAATAAATTAATGCATAAATTAAATTAAACCTATTGGAATAAAATAAATAAATAAAAAATAACACTGATTCTATACATGGAGGGAAAAAGTGTCACTAACTGACCGAATCAAAACACAAAAAACAGATAAGACGCACTGTACTAATAACACACGGCCTAATCACAAAAAACAGATAAACATGAATGAAATTAAATTGTTACGATAGTTGAGTGACAAGTTCGAGAAAGATGTGATGAACTTTGGTCGTGCAGCAGCGACAAAAAACAGGTCCAGGACAAAATTTAAAACAGCAAAAGGAACAGAGGTAAGTCACAGGCTTCGATCTGAAACTATGTAGTGGACAAATGGCGATATCACCTGAATAGAACAGGCGGGAATGATTTGATTGACAGAAATGGCTCAGAAGGCACACTCTGCGCCCCGGTGTAACATTCCTCCATGATCATAAGGCAAACTGCTACATGGTTTAGCCTCTGAGGGTGTACACATGTACCCTGTCGCACCTCCATACAAAAGGTAGTGCTTTACAAAACAATTCCACAACACACATCCAGCATTAAGAAGGTTCCCTGTAATCAGGACATAGTTTTGACTACAAAACGAATCAATTTAACTGGATCCAGCAGGTCTGACTGACTTTTACATCACTGTTACAATCATTATCCCTTTGGGAAATAAAAAAAAACAGCAGGATCCCTGAGAGTTTTCCTGCCACTTAGCAGCAGGGACAAACAACACTTCATCACAATCTCCTATAAGGACGCAGAAAGCGTGGCATGGTGTGCAACACTGAGATTTTGTTCTTTTTTCCCACGAACATGGCAGAGGAAAAGCGGAATTAGAGGACAAGCTAAAAGGAAGAGTGGAGAAGAGAGAAGCTGGCGTTACAATCCGCCGATCCGCCGGTAGCTGTCTGCGTGAGCTGCCCGCTGCTCCGCCACCGCCCCCTGGGGAGAAAAGGCAGGTACACTTCACCAGAGCTCCAGCCTGCGCTCTAATCCTAAACGCCTCATGGGCCGGGCCCCCGGCCAACGTTTACGCCGGCTTTTAGGCCTGTCACGGCAAAAAAAGGTCAAGGACCTGCTATCTGAGGCGCGAATGCCATCATTACTGAAAATGCCAATGCCGTCTTTACAGTTTAATGTTAGATTGGCTTGAATTACAGTTCAGATTTAGAAAGAAAAGACCTTTAAAAAGGGTGGGGGGGAAAGAAAAATCATCCACAGAAACCTGTGCGCCTTTAAATTGAATTACTATCTTTTATCTACTAATGTAACTACCTTTTTGCACCTTAAGTAACAATTATGCACAATGTGCTATAGTATAAAGTCTTCACCACCCTTGGTCTTTTCTTATTTTGCCAGGACAGCATTCGGCCATATAGCGTGGACTAAGCGCTGACTCATCCCTTTAGTTAAGTGCCTGTTTGATGCCTAAATCATTCACATGTTGGTGCTAAACATGTGAAGAGGATTTAAAAAGCAACCAAATTTGAAGAAATAGTTGGAGAACTATTTTTAAAGAATTACAAGACAACATGGCACTTTGAGAACAAAAAAGGAAGGGGTGGTGGTCGACTTTTCCACAGTGTGAGACTTTTAAATGACAAGCAGTGGAGGTGACTTAAGGTAACTAGTGTCATGCATCTACATCCGTCTGTGGGAAACAAACGGATGTTTGAGAGACATGAGTCAACTATGGGGGAGAAAAAAACAACAAAACACAGCCACTATGAAGACACCCAGATGTTCACACCACTGCAGCTACTTCAGTCCAGAGATGGAAACTCAAACAAGGACACAGCGATGAGAGACGCATACAGTCATGAGAGTGTAAACGGAGAACCCAAACAGTGAAGCTCTACATGTGGGAAGTAAGGAGATGAGGGACACGTGCCTAGGAGGATGTGACAACCAACTCAAAAAGGAATGACAAACAAAAAGAAAACAAGAATCACCATGATGAAACACTCAGCTCAGGTGTTTTGGGGGCTAATCCAACTATTCTATGGAGACCTCATTGATTTTAGCGCGGCCTTTCCCATAAACTTTCCAAGCAAAAAAAGAACAAAAATAAATATTCAGCACCTGAACTGAGTGATTTGAGTGGACGGAATGCAATTTCAACTCCCATTGTATCCCATTACAACCGGATCCACTGTGAGGTGTAGCACACACACACGCGTCCTTTTGACTATTAAGACAGCAAAATAAACACGACGGGATCGGAAAGAAAAACCATGAAGGTGAGATAACAAAAGAAAAAAGAAAAAAAAAAAGGATGAGTGACACTACTGTCCATCTTTGGGTTTTAAAACTCTACCCATAAATCTTCTGCATTCCGATATTTTCTTAAATATTGGAGCACATCAGCTATAGAGCAAAGGGTAAACTGTGCTGTACCTGCATGTTGTCGGGATCTTCCCCATGGTGCTGTCCTCTGGGCACCCTGTGAGGTGACGGAGGCAGAAGTCCTACTAGCTGAGCCTGAAATGACTGGGAAAAGAAAAAAGAAAAGGGAGTGTGTGTTTAATGTTTGCTTAGAAGCTTTCCAAGAAGTAAGACAATTCCCACATTTCAGGTTTTCAGACCAACAGTCATGACGTACCTCCAGCAGCTGCGTTGACAGCCGGGCCATTTGGGCCTTGAGCGCTTCGTTTTCGTGCTGAAGGCCCTCCAGCTCTGTCTGGCTTTGTCCAGATTCACAGCCCTGCGACCAGTTGAGAGAATTTAAAAGCCGTTGCAAAAAAACCCCAGCCAAAACGGCATCTTTCATTAAAAACTCTTTGGGGATGGGGTTCACACCTTGGTCTGCTCCCTTTTTGCGTCCAGCTCCTGCTTCAGGGAGCTGTTCTCCATCTCCAAGGCCTTCACCTGGGATGACTGACTCTGTTGTTTGAGCTTGTTCAGCGACAGGACGGTGGCGTCCAGCTGACGGACCTTTTAGGGCGCAACAACGTTGGCGTTTACAGAATGTTAAAAACTGGATTTGCACTTTTTCGCCGATTGTTCTCTATGCGGCGTGAGCTCACCTTTTCTCTGGACTGGAAGAGGTCGCCTTTGACGCTGCACACTTCAGCCTGGAGCCTCTCGTTTTCTTGCCTCAGAAGCTGCTGCTCCTGCTCCATCAGCCGGGACATCTCTTCCCTGTACAGCTTCTTGCTCTGGTTCTGCAGGCCGCTCGAGTGCAGGGCCATCTCCAAAATATGGTTCTGAGATTAAAGACGAGAGTTTTTATCGTTTCTTTTTCCCAGCCTCTTCCTCTTTAGTTAAATTGCGTCACACACCCGTTCCATTCGATTCAGAATAAAATCTTACTTTATCGTTGGCATTCTGCAGCTGTTTGTGCAGCACTGCTACCTCGTGTTTCAGGGAGTCTCTTTCCTGCTGCAAAACCCGGAGGTCTGACTTCAGACGAGTACTTTGTCTGTTGACGGCTGAGAAACTTTCATCCACCGTCTTCACCTGGGCAGAAAAGAGGATCATTCATGTGTCAAGCACAACAGGTTTGAAGGGTTTGAAACAAGCCTGTCAAATAGTAGTGATCCCCAAGAATCTTTCCTAATTTTAAGGATCCAACTCAGGACAACATGGAAATATAAATCAGATAATCATAAAAATATATTTCTTATATGCCATCCCCCTCCATCAACATGGAATTCATAATTCTTCTGTTGACTGATGATCATTTATGTTGTAGAGACTCCTACCTTCTCGTTTGCTTTAGCCAACTGGCTGCGAAGGCCCACAGTCTCCTTATCCACACCTTTACGCTCCTCTACCAGATGGCTGAGCTGATTCTCCATCGAGTCCACCCTAACTGCCTAATAAACATAAACAAACATAAAAACAGCTGTAATAGAGAAAACCTTTTTTTTTTTTTAACTCAAAGTGAAAGCCACATATTTTACAAATGACATATGGGGAAAACTCTCACTATCACCTATGGAAAAGCAACAACAACAAAAAAAGCTATTGTTGGTGATGAAAGTGATATTCACTCAATATCAAAACCCCATCCTGCAGAGTCCAGAAATGAAGACGTTCCTTAAAGCTGTTAGAAATCAATACGCCCAAAAAGTTAGAAAAAAATAATTGGCTTTTTCAGCATGATTGAGGGGTTTTTGTGTGATACTTTGAAAGTTGTAAAACAACAGAAGTGCCCACAATCTGAAACTTACCTTCTCCCTAAGTTCAGAGAGCTGCTGCGACAGCTGGATATTCCTCTCCTCCAGCTGTGCAGTTTCCTTCTGAACACTGGCCAGCTTTGCCTCCAGAGCAGACACACAAGCTGTCATCTACCACAAAGAGCCACCAGTTAACTACCCACTACGGCCACAACACGGTTGGGTTGTCCTAAAATGTGTGCCTACCTTGTTTTTTTCTTCGGCCTTTTCTCGGGCCAGCTCGACCAGCTGCTGCTGCAGGTTCTCCACATCAGCCGCGTTTTGGGCGTTCCTCTCGGTCAGCGTCCCGTTCTCAGCCTCCAGCTGCTGGCTCTGCATGTGCAAGTCTGAAATCTGCACACAAATCAAAACCTAAGGATGAATAGAAGAAAAAAAAAAAAACCCATGTTCGCTTTCATTTTGTTGCCCACTCACCTGCTTTTTGAAATGAACCGCAGCCTTCTGAGCAGCAAACTTCTCCATTTTCAAGTGTTCCACCGTTTGCCTGCGACAAAAGAAAGAGTCAGTCTGCGTGAAAAAAGAAACTACATACACTCACAGGGGGTGTTGAACTAGAAGCCATATTTGGTAGCGCTTACAGTAACTCATGCTGTGTTTCTTTTAGGTCCCCTTCCTTCAACGCCATGATTTTTTGCCTGAGGGTGAGATTTTCTTCAGCCAGACGACCTGCTTCAGATCTATTCAAAGATTACATTAAAAAAAGTTGGAGATGATGGATTCCTAAATAAACAAACCCACAATGGAACCACACCACCAGCCTGGTATTATACTACATGTTGATTAAAAGGGAACACTGATTTTTTAAATACATTTATTCTAATCTTTCTGGTGATCTACAGGGATCAAAACAGCTGAACATCAATGGCATCACACAAAGGGTGTAGGAGGGAGGCCACAGGTGTAGAGGTCCAAAGCAGCTCCATGCTGCAACTGGGAGGAAAAGGAGGATGGCTGCTGACATCACGAGGAAAACGGGGTAACGGAGGCCACAGGAGACGGGGAGCACGGGGATGGGGGGGGCCTAGATTTCTCCAAGTTACCTATGAGCTTGAGTGGTTTCGTTTAGGGTCTGCGACTCGTCTTGCAGTTCTGTGATGGCTCTGCGGAGCTTGGTGTTTTGCCTCTCAAACTCCTTGCAGCAGTCCTCCATGCGAGCCTCTGCCTGCAGGTGGCCGCTCAGGGGTGTGCAGGCCTCGTCTACGGGCCCGTCCGGTTGTTGGACCTCTGGGAGCGCAGGCAGAAGTCCGTCCTGCCTTTCCAGTTCGCTCAGCAGCAGAAACAGCTGGGCGTTCTCCCCTCTTATCCGGGCAATCTCGTCCACCAGCGAGATGTGCTGGTCCTGGAAATCGTGGAAGACGTTAATCCGGCCTTCGAGGCTCCACACCCTCTTCTCTAGGTCACCGTTTTGCTCCTTCAGCTTGGCATTTTCACACTGGCAGTCTTCGTATCGGATCTGGAGATCGTTCATTTCCAGGGCCTTCGTCTCCAGCTCCTTCACGTGCTCCACCAACAGGAGCATCTGAACTTTGAGGCTGTAGTTCTCCTCCAGCGCCTGGTGGCCCGCCTTCATCTTCTCGCTGTGATGACCCACGAGATTCTCCAGGATTTCCGTCTTCTGTTGAAGCAAAGAGATCTTCTCGCGGAGGAGGACATTCTCCTCTGTGGCAGTGCTATACAAGGCCTGTAATTCCCCAGGAGAGTCCCGGTTCTCACGATCGGAGTCTCCATCCGGATGTTCCCCACAATCATGTGCACATTCATGGTGGTTTTCATCCTGCAGGTCTGCGGCTGAATGTTCACAGTCTAAAACTGGTAAGCAGCCGACCTCAGTATCCTCCACAGACTCCTCACCGGGGTCACCTGCCTCCTCAAGCGTAAATGCCACAACCGCAGTCTCATGATGCTTCCCGTCTTCATGGGAGCAGCTTCCAAACTCCACAGCTGGAACATTTTGAGGTTTGCCGTCCTCATTACGCGCATCAAGAGCTACTTTATTCTCTCCCTCACCAAATGCCTCCAGTGATGAGACTGGCTCCCACAGCATCTCCGGGGAAACCGCTTCGCTTTTGATGGATAAATAACTATCAGGGGATCCTGAATCCTGATCACTGTCTTCATGCATTTCACCTTTCTCAAGACTCGGATCTCCGGACATGTCATTGGGAATAATGTCGACCTCATCATGGCACCCCTCACCACATCCCACATCTTCATTCCGCGGGTCACGACTCTCTGTGGCTTGCTGTTGATCATCTCGGTCAGCATTTATAAAACCATCACCGTCCTCTGCCTCGATAAGGATTACATGAACGTCTTCATCCAGTAGAACTGGAGGGGTCTCTCCAGCAGACACAGACATGCATTCTTTAGCGTTATACGTCCCCTCAATAAAAGCACTGTCATTCCATCCTTCCATTTGGTTGTTCACAGTCTTCTCTGCGGGAGCCGAGAGTTGATCGAGTTCCTTTTCTTGCTCCTTTATTTTGATTTGAAGTAAATCCCTCTCTGAATCAAACTCTTTTAACTTCAACTCAAGAGTGGACAGACTTTCTTGCAACTCCTGCCTCTCCAGCTCAAAGTCCACTGCGGCCTGCCTGAGAACCATCTCCAGCTCTTCCACTCTCCTCTTTAAGTCGTCACGCTCGGTGAGCAGCTGAATCCTCTCGGAAGCTTGCCTCTCGGCCATGGAAAGCATCTCATTCATCTTTGCCTCGTGGGATGAACTGGTGGCGAGAAGTTCGGTCCTCTCCTGTTTAAAATCTTCCACCGTTTGGTTCAACAGGAGCTCAGTCTGAAGCGCTTTGCTCTCAGACTGGGCGAGGAGCTCATGTTTCTCCTGCAGCCGGCTGTGGAGCTCATTCAGCTGCATGCTGAGCTCGATCTCTTTACTCTGAGCCGTGCTCATCAGCTCATCCAGCTCACCCTGCAGCCGTTTGATCTCCATCATCAAGGCTTCCACTTTTCCACTGTGAGCGCTTTCAAGGTCTCCCTTTTCTTTTTCCCACTCTTGATGCGATGCCTCCTTTTCCTCCTTCATGGCCTCCTCCGTCGCCCTTCTTTCCTCCTCTGCAAACTCTAGCGCCTTCTGCATCTCCGCTTCCCAGTGGAGCCTCTGCTTGCCGTGGCTTTCGGAAAGAGACTTCAGCTCGCTCTGGTAGTACTGTTCGAGTTTTAGGACGTCAGCTTGAAAACGCTCGGCTACAGATTCCTGATCGCCCGAGAAACGATCTTCCACTTCGCGAATTCTCTTGGTGAAGCTGAGCTCCACCTCCTGCCTGTACGTGGTCATTCAATGTTTGTTAAAGCATCCGTTTTGAACATTGTCTAGTAATGCATTAATACTCCTGCAAAAAGTACAGTTGGTAGCCTGTTTAATAGACAAGAGTACTTATCTGCCTTTTCACCGTTTTAAGAAATTCCAGCCAAAAAGACGCTGAGCAAAATACTATTTTCTCGTCCAACAAATATGCAGAATCTCACCTCTCCTTAGTGATGTCCACTCGCAGTCTGTCCAGCGCAGCACTGAGCGCATCCCTTTCCTCTGCGTGCCTGGTGCTCAGCTCCTTCATGGCCGCTCTGTGGTTCTCTTCCAGTTGGGCCCTCTCCTCTGCTATTAGCCTCTCTACCCTCTTCTCCTCCTCGTCCCTCTCACCCTCGAGCTTCTCCCTCTCCTCATTCAGCCTATCCTGGATCATCCCCTCGTAGTCCTCCTCCAGCTGCAGCTTCTCCTTCTCCCAGTCCTCCTTTAACCTTTTCTCCCTCAGCTCAAACTGCTCCTGTAACTGCGACCTTTCCTCCAGTATTCTGTCGAGCAGGGCCTGGTCGTGGAGCTCCTGCAGCTGAGTTCGTTCCCTCTCCCACTGCTCCCTCAGCTGGCTCTCCTTCTCCTCTTGTTCCCTGACTAGTCTCAGCATCTCCTCCTCCAGCAGAACCTGCAGAGACTCATTGTTCTGCTCATCTAGTTGAGCCCTCTCCTTCTGCCACTGCTCGGTTAACCTCTTCACCACTTCATCGCGCTCCTCCTCATACCTTAACTTTGCCTCTTCCAGTTGAGCATTTAGTTTGGCTTCATGGCTTTGCTCCAACGCCTTTCTCTCCATTTCCCACTCGTCTAGTAATTTTCTCTCCAGCTCAGCTTTTTCCTCCTGGAGATCATTTCTCACCTCTGTCAGTCTAGCTTCTAGCAGCTCTTCGTGTTCCTCCTTTAGTTTGTTAATCACCGTAGAATGTTGGTTCTTCAGCTCCTCGATCTTAGCGAGGAGGTTTTCATCCGTCTCTGCCTGCTGCACTTCCAAGGTCTTCATCTGCTCTTTCAGATCTGCACAGTGGCCACGAGCTTCCAGAAGCTGCTCTCTGAGGGTTCCTACTTCGTCTTCTTGCCGGTTCTGGAGGTCTTTCCACTCATCTCCTTGCTTCTGCTCCTGGCAGGTACGTTCCAGCTCCGCCTGCTCGAGCTGGCTCTCAAGCTCCTGCGTGCGGCGCTGAACGCTGGCCATCTCCTCCGTCAGAGCCTGGACATCCTGCTGGTACTGGAGAGTCAGTGCAGCTTTCTGGTTCTCGTAGGTCGACCTCTGCTCTTCAGCCATTATGTCAAATTCATTGATCTGGCGAAAGAATTGCAAAACCGAATAAAAACCGAATAAAAACCGAAAAAAAAAAAAAGTAAACTTTACACCAGCCCTCGTAACATGTAACTGTGGGTTTTGAGAGGGTAATTTTTTTCCAATTATTGTAACCAAAAGCTAAATTGTTAACTCCAGTACAACCTGTACTGGACTGGACTGACACCGCATTTGACCTGAAAAATTACCTTGCTTTCGAGCTGCTTCCTCAAATCCTCCATTTCTTGAAGGTGCTGGTCCTTCAGCTGCTCCAGCATCAACTCTGCCTCCAGACTGATGGAAAAAGGTTGAACCTCCTCTGAGCCAAGACCTGTAAAATGTTGATTTATTTTATCTTAAACGGGGCTCTTTCATGTGCTGATTGTAATTCTGGCGGCCTACCTGGGTCGGACTCTGTGCCGGGGCTTTTACTCTCCAGCTCATCAGACAGAGTTTTGTGGCAGGGATCGTTACTTCGACCAAGAGCATGGAACTCCCGCAACTCGGACTGGAGCTCGTCTATACGATCCTGAAGCTCCTAAAAAAGTAGGAAAACTCAATCAATCCATTACAAATTAGAAGTTCCTCTCTGCATTATTTCTGTCCTCTTATTCTAAATGTTCCTGCACAGAGGGAAAGTAAAACCTTAAACCGAAACAGAGTTTGTGTCTCAGTGGCAGTTACCCTGCATTGGGTTTCATAGCCGCTGCGCAGCTGTTTAATACGCTCTTCTTGGAGAAAAAAGTCACCACTGCCAGGGTCCATGTCCCCAACCTAAACAAAGTGAGATCATCAACAAGAACAGAGCTTAAAATCAAAAGGTAAGTTTCATGACAGAAACTAATAAAAACGGCTAAATTGAGACTACATACATGCATAAAATCCCTTCGTGGGAAGCCCAGAAATATCTTTGTACCTTATTCTTCATGATGTTGTCCAAACTGCTCTGCAGTTTGGTTATCTGCTGTTCTGACTCTGCCAGTTTGTCAGCGTTGTCCAGTAGCTCCATTTCAAGACGCCTATTCTCCTGAAAATATACACAGTTCCAGAAAATATGTGGATTATGAATTTGATGTATGTATGTAAGCGCACAAAAGTAGTAAATAACTAAATGAGAATTACAGCCCTGCAGAGTTTGTTTATCATTCCTCCAAATGGATAAACAGTTGGAAATGCACAAATGTATATAAACAGCATGAGCACAGTTATAATCAAACAACTGACTGGGTACCTTAACTGTGATGGAAAGGTGGTCTCTGAGAAAAGACTCATCCTCTCTGATTTTCTCGATTTCCAGCTCCAGCTCCTCGCGCTGCAGGCCCGCCTGTTGCTGGATCTGGTCCATCTCTTTCCTCAGCTCCAATTGAACAGCTGCAAGCTTCTCTTTGTGCTCCTGCTCAAGCTTCCTGAAAAGCACAGGAAAATAAGGATTCAATAATTTAGTTGTTGACTAGGCGATGGAGACGAAACAAATCCAACTCAGACCCTTCACTTATGGTCTGAAGAGTTTTGAGTATACAACTTCAGAATAGAGGATAAGATGGAAATACAAAAGTTATGAATTACCTGAGGTTGAGGTTATTTGTGTGCTCAATTGCAGAGTGATGTTCATCCACCTCAGTAGCAAGCTGAGCTTTCTGCTTCTCTGCTTTTTCAAGATCAGATCGGATTTTCTCTTTCTCTCTGATTTCTCGGTCTACACGCTCTCTGAAAAAAGAAAAAAAATAAGTTGCATAAAGGCTCAGATAAAAGTTTAATCGACCGCTCTGCACATTTTAAAATGCCTGTCATTCATTAACAAGCCAAAAGAAAAATAATTTCTAAATCGGTCAGTCTAAATCAAGAGAAGGGGCCTGAAGGTTCTGCGTGGAAGGCACAACTCGAACTCACAGGAGGTGTCTGATCTCGGCTTTGAAGCTTGCCAGTGCCGCTTGGTGAATCCCGTTCTTAGTAACCAGCAGCTCGTTTTCAAGCGCTGTGGTCAGATCACCAAGGCTCAGTTTGCCATCTAGGTCGAAATTCAAAGCCTGAAAAAAACAAGACCAAATTAAAAAAAAAATTTCATTCCTCACATAATTCCAATAAATAAAAAACAAGCACACATTCAAACAAAAAAGAAAAACAAATCGAAATCCTTTTAATACTCGTCATGACAGGCGGTGACTGAATTTATCAGAGCAGCATGAGTACCTGGAGGATCTCAGCACTGTTTTCTATTCCCTCGTCTATCCAGACGTCCAGGATGTGCTCGGCTGGCGTGTAACCAGTGCCATCATCAAGTGTAGAAAAGAGCCGCATACCGATGGTGCCGGTCAAAGCGGAGGTCCTGCGCCCCCCCTCATCAAAGGGCTGGAAGAGGGAAAAATAGTTCCCTCTTTCATAAGTTGATGGCGGGGGAAAAAACAAACAACGAGCTCAAACTAAAGAAAGGCATACCTGAGTGGAGTGATGTCGTTTAAACTGTCTGTATGGTGTGGAAGCGGATGGTGTTGGGGGGGTGTTGTTGTTCACGACTCTGGAAACAAACTCCTGAACGTTCATCACTCCATCGCCAGTGAGACTCAGCAGCACGTCGCCATTCAGCTGAAAACAGATTTTCTTTTTTGAAAAGATGCATCTTGTCGACAAAATATTTTTGTTAAACTAAGTGCTCATCGTCATTTCACCACCGAACAGTGAACAGACAGGTGTTACACCTGCCATGTGAACTGAAGGCTTAAGGATAAATAAACTCAAGCCATTCTGAATAAAGATGCTATTCCAACCATAAAAATGCAAATACACTAATCAGTCTTCCAGAGTAACTGGCTAAAAATGAGGTTAGACCACAACACCCACCTCTAGACCCAAATGTTCACACAGAGCCCGCAGCTCGCTGTGCCCAGCGCCTCCGTCCCACGGGATCCCCAGTTCCTCGCACGCTTCGCGCAGTCTCTCGTCCGAACGGGCCGACAGAGGGGCGCTGGATCCCCGAGGGGTGCGCGGCTCATCGGGGTTCCAGAGGTGCATCTGACCTGTGTGCGATTATGAGCGTTCTTTGATGAGGAACGGTTCATCTCCATGACGCTGTGAAGTCTCAGAAAATACAGCGAGTTCGTCTTACCCTCTGCTTCGTACTCCTCTGTGCTTGATTCGTCGCCATTCCAGCGCTATTAGAGACAAAGAAATGCAAAGTGAACATCATAATCAGTTTAGTTTTGCCATCTAATTAACTCTTAGAATAAACAAAAACAATGGAGTCATCTGAGAGAATGAGTGCAAGGGACCCCATGTGATATTGTCTAAAAGGTTGAATTTAGATGCAAATGACATGACAAATCTTTTGCGACGACATGGGCCCAAATGTGTTTAGAAAAAAGAAAAGAAGAAATGTGTCACTGACGTTTGGCTCTTTAAGTCCAAACTTCCTCATTCAGGCAACTTTGCAGCATAAAATATTCTAATCAAAGAGTTGTGCTTTAATTTAAAGAGTTTGTTTTTGTATATCATTAAGGGCGAGCTCAGCTGGGTGTGACCCACAAGGCTGCAGCCCAGAGCGGTCACCTATTGTTTGGCAAGCCGACACTGAGGGAATGAGGAGCAGATGGGATTCTGCCAGTGGCATTTTGATACATGAAGTGTAGGCATCCAGAAAAGAGGGGGTGGTGAGGCTCATTGTTCCTCCGTCACAGTCCTCCACCCTCCTCCCCACGCAGCACCAGATCTGCTGGCCCCCTGTGCATCGGCCCCGTGACCCAGCCCCATCTGCTGGTGCACAGCCTGGATATGGTGGCATTGTTGAAGCCCCGGATTAGTCAATGCCAAGACACACTTCAATTCAACGTCTTGAATGGTATTCGTCTACACGCTGCCAGGCATCTGGGGTGGAGTCAGACAATACAAACAATATCAACACACCGAGCTATGCTCAAGCAGAACTGACCACTGCTGATGTTGAGGTGATTGGTCAGAGATTTTGCTCATGACTGATGTTGATGTAGGACCTCATCCTACATCATCAATGAAAAATCCACCTGTTGCGTGAAGCCCACAGCAGATGGTAAAACTTCCAAACGCCCACTGATTCTCAATGCTTCTTTCACTCTTCCAAGCCTGCTAAACCAAACTAAAGCTAGAGATGTATATGTTTTAAAAGCTTAATTTGTGGCTGAGCTCACTCCCGCAGTCCTGAGCACAGCACAATCAATAAAAAAAAGCGAATCCTAATCACTGCCCCCAACGGATCTGGAATGAGAACATAGGCAACCACAGCAGTGATTTCACCAGCAAATGAATGCTGACTCCACACGTTCCTAATGAATACAACACAGTTCTTAAGGCCTCTCAGTGTGCTCACTAACTAACAAATGTTATTGTTTCGTGAGGACTGAAAAGTCTTCCAACCCCACAACCTCAGGGGGCCAGAACCTGGCCTGACTCCATGTTTCCCACCCTAATTTCTGTTGTAGGCCATGGAAGCTCAAAGTGAGCTATATGAAGTCAGCAAAGACGACGGGATCGTCCAAGAAAAGGATACAGAAGATCACCATGCAGGCTGTTAAAACCCTTAAAGCTTTCACTAAGCCACATCCGAACCAGTAAAGTCACACGAAGGCAGAGCAGGTTATCGGACAAAGTGCCAGAAGAGGACTAAAAAAACAAACTTAAAACAAGCACAACAAGGCGCCGTTTGTCTTTACATGTACCGAAAACTCGTGAAGATGTGCTTTTTGTTACTCTGCTCTTCACGGCCACACACTCTCCAGCACACACAGTCCGGGCAAAGTTCAGCCCCCCCGTTGAATACGGACTCGCATCATGAAACATCCAGCTGACAGCACCGTGTGACACACCTCTGACACTCTGGTTACGTGTTAATAATCCAAGGCTTATTGACCAGTGGTTATGTTCGACATGTTATTTACAGACATTGCTGAGGTGTTATGCAATGAAAGCTGCCATGCTGGAAGCATCAAGACATCATTTCTGGATCCACCCGGCATGACACTAAGCAGATTAACTAAGAATAACACCTCGCCGTGGCAATGGTTGCCGAGAAACGTGGTACACGCAAGGACAGGAGGTGATAAGGCTGGCATCTGAGTTTGTCTGGCGCTTCATACCACGCCACTGGAAAAGCTCTGAGCCTTTTACCTCACGCTTCCTGGGAATAGCCGAGTCACAGTTGTCCTCCAAATCCTCTTCGTCAGCTGGGTTTAGGTTTGCAATGTCAGACAACTCTGAAACGGGCTCTATGAACTCTGGCGTGGAGCGGCGGCCATAGCGCTTGCCGCCCTTCACAAACTTTGGCTGGATTTCTGGAGAATCTGAGATAAAGTGAGAAAGATGAAAAAATGACATCCTGTTAAAAGTTGTTTTTAGAAATACATTGAAAAGGAAGGAGAGAAAAAAGGGGGGCAATATTAAGTGCTGAAACTCTAGCAGCTACTTCTCCAAAACTTCACGCTTCTGTAAAAGTAGTAAGCAAAGATATCTCTTAGGGCCGAATGTTTCCATGACACTGCATGGTCGATGGCGTTTTGCAAACAGTGACAAAATTCCCTGTAACTGGACACGTTAAACATGCAGCGCGCTTTACTGACACCTGGATATTTGTTCTGATAATGATCAGTGCAACGCATTTTGACACTATGACAAAATGTCTGTCAATAGACAAAGAAAACTGACTATAAACCTTCTCAGATTGTTTATTATTTTTTCTGCTAAAATCTGTCTCTGTTCCATCCATTCTGTAACCAAGAGGCCCAGTCGATGATCCAACCATGACGGCGTAAACACAGCCAGCAGCTAGGTGACGCATACATGCAGCTGACTCAGCATAGGGGCTTGCTCAGCTTGCGGTCACCTTGTGTGCTTGGAGAGTTTAGTGAAAATGAAAGCTCTCCTCAAAGTTAAATATTACACCTGATATGGTCATAAATGACAGAGCAAACACTCTGTGTACATTGTGAACACTTAAAGAGGATTTGTCCGTTTATCTTTGGGATCGTTCATCAGGACAAGCCGTAGTGAAAATCAAGACTTTACCTGGCTGAGGCACGGTTTCCTCTTCAGCTTGAGATGGCTCAATGGTTGAGGACAAAACCAGGATGAGAGCATCCTTGAATTGGTTAAAGTCAACCTGCAACAAGAAAGAAAAACAGATTTTCCATTTAACAACAGTCTATACGAGACACGGACACTCCTTGTGCACAATTCGGTAAATTCTAAATATTTGAAAAAGATAGCTTGTGAAATTCCACAGAATGGGAGTAATTCCCCGTGTGGCGGGTGGAGAGCGGGCGTCCCTGGTTGTCTGGGTGGAGGAGGGTTTGAGCAGGGGCTGGAAGGTCACACTTGAACAATCAACAGCTGCTAGCCCTGAATATGGTGATTTTCTTTGTGCTTTGGAGGCTGACGGCTGGCGCCTGTATGAAAGTGGGTGGGGGTTTGGTGTCTTTTTAACATTATTGTTGAATGCTGAAGTAAGGCAATCAGTTCACTGCCCTCTCTCCTAACATTTACCCCCCCCCCCACACACATGCTAAACAAAAGCCACCCGTCTGCACACACGCTTATACACAAACAAAACTTGGAAGAAAAGGTGTGGAGGCAAGCAGTTTCCATGGTCCTCACCCCTTACCTCCAGGAACCTAAAGATCTAAACATGGCATCCACTGAATGCGTGGTGTAATGCACACTGAGGTACGGCTGCATAGTACCCTCTTAGATTTCCTGATGGAAGAGGTTCAAAGAGGAGCATGAGTGTGTATAGTGATTATCTGGCTTGGTTGTCCTGGTGACAGACACTTAGGAGGAACTCTGATGGGGGGAAAATATTTTCTCCCCAACAAGCCGGGGGCATATTAACAAAAAAAAGGGACTAGAGACACAAGCACCTGAAAGCTGGAGGGGCTCAGTGCCAAACTAAGCCTCAACAGCATATTAATCAGAACGCTTCATGAATTCACTCGTCCAAATTCTGCTTTTGGCACACATTTGGTCATACCCTGCCAGTGAGGCTGTCCTGTTTCTGCAGCAGCGTCTGGAGAAGAGCCGGGGTGGCATCATCCAGGTGTAGGGACTGGCAGAGATCAGAGAGCTCCTCCGGGTTCAGGGAGCCGCAGCCGCTGGTGTCAAAACTGTGAAAAACTTCCTTCAGGCGCTCCTCGTAGTGGTCCTGCTCTTGGCTGTCATCCATCCCACAGGACAGCACCCTGCCCTGCAAATGAAGGCACAAACACTCTAGCTTGCTAACACTTTCCATGACGGTACACTTAAGCTAACCTACTCCGTTTGTAACATTGTTCAGACCCAAAGAAACACGACAACGTTTGAAGTCCCCCTCACTCCAAACTAAAACCAAGAAACGTTCAACTTCCACACCGACGCGTACTCACAAACAGGGTGGACGCGTCTATCTCCACAGCCTGTGTTCCTAACGACACCTCCATGTGAGAGTTCCGCTCAGCAAGTGAGCTTCCGATGCACTCCTGCAGCGTCATTTGTGGTGGAGGCTTTAGCTAATCCAATTACAATGATGAGACTATCAGGTAAATGTTGCTCTGTAAGGGAGCTTCCAATACACTGCGCCAGGGTAATTTCTGGTGCAGGTTTTAGCCAATCCGATTACCCTTGGTTAGGCAATCGGGCAAAATGATAGATGTGGTCATATTCTGAGATCGGCCATGAATCTATTCTCAAATACCTGTAGCTGAGGAGACTCAAAAAAGCACGACAAATAAACTGTAAACTCAGGTTTTTGATCGAATGAGAGAAAGACTGAATAAAGCTTTTGTTCTCTTAGATAATGAGCTTTGTTTTTGTAACTGAAAAGCAATACAAGCCACCACAGATTTACCTTACCGACTCTACATACAGCTGTATAACCATGCTCTCATTTAGCCAGAGGTAATGGACATATGGTGCTTCTAGCCACGCACAATTCTGAGCCAAACCTTTAGTCTCTAATTTTCCCTCCATATTTCTTGTGCCACTCTCTGCATGTTGCACTGTCTTTAAATGGAGTCTATATATCAAACCTCTGCTTTTGCTCCTTGTTCCCGAGAAAGGGTATTTTGTCCCTCAGCTGTGCATGGCAGTCAGGTTTAAAGCTGAAATTAAACTGGGAGCTTTTCAAGAGATCCAAGCAGAAATATCATACTTTGGGATTGCTTTTGAATCAGCATAGATGCACCACCTGACTCTCTGCTTTTTCAGCTGCTCTCAGAGATCATCGAGCATGTGCTCAGCCAGGTGTCCCCTTCACCCCAGACTCAGGGTACCCATTCACCTCAGACAATGGCGTCTTCACAAAAGCCCATCAGTGCTCTGCATCTGGACATTTGAGGAGGCTTATAGAATATATCTGGGAATGATGCCTCTCTAGAAGGGCTGCTGCAAAGACACCGGGCAAAAATATTACAAATAAAACTTTATTGGTTTGAAAAAAAAAAGAAAAAACCTGATGGAAATGTACCCCTACTCACATACTACCCTACTATGCATCCTGACAAACTAAATTCGAGCATGTAAAACAGTCTCCACGGATTTAGCCCCTGTCCAGCTGATGGCGACTAACTTTCCGACAACTTCTGAGCCCGTTAACCCGGCAGCCTTTCTGCTGCATCACAGCAGCTTGCGGGTTCATTGGTTGGCCGTCGGGCGACAGCTGCGGTGGAATCAGAGCAGTCCAGGCAGGCTCCACGTAGGAGGTTAATCCCAGCACCATCCCAGCATTGACTGCAGCTCATTACCATCAACAGATGTCAGTCTGAGAAATGAAAGGTCTCCAAAGTCTTCATCTGCACCCTTATTCCTAAAACACTGACTGGAGAGCTGCGCTCATGCAGTGGAAACGGAGGTGAACGCAACACCGGTGAATCTTTCTTCTAAATGCACTCTCAGAACGACGGAAACCTTTCAAAATACAAAATGTTTTTGAGAACATTTGTATTTGTAAAAGGATGGAATGATGAAAAACAGAGGGAAAATGAAGTCTGACTAGCTTTAATCACACTATTTTGTTTGACATACCTCCTACAAGCGCCCGATTAGATTCAGGACTACACAAGCAGCTTATCACATTACATTTCTGGAGCATTTCTGGGTGAAAGGCACAGAAAAGTGACAAAGAACTCAAGGAAATTCGAACAGATCCATCTGACTGAGACTGGAGGCCAACCAATGCTGAGCCCCCCAAACACCTTTGGTGATTTAAAAAAATAAAAAATAAGTCTTGGTATAATCTGCAAGAGGATATAGGAGTCATATAGGATATGTGCAGTGGGTGAAATCTAAGCCTTCGATGCTGTGTCATCAGCTGGAAAAGATGACAGCCAGAAATGAAAGAAAAACTAGAAGGTTGGTTTAAAATGTCTGAGATAAGAGTTATAACTTGACGTCTGTGTTGAATTACAGACTGGAAACTCATTGTGACTCTTTGCTCTGCAAACTTTGGACTTTCCGAACGTGGAGGGAAGCTTAAAAGTCAACTTTGTAGACCGAGCTTCTGTCTGTGAAGCGGCTGAACTAGCTGAACCAGTCTGGGCATCAACAGTGATGGGCTATGCTAACCGGGCTAATCTTCTAGCGGGAGCTTTCGGAGGAAACGGATGGCTAGCCACATCCCAAACATGTCCAGTCAAACCACCTGTAAACCAGCTAAGGCTTTATGCTGTCAGTAAAAAGAAAAAAACGTCAAACTCACCAAAACCCCCAAACTGGACCCACAGCTGCCTCCTTGTTCCGCCAGAAACGTGGCGATAAACGACTTAAAAAAAAAAAAAAAGTTTAAAACTACAACATCTGTCCAGCAGCAGACTCCGTTCTCCTCGAAAGTAAATTATCCCCTCCAGGAAGGCTGACAGACGGCGAAGTTTGGCGACGGAGGCGTCCTTTTTCTAAGCAACATTACAGGGTTGGAGCCTCACGACTTCGGCCGCTTTGTGTGTCGGCGGTCTCATCCTCGTCCAGTGGTTTGTAGCGGATTTTGAAACAGGCTTGATAGAGGAAGGGGCGGTGACGGAGCGCCTGCCTTGGCCTGACTGGCCGTAAGCCCCGCCCCCCCGCGGACCGTACCGCTCAGTCTGAACGAGTCACATTCCAGCCGCCTTACGCCGCCTTGCGGGACTTTAGCTCCAGCTAGCCGTTGGGGGGAAAGTTCAAAACTGTTTTCCACCCAACTCTTATACCGCCCTTATTATTGCAATATGTTGTCTTTATGTATCCGTTGAACGTGGACGGTCCACAAAATGCATTAAAAAAAACTATGTCTCTTTATTCAAAACAAAACAACGCTGTCATGTTTGCTATGCCGTTTTGCAAGTTAAAAATTAGCTTATGTCTAAAAAAAATGGTCGAACCGTGAGAGAAATGCAAGACCAGAATTATTACATAAAATGTGTCTATTTGTATCTTATTCATTGTTAATTTACTTTACCTAGTTAAACAATATTTAACAATCTCTACAATATTGTCCTCTGGCAAAATATGTTACCCAAGAACACAGCAAAGACACCAAAGCAAATAAAGGTATACATTGTAATGAAAAAATTACATTACACGCATTTTGTAATGGAATGATAAAAATACAATGAATTCTGCATGTGCAGAAACACAAAATATTTTGTTTGTGCCATGCAAAATGATGGCCACATCAAATTCAAATACATATGCCAGAAATAATTCTTTAGGATAAAGATGAGAGCTTAGAGGTTGTCAAAAAATAATCGATGGGTAATTTTTCAACATGTTGTCGTCATGTCAAAGAACTTCAGTACCCACAATGCTCTGCGTGGTGCTGTCAGCTGGGATTTGCTCTGTTTTGTTATTGCTCTGCTAAAATAGGGACGCTGAGGGCGTTTGTATCACCTCAGCCTGGTCCCCAGTTGACATTTGCAGCATTTTATTATGACTTCTCAGGATAGTTATTTTTGCTAGACACCTTTGACAAAGTTTTCCTGTGATCTTTGCCATATAGGTGTTTTTTTTAATGTTTACTCTTGGAAGATACATTTAAACTCACAGCCCTAACTCACTGTATAACATGTGAGCAAGGAAATTCACATGAACTTTGACCTCATTTGACGGCATTCTTATGTTATCAGAGCCAGAGCTCATGCTGGATTACCGCTCTGTCTGCCCAGACCGAGACGAGAGGACAAGAAAGCAGAGATTTGGAAAGCAGACTGTGTTGTTGCAACGTTTAAGTAGTTGTTCCAATGGCAGACACGAAGAGAGCACTGTGCTATCTGTTTACTATCTATGCTTCACTTCCTGTCATTCTGTACTTGTTCCCTTGGATACTTGGCCACGTCATATTTGCTCACTTGTGTAAGTAATGCTCTTCTATTCCAGAGTGTTTGTTCAAAGCATAGTCAATACATATTGAATAGGTTAAATGTTTAAATATGGATAGGAACAGTGGAATGGATTACCAAAGCCTTATAGAACAATTACAGATATGTTAAAGTAAACATTTGTAAACAAGTGGTTAATCAAATAATATTCTAGTTACAGTGGGAATAACATTTTGTATGTTTTGACAAATTATCCTTATACTCTCCCTCACGGTCATGTGGTTTACTGTGCAGAAGTCTAAGTTATTTTTTACCTTACCCAGAAAAAGGAAGTATGAGCAGTCTTTATTTTGGTGTGACCACTTCTTCATCACAAGCTAAACCCTCTTAGAGAGGCTTTCTTTAAGTTGTCTTCAGGACCCCAGTCCCACAGGGACTTGAACCAGGACCCCTTTCACTGTGAGGTGATGGTGCTAACCACCACACCACCGTGCTGTGCGCGCAGGTGTCAATGAAAATGAAAAACAAAACCTACTGACCTTATGTGCTCTCGTCCACTGCAGTGAGGGTTCCATACTTTGTGGATCTTGGCAGACCTCAAGACGTCCTGAACCACACCTGCAACTTCTACCTCAGCACTGAGGATGGTGTGTCAGTAGGAGTGTGGTAGGCCATTTGTGACCACTGAAGTGCATCAGCACTCGAATCTCGGGCATACTTGTTCAGCACAGGTGGCTGCCGGGTGACTTGAGCTGCGTTCATTTAGCACGAGACCCTCTCAAAATTCTGCTGAGGATCCCAAAACGCACGCTTTTTTCGTTTGTGATGCTCACCCTTATTCCTCTCTCTCCCTCTCTGTCTCTGTGTCTCATAGGCACACACTCCCCTCCAGCCAATGGGAGGCGTCCGCTGGGAAAAGCTCTGAGTGGTACCATGAGACTCTGGGAGATGGCAGTCCTGTTATTATCTATCTCCACGGCAACGTAGGGACCAGGTGGGATAAGAGCAGCGGGGTAGAGATCCTTGAATTGATCCTAATAGGGTCTAGTGGGTATTGCGTGAGGGCTCAGGCCCTTGGTTTTATTCACTGTAACAATGCATGCAAACGTTCATTGGTTGGAATAAGTGAGTCTGGAAGCCACGTTTGTTTATCAATGACCCTCTTTTGTTTTCCGCAGAGCCACAAATCACAGAGTAGAACTGGTGAAGGTGAGGGTTACACTCTGAAGCACCACTGGTTTCCTCTGAACTTTAAAATAAAATCCAGATTCTTGTTTTTGTTTTGTTTTTTCCCTGTTTTTTCTTTCCGTAGATCTTGAGTGCCGCGGGGAATCATGTCTTATCTTTAGACTACAGAGGTAAAACGATTATTATAGCTCTTTCTAAGAGATCTTAGTTACTTTACACAAAATACAAATATAATGTTATGGTTAGGGGCATTGGACTATTTTGGTTTATCAGCAAAAAACAGACACAATATCTGTTTAACCTTGCAAATTGTGATTAACAAATTGTGATATTCATTACAGCTGTAATGTGTGTTGATAAAAGCTTTGTAAGCAGCACAGTCTGTGACCGTTAACTTTGCTGGCAAATACCATGAAGACATAAACAGGATCATGAGAAGGAAGTAAACTCTCTCTCCACATTTGAGTTTCTGTATCAGGTAGAAATGTGAATTGAAAAAATAATCTGTGGCTTATAGCTCTTAAAAGAAGAAAATATAATTATGCACAAAATATTACATCTTGGCATTATCTTTTTAAATGGAATTAAGTTGGAACACAGAAGCAGTGTGTGGAAAAACTCAACACATCCTTACTCCTTACTGATGATCTTCATAAAAAGCAGACATTTTGGCAGCTTTTCAATCATGTGTGATATGCAATATGTAAACAAATGGGCACAATCAGTGAGTATGTCATCTGTTCTTAAGGTTTTGGAGATTCCACTGGGGAGCCCAGTGAGGCCGGATTGACCAATGACGCCCTCTACCTGTACCATTGGGTAAAGAAACGAAACAGAGGACTTGTCTGTCTGTGGGGACATTCGCTGGGCTCTGGGTCAGTTTCTCTCTAAAGATACTTTAAAATGTTCTATCTGCCACTAACACAAACAGTTTTCTTCATTGGAAACAATGTAGAGAACGTTTTAAAGCCAAATTTGCTTTTGTTAGGGTGGCAACTAACACTGCAGTGAAAATACAAGAACAAGGTGGGTGTGACATATGCTGCATAACAAGACCATTTATTTGTTTTTAGTCTATACAATTCTTTGGATTTGATTTTAGTTCTCTACCCAGAATTTATTCGTCTTTTGATATCAGGTTCTACTGTTGATGCTTTAATCCTTGAAGCTCCATTCACAAGTATTGGAGAGGTTGTTGTCAACCACCCACTCACAAAGGTAAGGATCTGGTACTTGTTTGACTTTTTACTTGATAAAAAGATATAGAAGTGTGACTCAGCTCTCTGCTCCTATATTAAATATTTTTCTGGAAAATTAGAAAATAGCAGAGCCCATCTTAAAGAATAATAATTATCATCGGTTCCAAATTGCGAAAAGATACCACCAAAAACAAAGATGAGATGATGTAACACAAAGCCAACTATGTTGAACTCCCAACTTTTTTGGTTGCTGGCATCAAATTCCAAATTTATCTTCCAATGAAACTGGTCACTAAAGATTTTTTTCAAAATTTTACATTCTTGCATTTACTGTGCACATTTGGCTGTATCATAAAAGTTTAATAAATAAACAGATTTTTTTTGCATTATAGAAAACTTTCCCAACTTTTCTGTAAATTGGGGTTGTACAAAGAAGCTACAATAAAAATTACTAAAGGGAAACCATTGATCTCATATTGAGCTGACTCTACATTTAACCTTCAGCTATAAATAAAGGCATAGTTTTTCAAAGCCTGTTTAAGAAGTCTGTTAACATCACCAACAAATTGCACCACACTGTCTTTATCAATGCCCATTTTACCAGTTCTGCATAAATACTTGTGAGATCGAATATTCATGCAAGCATGCAACATAGAATTTACCTGTTTTTATCCTGACTGCTGAGTATGCTGGTGCGTATTATGGAGTGGTCAGTTCTGCTTGTATTTGTATGGGACTACCGTGCACAGGATATTGCCACATAGTTTTCCTTTTTTCCAGATGTACATATTTCTTCCAGGATTTGAGAGCTTGCTTTGGAATCTCCTGGAAAGGAATAACATTGTATTTACTTCCAATAAAAAGTAAGTGCGGTAGGAAAGAAGTTTGACAATTCTTCATTTTACACTTTTACCAGAGAATATGACTAAATGTTCACATCGTTCCGACGTTTGTTTTTCCAACAATCATGTAGTTTAGAGAAACTGACCGGCCCGCTTCTTATTCTACATTCAGAGGATGACAATATTGTTCCTCATCACATGGGACGCGAGGTAGAATATCGACTCATTCTCTCCAGAGATCATTTCCTGCTGGGAATCCTTGGTAAAACTACTTGTACTCATTTATTTGAATCCAGCTGTACCAGACATCCCTTCTAGCTCAGGGAAAATTCAACACAGATGCGCGGGTTGAAATGATCTCCTACAGTGCAAATCTTGGCTTCTCCCACAACCACATCTACTTGGATCCTAATTTGTCAGATGCAATTAGGTAAGTTAGAGAGTTAGTTCCGCCTACACTCGTCCTCCATGAAGGTTTGCTGTGCAACATCACCTATAAACTAAAGTAAATGCAATTCTTGTTCTGAATTGTTCCTTTCTTTGTTTGCAGAATATTTCTGGAAAAACTAAGACATTGGAGTCCACTAATGAGCAGAAAGTGAATGCCTCTTTTTAAATACTGAAATAAAGCCACTTCATATAATTTCACAGTTGATGTTTTTTTTATTTCACAAGTAGGAGAAACTGTAGAGCAAAGATATCGCAAAGACCATTTGTCACAAATAGTATGAAAGGCATGTTTTTTTTCCTCCATACAAACCACACAGTCACAGGAATATGGCTACAATAAAACAACTTGAGTCAGCGGCTGTGAGATCTGACTAGATTCGTGAAAAGCTCTCTGAATCCTGAACCCGAGGAACATGATACGACCAGGTTCTTAGAGCCTTCTCCTCCCAGTGATTCACATGTGTTGGAGCTAGAGAAATGTAACAGTGCTTTGACTGAGATGCAGAACAAAGCTGTAGCACCCAGACGAGAAAAAAAAAGTGTTACGTGAAGGTAAGAAGCACTTGGAAATGGATAAAGTGCTTTCAACACGAAGGGAGCCCTTTGTTTGTAAAACGACTTCACATTTTCTTCAGGGCTCTGGCGGTTTCCACAATGGCCTCTCTGGGCTCGCTTGGCGGCGGGATCTTCAGGTCGGTTGGCTCCACGCCCCACACCTCCGTTGCGTACTCTGCGATGGTTCTATCGCTGGAGAACTTTCCGGTCGCTGCAATGTTCTTGATCACCATCTTTGTCCACTCAACTGGGTTCTTATTTTTTAAGGAAAAAAAAAAAAAGAAAAAAAAACAGGGTTAGAGTAGCATTTAACATTATTGATATAATAAATGTATGGTGATGGTTTTATGTATTATGTGGAATTTTCTCTCGTTAAAGAAAAAAACAAAAAAACAAAAAAAAAAAGAGAAGGTCAAAAAATACTACCTGATAGAGTTTGCTGACTTTTTCTTGGCATTTCAAATAGTCCTCGAAGTCTGCAAACACTTTGAACCTAAAAATAGGTAGTAAAAGATGTAATCAAAATCAAGTCCTGTCAAAATGAAAGTGAAAAAAATAAATAAACTTTACCGATCATATTTGAACAGCATTTCAGTGAGATCTTTGAAAAGCTTTGGATTTTTGGGGCTGAAATATCCACTTGTGATCTGATCCATCACTTGTTTCAGCTCAGGAATGCTGTTGTAGTATTCCATGGCATCATACCTAAGGGAGAAAAGAAAAAAAAAAAAGAGGGGTGAGAATTCTTAAAATGTTACGGTGTTATATGAGAAATTAACACGGGTCTTTTACCCCTTTTTGTCCATCTCGTTCACATCATCCACCCTCATGCCAAAGATGAAGAGGTTCTCCTCCCCGGCCTCTTCGGCCATCTCCACGTTGGCTCCGTCCATGGTGCCGATGGTCAGAGCCCCATTCAGCATGAACTTCATGTTGCCCGTACCTGAAGCCTCTGTGCCCGCCGTGGAGATCTGCTCCGACAGATCTGTGGCCGGGATCACTGTGGCAGAACAAATCAGTCCAATTATTGACAGCGAAAGCTCCCCGATGTGGCAAATGTAGCGTTTTGGAATCCAGTTTTACCTTTCTCTGCAAGAGAAACTCTGTAGTTCTCCAAGAAGATGACCTTCAGTTTGTTTCCCACCATGGGATCATTGTTCACCACGTCGGCCACTGATGTGATCAGCTTGATGATCATTTTGGCCATGTGATAACCTGGGGCAGCCTGCAGGGGGCGGTAGAGTCAGACTGACCGTCAAACCAGAACATCACTGTGTAGTTTGGCCTGTTTATTGCACTTTGAGGCCTAAACTGGCTCAGCTAGTTTGTGTACCTTTCCGCCAATGATCACTGTCCGTGGTACAAATGGCGTAGTGGGGTTCTTCCTGATGCCTGGAGACAGAAAAAAATAAAATAAGGATAGATGAGTGTGCATTTCTGACTAAAACAATGAATATCCAATGGTTAAAGCGGCAGAATTGATAAAACTCTTTGCCTCATCATTATCTAAAACATGCAACATTGCGACACGTGACATTTTTTTTCATTTAAATCTAAACCAACAAAACTAAATGAATCCTATACAGCTGGAGAGGACGGCGTGTTGCACGGAGGTGCTGGTGAAACTACCGGCCTGTTTATGGTGGCCCTAAGATTGCATGAAAGAACTCGTACAGCTGATGGAGATGCCAGCATTCCTCATGTTTGTTTTAACATGCAGAGCAGCTGGGCGTGGAATCTTCCAGATCAGGACATGTCAGACTGTGTCATGCAACTTGTCGCTCAGAAAACAAAAAAAAAAAACTGAGGACTTTGGGCACAGAGTAACAGGAGGAGAGTCTCCACCTACGGTTGTACATGGCGATGATGTGCAGGCAGTTGAGGACTTGCCGCTTGTACTCGTGGATTCTCTTCACGTGGACGTCAAACATGGAGGATGGGTTAATTTGCACTCCGTATTCCTTCTCGAGGTACTGAGCAAATTTCACCTTGTTGTCCTGTGAAAAAATATGAAGCGTGAGACTTGACAAGGAACCACTGAGGTGAAAGTGCTGAGTCTTGTCTGGGCGAGTGTTGAGTTTATAGCTGCCAAACATGATGTTGCACAACAGAGTTAGCCTCTTCCTGTTGTGATGCACTGGAATAACTTGGACTGGATTAATAGGTGTAGTCTTCCTGCTTAGTATGGCAAACACTGCAATATTATTTCAATAAGTGGGCAAAAATGAAAGAAAAATTAGCCAATTTTTTTTGTTTCTTCAAGTGATGCAAGCTGTAAAATAAATACACAAATTAATGATTGAGTGTAAATGGCAGGGATAAGCTGTTTAACATAATGCTTTGGCAGACTATAAATGGGTGTCAATAATAGGAGCCTATTTTGTTGAGTGGGAATGACTCCTCAATTATTTCATACTACTTTTGTAGAGTTTGGGGAAAAAACAAAAATTAAAATAAAAACAGCAGTTAAGCAAGTCCAGTCAGTTATTGTGCAATCACCCTTTACACACTACCTGTTTAACTTTAGAGACGTCACGGATGAAGGCAACATCATCAACAAAGTCATTCAGCTTCGTCAGCTGGCTGAGGTCCTTCACATAATCCTCCCCAATGACCTAAAAAAAATGTTTAAGAAGAGACTGTCAAAAGGTTACAAAACTAAAGACAGCCTTATAGTTCAGGTCTGCCATTGATCTGTTTATGTCTGTCAGCTCTAAGAGACCTCGGCAATAAGCTCAGCCAGTCCGGGGTTGCAGAGAAGCAGCCAGCGCCTGGGAGTGATGCCGTTGGTTTTGTTCTGGAACTTTCCTGGCTCCAAATCACTGAAATCCCGAAATCTGCATAAGAAAGGAAGGAAGAGGTGGGTGAACACAGTACATGAAACAGCAGAATGATCCTCTCCCAAGAAATTTAGAAATATTTTCCACAAAAAAAAACAACAAAAAAAAAGTTATTTTTTATTCTTATTCTCTCTGAAAGTGCTTTACTGACAGTCAATCAGTTTCCCCAAATATTTCGAGAACTTAAAATTAAACAGACATTTGTGCTACACCACAATGATTTCTATTCATTACAAATACTCAGTAGGTAGGACATGTGGTTAGGGAATAAAAAAAACTGATTGATTTAAAAAAGAAATTTACAGTAGACTCTCTCATTATAATGCAACAAGACAGATTTTTAGAGGAACTGGATACCAGGAAGTTTAAATGATAGACACTTTGCAGCATATGCACTAAAGCATGCAGTTGTTCCCCAATGTTTCCTAATGCAAGTTGCAGAGTTGCTAACACAATCCTGTGGTAAGGTATGAGGCCACTCCCATGTAGCAAGTATTGCTCTGTCTGTGTTTTAGCCCTGGATGATGATGCAAGCCAACACTTTTGTGGCAACAAGGTATAAAATACCTTCCTTTTTTTGTTTTCATTTTCAAGCTCATCAGCTTACACTTCCGTCTTGATGATGTTGGAGTGTATTTGAGCGACTCCGTTGACGGCGTGAGACCCCACGATGCACAGGTGGGCCATGTTCACCCTCTTGCATCCGTCCTCCTCGATCAGAGACATTTTCCTGAGCTTGTCGATGTCCTTCGGGTAGAGGGCTGCGATCTTCTGCGGGGAGGCAAAACAGATCGGGACACATCTTTAGGGCTGACATTAAAAAAGGTGGGATCTCTACTAGGTTGGTTTCCTAAATGAGTGGGGGGGGGACACTTACGTCCAGGTGGGCCTGGTTGATCTGGTATATGATCTGCAGGTGTCTGGGCAGCAGATTCTCCAGGAGCTCCACGGGCCAGCGCTCCAGAGCCTCAGGGAGCACCGTGTGGTTGGTGTAGGCGAACGTGCGCCTGGTCAGGTCCCAGGCCTGCAGAGGGAGGAGCGAGCACCTCATTGAACACTTGCACTTTTCCTCCAAGGTGTGCCAAAGAGTGTTTGCGACACTGATCGACTCCTGCCTGATGGAATCTTATCACTTGGCAGACGCCTTCGACTGCTGCACGTGAAAGTTGTGCAACATCGAGGTAGTCGTTTCTCATCGCTTCTTTATGTTAGTTGCTCTTGCATGTCTCTGGTTTTCTTAATTTAACTTCCCATAAAAAAAAGGTACTCTTGATTGAGCAAAACCCATTTAATGTGACTTGCACCCACCGTGTCCCAGTCCAGTTTCTCGATGTCAACAAAGACTCTCATCAGCTCGGGGATGGCCATAGCAGGATGCGTGTCGTTCAGCTGGATGGCCACCTGGAAAGCATTAAATCATGAAGTCACACAGTTTGGGGGGGCAAAAAAAACAAAAATACGTGGTGTAGAAGATATTAGCTCCAAGATTGAATCATTTTGTCCAGGGAGTTTAAAAAATAAAAAAGGGCTAGTTGACTTTCAGTCTGTTTTTAGTAGAAGCAATTCAGTGTTGAATGAAGAGAGGTACTGATTACATTAAATAGAAAACTGTTAATTTGTGGGCTAATTGCTTCTAAATGTTACTCTACAAGCAATTTGTGGGGTTTTTCCACTCACTGCTTCTGCATTTCGGCTCACGGTGAAACAGATACTACCACTTTGTTTTTTGCCGCCACCGGTGTTCCTGCAGCTTACCTTTTCTGGGAAGCCCTCAAAGGAGGTGCGACCCGGGCCTCCATTCTTTGTGGTCTTGAAGCGACGAATGATATCTTGGAGTGTGGCCGCCACGACAAAGTATTCCTGCTTCAGACGAAGTTCCTTTCCCTCAAAGAACTGCAACGTGGGGAAATGTGAGCAGGGCGCACGGTTTGAGACAGAAACCGACGCATTATGGTGATCGACCACCCGCAAAACTCTGTGAGCTTACATTGTCATTCGGGTAGAGAACACGGGAGATGTTCTCAGCCAGGTTTCTGTCCAGAACCGCCTCGATGTAATCTCCAACATTAACTAGAGATAAATACATTTAAATATGATGGTTTAAAGTCTCACATCATATATCTACAAGTGAGGAAATAAGCATAGTTGCTTCAGCTTCCTTTGGTCTTGCATAGATTTTCCGTTGAAAAACGGCATTTCAAAAGAGTCTGTGATAACACGAAAAAAAGAAAAAAAGAAAAAAAATCCATGGAAACTTACAGTCCTTCAAGTTGAAGTCATTGGGTGCACGAGCAGACCACAACCTCATGGTGTTTACGGTGTTGTTCATGTAGCCTGGAATGGGTGTGTCGTAGGGCATTGCCAGCACAACCTGCGGCAGTCAGAGGAAGACAGCAGCACAGGTGAGGGTTGATTTAGCAGAAACACACAAAATAGTTTACTAGAAACTAAAAAAAAAATAAAAAAAATTATGGAACAGCAAGAAGATGAGCATGACATTTTTTAATTTAAATGAAGACTGACTAATGTCAGTGCAAGTGAATTCAACACCATTTGCTATTAAAGTGTAACTTTGGACATTTGTAAGCACAAAATAAATATAAAAAAAGAAGAAAAATCTCTCCTGTGCTTGTTGTAATCTTTAATCCGGTCCACGTACCTGAGTGTCAACCCATTTGGGGCCGTCTCTGGTCTCCTCTACACGCCCATAGAAGTGAACTGGCAGAGTGTACTCAGGACGGGCCTTCTCCCAGGGGTTCCCATGTCTGAGCCAGTCATCTGCTTCCTCCACCTACCACAGGTTAGAACGGAGATAAGTTATGGGTATAGGAAAAAAAAAAAAAAAGAAAAAGAAAGGAGTGTCCTAGAGGGTCAGCTCTCCCTTATTTGACCTTTTTATAGTTATAACCTCTGGTAAGGAAAGAGGGAATCTTTGCAGTTATGCAAGTAATAGATTGAGACCATTTACGCTCAATATTTTATTTTAAGGAAAGGCGTCTATTTTAAGAGTTTAAAAAAAGAAAAAGCTGAAATCAAATTATCTAAAATAATACAAATAAAAATTACTATGGCTTGGATTGTATGTTGCTTTATGATTTGTGCTTATGCTTAATTCTTTATCATCACAATGAGTGTCAATGAGCTTTCAAAAAGCCAAAGTTATGCACAATACAAGTTGTAGAGAAGAGATTAAGGACATAGAACAGAAGTAAGATTGTAGGAAAATGAGAATCAGGTCGTGTACAGAACTTTTATTAGCAGCAGGGATTATGCAGGTTCATCCACCCATGTGCAAAAACACTGAGCATGTGTGCGGTTCAGAGTTCAGGGGTACATGTTTACACTGCAAATACACAGCAGAATTCAAGAGCAAAAACCTTTAGTTTGAGGAACTCTTATCGCAAGACACACACACGGTTTATTTTGTGTTGTCATCTAAAAAAACCAACCCACACCAGCTTCTGCAAGGAACTTGCACCACTTCAGCACAGCCAAACGGGGCCGACTACAGTCTGAGTTTACATTAATGATTAGCTCGTGAGGTTTTCTGACCCAGTTTATCTCTACTAAAGTTTCGGGGGAAACTTTGACGAGGGAATCCTAATGTTCAAAGAGATAACATTTGTTTTAAGGGAAGAGGCTGACCCTCAGCTAGGCCTGGCTACCTTTGAAGATTTGGAAATATGGACAGAAGAGAGCTGCCGTTACCTGCCAGCCGTCTCTTATCTTCTGGTTAAAGATCCCATATTCGTATCGAATGCCATAACCGTATGCTGCAAGGCCCAGCGTGGCCATGGAATCCAAGAAGCACGCTGGGGAAGAAAAGAAAAACAGACGTATGCATTTCAAAATCCTAACATGAAAGATTCAGTGAAGTTTATGGCTCTTGCAACGGTGCTCAGTTGCTCATTAGCATTGCTTGTTACTTTTCTTTGGCTGCAAGCTGCTTTACATGTTCAATAGGCTCCCAGAGTTATTCCATGGACAACTGCCAAGAGGGCCTGGAGATAACAATGAAACTCTGTTGTCATGAAGACCAAGCTTTTCCAAGCAAACCGACAGGGTTTCCAGTCGGAATTTGGGGCAAACTTTTGGGTTTAGATGTCAAGTTAAAGCAGAACGACAGATAGAAAAGCAATCGTTTGTCTTTAAAGAGAACGGATCGACACAGAAGCCGGGTCTCCACAGACCTCCACGGCGTTTTTACCTGCCAGCCTGCCCAGACCGCCGTTCCCCAGCCCTGCGTCCTCCTCCATCTCCTCCAGCTCCTCCATATCCAGGCCCAGCTGCAGGAGGAGCAAATTCAAAAGAGCGGAAACGTTACCGGTGCTCCAACGGAGCAAGCTTGACGCCTCCATGAATCAGCTTCTGACCTGATAGATGGCTTCGTCGCAGGCGTTCTGCAGTCCTAAGTTGATCATTGTGTTTTGGAGCGTCCTGCCCATGTAGAACTCCAGAGACAGGTAGTACACCCTCTGGGCACGAAATTAAATACAAATTTTATTTTTTTTTGGCCTTTTCAGGAGACCTTTTTGAAGGTTGAAGGGTGCAGATTGTTGGTGTGCAGAGCAGTGGAGCAAATCAAATTAAACTGGAACACGCCCTTTCCTGCTACCAAACCAATTAAACCAAATGCAGTGACCCGAAAAAAACAGCACTTTTGGGCAATCTTGAAAGCTTTACGCAACACAAAGCTAGTCCCCAAAAAAGAAAAAAAAAGCAAGAATGCAAGAAGGAAATACACAAATGACACTAAACAAACACATTTACATGACGTTTTATGGTGATACACAAATCTTATTCAACAAGTAGTGGCACTTTAAACGTTAAGAATAAACAGAAAAGGGAACAACTTGGTTACATGTTCTCTAAAACTTGTACCTTGGGGTCTGCCACATAGTAAAACTGCTGCGTCCTGATCCAGCGCCCGACCAGGTGGTCTCTCACTGTGTGGGCCAGGGCGAAGTAGTAGTCCCGGGGCGTTGCGATGTTCCTGTCTTTGACCAGGGTGAAGTGCAGGTGACGGTTGAAGCCCTTCTTCAGCTCCGCCACGTTCTCCACCCCCACGATGCCCCTGATGCTGATCTGCTTGCGCTTCTCCTGGTCGGTGAGAGGGGTCGCCATGCTGGCTGTGCAGGTAGAGACTGGCTGGGAGTGAAGTGGAGAAGAGAGCAGCCCTGTGGCAGATTTCAGGCAGAAAACTCCTCCTCGGGCCGGTTTTCATTGGTGTGTGCCTGGGGGAGGAGGGGAAGGGGGGCGTTTCCTTCGTCCGGCCCCAGCTGAGCAGCAAGGAGGGGCGTGAAAGGAAAGTTTTTTACTTCACATGGCCTTACATCACGCGCAGGGGTTGCTTTGCATACAAATGAGGAAGGAGGCAAGAGGAAAACTTTTGGCGAAGGAAGAGAGAGATCTATCATTCCGATCACTTGTTGTCAGGAGCCAGAAAAGAAAGGGAGGGGTGGTGGAAAAAAACCCGGAAGAGAGAGACTGAATAAAACTCCAGCAAACTATTAGGGCTGTGAAAGGGGGAAAAAAAATGTACAAACTCAGTGTAAACTAATGTTAGATAGACTGCCTTTTGTTACCTAAACCCTTTACTGAAAGGGCTTTGTGCTTTAGGGGGAACAACAGAGGGAAGCTGATATGTCACTCTTCAGTTCCTGTCAGAGTTTTGGATCAAATGGACACACCTGTGGTCCAATGTGTGAGCAACTGCAGACATAAAACATAGCCAGTCGTTTCTTCAGTTGTCATGACACCCACTGAGTGTACATCACTGTAAGCAGAGAGGCCAGAGGGAGCAGCATAACACGGGTTATTAGTCCACGGTTTATGATTTTTTATTTTCTCAGTGTGATGTGGCAAAATGCTCTTACGTGTCTCTGTCATTATTTGTTTGGAAATTATGTACCCATTTCATCTACAGCACATGTGGATGGTAAGGAATCACAAGGTCTTAGTGTGAAAGTAACACAACATGCTTGAGCATTACAGTAACTGAGGGTTTGGTAATCGTTTTTTTTTTTTTGCACAAACATCCATTCTTTGTGTGTCTTGTTTTGCCTTGTTTGTCTTCCTGTCCTTGTGTTGTTGTTTTTTGTTTTGCCAGAGAATATTTAACTGGGTTTCACATATGAATTGTTGCCGTCTCTGCCAGTCCTTCTGTGTGTGTGTGTGTGTGTGTGTGCTGTCCCTTATCAGTCTTTTCCAGACGCTTCATCCTGTGACTTTTTGTTTTGCCTAATTTTTCTTCATCATCCAGGACTTTTAACCTTGTTAAATTTTCTGGATTGGCATTACCTTCTATTTGTTTTCTTTCTGTACAGTCTTACGGTTGCTTTCATACCATGTCTCCTTCCTTGCCAGCCTTGTGACTGCTCTCTCTGAGTTTGATATAAGTTTCTTTTGTGCACTGTATCTTGCATTCACATGAAAATATTTAAAAAGTGCCAACTCAAAAAGTAATCCTTGACCGTCATTATCTATAAATATAGCTGCCAATTTGACATAAAAAAGTAAAAAAATATGAAATAACATACAAATACAGTATTTAGGAAAAATGTCAGACAGCCTAAAACTTATTGTAAGTAAATAACTTAGAAAATGATAATAGCTTTTAAAAACATGGCTACAGACAGATAGATATACCAGACAACATTGTTGACACCTATTTATTGAATATTCACACATAGAGGAAACACAGAGGCTCATTAAATACTTCAAATTAACATAATGATAGCAGTAATATGCTGATAACAGATAGAAAGTTATGACAATCAGTAATCATACTGTGTTAAAATCATTGTAAGAACAATGTTCATTATATATTGATAAAACTCTCCCCAGATATATGTGGGGTTCACTGTAAATAAAACTATTTAACGCAACCAGCTCAGATCATACAGTGCAAAACAAACACTTTGAATTAAAAGAAGGTTATAATGAGGGTTATGCAGACTCACGTGCACGCACACACTCACACACACAGATATGTATGTACATTTGGAGATATAACACCAAGCGTCGCCCAGCGACAGGGTGTGTACTTTGAGTAAATTGGAAAGCTTTAGCAAGCCTGTCCTTAAAGGCCTAAATGACCAGCTTCGATCTAACATAGTTTTAGTGTGTTGGGCTCTTTTAGAAATAACAAATGTTACAATCGCACTTTTCAAACTCACCACCCTCTTTTTGTTCAGTTGAGAAACACATTCAGGTAATTAAAAAAAAATCAAAGAACAACATCTTCCAACAGAATTTTAGGTGTCATCGCACACTGGCATATGGAAAATGTCATAGAAAGCTTTGCTTAAAAAAAAAATCCATGTTGTTAATTTATCCTGGAATCTGAGGATGTACAATTCCTTGAAAAATGCCCGCATGTGTCTGTGCATGAATGATAAGAAAAGTCTCACTGCCCGATTGTAGTTATGGCTGAAATAAAAAGTTTCTTTTGCAAAACAGCCACTAATTTGCACAAAGCTTTAACTTGGCCTTGAGGCAAAGGGCCACGGAGTTTGCTGAAAGCAGCAGTAGACGGGTTTTTCTTTTTTCTGTTGTCTGTACACATGCACAGATACCCTCACACTGGAAATGGTGCTTACTGTGTGAGGCCCGTTTCTTGGGGCTGTGCGGGTTTAAAACCCCTGTAAGGAGGAAAAGTAAAAGAATACGACACCTGACTGCGATAGCTCCCTCAATATTTTGAATGTTACAGTACATCCGTAGCAACATGACTGATGCTTGAACTTATCCTTTGAAAGTAGAAAATATACAAAGTAGCAGATGAAGTCAGGTGTCATCCATATTGCAGCTGACTTTGCTGCAGCCATGAATCGAGTTTGGTAGAAAGGTTTCATGACTCTTTTTGGACACTGACCAGGGGGAGAAGGCACTCCCATGAAGTTCAAACACAGGATAGCACCTCATGTGTATGCTAGTGATGTACTGTATGTCTGAGGGCTATAGCGGTGCAGGCCACCTTAAAGGCAACATTTCCTTCAAACTATATATTCAATAATCAGATTTCAATCACCATCTTCCTTCAGACGTTTCTCAGCATGGATGCAGTGTCAATCAGTTGGTCAACCACAAGACTCAAGTGAAATATGGCACAGAGACCTGGATTCCGGATTGGCTCGCATTCTATTAGGCACACTACTTAAAACTAGTGCAAACTAATGCTATACTGTTGCTTTGAATCCTCCTTTTATGAGGTGTTCAACGTCATCATTTTGATTCTGTAGTTGGTGCAACGTCTGTGGGTGTTTGGATTTCTCTGTGTTATCATTAAACCTTTTATCCGTGGAAAAAGAGTTAGAAAAAGTTATTTCACTCTCTAATGCTTTATTAGGACCATCCTGTACTACGGGGATATGTGATATATTGCTCAGAGGGGCGAGAACAATGCAAGTAGTAAAGAAACACAAACTGGCTGATCGATGGGTGGTGACCAATGAATAAATAAAAAACTGACCACAAACCTAAGATCCCACAATTACTTAAATAAAAAAATTGTATTAGTTTGTACAATGTTTAAAAGGAGTGAGCAGGATTTAAAAGGGGCTTTAGAAGTGTCACAACCTCTCAGCCTCATTCCCCTCTTCCAAGCATGTATGTCAAACATGCTTCGAATTTTTGGTGTGGTGACCGCTAAAAATATATTTGAAAAAAAAAAGAAAGGGGAAACAAAAAAAGAAAGGTGAAAGGTCCTCTCCAAAGTCAGTGTGTGCTTTTTCCATTTTGGGGTGGTGGAACGTATTCCTGTTACAGTTAACTTTTATTCAACATTTACTCAGTGCTATCTTAATTCATTCATAGTCCATTTTTAATGGACTAATCGTACTCCTATCATTTCTATCTGCACATTGTGTTGGATGCTAGCATGCAACTCTCCTACTTTATTACTCCTTCTCTTCGAAGTAACATAAACTTTCCCTTTTTAGGTTTCCCAATTGGCCAGCATGTTAGCATTGTGTCCTTTTGATATATAATAGCATTTAACCCAGCTTTGCTTTAAAAATGGGTTTGGATTATGTCCTTGCCAGCTGAGGAGGCTGTTAACCAAGAGGGATGCCAAAAATGAAAAAAAAACAAACAAAAAAAACATTCAAGTGTCTCTTCTCACACTTCTCACAGGAAAGAAAATTGAAAAACCTATTTAGCGGAAGCGACAATTATTGATGCTTTCTTTCGGTAATAATTGTACATCAGCAAAGGGAAAAAAGATGAATTCTCATTGAAAAACTCTGAACGTTAACAACTTATTTAACTATACATCTCTTCGCAATAGATCATTTCAATAACAATATTACAAAACTACCATTATTCAGTCAAAACTACCATTATTCAGTCACCTAAAGTAAAAAAAAAAGAAAAGCCAAAACTATGCAAGCTGCTATAGCACCTTATTTAAACATATTCACAGTCATAAACTCATTTTCAGCTCACTTCTTAAACACACATTAAATCAAAAGGACCATCCTCGGGCTTTGAGAGCTGCACAGCAGAGTAAGGCTGCGTGAAGGCCTTGCTTCCAGTTGCATTTTCTACACCAGTGCTGCAAGTTTGGAAAAACCACACAGAAGTTTCACTTGTACTAAGCCACAAATAAAAGCGTTTCAACAACGTGGACAAGGATGTGACAGTGATGCGGCTGGGAGTTGGGCTATTGCTCTGGTCCAGGGAATCACACTTTCACACAATTACGAAGGATCCCTCTCTGTAACAGGACGATAATAGTCAGACTGAGATCCTTCTGGAAGGGCTCATTATGACAACCTCCTCCCTTCTAAGGAATAATTTGACATTCTTGGGAAAATGTGCTTTCTTTGTGGTAAATTAGAGGAGGGAATTTATCTGACTTCCACAATTTCCCTCTAAATGCGCAGTCTTACTGCAAAGCAGATTCAAATGACAGCATGTTTGGCTTTATGGTTTGGTTATATATAGACAATCATTTTCAGCCCCGATTATCATTAATGATATTATAGCAATGGAAATCCATTAGTTGAAGATCAGCAAGATTTCATCCTCCTAAACATTCTGTAGTATTTCTGCACGTAGTCCACGTGTCCACAGTTAGGCATGAAAAAGGCATGGCTCAGAACTGGACGGCACCTCTCTTGGAGGTGTCAAGGGGTCACTTGGTCTGGGGAGTTGAGAATAGAAAGGCGAGGGCGGTGTGAGTGTTATTGACCGGCAGGATGGGAGGTGGGGAATCCTGGAGGTTCCCCTAATGTGTGCAGTGGATAGTCTTCAACACACAGAGCTGTTTGGATCTGCTTCCCCAGGGGTGTAAAAATCAGGAATGGGTAGACCAGTGTGCAGTGTGACCTGAAAGAAAAAAAAGATTAACTCAAACATAATATTAACATGGAGTTGAGACATATTTTTCTCCTGGGGGTGGAGCTGTTGCTCTAGTTCTGCCATCAGTAAAAACATTTTTCAGACTCTCCTCAAACAGAGACAGAATGAAAAATGACCGGTGAGTCCTGTTGAGCCATCATTTAATCCAATCTTTTTTCAGGGTTTAGCTCCCAAGCTATCTCTGATTTGTCCTAATTCAGGGATGTACCAAATTTGAATGATGTGTGTGGCTTCGGTAAGTCTAACTGTTTTTACCTGGACATTTCGGTTGAGGCTAATAGCGGGGTAATAGGTGCCCTCCAAGCCTTCGAAGGCCACAGGACCCTGCTGCTCATCATTGATGAGAAAGATGAGGAGCCCGCGTGTGAAGTCTAACAGCACACCTATGGTGGACCCTTTGGTGATGCCTCCATCCGTCCTGCGGTCACGGGGAGACATGAACAGACAGAATGAGGTGGTGTTTGTATTAACATCGCATTGCCATCGCTAATTTAATAGCCAATCCTGTGGAAACGTATCAGTCATTAGATTGACCAAAAAAACAGTCTTTGACATAACCCAATACCACCACTTTTCAACAAAAACATATATTTTTGGACATAGGCTTTACTGTAATTATCTGACACTCGCAAAAACTAAATACTTTTATCAATATTGAGAATCAAGTTTTTATTTTACAACTTGTTGAATTTATTCATGTTTATTTAGACCTATATTAACCATGATATGGGGCCTGATGCTGCATCAAGTAATGTTTTATACTAAAGGTAGATTCAGGTTATAACTCTGGATCTTGAGTAAGTAATAAAAAGCATTTTTTAAAACATATCTTAAATTCATTATTTCATTTACTTACATTTTAACTACAGAACGGACGAGAAAGGAGTTAAGACTGACACCTGATGTGCATATTTGTACGTCTATATGTCGGATGTATATTTCTGTTACCTGTTAGTGTGTGAGTTGTTGTGCATGAACCAGGAGCGGTTGTTGTCCACATACATGGCCCAGGCCTTGTCGTCCTTCCCCAGCATCACGTCCTTCAGGACGTCGCCCCGAGCGACGCCGAAGGCCGGGTCCGGGTGGTTGTCATAGCGATCGATTGTCATTTCCCAATAGTGAACCCCGCGGGAGAAGGCGGAGTTGCCCATGACCACCCGGTCGTCATAGCTGTTGCACGACACGGTCAGGTTGTCGTTGGATAGGACGATGTCGGGGTGAGCGGACGCCGGGTCAAAGGTGAACCAAGCAACTGGTCAGAGGAAGAGTGGCTTAGCGTTAGTGACATCACTGGCTAAGAGGGGCCATACAACGATCGCCACTTCACAAACATGACATGAATCTGGAAGTCAAATGGGAGAAATCTACACAGTAAGAAGATCTAAACAGAGAGAACAGTAATAACAAAGATAAGAGGAAAATTCATGATTACTTCTTATGATCAGACATTTATAATCACACTAAAATTTGACCATACTCTCTATTAAACAATATTACTTATACGGCATAAGCTTAACATTTCAATTAAATTGAAAAGAGTCAGGCAGTCTGCAAATCTTTTCTGGGCACCTGCCAGCACCTTAAAACAATAAATGATACCTAGAATAAGTATATTGTTGATTAGATAAGTATACTTTGTAATTCCTATCCAACAGTCGTAGTTTTTAGCATGGAAATAGTGAGTCAAACCAAATAGCCAATGTGTAATAATCAATGCTCAGCTAGCAAGCTAAATAAAATTGTTATACAGCTAAAAAGAACTTAATTTGGTGATAGATTTCCATACCAAATCTCAGCAAATCGTATCTGATGCCTTTTGATCTTGTTAAAAAACGTCTCTAGGTGAATTGTTCCATTCTAATCTGAATAAATCAAAGGCTAAATTTGCAAAACCGCTCAACTTAGTAGTGAAATATTTCAAAGTGTATCCCTATAGTCTAGGCAGAGAAATGTGGGACAGTAACAGGCGGGCTGTTATGGTTGTTATGGGCTCCACTGGACTTGTTTGTCTACAGATTTTACTGGTGCCACTACGTGCAGTATGGTTTAATTACGTGGTTTTATTTCCCAGAGGAAATAAAGCAAAGACAGTTATTAGAGGCCTGCATCGAATCTTTGATTTGTGGAGCCCACAGAGCAGCAAACTGCCCCCCTGCTGGTTTAGATGTGACAACCTCAACGATGAAACGGGCGGATGACCTGAAGGGGGATTAGTGTGGAAACAGTCAGCAGTGAGAGCCAGCCATACCTGTGCCTATAGACTGAACATCACATGGGGGGAGTCCAGCTGAAATGTGAAATGAAGGGGGGGAGTGGAGGTAGAGCGGGAGAAGGACAAAGAAAAGAGGGAAGGAGAGCGAAGCCAAGCAGCGGAGCGGAGGGTGTAGAGGGGTCGGGAGGAGAGGCGAGGAGAGTAAAAAAGCAGATTTGATCAGGGAAAAGTGGGACACCTCAGTAGCCAAAAGACCAGAGGCGGTCCCCAGAGTTACACAAAAACAGCTCCTGCGAACGAAACACTCTCAAAAAAAACGAGGATTAAAACAAGAGGTATGCTCACAGTGGCACATTTTAGCGTTGAAGAGGGGAATAACTAAAACCGACAAAATCAAAGCACAGTCCAGTCGGGGCGAAAGCTGCCAAAAAACCTGGAAACATCTGAGAGGTTAGATCACTTTGTACAGCTTGTGAGTGCTCTCTGTGGCAGGCAGGGAGGCTGTCCAGGCCTTTCAGACACACTGCTGGATGACAAGCTTCTATGTCTATGCAGAGGAGCATTAAACTAATTGGAAAGCAAACATATGAGTGGATTATACATGAAGCAGCTGCTGTGGGATGTACCTGGTTTAAAAGCTCGTACATGCCCTAAAACAGAATTCCCGTCCTGCCGCTGCTACATGACTCAAATCTTCTTCCGGATCATTCAGGGGCATCGTTCTTATTCGCATGACATATGCATTACACTGAAGGTGATTCAGCATTTTCGGCTTTGCCTCTGAAACTCGCACAGTTTGTATCAGACAAATTGCCCAGCGGGAGGATCTAATATCAACGTTTCTCCTTTCTCTATCACTTTAAAGAAGCCGATTCACTGAACATCCAGATTTAGTCTGGCAGCGACTACTTATTATTATGCAGCTATTCCAGAGGCAAGCTGACAAATGTGAGTAACTCATAAGAAGAAAGCTAACCAAGGCTCTCTGAACATATCAAACAAGGACTACTTAGAATGAGTAAGCACAACACTACTTACAAAACAATATAAACTCCTTTCAATTAAATTTGAGCATTTGTGTATGAGGATTTATTGTAAAATGTTGTGTGAAAGCTTAGAATTAGAAATAACCATATTTACTTTCATGAGTAAATAATTGGATTTCCCTTTTGGTTCTCACTCCTTAAACTTACTCCTCATTCTCTTAAGACACCTTAGAGATATGCAGTATAGGCTCTTGTATCTACCTTTCTCAGTTTCTTGGCAAATTGACCGCTACTTTCAGTTGATCTCTTTGGATGGCCTTCTGAAAAATTTCACAAGTTACCATGGCTTGCTCTGCTTGTGTGATCCTACTAACCACCTTCTGAACCTCCCGTTCTGAAATGGCTGCTTTTAAGTCCTTACAGATATTTGCAACTATGGACGGCTGCATATGTTTCAGAGATGTTCAGACTTTCTGGCTTTTTCCCGAGATACGTAAAGGTGACTCACGCACCATATTTATCAACAGACTACGCAACAAACATAGTCATCAATGATCTCTGGTAGTTAAATTGTGCAATGGAGACAGTGTGGTTTAATATTATTAAGCTGATAGTAGCTTTAAATTAAGCCGAGGCAATTAATCCTGTGGCTCAACTCTAAAGAGCCCATATACTTAGTATTAACAAAGGTTTGCTGGTTCATAGATAAATGTATTGACTTTTGAGTCCAGCTGAGTTTCAGAAAATCAATGAAGAATCTTTTGAGAAGTCTTGTCTCCATGCAAGCAAGGGCTGCAGCTCGGATATTTAAGAATTTGAACGGATGTAAAAAAAACCTCGAATTGCAAATGTGCATTGGCTATCCAGAATCAGAGGGATAAATGGATGAACTGCTTCCAGGCGATACCAAGTCTCACCACCTACAGCCAAATGTCTAAAAGATAGGGAGAGCAGGGAGGTTGATGCTTGACGTACTTTCAGAGGTCTGCATGATGAGCGTCTTGCTGTACTGGCCCACTCCGCTGGCGTTGAAAGCCTTTACTCTGGACTTGTATGTGCTGTTGTAGTGGAGCCCGTCCACTGTGCAGATGGTCTCCGTCCCCACGTACACCTCCTGGAAGGAAATGGCAGCACTTACTGTCAAATCCTGCCGGATACGTCAAGTTTTTTGCTTTTTGTTTTTTAACACAGCCCGCTCATCCACTGATGGATCCCATTTGGATGAGGCAGCGAAGGTAGGTGAGCCTGAGTTTGTAAAACTCAGAGTGGGTGCGGCAGCCCACGCGGCAGTAAAAATAGAGACGGGGACACAACTTGCCAAGCTCAGCCGGGCGCTGCATTGGTGAGACTCAATGAGTCACAGAGTAGAGGAGTTAGAGAGAAAACTTCCTGGATATCTTATAACATAGTGCCCCTGCTAAACGCTGCACCATATTGACCATATGGAGTTGAGTTCAAGTTTTGGACGTGCGAAAATCTGAATGATTAAAGCTGTTGAAAAAAAATGAAATCACCACTTCCATCATCATGGCGTTTGGTACATGCTGTAAATCACAAGCTAAGCGTGAAGCGTATAACAAAATCTGGCATCAAGTGTCCACCAATTAGCAGCCAGTGGCCACAGTTGGTGGACCAGTTGGCAGGCTGTATGTTAATGATCACCCTCTTATGGAACGTTTGATATTATGACAGAAGGAACGAATAGACACAGAATAAATAAAGGGGGAAAAGAGATTTTTTTTGTTGCAAACAGGTTATAGCGCACAGAGTCAAATGAGCTGAGGTTGTTGGCTGCTTTTTACTAAATTAAAACACAAGACTCACCAAACAGCTGAAGGATAATTCACATTACACACGCTGTTTCTGGCTCATCTTTTTTTAGCCTGCCAACGCCCAACTAAAGTTAACATTCCAACATCCAAAAAGATGAGTAGACTGTAAGTCAAATGACAATAGTTTTAAAGATATCACAGTCAGAACATCAACGCTCTGTTGGGTTGTTCATATTCAGGAAGAACCTGTTTTACTAAAGTTTTTCCAATAAACTTGACAGGTATACAGACCTGTCGATCAGTCTGGAGAGACATTCCCTGAGGGCAACATTACTAACCTCGACTTCCAACTAGGAAAACTGCATCCTAAAGCTTGTGTGGGACAACAGTTTTCTGATACTAGTGCTTTTGGGCCGGGTCCTGGTAATCAACCCACGCAGAAGAGCTGGCAGTGAGCTTCCAACCACCTTAGAAAATGCAAAAAAAATCGATAAATCTTTTCTCTTTTTTGTTGGAAGGTTGTTGTTGTGAGTTTCACAGACCGCCTCTGAAAACATGTGTTTCAGAAAAACGTTGCTGTGTGAAGACGTTAGCAGCACCCACTCGTGTGCTGACTCTCAGGAAAAACTCACCTCTATGTTGATTTCTTATCTATTTATATCAGAGGAGGAGGCAAAAAATATTCTTGACAAGGGGCAGTGTCATTGGATGCGGAGCCGAATGCTTGTTAAAAACTAAATGACCAGACGCTGGCAGATATGGAAATTAATTCATTCTCATTCAGTGCAATGATGAGGCTTCACAGGTGAAAATGTAGTTGCAAAGTAAACAACTTTCGCTCAACCTTAAATTTCTTAGGTTAGCTCGAGCTTGACACAAAGCCAAAAAACATAAGGTTAGAAATATCCCCTATAACTCTCAATATCATTCAACATTAAAGATGACCTAATTGAATTTGAACTAGCATTTCTGTGTATATCTGTGGTTCTATTCCATAGTGTTACAACTACTGCTTTTTAGCCCAAACCAAATTAATCTCAAGCAAACCAAATATGGACTCCTAAAGTAAAAACATAAATAATTTTTTCCCCCAATCAGTAAGCACTAATAAAGGAGCACTTTTTAATATCTGCCTTGAGGCTAAATTAAAAGTAATCACAAGAGTCAGCAGGGGTTTTCTAAAGTGTAGCTTTGGAGGGAAGACACAAATATCCTCAGCCATTGTAGCGAGGAAATGAGTCTGGAGGTATGAGTAGCTGTAGTAACAAAGCAGGGACCTCAGTGTATAGAGAACCGAGTGGTATTATGAGGATGGATTACACCACGAACCTCTTTGAGGGTACGGGGATAGCTTTGATCCCAGATCACGCTTTCTACCGGATCATTCCGGCTAACAGCTGCATTACAGGCGCAGTGTCCTGATTGTGTGTCATCCAGTGTCACATGACCTTTGGACTTGAGTCCAATGTATACCTATAACACTATCCTCAGGGGGTTCGCAGCTACTAAACGGGGCTTTCACACTCCCCAGGCTTCCTGGCACCGAGACAAGGATTCTTTGTTGTGAAACCGGAGAGCGAGAGTCCTGTAAAGGTGACCCCTGACTCCGGCTGGTTCAGATTATTTCACTTCTTTGTTCCAATTTACAGGAAAGTAAATGCTGTCGTTTATCAAAGCGGACGGATAAAGCCCCACGTAAGCGTACCTGCCAGGGGAAACCTACCCTGAACGGCCCCCCGTTGCCATCGTCCAGCTCCAGGATGTATCCCTCCACTGCGATGGTGGAGAGCGGCGGTTGTTTCCATGACAACGTAGCGCTGTTGTTCTGAGTGCAGCATTCCTCCAGCTGGAGCATGGGAGCAGCTGGGACTGAGAAGAAAAAAAAAAAAAATCAGGCCAGATTACAGCCCACTGAGATATGAAAAGATATTCAGACATACACACACACACCCACACACCCACACACACACATACACACACCCAAAACTGGATCCTGCACAGTACAACGATATGTTCAGTCATTATTTATGAATCCATAACACATTAATCAATGTCTTATCATTCATGAATATAAACAAACCAAATATTTCTGTTTCTTTTTTAAATAATTTCCAAAAAACAAACATTTGCATTCAGTAGCAGTGTCAGTCAACACAAACATGAGCATAAGTTCCCCATAACCAAACCGGTCTTTCGTTTAATTCATTTCCTCATCTTTGTGATGTTGAGAGAAAACAAGTTAATTTGCAGAAACAGGATGCCTCTCATCCCAAAGGACTGCCATTACAGAATGTTTTCTTAAAGAGGAGAGCATCATTGCAGAGTATGCATGCAGAAAAACACAACATTTTTATCTTCAAAAGAGCCCAACAGCACAGCTAGCTCACACGGACATCCAGCTTCGCTCAAGCATGCGTCAGCAGAGCTGAGACGAGCTCCCAGAGGGACTCAAGCTGACCTCTTTGAGTTCTAAAAGAGCCTCTCTGCTTTTACCTTTCATCTGGACAAAGTCCAGCTGGTGGATCGTCTGCAGGAGCGGTCCGCTGTCCAGAGTCAGGTCGAAGTCACTGGTCATCCTCGGGGTAAGGGTTCCCTTTCCCCACTGACTCTCCGTCATGTGGACTCTTCGGATCAAAGCATCCGAGATCTAAGAGAACACATGATAAAAACAAACAGGCACCGAATCTGTAACCAGAACCACGGACTGAGGTTTTGATGCTGCGGGAAATGTAACGAATAGAGCAGAATGCAACGATTTGATAAATGTTTAATCAGCAGTGAAGCCGAGAAAACACATGTCTTATGATCTATTGTGAGTAAAATGTTGGTTTATGAGATTTGCAAATCTGTTTTTATCTGCATTTTGCACAGTGTCCCACCTTTTTTGCATTTTAAATTAGGTCAAATTGGATTTAAGCAATTTAGAAGCAAAACTTCCCTCACAATCAGTATCCAACACAAGTGCGTCCATAGGTGGAACTTGTATCTTAAGGCGCTGTGTGCCTTATCCTGGACTTTGAAGGAATGCATCATGACTTTTTAGACACATCAAAGGAAATATGGTCAATATGAAAATGTTCATGCTCATGAATATTTTGCATCAAGTTCAAAGAGGGCTTGTTTGTAAATCAGTTTAATCCAAAAAGGTGCACCCCTACAGGTTTCAAGCACAGAAATAGATAAAAAATACAGTCAAATATTGCTCCTTAGCGTCTCATCAGTACTTTAAAGTCAACATTACAAAAACACCCCTGAACGGTTTTATCTTACGAAAGTTCTGGAAGAGGCAATGTTTTTTTCCCAACACATGTCAATGTTCCTAAAGATGCAGCATTTAGGGAGATGATAAAATGACTTAAAGGCGTTTTATTTAGCCTTTTAGGGGATTTACAGTTGGTACATTTAGTCTGTATTCAAAATTCACATGGAAGTAAAGGAAAAAATAAAGTGAGATTAAGAGAAATTCATTCTAAATAACTTGCAACTTGCATTTTATCAAAATCTTTTACGCATTCATGTGAATTTATAAACAAGTTATAAACTCATGCAAATAAGACTAGAGTTCTATGAACTACTGTTAATTGTAACCATACTTTGTCTCTGCCAGAATGATGGATCTATGCTTCATTTCAAGAAGTAAAACGCAAAACACACCGGCAAATAATCTTTTTATAGCATGTTTTGCTTCTCACCTGTAGGAAACCACTGGGGTCATTCTCCTTGATGACCTCCAGACAGTACTCCATCAGTCCTGTGGTCTGGCGCAGCTTCACTGTACAATGGGAGATCTGATCCCGAACCACCTGGACAAACAGAGTGAGGACAGGGATGATGGAAGAGCAGAGAGAAAAAAACGACAACAAGGGATCCCATTTTATAAAGCAACACAAATGATGCAGATTAGGAAAAGTGAAGTGTGGACGTGTGTAGGGCTTAGATATGGAATCACAGAGGTAGGAGGAGATGTGACAGCCTTAATACTTTAAAATAAGCTAAACAAAAAGGATTGTTAAGAAAATAGGGAAAAAAAAAAAAAAGACCAACACAGAGTGAGAAACAAGGACAAAGAGGTGGCTAAAACCCATTAAACAAAGCCGTTAATGGATGAGAAGGAGCGGAATAGGAGCGACCAGGAGGAATGCCAATAATGAGATTAGTGGCAGGATTGTGAAGTGATTGATTGAGTAATTTTCCCTCAGATTGAGGGAGGACGAGAAGTGCAGCAGGGACATCGGCAGCTCAACGTGTCACTGACGTTAAAGGAAGGAAAAAAATGACATTTTGTTTTCATGCTCATGCTGTTAGAACAGTCATCAGTAGTTGCATCCGGACCCAGATGAGACAAAACCACTGTTTTAACCACTGATTTAACCCTGATGTGCATCAGAATCCAGACATGTTCAGGATATCCTCCTTGATTCTTTATTTCTGAAAAGCCACATTTAAAAATGATAGAAAATCTGTCAAGAATTATTGATTGTACTCTTTTCTGATGGGAATGCCTTCGGCCATTAAGGGAAACCCTTCCAAATTTGCCTCAAGAAAATGATTTGACAGTTTTAAAGGTAGCTTTGATAGACAGAATGTAGGAGATCCCTTCTCTCCGCCTCACACTGCTGATGTCCTCAGCCTCTTTGCAACAATATGAAATAACTGGAAGTGCTGGACTGAGGGTTGCTAGGAAACAGAAACTTCACTGCTGCTATCTGAAAGGCTGAATAAAGAGGAAAATCCTTGCTGCAGCCACATGGAGACCAGCAGAGCGTCTGAAGATGATTTGCTGATGAATGCATGGGTATTTAAGTTCGGTCCCAAAGACACATACCAAATACTGTCTGTAATCTAACTATCCTGGCTTTTAATAAGGGTGACCACATGGGGGGATAAATATGTGTATATCTATTTTAAATTAGCATGGAAAAGTCTTACAGTACATACTTGCTGTAATTATTTCACATTTCAAATATTGGTAATCACATTTCGCATAGCAGGAATCTCTTCAGAAGACATCATAAAATGTCAGAATTGTCCTCCGATAACATCAGGTGGGTCAGCTCAGATAGAATCCCATATTCATTTCCCATACTGTTTAAATGAATATAGAAAATTGAGACGTGTGCCTCCATCCACATGTGAATAGCATGATAATGCCAGCGATGATTTAAGGATCATACCCATGAAAAACATTGAAATATAAAAATATAAAACAATGAAACATCCATACTGCTCTCTAATAAGTAGGCTCTCAAAAGTCTATGTCTTTTATCGTTCCAGTCGCCTATGCTAAACGAGCAACTTTGGGTAAACAGGTTTTTTAATGCTTCGGTTACAAGAGAGCCAATCAGAATGAGTAACTCTGACTCTGATCTGTAGGGAGGCGTGAAGATTTAATGACGCACATGTCTTGAAAACACCACCAACATCAGCTCTCACTTTTGATTATGTAAGGAGCAGATGGCCCACAGCAATGTCCGCCGTCCCCAGCATTAAAGCAGCCATCACAATCAATAGGCAAAGCGCTAAATAGGGGATTATCATTTCATATAACCAAACGCTTGAATAACTGGATTCTTTCAGTTGCCCTGATGAAGCTTTCAGCGAGTTGTTTTTGGCCCACGAACCCCGGGGAGGATTCATTTCAGCAAAGTCTGCGGGCAGCAGTCTTGCATGGGGTCGGACTGTCATTTGCCTGAGTAGATTAATATTTACAGCGGTGCAGAAATTGCTCTCCCTTTCAGTGATGAAATTAATCAGCCAAATGACTTGTTCAGCTCCTCTCGCCGTACACGGAGAGATTTGACTCGGTGGCTGAGGTTCAGACCGTCCCTGCTGTGTCGAGCTGTAGGCATTCACATTCCTGCAGCGGCCTGGCATCCCTCCATGGAGAAGTGTCTCGCTCTGCTGTCTGAACTCTGAACGCAGACTCCCTCGGTTGGCGAGGCTCGATACATGACATGACTTAAACATGCCTCGCCTGCCCACTCGGTTTGTCCTTTCCTTTTGTCTGAGCTTCAACCCATAACGGGTCGTTTCAGTCTTCCATCCATCTCTATAAAACTCTGCCTCGAACGAGCTTTTCCAATAAGATAAATAGATACATTTAAAAGAAAAATCTGCAACTGACAGCGCTGGTTTAGCCAGATGATCGAGGGAAAATCGATGAGGGGGAAACTCGTTCGTCTGTATTTTCAGAAAGATAGCAGAGGGGCCCTAGCAGCCCGAGGCGCGATGACTGGAGAGAAATTCAGCATCTTGCAGGGAGCTGTGAGAAATGAAGAGAGAAGCTTTGCTGCAAGCGGGAGAAACAGCACATTGAAAGGTATGAATAACGAGTCAGGATGAGGGTCGAGGACAGAATCGGCCGCGCGAGCGAGCCAAACTTTTGGGCGTCTGTCGTCTCTGGGTGTCGTAGTGATGCAGCAAACTCACGGCAGCTCAAGACTGCCAAACCCTCTCCCCCCTCTAAGACATGCCCATGAGGCCGCACTGGCTTAAATATTTGTTCTTTTTGCTGCTGCAGCCAAAGAGAATCTTTTTTTCTTCGGCTGAACGAAGGAAAACGAACACAGTCCTGTGTGATGGTATTTTCAAACTCCAGGCTGTTTGGCTGCTAAATGTGTCGCTATAATCATTGGTTTTTCACAGTGTCCCTCATGTGTATCTTACGATCAGTGCTGTGTTTGAGACACGAGTTTTCCTCTCCAGCTCTTTTTGCCTCCTCCTGTTTGCTCTGCTGGTAATTACTGGGCCACTGCAGCACCGTTGGCCTTCCTGGAAAGTGTGGCTGCAGTCCTAACATGCCCCTTCACATCAGCCGGTCCTGATCGTACACAATCAGGGCCGTGACGCAACATTAGTTACAGTTTGACATTTTGGAAGGTGCGTGTAAATGATTGAGGGCCATTAATAATATTCCAGATGGGATAAAGGGAATGCATTGGAGAATAGAAAAAGTGGAATTCAAAAGAGAAGGCCAGAAACAGGAAATCATACTGTTAACAGAAGGGTGAATTACAAAACCCGCTGCACACGCACTGCACACAGATGGAAGTCTTAGTGTGCCATTATGATAAAAAAGCACAGGACATGAGACCGTCTTCATTATTTAGAAATGTTTTGATTACTCTGATATCCTTCAAACAAACCTTCCCATCTCAGATTACTTTTCTTGAAAATTCAGGGCCTTAACAATTTTTTTCCAAGTGTCACATAGCTGTTTAACATTTGTTGTTTGGTTTTGAGCGATACATCTCGTAATGGAAACGGGGACATTTTCTTTTGCTTTCTTTTTGTAGACTAACCAAAAAAGTAATCATATGTTAATTGTTGGCTACAAATAACAGCCTGAAATAGGATTCAGTAGCAGTGTTAAGGTTTCACATCCATCGCCCAAAAGATCCCACTGCGACACCTAAAACTATTGTTGACTCTGGGGGAATATATTATTGATATCAGCTCTTAAGAGTATTTGAAACACAAACCTTACGCATTCCTTTATCTGAGGCATGACAATACACTACCACGAGAAGATATTCTCCCCAGAGTCCTCAGTCATACATTGATTCTAAATGGTTAGCCAGCAGACGAGTCAAGCGGTGACAAACCTCGCAATAATGCACGAGACGATGCAGACCGGCCGATGCCCTTTGCTTTCATCAGACTTTCTCTAGCTTCTGTCTGAGAACAAGCAGCTCCCAGATGAAAGCCTGTGAAAGAGTGAATCCATTTGCTCACAGCTAAGATCATGGGCTATTCTATGGGAGTACCTTGACACTTTGTCAGTCGTAATTGACATTCACAAAATGTTCAACTACTCCTTTAAAGATTCCTCTATATGCTGTATTCAAGTGCTCCTGGTAGAGTCAGAAATCTGAAGGGTTTAGTCTGATGCATCAAATGAACATATACTTCACATATATCTTAAATACAAATTTACTTTCAGGCCCTCCTGGAATCATGCATGGCTGGTAAACACATATTTTTCCGCAAACACTACAGGCTCCTCTGAGGATTTATTATCTCCAGGCAAATCCAGCCAATAAAGCGGCAACACATGACTGAGTGGGTGTTGGAGCTTTTGCAGCCGCTCCATGTGACGAGCCTCCCCGAAACAGACCTCCGCCTCGGCTGTCTCTTTCAACAAATGCACAGGTCGGTCCTCCTGATGTGCTGGAAAAAAATGAACCTGACTCATGCAATAAAGGACTACTTCTCGCCTCCGCGGCTTCAGACAACAAGCTCACCGTGTTCCGGTCACCATGGTGATGAGCGACCTCTTTTTTTAAAACGGACCACAGGAGAGCAGCGGGGAAGCTGTGTCACAGATGCAATGTCATCTGCAGCGACAGCCTCTGTTGGGGCTCTTTTTCCTCTTCATGTTTAGCTTCACACGACTTGATCAGCACAATGACATTATCAAAGGGAACTCCGTTGGGTGGAGCATGTCTTATTCAATTACGGGATAACCTTCGCCCCACGCTAATGAAGCAGAGAGCATCCTGCTGACCCCCCTGGGTGGATGGGCATCAATTGAAAATAGACTCCGGAAAAGCGGCTATTCTCCATCATCACTGCCATTTCTCCCCTCCCTTTTGATCCCTGGTTTTCTTTAAAGGACACAATTAGCAATAAAAAACCATGTGAGACGGAGAGCTTGCGTCAGGTTTCGTCAGCAACTCCGTGGGAAACTCCTGTGATGGAGCCAACACTCGCAAACGCACAATCAACTCTGAAGGCACCAAAAGAATTTCAACTCTGCTGTGAAGAAAATGTGTTTGTTCCAAATCAAGAATCATGGAACAATACACGATTGCACCAAGCTGAAAGGGAGAGAACCAACATTTAAACATTCCTCTGTATCAGAGCTGTGGGTGCATCCATTGTCCCAATTTTCTCAATCAACGAATCTGCCAATTAAAAACCCCGAATAGATACATGCACATCTTTTTCTATCTCTGCAATTTCAATCAGTGCTGAAAAAGGATGATGAATAGGCTGTAAGGTTACAGCCACTTTCATGGACACCACTGTCACGCTTCCCATGTAGCTGCCTTCACATTCGCTTAATTATTTCAGACATTTACTGAATACTGGCCAAGTGGCTAGTTTTGTGCATCTGAAAAAATGTCTCCATTTTAACAGTTGCCATGGTTACAACCCTGCGCATGCCTTTAACAGCCTTAAAAGACAGGGCGAGATAGAGAGAGAGAGAGAGAGAGAGAGAGAGAGAGAGAGAGAGAGAGATAGAGAGAGAGAGAGAGAGAGAGAGAGAGCTGAAGCACAGTAGAGAGGGAGGAGCATTTGCAAACTACATGAAAAAATGCTAAAAAAAATCTCCTTTAGCCAAACTAGTTTTGGGCACAAACATGTGGCTTAAAGGGAGATATTAATGATTTGTATTCTAATGTTTATTCTGTCATTTCTGAATCTGCTGTGTGGTCCAGGGTTTCTTAATTTTTTTCCATGTTAAGGCATGTTTATTGTTGCTTCTATTCGCTATTCAGGCATTATCTGTTGTTAAAGGTTTACTGTACAATTAAACTCGCATTCTATGCCTATTTGTGACCCACTACAGTTATCTTTGGAAGCACCAGAAAATCTGTGTGATTGTTGGTGAAAATTCAGCTTTTGATTAACATATCCTCCTTCCAAAATTGTGCGCTAACAGACAACCCACAAACCCAATTTTATACGAGCTACATTGTCCCAGTAGAAAATGTTCAATTACTTTATGCCAGTAAAGTAAGCTTGGGAGAACTATAAGCAATTCCCATCTTTAAAAAGAATCATAGAGGAAGGAAAGATATGCATGTTTCACCACTGCATGTGAGTATGCTCACATGTTGCCCTGCACAAGCTGTGCTCCACAACCCACCTACACGTGTGAAACTTTGATTTTGCACAGCATCCGAGCATGAAATTGGACGCCGTACAGCTCCAATGTATCTCCCCCTCCTCTCCTCTCTTCTCACATATAGCCCACATTCAGTTTGTTGTAGATGCTTTAGATAAATGTAAAAAAAAAAGATGCTAAACTGAGTTTGAGTTCCCTTCAATCTTCCTTTAAATCTATATGAACACTGATTCGTGATAAGAAATCTGTCCTCTGGGTGAACGCTACCATTCAAAAGGAAACATCCAAACAGGGTGGAGCTGCGCATTTCATGTCTGTCAGACAATTATTTGATAGAAAAAGATAACAGTGTGTCGCACTGGGTTGAAAATGGATTAAGTTAAGGGGGACGATGGATTCAAGTTTATGCCAGTACAATCAGATTTTCATTCTCTCGGGGGAAGCGAGCAGTTTCACTTTTGCTACTTAGTTTGAAACTTAATTTGCAGAGACAGCTCATCCTTCATAGGAAGCCACCATTTTGCCAACCTTTGATGGATGAAACTGCAGCTTTAAAGGGGTAAAAAAAAAAGAAAAAGTAAATGATTCGGTAAAGTTTGCAGAGGGATCACCCAGTCCGCAGAGAGGATCCTGGACATGCTCACTCACCTTGAGTTTATGTTCGTGCTCCTTGTTCACCTGGGCCAGCAGCTGGGCCTTGCGTCGATTCAAGGCATCGATGAGGGCGTCACACTGTGCCACCAAACAGGCCTCAAACTCCACGCCGTTTTCCTGCGGGGAGAGCAAATTGCACACAGGAGCTGACAAAACCGACAAAGCATGGAGCGTGCAAATCAGGGGAGATGTGCAGGAACGTCCAGCCGGAGCAACTAAGAATTTCTCAATTTTTGTGGATGCGTCGTATTTAGCTGTGCGGCTAAATAAGGGGCTGACAGTTGCCTCACGTATCAGGCTTTTTAATTGGCGTAATTAGCAATAATAACCCGGGTGATATTGACACAATTAACACCTCTCAGTGGCCTGTTTCTTTTGCACCCCTTCTAACTTACGCTCCGTGCTCTCCACCCCTCATCTCATTAGGAATCGCGGCGTGACGATAATCAACAGGGGCGTTTAATCCCACCCTCCTCCTATAATCACCCCATTATGCTGACCACAGCTTTGTGTCCACACGAGGGTCTAAATTTAGTCCTCGTGGATACTGTATGTCACACCTCAGTGGATGCTGCAGCTGGGCCGGTGTGGAGGCTTACTTCCACTGAGAGCAATATCAGAGCTGCAACCTCCATTTTATTGCACACGGTCGGGAGGCACTTGTCTCTTCACTATCTCAAAGTAATCATCCTCTTTTAAATGAATTTTTTTTCTTTGGTAGCATGTCGCGTGAAAATGTGCCCGTACGGCAGCCATCTTGCTTCTAGTTTATAAGCCCCACATCAAAATATCTTCCTTTTAAAAGGTAGTGAACATTAGTTTTCAGTTCGGATTGGTCATTTTAAACTTTGAAGGCGGAGTTTCACACTATTTAAATGGGTAAAAAATTTAGTGCATGTTCTGAAAAGGTTTGACAACAAATGGTCTTGTGGTTTTTTCATGTTTGTGGCTCATCTTGCTACAGATATATCTGTCAAAAATGATTTCAGGCTGATGTTTGAGTTTATCAGGCTTGCATCTAAATGTCTTGTCCCAGCACAGATAACAAAATGTGACCAGTGGCACTTTGTACAGTACAATAAGCCTTTTTGTCCCAGTCCTCTCCTGCGGTGAGAGGACAGCCTGGGATCACAGAGGGGGGTGAGAGCTTTATAGAACAATGCTAGCACTGATAAGAACGGAATTTGTACATTCGATGGGTTTGCATGCAGGAGTGCACTGCATGGAAACCTGTGTTTTTTGCATACCTGGATGTGCTGCACCATGTTTCTCAGCTGAACCAGGAACTCCTTGGCTTCAGTGGCTCTGTCGGACAAGCCGTTTAGAGCCTGGGATAGCTGGCCCTGTGGAGAGAGAAAACATCTGAGACAAAGACGCAGACCTGCTAGTACTGGTTCTCTCTAAGCTGAAACGTGAAGAGGTTCTGGTTTAATAGCTGAAGTGGTGAATCCTTAACAAGACTCATCTTTAGGACACATTTCCACAGAACATGTCATTTATCATATGAGCATCTGAACCAGGCTCAGACAAATGAACAGACAAACCTATTATTTTTATTTTTAAAACCTTTTTTTTTTACCACAAAAGTCAAATGATAAGTATATTATGTGCATGATTCTGGAGTCTTATTTTATTTATTACTATTTTGCTCCTGTTAAACATCCAGAGGGATCCTCATTCTGATAGTTAGGTAGGTTTTGCTGTTTAACCTAGGCGCCCCTCTAAATTTCCTACCGACCATCTCTCTGAAGCCAAACCTAAAGCCCACAGATACATCATACAGCTAGATCTTTAACATCAACAGGAAGCACACTTGAAGCCATCCCGGAGTGAGTCATTCTGGATGCAGATTCCCAGCTCTGTGCTGTTGAACGCGTGACACTAAGGTTCCGCGGTCACTGGGGTGCAGCTGTTGTCCTGTGAAAAGTTCAGAATTTCTCAAGATAAAAAAGAAAAAAAAGAAAAAAAAAACAAAGCAGCTTTTCAGAGCTTTTGCGAATCTGACATTTTGAAGCATTTCGCCATGTAGACAAAAATGTACTGTCAGCTTCACTCTCACATGCCAAATGGTCATTCCAGCCACAACCGGGATGGCACAAAAATGCTTAGGCACTCAGTATTATTATTATCTTCGGATTATAGCTAGGTGTGATGAGTTTAGGACAGAACGCACCATGGGAAATGCCATTGTTGTGGGTATGTGCGATGACACAGAAGGGTTCCTGTTTGGACAGCAGGGAGGGAGACAGTTTGTTCATGTGTGTGAAGCTGGACTGTGTGAACGAGAAGGTGACAGAGAGGGAGAAGATGCAGCATGACCCTGTGGGAACCTCGTTCGGATGAGCGAGCAGCGGTCATGTAGGAGTGGGTATGTTGTCTTCTGGGAGTTTGGGTGTAAACTAATCCAAAGAAGAAACTCGTTTCCAACTGCGGAAACGAGAAATAAAAGCAGAAGTTAGGGGGAAGAGCACTAAAGAGGAAAGCGCTGTAAAAACAACCCCTCACACACCAGCTCCTGGTATCTGACGCCGGTCGACCAACAGGGAATCCGTCTGCGGGGGCGAACCGCTCACCTTTGACCTCAGCGTTTGGGAAACAGTGACAGCTGCCGCTAACTTGAGTCCACTGAGCCCTGAGCTGGCAGCAGCTGAGCAAAGATCTAAATGTAAACTTTCCAGGATTGTTTAGGACTTCGTCTTTGTTAACGGGGGACTCATATTTCAACATCTCTTGAGACCGACACACAAGAAACACAAATACACTTCGATTTCCATGCAGTGTAAAGTCCAGCTTGCCTTAAGAGGATGGACAGTTTGATTTGGAAGTTTAAACAAATTCTATAGAAATATCCATACATTGCTATTCTATTAAAAAAATCAATTTTATCCAATTAAACCATTTGCATGTTAAATTGTAACATGCAGACCTTTTTTCCTAACAGCACAACAGTCACTACAGATTACTGAAAATCAAGATTGTATAACACGTCAATCATTTTAGTTACATAAAGCTGAAAGTATAGGTCATAACCTTATTTTTTCCCGAATACACTACTTTGAATAAAAGCATCACCCTAAACAATTGTGAAATAGCTTTGCTTCTGATTATTATTGCTACTAGAAGATTAAGCATGAGAGCAAACATTTTTCCTCTAAAAATGTTTTTAAGAAATGGGAAAAACAATTATAGAACATTACAGGACACAAGAGATGCGCCTGGACTTTCAGTTGATCCATCTACTATTCAGAACCTCATCAGAAATGGTCTCCATGGAAGGGTGGCTGTCAATAATCCTTTCTTAAGGAAGTAAAATAAGAAGAGAAGGCTGCGGAATGCCAAATGACACAAGAGGTGGAACCATATTGACGTGCATATTTAAAAAAGGGTTGCAGTTATTTCCATTTCAAAATAAATCTATATGGAAATAATGGGGTTATTCTTTGTACTTTATTGTATGTACGACTTCAAAATTCTCTGATTGGTCAAATCAAAACCACAAAGAAACATCTACCATGTAAGAAATATCAATATCCAAACCTTTTAATTTGCTAAGCTCAGGATTGCCAATAAGAACTAACACAAAGATTTATTGGGTTTTAGAGATGTTTTTTGGGAAGATTTGTGATTTTTTTCTCTTAGCTCAGGAATCACATTGCAACGTAGTCGATAGGCAAACTTCCCTTATAGTCAGAGGTTCAAGGAGAACATACCTCTAATCAAATTTGCTGCCTGCTGGTATTTCAGGACAAGCCTCACTCCTGTCTGCCTGAAACCTCCAGGTGCCTCCCTCATTCTAGGATCCTGCCAATCACACTCAGCCTGTCAGCGGCATCCATTCGCACTCCGCTGGTTTCATTACGGACCGGCCGGGTCACCCACACCTGCCCTTTCATCTGTCCTAAATTAAAGCTCTCTCCCACTTCTCTGGCTTTCTCTCTGGGTTGGAGCGAGTGTCCGGCTCGCCCCGTTAACAGTCAGCCCGCGTTCCCTGACTGAGCAGATAAAATGAGAGGCACTCGATTGTCTGGAGGCGTTTTTCCGCAGAGTCTGTTTCGAGAGCCTGCAGAGCTCAGTGCTCACAACCAGGTCAGGGGAAAGTAGAAACGGCTTTATTTTTTGCACAGCTCACGGCTACTTCCCATTCTTGCAACGTGCAAAGTGCCAAGGCCGGCAGGTCGGCATAAGGGAACGCAGACCTCAGGAGCAAATGGCTTGGAGAAGAAGACGGGGCTAATATCAAGACTTCACATGGATAAGGACTTTGAAAATAAGGAGCAACAACCTCGCACCGCTCACACTACTATGTTGCATCTTTGTTGCAACAGCCTTAAAAGATGAAAAACAAAGTGGGCTAAAAACTCAACACGAATCAGCACTGTGAAACCTGCTTCCATCTTTCCTTTAATGATTAATGAAAACAATTTGCAACATCTTCTCTTGCATGATATTTACATCTCAAAATAAAGCACTGGCATTTGCATTTTTCCATTCTTCGGGCGGGGAGACGGATTTCTCTCTGCCATGAAGAAAAATGAGTCATGCTCCGATGACTGATGTTTCTCAGGGGGAAACAGGGCCTACAGAAATTTCAACTGAGCAACCGTCCACCTACATTAACGCAGAGCGGCATCAGGCCGGTTTAAGGGTTCTGAGTAACATCGAGCAACATTAGAGCGGAGAGGGAAATATTTTGGAGGAGGCCCGGTTTGGAGGTGGAGGGCAGCCTAAGATGCCACCGCTATTTCTGAGCAATAATCATCTCAGTAATTAAGCCGAGCGCCAACACGTGCGCGGCATGAATAATTCACCGGCAGCTCTGGGGCCATTCGGCGTGGTTTTAATACATGTGAACCTGCCAATCTGTCCCGGGAGGACTTCTCAGAAGCGGCAAACGCAGTTCGGAATAAAGGTCCCCACCAGCGTGAGGGAAAGCAAAGATAAGAGGAGGCAGACATAATGTTACTTTTAAACTCTTTAGCATGCATAAGCGGAGAAGTAGCTGCACACTTCTTTGAGCTAATTAAAACACACACACACGCAAATGACTTCCACAGCAAATATAGCTTTTGTGTTCCTGTAACCTACTTTCATGCATTTTTTGAATGTCCCACTCCCTCTGTGATTCAGAGTTGAGCCCTTTATGTTCTTCAAACAGCCTCTTAAAGCTCACTTAATCCAGTACAAAATGTACAGTTTTTTTTATTACTTGCTGCAAACATACATGAGCCCACAGTGAGGTCAATTTTTGGTTAAAAAAACCCCAAACAAAACAACATAATCCAAAAATAAAATAACAACAAAGCATTTCCCCCCTCCCATCCCATAGAGGAAAGTGAAAAATGAGTTATTCCGCACAGCTTGACGGCTGACTGTGCCTCTCCCTGCAGAACCTGGAACTACAACAGGAAAAGTTGTGGTTGTTTACAGCTCGATTCTGTTCTCTGCCTTACATGAGCATTTCCATTGTTAGGTATTAAACTCTTACAGCTGGAAGCGTTAAGACTGAGCCAGATTGTGAGCGTTATTTTACGTGTTAAACAAGATCCCAGAAGAGACCAGATTTCACACGGAGCACCTAAGTGTCCTGTGCATTATTCATCGCGTATATCTGCCGCCATCAATAATGCACAGGAAGTCATTAACAATCCACACACAGAAATAATAATGAAACCCCACTGAAGTTTCTCCATGTCAGATATATTTCGGGCTCGCCAGGATGTGGGACGATGGTGTTTTGTTTTTTTTTGTCAGTGAGGATGTGAGATGCTGTAGAGATGATCAGGACTTCTACTAGCGCTCTGATTTGCATATGGCAAAACTGCTAACACTTGGTCAAAATGAAACCATGAACCAATGTTCTCTGCAGTATGTAAATCCTTATCTTACATTTCTGCAACATCTACAGGTACAAAAAGCGAATTATACAGTTAACAATAATAATTAATAACTATCCTCTCATTTTCTTATAGTTCTTTTTTCTAGAACTATGGGGTTAAAAAACAACTGTTATGTTGTTGCTAAGGCAGAACAGGAGCAGAATAAGAGAAGAAGGCAAGTATTTGGAGGAAAAAATGTTGCTAATCTTTCACAATCGATTCCATCATTTAATGTGGTCTGAAATAAATCAGACCGTTTCAAACATCTGGCCTGACTGAGTCAGTTGCCCTTTCTCTATGCCAGCTCAGCCACAAGGAGCACATTTATCTGTCTCTGACAGCAGGGGCTTAACTCTGTCCCAAAGTTAACACAAATACACAAATACTTTGCCTCATGCCAAGACTCATTACGCCCCGATAATGAATAATCTGCCTATCCTCACTCCCCGATCAATGTTCGACTTCCTCTCTTTGGGTACTCACAGTCACTCGGTGGCTCTCATCTCCAGGCTCTTTATCTCCCCCTTTCATTAACATTTATACAGTTAATCTCTTTACATGCTGCTCAAGGGGGCAAATGTTGCCGCCTGTAATGGAGCCGCATCAAACTAAACCCCTGCTGTGAAAATTCATTCTCCAGATACCTCAGCCCTGATCCTCCTCCTCCTCCTCACATCAATGTGTGCGCTATCTCAAAGGTTCCAGTCTCTTCTAACAGGAATGACACACTTAAGAAAGTAGTTCAAGCTCTGGCCGAGGTCTGCCGAGGCTCCACTGATTGGTCATCAATGCTTGTTTCTGCCTGACCTCTGAACCCTCGGGTCCCGGTGCCTCTGTGAAGAAGAAGGCGGTGTTGAATCTCCTCAACGTCACGGCCATATTTAACTCAAATGGAGTTTTGTTTAGTTCTGTCAGGGCAGCTGAGACTTGAAACAAAAAACTAGCGATACCAGCTTTTTTGCTTCAGATTTGTGTACTCATTAATGATGAAGGCACCTGCACGTGTTGCTAGAGGGTCTACTGACAAAAGCTGAGATTAGGCATTCCTCCCTTGTTAAAAATGGCTGAAACTGCAATATTTTACATGAGCGGGAATAAAGCAGCCTGGACTCTGGGCTCAGTGAATGAGTGGGGCAGGAAAAGGTCAATATGCTATAAGGAAAAACACAAAGCAATCCTGCCACAGCAGCGGAAAACTCAACCCCCTTCTGTTTCCTGTGTCATTTTTTATGTGTTGTTGCAGCAGCTACCAATTCATTTCAGTGTGTGCGCGCGTGTGTGTGTGTGAAACTGCTCTTTGTGTGTGTGTGTGTGTCCTAAGCACCGATCAGCTGCACAGCAGGACTGTCTGTGAGTGCTGGTCCTATAAGACCGACAGCCAGCCTCATTACTGCCCCCAGACAGCGGTCAAACCGGGGCAAAACGGCCGGGGGTTCGGCCGTGTGTGTGTCTGCCTTTAAAAAGTCTCCCTCCGTCCCCCCCGCGGCGTTCACACAGTCTGCAGGTACAGCTCATCCACACGTGAATAAGCTGCTGTTGACAACATCAGCCTCAGGACCTGTGACGAGCCTTTTAATAGTCGTCCCGGCACCTGCTCTGTCTGTCCTCATTAGCTTGCTTTTTTTTTGGAGGGGGTGCATTGTGGATGAGAGCTTGCAGAGCATCTGTCTCAAGTCGTTTTTTTTTATTTTTATTTTTTTTTGTTAAGGCCTGCTTTTTCTTCAAGAGCAGCTTCGGATCAAACGCATGCTGACGTTGAAGAGGAGCACACATGCAGACACAGAATGAGGAAAATTCCCTAAATCTCTGGGAATTTACTTCAGTCCTACAAAGGGAGATTTTTCTGGGTCTGGGTTAAGATCTCCTCACGTAGCCTCTGATTCATCTTTCTCCCTGTAGCACTGAAAGAAAGCAAAAAAAGAAGTGATTTCCTGCTGCAACATGCTGCTTCCATTCTGTACGCCCACGGGCCTTCTCGTCCTCAGGCTTCCACCCCGATTAGTCGACTTTAATCGGGACCGAGGCGAAAGAGCACGGCCCGGCGAGGAGTCGAGCAAAAGTCGCCACGCCGAGATCTGACACTGTGACCACACTCTTTACTCTCCATAATGTGATTTGAGGAGATTAAGGCAGACGTCCTGTCACCACTCCGACACAAACACGAAGAGACAGACCCGAGCCGGGTCAGTCACACTGTGCAGCTCTCCTGTTTCTGCTCGTTGTTCTGTGACTGAAATGATTTGGGGTACAATAAATTGATTGCCAGAGTGACAAGGCGTGAGGTGTTGGGCATTAATCGTTGTTTTAAAAAAAAAAAAAGCCAGTAAGACCAGAAGAGGGGAGGAACGCACACAAGCCCATGGCAGAAAAGTAGTGCTAACAAACTTCATTTGACTGCAATATTCAGACAGATACTCTACATATGTGTCTGAGAAGGAGAGGAACGTTCCTAAGCTCTGGGGATGGATTCCATGTTGAGTCCAGCATCTTTAGAGCTCTGTTGCTCGGCGCAACATCAAAAGGGATTTGGTTGCCATGGCGGCAGTTGGTTCAAGTGTTTCCCCACAAAGACAGAAATGTTAGGCGAAGACACAGAAAGCACAGCTTGTCCTGACTAAGACTGGGATGCCGTGGGTTAAAAAAACCTGGAGGGAAAGGAGTGGAGGTGATCTAATCAAACGGTGCAGCGACCGCGTTTGGTTATAATGGCCGAAAATCCAGAAAAGCCAGCAGCCCACATTTAAAACAGTGAATCGAGGTTTTCATGTGCGTATTACTTTACATGACAAAACCAATGGAAAAAAAAACCTTAGAACTTACCAGCCTTTTTTTTTTCTTAGGGGAACATGTTTCAAATTATAATAATCTGATCAGCTCATCTCTCAGTATTCATTTTTGTCAAGATCCTTACCTCTGCTGCTGTCATCGATGAAAATCAGTTCTTGGTAGTTCCAACAATAAAAAAGCCTTTTAGGAATAGAAAAAAAGCTCCACTTTTTTTTTTAAACTAAAGCATCTAACGTTGTTAGCACTCCTGCCTGGAATCACTTGAAAAAATGGCAACTTAACATAGTTGAGACAGTCTATTTCAAAGCTTAAAATGACTTCTTATTTGCCTTGTTATACTCAATATCACGAGAGCTGCGATATGTAACGCACCACGATCTCCAACCTGGATTTTGCTTTTGCTTTTTGCTGATGACGAACACATTTAGATGCGCCAAAAAAAAAAAAAAAAAAGCGCTTCCTACTATGTGCCAGCCCCAAACTCTGAGCCATCTGTCCCAGCTCCGTAGGCAACAGCATCAGATAACAGGTTTGCAATAAACAGGTGTCCTCACCAAGGCCAAAAACGGGACAGCTCGACTGGATACTGGCACCAGCATCCCAGTAACAATAGATTGGTTTCTAAAAATACTACCTCTCCATTCTAGATCCAAAAATGAAAAAAAAAAAAGACTCAAGGCTGCCAAGTTATCAAGTGACAGAAATCTGATGAGAGTGGAATGCTGGAGCCCCCCCCCCCCTGACTCTTCCATCAGTTTGACAATTGCCCCACTCATCTGGGGTGACACACTACGCTCCTGTCATATAGGAGAGATGATATGATGGGAGCCACCAAAATTGTGCAATTTGGAAACACATAAGACCTGTTTTGAGTGTAAATGTGGCTCTATGGGAGGTCATGATGGGTGTGTTGTGTGTGTGAGTTTCTGCACAATTCCTTTGCTTGTCAGGGGGAAAAAAAGCCAACCAGAACCCCAAATTCCTCTGCCTGTACAGTGTATGTCTGTGTGGGGGTGCAGCAGGGCTATATCTTTTTGGATTGTGTTGATGGTGGTTGCTGTTGCTTGGATAAAACTTGGCTTCAAACACAACGTGCCCAGTGAATGCTCGCGACAACTGGGGTTCCAAAACAGCATGTCAATCCACACTGGAGAGGTTTCAGCCGTGGTTCACGGCTGGCTTTTTATTAAAGCAGAGTTCCGGGCGCCTGTTGGCTATGAAAGCACAGGAAGGAGGGTAACACATGTAAAGTGGAGGAATGTGCTTGATGTCGGCACCGAAGACAAATGGACGAACGCACCAACTCAAATAGTTATCTGCATACTCAGAGATGATCTTAATGTTAGCAGTGTTTTGGCATTGGAGAAAAAAAAGCTAGTTGATATCAAGAAACAACTTGTTGCGCAGCTCAGAGGATTTTCAACCGCGGACGGGAGAAAAAGACGCACCGCTGATGACGGACTTTTTTTTACGCACGTACCTTGTGCAGTTTCCACATCGCGCCCAGAGCCTTGACCTCGTGCGGGCCGTGTTTGCCCTCCTCCAAACACTGGTAGCAGACGGGATTCTTGCACTGCACGCAGTACATGCTGAGGTTCTCCAGCTCGTGCTCCGTGCAGGTGGAGATTTTGCGCGGGCTGGCGCGGCGGCTGATGCGGCCCTGCGCCGGCGGCACCAGGCGGTGCTTGGCCAGGGGGCCGCGGGGGGGGTGGCAGCGCAGGCGGCACGGGTCGCAGTAGAACACGTCGCACTGCTCGCACATGACGGTCGCCTCCTTGGGGCTCCTCTCGCAGAGCTGGCATTTGAGCGCGGCCGCCTTGCTCTGCTGGTAGCGGTCCACCACCCCCTCCAGCACCCGGTTCTTGGGGAACCCGCGGAGCCCCCGCTCGTCCAGGATGAGGCTGCGGTGGCACTGCGGGCAGGTGATGCAGGAGTTGCGCGGGATCGGGGCCAAACACGCGGGATGCGGCAGGAGGTGCTGCTGCTGCGGAGGAGGCTGCAGGGGGACGGCCGGGGGGAAAACCCGGACCCCGTTGGGTGATTTTTGGCAAGGGGTCGTGGGAGCGCTGACGAACCCGCCGTAGGAACCGTAGCCACTGTCCGCCTCGCTGTACAAGCTCATCTTATCTAAATCCAGATAATCATAATCTGAGACGCCGGATCCAGAGGCTCGGCTGCTCTGGGGAGACTCAGCCTCGGGGGTCTGCACGAGAATATTCCGCGCGCACGCCAGGCAAATGTTGTGGGAGCACGGCAGGATGATGGGCTCCCTGTAGAAGGAGCCACAAACGGGGCATTTTAACTCTTCCTCCATTTCATCCATGGCTGTGTCCCCCTTCAGGTGGAAGATCCCTCTGTGGATGCAGACTGAGGGGCAGCGCAGAGCCTGGGCTGGTTCTGCTGCTCTGCGTGCGTAACTGAGGCTGCTGCTGCTGCAAGTGCAACCTTGACCAGAGCAGGGGCATCGGCACCGAGGAGGCAGAAGCCCACTTCACCAATGAGGAGACAGCGTCAGCCTCAGAACGGACTGCGATTGGGTAGACAAGTGGATCCCAAACAACTATTGGACAACCCAATGCTGTCAGCGTGAGGAGCCGAAGATGAGCTTCACACAGCCAGAAACAAACATCACTGAGGGGAGCAGGCTAATTCCAACCCAGTAGTTTGGCAGATTAAAGAAAAAGCAGAGACAACAACAATAAAACACTGAATCGTTGTTTTTCTAAAAAGATGAAAACGCTAAGATGCAACAATTTAAAAAATATTTCAATGCCTCCAACATGAGAGACAAAACCAAAAAGAAACACAAAATTAAATTGTTTTTAGAAAATACTGCCTTAAGCCGATTAGTCTGGATGTGGAAGTACTTATTTAAAACAGAATAGCAGCAGCATAAAAAAATGAAATGACATGTACAAATCTTCCATAATTATGAAAAGGAGTTATATGATTACATTTCTTCACATGTGTTCAAAGTGCCAGACTCAGGCTTCCAGATGGCAGGCGTCCTTGTCTAGTTTTTAATTTTTCCCAACCATTTGAAAAATTCTTAATCAAATAGTCATGCAACGCGTGTCAGCATGGATGTTAGATCCATCTATAGAGGATAGACTCCTCTCTTTCCCCTTTTCAAACATCTTTATGCTGTTGGATCTTTTGCTTTAGCTTTTTATCTACTGAAATATTTCCTCTTTTAGATCTTGCTAGCTGACAGTGGGGGAAAACACATCCTAAAATAAATAGACTTTATCTAAATGTACAGGTACTTTGGCGAATCCCTAAATAATTCCCCTTGTCCAACCATTTAAACACAGGAGAGGTCTGATTTATTGACCTACATGTGTCAAACAGTAACAGTTTAAATAGTTTCTGGTTGATTTACCATGTTACAGACTCAAACATGTCACAAACAATTTAGCTAGTGAGGTTGGATTTCTAGCACTACACTTAGATTATTTCTTTTTAAATATGATGCATGGCATGTTTGTGTTTTTTCAATCTTACAAGCCTCTGATTCAACAACTGTATACAAGGAATATCTCAAGTCTGTACTTATTGAAATATTCTAACAACATTAGATCCCTATTCTTTGTATTATATTTTCCTCTAGATTTGCTTTGGTGCAGCACAGGATTTGGGCGGTGTGTCATTTTTAGCTGACGAGGGGTCAAAGATCTCCTCTGAAGCTGACTGAAAGCCTGGAAACTGATGGCTTGTGAGATGAAATAAAGCAGCACTCAAAAGAGAGTTCTCTCAAGCGTCCAGAAACTCCTTGTGTCTATGGCCAAATACCTATCAGTCATCTGTGAGCCAAACGCGGCAATGTGAGCTCGTGCTTTGGGTCTTCAGTGAGGCAGTTCATATGGAAATGAAATGGAATGATCCCCTTTAACGGAATTTCTTACACCAACATGAGTCCACTCAGTGTGATTGCATTTGCATATTTTCTGAGGCAGTCGGATAAAAAGTAAAAACATCAGTATGAACATTTTGTCTGATAATCAGAGATAATGCGTTTATAATGTATCCCGGGCCACTGATGAACATACCAAAGTTTGAGCGTAAATAATCACTTGTGAAACTATTAAAGAGCCGTTTCCTTTCCTCCACAGCCTCCGTGCTGATAGTGTTTCTCTGCTCGTTATCCTCTAAGATTTGTTCAAATATACAGCAAGTGGGGAGTTCATCCATGTAAACACACCCTTGAATAAACCAAATACAATGTTGATTCAAGCCAAATGTTTGTAGCTTGTCCATCGGCTATTTTTGGATCCGAGCTGGATGACGCCTCCAGCACGATGACAATGTTTTCTGTGTAATCTCCTCAGTTCAGGGGGCCACACTTCAGCTTCCTGTTCACTGCCTTTGAGTATGCTGCTAAACCTCTATTATTTCACATCTTTTTTTGTTTGTTTTTTTCATTGCCAATTCACTGTAGCTGCCAGGACACACACACAAACACACACACACACACACACACACACACGCACATATAGAACAGGCTGCTCTGAGAGAACCGCTTCACAGATTTCCTTTTACCTTCACATCCCACAGTCAGTGCTCCTGTGATCAGCCAATCAGAGAGAGGAGTGAAGACATCAACTGCCCCAACAGCAAACTGATATCAAACACACTAACCTAATAGATCAAATATAGGTAATGATATTCTGAAATGCTTGCTGAGATCCTTCTTCCTCTTGCTTTGCGTGCCAGTCTTAGATTACTATGGTAACCGTAACAGCTGCTTTACCGCACAAATGTATCTTTCAAAGTTGTCTCTCCAAAGTAAATGGTTTGTCATTTCTCGAGAGTTACTGCTTTCAAATGCTACTAATGTAACTTGTGAATAATCTGGATAATCTACTTAGTACATTATTCAGAGAAAGAGGTGGAGGAACAACCGATTTTAAGCAAATCAAACCAGTGGCATAATCCCAAAAGAGAAGCTGAAGCGCTTTGCAGCTACTCCTGCTAGTAATCCCCATCTGCCCCATTAATTTTCACACTCGCAACTGATTGTTGGTAAGACTCCTCACCTTTCTTGTACATAACCCATTTACTGTACCCTTACATGGCTCGGCTCACGCGAGTACTGCAGTTGCAACCTAATTTATTAATTGACTGATTTATTTGATAGTTAATGGCTCTCATCCATCCATCAATCCATCCATATTCCATACTCACTTGATCCAGTTCAGGGTAGCAGGGGTTTGAACCTGTCCTAGCTGCTACTGCATGAGTTAACCCAAGACTTTGGCTTTAAACTCCTGTGAAGAAGTCATTGAAAACTCTAAGCCCCGTGTACTGATGAGCCAGCAGTATTTATATTATTGTATTGGTGAGCCATAATCTTCAGATGGAGGGGACAATTAAGATGGATAAAAAAGACTTCTTCTTACTAACATTGCAGCTTTCATCTAACATTGTTAATTCAGAGACATGAAAGATGTACAAAATCCAACTGCATCACAATGTGAAATTTTATACATGACATGAATCTTTCCTTCAAGATTTGTTTTTTTAATATCTAAGCAAATCTATGCACCTGATCACCTGGAAATATTTCCAGTTAACAGTGAGCTTTGTTTAAAAAAAAAAAAAAAACAACTGGTGATTTTTTTGTTTCTCTATTTAATGCAAATAAGACAAACACTAAAGTTGTGTGCAGACGTATTCACAGTCAGCTACTGTAACAAACCATGTGATGCCAGGAACCCCCTTATTCAACAGTGCATCCCCGCACCCGCAGGAAAGAAACTAAACTTGAAGATAAAGCTGTGTTCAATCCAAAGTCTAGCTGCCTTTCTGAGAACCTGTGCCACCATGGATAAGAGATAAAGTCGCCCTTTGTGTGTAACTTAGTGTGTTACTTACACTGTGAGCCCCAAACTCCCTCTGCAGTCTCAGAGACATCTGTGCAAATGGATCCACAGGCAGCAGAAAGCTTTAGAGCTCACAGCTGATGCTAGATGGTAATCTGTCTGGGATGAAGTGATGATAACATATTAAAAAAAAATAAAAAAATTAGTTTTTGTGTCTGGGCTCTCGGGTCAGCAATGTTGTGATTTTACAAGTTCAAGCGGTTACAGAATTGTATTCAAATGTGAGTAAATACAGGCAGCAAACATTTGAAGGGTTATAGGAACACTTTTAAGATGAAAAAAAGAATGAGTCAAATCAAATGAGAACAAAAAATGTGTTTCTACATAAAAGAGGATGGTGAAATGTGTAGAAAATCATAAAATCATAAAAAACTGATACAACACACTTACTTCCAGTCGTCTTTTCTTATGCAACACTTCTCACGTGATCACCATCTGCCATCACGCTTCTCTGCCGCAGAGAGGACACCAAAGGTGACAAAAGCCCACCGTGGCTGACACCCCGGCGCAGTGCAGCACTGTCCAAAACGTCAGACGACTTCATGTTTATGGATTCAGAAACATCTGTGCCCTTCACTAAGTCACCCGAAAAATGCATCTCTTCCATGCAATGTTTTTAAATTAGGCCTCCAGGGCAAAACAAAAAAAGCTGTGTATTCATGATTATTACTCTGCAATCAATATCCTCCCCACCACATGACAGTGAATGTTAAGTCGGGGTTGCTTTTTTCGGGGGCTTCTAAATTTGTTGCTGTCATATATATCCTGGAAGCAGAGGCAGGGAAAGAAGAGAGGAAACGTGACCTTATTTAGTTATTTTGCTGTTGTTGCTTAGTTTGACCTAAAATAAAGTTCAGAACACAAGGTGTTAGGTGTTAACTTGTTAACAACTGGCCAAAAACTTGTAAACAGCTCAGAAGAATGAGCAAAAAAATGTCATATTTCCATTTCAGACCTCATCCTTTTGACTCTAGTGTTTTGACGCAAATTGAATCAAGCCATGGGTTGTTCACTGTGTCTAGCTGCTTGTACTATTCCTTTATGTAAACATTTTGGATGCTCTTGTGCGGGAAATGAAACAGGAATACCATAATGATGTGTTTCTTAGCGGCTGATTTGGTCTGGCTTTTGGCCTCAGAATCATATTTTCAGTGTAAAAAACAGGGCCAGAGCAACCGAAACTCCAGCTGGAATCCTAGGTGCTTATTTCCTACTGTATTTCTGCACGCATTCCCCCTTATGAGAGTGGGAACTCGGGCTCGAGTTGTCGTCGATTTCCATGAAACATGCCGTCTAGCAATGCTCAAAGCGCAGGCTTCATTTTTCTGCATGCGTGGGCTGCCTGAAGTGACACATGAGCGGTAGAAGGTCTCGCCGTGCGCTGCCATTTTTCTCCTCTCTCATGCAAACCGTCCACATTCTACAGGGAGTTTGTGCTGCAATTAATGGCCTAATGATTTTTTTTTTACTCTGGAAGGGGTTGGCAGAGCTACTAAATCCAACCCTCCTGTTGCAAAGGCTGTTAACCCAGAGAAATTGAGCACAAAACAGAAAGTATTGATCTTTAAACATGTAACATGTCATGTCCAAGTGGTTCTGG